AACCCTAACCCTAACCCTAACCCTAACCCTAACCCTAACCCTAACCCTAACCCTAACCCTAACCCTAACCCTAACCCTAACCCTAACCCTAACCCCGAACCCTAAGCTTAGCAAACTTCAGCATCCCTGGCATCTGGGGGCTTCCACCACCTGCCCAAGTGGCAGTTTCCATCCCTGGTGGGCACCGCCTTGTAACCCCAACCCCCAAATTCAGGTACTTTTTGCACTTATGTCTAAGTGAAGTACCGTAAATCTCCAACCCTCCGCACTTCTTTTGATGGAGCATGTGCATCAGCATACTGGCTACATTTTGACATAAAAAAAGGTCCAACCCCTGCCAGGGAACCCCTTCTAAAGCGCCCTTGCCCGCGCGCCCAACGGCGACGACGACGCGCTCCGAACAGCCCGCGGCCGACGACCAGCACCTAGATTAGTAGCGCATCAGCATGCGTGTCTGACGCATGCGGGCTGCCCGCCAACGGCCGTCTGACCATTGCGCTGCTCACCATGGAAGTCGCGCGTCTGCCTGCGTCTCCCCGCGTCCGCCTGTCCGCCCGCGCGCTGCGCCAATCGTGACGCCCGACGACGCTACCAGCTACCTTGAGCGTGAGAGGAGCGTGTGGCGGTGGCGTGCGCGGCCAAGCGAGCCGTCGAGTTGGCGAGGTGCCGCCGGCGCAAGGGATGGAGGTGGAGGCGGGAAGAAAGGCGGAGCGCGCGACTGGCAGGGCGTCAAAGTGAGCGCGCGGATGGAGGGCAAACTGGATCGAGAGAGATGAATGGAGAGCGAGCAATGATACGTGTCACCTGCGCCTGAACTCACTTGCTCCATGACCTGCATCTGCATCTGCGCCTCTCACTCGCTCACGCCTCCGGTCGGTGACTCTCCAGCCCGACGCTTGCTGCTGACCAGCTGGCGCGGACGGGTCTGCGCCCTCCTTGCGTGGTGCGGCATCGAGCCGTCTTTGTCGCCCCGGGCCCAGCCGCAGCTCCAGCACGCTCCCTTGTTCGTTCTGCCTGGCGGCAGGCGGCGTGCGCGGCCCAATCGCTTCCAGCACGCACGCCTGTCGCTCCATCTACTTGCCCTGCCTGTTTGTCGCTAGCCAGAGAGGCGCAGCTCACCTCGCGAGAGGCAGCAAACGGATGCGAGACGAGGCGCTTGTCTGGGCCGTCCCGGCTGTCCTGGCGTCGCCCAGGCGTAGCTCGCAACTCGCACCGCTTGCCCGTCCTGTCGCATGCTAGCAGCTTGCACCGTTTGCCGTCCTGGCGCCGCCCAGGCGTAGCTCGCAAGTCGCACCGTCTGTCCGTCCCGTCGCCTGCTCGCTCTCAGCTCGCTCGCAGCACGCATCTTGCCTGCTGGCTCGCAGCTCGCACCATTTGCCCGTCCCGTCGCTTGCTAGCTCCTCAAATCGCTCGCAGCGCGCATCTTTTGCCTGTCCTGCCCTGCCCGAGCTGCCCATCCTGCCCTTGCTCGTCCTGCGTGTCGCCCGCAATACGCACCACTTGCTCGTCCTGCCTGCTGCCCTCCCTGCTTCTCGCTCGCTAGCCCCAGGCCAAGCCGCTCGTCGGCGCTCAGCAAGGTGGCCCGAGCCCGTGGATGCGCAGACGAGAGCAGGCCCGGCCGCGCGCGGCACGCACAGTGCTTGGCGAGCGGCCGGGCAAGGGCGAGAAAGGCGCAGCGAGAGTCGACACAGGCGGCGACGCAGGTGGAGAGGGAGCCGAGGCCGACGCGCGGCGATGCGCATAGGATGCATTCACATACTGCGCTGAGTCGTCGGGTTGGACGGTGCGCGAGCAGATGCGGAGTGGAGGTGGTGGGCGGGAAGCAAGCGCCGCCTGGCGCGGCCTTGCCTTGGCACGGCAGCGCGGTGCGCGATTTCGCGACTTCTCCGCCGCGCCGCAGCTTCTCCACGCGCTTCGCACCACCACTCCCCTCACCACCATCATGTCCGCTCCGCTGCGTCCCCTCGCACGGTCGCTGGTGCGTGCGCCGCGCCTGCAGCCCGCCGCGCCGCGACGCCTCGCACCGCTTCTCCGCCAGCGCGATGTTCGCGCGGCCAGCCAGAGCAGCAAGGTGACCGTGCCGACGCCCGGCACGCGCGACCTGCCGCCGCAGCGCCAGCCGCTGAGCTGGGCTACGTGTGAGTGGCAGCCGAAGCCCTCCCTTGCCACCGTAGTTGATGACTTGGCGCAGACCTCTCGCTGCGCCGCACGCGCCGCCTCGCCGGCGTGCTCACGACGATCCCTACGACGCTGCTCTCGCTCGCGAGCTCCGGCGCCGTGCTGCTGACCCAGCCCGTCGACCCCACGACGCCGCCGATGCTCGGCATCGACCCCGTGTACCTGTACGCGGCGGCGACGCTGGCGTGCGGCGGGCTCGGCTACCTCGTCGGGCCGAGCATCGGCACGTTCTTCTGGAACGTCGTGCACAAGCGCGACCGCAAGAACGTCGAGGCGATGGACTCGGTCTTCTGGAGCAAGATCGAGCGCAACCGCGTCGACCCGAGCCGCCAGACGATGCAGAACCGCCTGCCCGACTTCTACGTGAGTGGGCGACGCCGCGAGTATGGGCGGTGGGGCGTGCACAGGGGGCTGGAGTTCGGCAGAGGCGGCTGCAGTCCTGCGTGGACAGCCTGGACTTGGTGTGTAGATGGAGCAGACGGAGCGGCCAGGCAAGGCACGGACGTTCCGGACACGAGGAGGCTCTGCTTCGCCTGCTGCCGCCGCGTCGTCGACGCCTGCTTCTCAGCGGCCAAGCGCTCTGCATCTCTGCCGCTCCTCTCCAGCTCCGCGCTAACATCATGCGCAGGGCGAGAAGATTGCGTCGATCCCGCAGTACCGGCAGTGGCTGCGCGACCAGGCCGCGTTCCGGCGAAAGACGAGCCACGGCGTGCGCGACGACCTCACACAGTAGGCGACGGCCAGCGTCTGAATTGAACGAGTCACGCGAGAGGGTCTGGGAGTGCGAGTCCTGTCGCAGCGCAGGGCCACAGCACAGGGCCACAGCACAGCGCACTGGGGCTATGCGCGCTTGGTAAGTGTGGCGCACCACTCGCGCGCCGGCACGACGATGCCCGGCCCCGTCTTCGTCGCCCAGTTGCCCGGCGGCACGGCGTCGGCGTCGACGACGTCAAACGTGGCGAAGAAGGTCGCGAGGAAGACGCGCATGTGCGTGATGGCGACGCGGCGTCCGGGACAGATGGTCGCGCCGCCGCCCCACGGGTGGAAGCGCTGCAGCGCCGCCTTGCCGTCGAGCAGCGCGCCGGACTCGGAGCTGAGCGAGTCGCCGCGCGAGCGCGACATCGAGCTGTACGAGTTGCCGCGCGAGCGCGAGACGGAGCTGTACGAGTCGCCGCGCGGCCGCCCGGCGGGAAAGTTGTCGAAGGGCGCAAAGGCATGCGGCTGCGTCCACAGCGCCGCCGAGTGGTGCCACGAGTAGGGAATGCCGCAGACCATCTCGCCCTTGCGCACGTGGAAGACCGAGCCGTCGGCGCAGGGCAGCAGCGTGTCCTTGAGGCACATGCGCCACGACATCGACGATGCCTGGTAGCGCAGCGTCTCGTCGGCGATGGTCTGCGCGCGCGTGTGAGCCACCTCCATGTCGGTCCTCTCCGCACCACGCACCACGATGTTCGGGCACGACGACATGTCCTGCGAGTCAAACACAAACGACGGGCGGCTCGACGTCGGACACGTCTCGGCGCGCACGCGGCGCAGCGACTCGGCGTCGTTGACGACAAAGATCTGCATCGTGTCAGCAAGGGCGGCAGAAGGTTCGTGTCGTGACGCACCGTCTGCCACAGCGTGGCAAAGCCCAGGTTGCTCGCGCCCGCCCAGAGCAGCATCATCAGGTGCCGCGCAATGTCGTCGCGCGACACGGCATACTTCTCGCTCGCGAGCTTCTCGTGCAGGTCGCGCACGAGCGCCGTCGCCGACACGAGGTGCTCGTCGAGGTAGCGGTTCATCAAACGCACGAGGCGCTCGCGCGCCGCCGTGCCCGCCGGCGCCCGCCGCCCGCGCGAGAGGGCAAAGAAGTGCTCGTCGAACGCGAGAAAGTCGTCGTACGCGGCGGTGGCGGGGAAGTTGCGCCCGAAGATGGCCGTCTGCGATGCCGCGTCAGCCTAGCACTAGCTACGGCCTGTCTCGCCTCACATTTGCAATGATGAAGCTGGTGCGCGCGATCCAGTCCCGCAGGTCGGAGCGGCCTTGCGGCGGCGGGTGCTGCGAGGGCGATCAGTCGTCCTGCACGGCGTGACTAGCCTTGTGGCGACTCACCGAGGCGAAGCGCTCCGTAGTGAGCTCGTACTGCGCCGGTCAGCAGTCTGCACGTCCTTCATGACTGGGCCACTCACCAGCGAGTCGCAGATGGACGCGCCATTGTTGCCGCCCATGCCCTGGCTGTACAGCGCCGCGACGGCCACGACCACCTCGGGCCGCGCGCCTGCCGCGGAGCAGCCCTGGATGCGCTCGTCAAAGTGCCGCTCGTGGCGAAAGGCCTCGAGGCTAAAGTTGCGGCGCTCGCTGCCGCGCGTCATGCCGTCCATCGCCAGCGGGTCCGCGACGACGACGAGCGGCTTGCCGAGCACGCGCACGCGCACGACGCCGTGCTGCGCCGGCGCCAGCAGCTGTGGCAAGCGCATTGCCGCGAAGCCCTTGATGCGCCGCATGTGCCACACCTCGCCGAACCACGGCAGCGAGCCGGCGCGCAGGCCGGCGGCAAAGAGGCATGCGGCGCACACGAGCGCCAGCGCCAGCGCCGTGCAGTCGTGCATGCTAAGCATGGCGGGGTAGAAAGATGGAGGACAAAAGGGTGGAAGAGCGAAGGGAAGGGTGGGCCAGCGTGTGCCGTTGCTCCACAGCGCTGCCTCTATATAGCCAGCGGCGCTCAGCCTCTCGCCTCGCTTGTGCGGCGGCCGGCCCCTAAGGGCACCGATGCGCGTGCCACACTGCCGGCCGGCCTCGAGCGCCGCCCGGAAGCCCTTGCCGGTGCGTGGGCGCAGTGCGCCACCGTCTCGCAGCGCCCGCCGCAGGCACTCATTGCGCCAAGAGCGTGTGGGCGTTCGGGGCGCACGCGGCAGCCAAGCCACATCGTCGGCGCAGTGACACCCTGACGCCCAGACAGGCCCTCGCCGATCTGCACCCTGCGCTGCCGGTACGCCGCCGAGCCAGGGCAACGTGTGACGCTGTGACTCTCCTATGACAACGTGCTCGCGGCAGGCGTGGTCCGGCTGATAGGGTCAGGAGACAGGGTCAGCTACGTTGGTCAGCGGGCGTTGTGCCCCACAAGGGTGCGCTGCCCCGTGCTTGAGGACGCATGCGTCATATCCGCTGGCCCAGGTCGGTGCTGGAGCTACTTGTCAGCCGCCATGACAAGATGCAGGCCTACGTACAATAAGAATCGAAGACGAGTCGGCTTTGAGTGACTTGCACGAGGTAAGCTTGTGCAATCTGAGGCACGCCTTGCACCCGCATCGGCTCGGGGGCGCTGCCAACGCCGCGACGGCCAGAGACTGGCCTGATCATTGACTCATGCACTGATTTTCCTCATTTTGCGACGAATAGCAGCCTCAGACGAGCATTAGAACGGGTGCTGCGGCGACTGCGACGCTCGCTCCAGGGGGCTTGCAGACGCCTCAGGGGTCGGTAGCACGTGACGCCCGGCGCGTCGAGATGCATGCGGCGCGCAGCGGATTTCGGGAGTGCCGCGCCGCACATCAACACCTGGCGCGGGCAATCGTGCCTCGCCTCCACCACCCTCCCGCCCAGCAGCGCTCCACCTGCGCCGCCATGGCCGACGACGATGCCGCGCCGTGAGTGCCGCGCTGCCGCCGCAGCGGACCCTCGCTGATGCCGCGCAGCTCGTTTGCCAGCACGGCCGAGGAGCTGCTCTGGCTGCGCGAGCGCGTCAAGGACCTCTCCGACACGCTGCGCGAGACCGAGGCGTCGCTCGTCGAGTTCGAGGAGAGCTCCAAGGACGTCGAGCGCGAGATGGACCGCGAGATCCGCGACGCCGAGCGCCGCGAGCGCGAGCTCAACGCCAAGGACGAGCGCAACCGCAGCATCATCGACGAGTGGAAGGTGCGTGCCGCGTGTATGCCAGGGCCGGCCGTGGTGGGCACACATGGGCTGGGGCCGGCCGTGGTGGGCACACATGTGCCAGCGCCGGCCACGACGCGCACACACGTGCCAGGGCTGACATGCCGCAGGCCAAGTACCAGAACGCCATCGCCGAGCACAACAAGTACCACGCCGAGATGGACCGCGAGATGAGCGTCGTGCGCGAGCAGCAGCGGCGCTACAAGGAGAGCATTCGCGACATGGAGGTGAACAACGACGAGCTGGAGAATGCCGAGCGGTGAGAGTGTGCCAGGCCCGCCGCCCCGCGCTGCGCTGACGCCGCGCAGCATGATCGCCTCGTCGCTGGCCGAGATGGAGTCGCGCTACAATAAGGCGCTGGAGCGCACAGTAATGCTCGAGGAGGAGCTGGTGGCCAAGGCGCGCCTGGAGGACGACAACCAGCGGCTGCGCGACGAGCTGCAGGGTGAGTCGCGTGTGGCAGCCTACTCGCCGCCGCACTGAACCTCTTCGCAGAGCTGCACGAGGAGCTCTCGATTGCACGCGAGCAGGTCGCCGCCGCACAGAGCGCACAGGCCGCGTCTGCTGCGCCGGCTGCCGCCAGCCGCACCACATCGCGCGCCGAGCCGGGCGCCGGCGACGAGATGAGCCTGGCCGACCTCGTGCACCGGCCGCGCACCGCTGCCTCGCGTCCAGCCTCACGCCTCGGCGGTGCGGCATCGCCAGGCACCGGGCGCAGCTCGGCGGCGGGCCACTACCCGCCCATCAGCGGCTCAGCGCGCACGCCGGCGGCCAAGGCCATGCTCGGGCACGCGCGCCGCGGCAGTCGCGACGTCACGGGCCTCACCGTCGGCGACGACAGCCCGAGCCTGCGCGCGTCGCGCATGCGCAAGGATGTCGGCGCGCCGGCCCCGCGCGCCAGCGTCGCAGCCGCACGCACGCCGCTGCGCCGTCCGCTCGGCAGCACGGTGCAGGCAACGAGCGGCAAGAGCCTCAACATGATGCACGTGCTGCAGTCGCGCATGCGAGCGCTCGAGTCGCGCATCTCGTCGGCGCGCGACCTCTCGCGCATCGCGCCGGCCGTCGACCTCGACCGCAGCGCGATCCCGCGGCCTGCCTCGCGGCTCGGCAGCAGCACAGGGCCGGGCGCGTACGGCTCGCCCACGCCGACGGGCACGCCAGGCCCGCCGGTCCGTGGCCCGCGGCCGTCCTTCGACGGCAAGGCGTCCGTCAGCGGCATCCCCGTGCCGCCGTCTGGGCTGAGCAAGTCGACACGCCGGCCGGCGTCGCGCCTGTCCATGGCCAGCGGTGGCATCGGCTCGTCGTCGTCGCCGCCGCTGCCCTCTGCCCAACTGCCGCGCTCGCAGACGCCGACCTTCTCGGCGGGCGCGCACGGCGGCGTCCGCGGCGCCAGCCCGCTGGGCTTCCTCGACTCGGAGCCCGACATGCACTCTGGGCGCGCATCGGCAGCGTCCGTGCGCCGGCGCATCACGACCGTCGGCGAGCGCGGCGCGTCGACGCGGCCGCGTGGCAGCACCACAGTGGGGCTGTCGACGGCCGAGGCCAAGGGCGCGCCAGCGGGCGGCGTGGTCTCGGCGCTGCGCGCACCCTCCTCGCGCCCACTCAGCGGGACGACCGCCGCCGGCGCGGCCGCGGGCCCGCCCGTCTCGTGGCGGCCCACCGCGAGCGGCCGCCTGCGGAGCAGCTCGACGGGCTCGAGGTGACGTGGCTGTCCGCACTGTATACTAGCTTGTCACGAAGTCATGATGTGTGCCACGATGTGCGGTGCTGCCGGCTGCACACCCATCTCATAGGCTCGATCTGCTCGCATTACGCCACGGCCACGCTAAGCAGGCCCTCGCATCTGCGCTGTCTGGCCGGCACGGGCCAGGTCCCGGCGAGCTGCTTACTGCTCGGCACGCGCTGTCAGCCAAGGACACATCACCACACCTCATGCTACGTACGAGCCGCGCGTTGCAGATGTCGACGAACTCGGGCTTGAGCGAGGCGCCGCCGACGAGGAAGCCCGAGATGTCGGGCTGGGCGGCTGGAGAAGACGTCAGCCAGGCAGCAGCTGCAGCGGCACAGGGCACGCACCGAGCTCCTTGCAGTTCTTGGCCGCGACGGAGCCGCCGTAGATGACGCGCAGGCCCTCGCCGGCCGACTGGCCGAGCTTCTCGACGGCCCACTTGCGGATGGCGGCGTGCACCTCCTGCGCCTGCTCCGTCGTGGCGACCTTGCCGGTGCCGATGGCCCACACGGGCTCGTAGGCCACGACGATCTTGCTGTTGGCAGGGCGGTGTCAGTACGGCGCAGCGCTGGAGACGGCAATGAGCAGCTGCACGTCCCAGCCTGATCACGAGCAGAGCTCGATGTCTGCAGCCGTGCACCACCTCAATCCGCTCTCCTCGGCACTCACCTCCAGTCGTCGACCTGCTTCTTGATCGCATCGAGCTGGCGCACGACGACGTTGATCGACTCGTTGGCCTCGCGCTGCTCGAGCGTCTCGCCGACGCACGCAATCACGCTGATGCCCTGCGCCAGCGCGGCCTTGGTCTTCTCGGCGACGAGCTCGTCGCTCTCGCCGAAGAGCGTGCGGCGCTCTGAGTGGCCGAGGATGACCCACGGGATGGAGGCGTCCTTGAGCTGCGTGACGCTGATCTCGCCGGTGAAGGCGCCGGCGTCCTTGTGGTAGGCGTTCTGCGCCGAGACCTTGACGGGCGAGCCGGCAAGCTGCTCCTGCGCGAGCAGCAGGTGGATCGCCGGCGGCGCGACGACGACCTCTGGCAGCAGCGCATCAGCACGAGTCAGACAGGGCAGCTGCGGCGCACGCACCCGTGTTGGAGTCGAGCTGGGCGTCCTTGAGCAGCTGGAGCAGCTTCTTGGTGCTCTCGAGCGTGCCGTTCATCTTGTAGTTGCCGCCGACGAAGAAGGTGCGAGATGCGGCCATGGTGACGGTGTGTGGGTGAGGCGAAGGTGTGTGGGTAGAGGGGTGGAGGAGGAGAAGCAGAAGACCGCACAAGGCGCACGCTGCACTTCTCGCAGCCGCTCGGCCGCGCTGGCGAGCCGAGGCGTGGGTCGCGGTGGCCCTTGCGCGCTTCGGGCGAACTCGGCGCCTCTGCGCTGCGCCCGTCCGACGACCGCCGCGGTTGTGCACGCGACCTTCACCTTGAGTTGTCCACACGGCCTGGGCCGCACACAGCAGGCTCGAAGAGTGAGACGACGAGCCGATCTCTCTGATGGACCTTAGCGGCAGCCGTCGCCCGGCAGGCAGCACATACTCCGGGCAAGCTCAGACTGCGGCGCGTGATGCACCCCATCTTCTCTTCGCCCTGAGCACCTCACGCTGGCCTGAGCCGAGCCACTACTGTGCAACGCCCTGCTCCCTCCGCACTGCCGCTGCACTGCCGAGACCCATTAAATTACGCCAGCCGCCATCTACACCCCGCAGCCTACAGCAGCACGCTGGCGTCCTCGTGGAAGAGCAGGCTGATGCTCTCGCCGTTGTGCGTGCGCCGGATGCTCTCGGCGATAACGGCGCTGACGTCCATAATCTCGAGCTTGCCGTTCGAGTCGCGCGCCTTTTCGAGGTTCGGAATCGTGTTGGTGACCTGCGCCCGCCTGTCAGCGCTGCAGTGGGACGAGCACCCAGCACACTCACCACCAGCTTCTCGAGGTCCAGACGCCGCAGCAGCGCCGTCGACTGGCCGCTGAGGAGGCCGTGCGAGATGTGCGCATACACGGCCTTGGCGCCAGCCTCCTTGAGCGTCTTGGCGGCCAGCGCGAGCGTCCGCCCCGTGTCGACCATGTCGTCGACGAGGATCGCAGTCTGCGCAGCGTCAGCGCGGCTCGAGAGGTACCCTCGCACAACGCACCTTGCCGTCGACGTCGCCGACGAGAATCTCCATCTTCGTCTCGGCCTCGTCGCTCGCCACGGCGCTCGTGCCCGCACGTTCCTTGCTCGGGCCGCGGCTGCCGCCGCTCACGATGCGGTGGCCGTCCTCGTCCGTCGTGACCCACTCGCCCGCCTCGTTCATGCTCACGCCGTTGGCCACGGGGCTGTACGTGCTCGTGGCGCCGTGGCCAGCCAAGGCGTGCTCAGCAGCGCCGGCGCGCGGTGTTGCCGCCTCGCTCGCGTCCGAGGGCGAGAGCCGCTCCAGCGACGCGTTGACGACGCCCAGCTGCTGCCCGAACGCGTGCGAGCCGCCGAGGCCCGCCTCGGCCCTGATGCGGCTCGCCGGGTCGGCGTGTGCGGTCGGGTCGACCATGAAGCTGCCCGTCATCGGCGTGCTCAGGCCGCTACGCAGATCGGAGAAGGACGACGTGCGCGAGACGCCGGCGGCATCGGCCGCGGCCGCGCGCAGCCGCTTGTTGGCTTCCCGTTTCCGATTCCGGTTGATGAGCGCAAAGTCGACGCCGAGGAGATCCGCCAGCGACGTGGCACTGCGCGGCACAGTAAGCCGCCTGGCCGCTGCTGCGTAGCCCCTTCGCCCCGTCGCTTTTGTCCCCCTCACGCCGACACTCACCGCTTGGCACCGCCCGCATCGGGGCTCACGATGATGGCATTCTTGTAGTCCGGGATGCACTGGCGGATCCAGCGCGCGACGCTCGGCTCGCTCGTGAGGTTGTCGACGGGAATGTCGAAGAAGCCCTGGATCTGCGAGGCGTGCAGGTCCATCGTGATGACGTGGTCGGCGCCCGCGACGGTGATCATGTTGGCGACGAGCTTGGCGGTGATGGGCGCGCGGCTCTTGTCCTTCTTATCGTGCCGACTGTACGGGAAGCACGGGATGACGGCCGTGATGCGACGCGCCGAGGCGGTGCGGCACGCCGAGATGATGATCAGCAGCTCCATTAGCGAGTCGTTGGGGTCGACGTAGGGGCTGTTCGACGTCTGCAGCACGAACACGTCCTCGTCGCGCACCGACGAGCCGATGCGCACGTCGATCGACTGGTCCGCAAACTTCTTGCACACGCACGGCGTGGGCTGAATGCCGAGGCTGCGGCGGGTGTGAGGCGTGCTGCCGGCTGCTGCAAGCGGCGTGCTCACCGGTCGGCGACCATCGCGGCCAGCTCCGGGTGCGAGTTGCCTGCCAGAGGGGTCAGCCAGGGCAGCGCTGGGCAGCGCCGGCGCAGCGCGCACCCGTGAGCAGCTTGATCGAGTTGACGCCAGGCATGGTCGGCGGTCGGGTGGGGTGTCGTGGAGCGGATCTTTGTTCTTCGGCGGGCACGGCGAGGCGCGAGGATGCGAGAGCGGGAGCTTGCGGCGCGGGGCGCGACGACGGCATTTCCGCTTTTTGGCCAGCGCGCACTCCCGAGTCCCGCGCGCAGACCCTCGCCGCTTCCTGCTCCCACCCGAGCTCGCCTCTGCGCCACACCATCACTGAAGCCCGGCCAAGCCTCGTCGTCCGCAGCGCGCGGCTGTCTCTGTGGACGCGCTGAGCTCATCGTGTAGCCTCGGCCCGCCCCTGTGCCCCGACTGGGCGTGCTGAGCAGCGCAGACGAGGCACGGCTGCTTGCGACCTGCGACGCTGAGCATGCCGAGCAGCGAGGGGCAGGAGGCGGTCCCTGGCGGCGAGCGGGCGCAGACCGACGAGCGCAAGCGCCTGCGTGCGCTCGAGCGCGACCCATACAACCGCCTGCGCTCCATCGTCGCCGACGCACAGCTCGTCGAGAGCGTCGCGGCGCACTTTGCGGACCTGCCCGTCGTGCCGAATCTGCGCTGCGGGGCGTGGTACGTCGACCCGTCGCGCCACGCGGCCAAGGGCTGCTACTTCAAGAGCACCGACGGGCACACGCACAACTGGGGCTTCAGCCTCAAGCGGCCCAACCTGCATCTTGCAGAGCTCTGCCTCGAGCGTGGCGGCGCCCTCGTGGTGGACTCTACACGCCGCGGCAAGTCGATGCCCGACGCCCTCTCGAAGACGGTGCCCATCTGGTGTGCCGTACTCAACGAGGCGTCGCGCCAGAGGTACGGCGAGCCTGCGCCGGCGTCGCCGCCGCCGCCATGCCAGCATCGCAGTCCAGGCACACTGCGCGTGCCCTCGCACATCGTCTCGCCGTCAGAGGAAGCGCAGATCGCCGAGCGGATAGCAGGCTGGGTCGGCGACCTGCTGTCCTCTGCGCTGCCTGTGCCTCGGCTTCGCGCGCCGCTCGTGCCCTTCTTTTGCTCGCCGCAGTTTGCCGATCCGGCTCTATCGTGCTCAGCGGGCTCGCTATGCGCGCTCGCCGCGGGTCGGTGTCTCCGAGTCGTGCTCCTCTCCGCCAGCTGGCCAGTCTCAATCGCGCCTGTCACAGACGGCGGCAGCAGCTCGAGAGGGCCATCGTGCTGGGAGCAAGCTCCTCACACGGCCAATGCCTTCGACGACAATCCCTTCACCTACGTGCAAGGCAGCGGAGACGATGAGGAGGCCTGGGCGACGGGCCTGTCGCCGGCGCTGCTCTGGGCACACCGAGACGAGATCCTGCGCAGCCGCGCCGACTGCCAGGACGCCATCGGCACAATCGTCCAGGCTGAGCGCCTGCGAGTGCGGTCGCACACCCTGCTGCAGCAGGTGCAGCCGGCGCCGATCTGGCTGCAGCTGCCAGCCGAGCCAGTCGCCGACGGGCCGTGGAGCCTCGTCGTGCACTGCCAAGGCGCGCCGGCCACGGACGAGACGCGTGAAGATGCGCGGACCTTATCGCTCGACCTCCCCGCCGGCAAAAAGGGCGCACGGCTGCTCCGCACGGTTCTTCCTGGCGCCATCGTGAGTGCTCCTGTGCTGACTAGGCACGCTCAAAGCCGCTCTGACGCTTCTGCTCAGGCAACCATCACTCGCTCGCTGCTGCGAAGGGCCGCGACGGACCGCAAGGTGCTCATCACCAGCACGAGCGACGCCTCCCTTCCCGGCTCCATCGCGCTCGCACTGCTTGCCGCCTCGTTCACCAGCGATGGCCGCTTCGTGCCCGACATCGCGCCGGACAGCATGGATCACGCAGCACGACTCGAAGCGCACCGCAAGGCGCTCACCAAGGCAGACGCCAGGCGCTGTCTGCAGTGGCTCGTCTCGAGTGCACCCGACTTCACGCCCTCTCGCGGACACCTGCTGCGTGTTCACGACGCGGTCCTGCCGACGCCAGATGGCGTCCGTGGCTCGGCGGGCGCGCAGCTTGAGCTGAGCACGCAATAGCTATACCCTAGAGACCTGGCTGTGCGAGCGAGGAATGGTAGACGACCGATGGCGTGAGCCCTCTGCACGATTCGCCGAGCTGGCACGCGCCGTCGTCAAGGCGGCTCTGCACGTGTCCATCGAGCGGACTGCCGTACAGCCGCCACACGCGTGGGAACAGCAGAGACGGCGATGCAGCGTGTTCGGACCCTGGGCTGGGTGCTACAGACGTGCTTCAGCAGGGCATGTACAGGGCGAGGTATGAGGATTCAAGTGCGTGGTATGGCGTAGCGGATGCGGGTGCTGGCTGTCGGAGCGCAGTGGCTGTGGCGAGCCACGAAGGCAGCATGCCTGCTGTAGGGCGCAAAGCGTGTCGTCAGCGCCGGCGCAGCGCTACACGCTAACCTCTGCGCTGCGGACGCACCTGGGTGCACACTCCTTACGACATGTGGTCGGCGACGCCGTCTGCAGCGTCTGAGGCGTAGCGGTCTCAGCTGCCAACGAGGTGGTTTGCGGAGCGGCAGAGCGGCGGCGAGCCATCAGCCGGCTCGTCAGGCTGCTCTTCGTCGCTGTCCCACTGGCCGACGAGATGGTCCACTGAGCGATACAGGGGCGAGATGCTGGTGCGTTGCTTCCCGCGCTGCTCCTTGTCGATGTACTCGTCACGCTCCTCCTCGTCGCTGTCCCATTGGCCGACGAGGTGGTCCACTGCGTGATGGTCCACGACGAGATGGTCCACTGAGCGATACAGCGGCGAAGAGCTGCGGATCTCGCGTTCCACCTCGCGTGCTCCTCCTTCGTTGGCTATGCAGGCGCGGAGGATGTGTGAGGCTCTGGCGGCCTTGGAGAGCTACGCGTATGGACGCACCAGCTTTATAGTGTGACGCCGAGCCCGTCTCATGCTCTCTCGCGGCGTACGTCTGAGAAGCTTGCTGCAGATACTGCTGCGGCCGCTGCTGCTGGTGTTGCTGCTGCTGCAGCTGCGACGGCTGGCGCTGCTGCTGATGGTCCTGCAACGGAGGGTTCGCATTGAGCAGGGAAGAAGACAAGCGAGGCAGAAGGGGAAGGAGGGACGAGACTCACCAGCTGCTGCCGCTGTAGCCACGGCGGCGGCGCTTCCGCAGCGTGCGGCGACGGCTCGCGCGCCACGCTGATCTGCTAGACGTCAGCTTGCACGTGGAGGCAGAGTGGGACTCATGGCGCAGCTCACCTGGAGCAGCCGCTGCTGCTTCACCTGGTGCTGCCGCGAAAGCGCAGGATTGGGCTGGCGCAAGCGGTCAGTACGGCCGAGGCAGAGGCCGCGATGCACCGGCACTCACAGAAGACGGCGGCAGCGGCGAGGGCGGTCCCGGCTGCAGCAAGGACACCAGCTGATGGTCTGGAGACCAAGGCTCGACGAAGTAGAAGCGGCCGTCAAACGTCTGCCACTCGCCATTGGCGGGAGGCGCCGACGGCTTGGGCGGTGCGGTGCTGGCCGGCGGCAGGCCGGCGGTTAGCCACTGGTACTCCTGCGTCACCGGGCACCATCGCCAGCCACAGCGAACGCCTGCGGACGGCGTCATGGATCGTGCGTGGGGAAGAGGTGGAGTGCGAGCGGCCGAGGTGTGGGCGCCTGCGTGTATGCGCGCGGGGCGGGGCGAGCGGCGAGGCGAGGCCTAGATGATGGGGCTACGAGGGATGTGGTGGACGAGAGACAAGCTGCGATGTGCAGTGTGCGCCAGATAAGCCTGAGCAAGCGCGGGCGCAGAGCATAGTGTGAGAGTCAGCTGCCCGATGAAGAAGGTTGGCGAGCAGCGGCCCGAGCGCCGGGCGTGAGGCCGCGGGAAGGGACTCGACTGCCCCTTTCGGGCGGCGCAGAGCTGGCGCGTGCGCCCGTCGCGCCTGAGTGGGCTGTATGCGCCTCCACCCGGCGCCCACATCCTTGCTTCACTACCTCCACCTCGACACGGCCCGCAAGGCGAGACGCGCCTTAGCTGCCGGACACTCTGTCTGCCTCAAGAGCGCCCTGTGACCACACAGATGCTGCCGCAGCTGGCAGGAAGCGCCACCCTCGATCCCCTTCAGACGGCGGGCACGCACGCGCGTGCGGTTCTCCGACCAGAGCTTGTGTCAAGCATCTACGTTCAGCACTCCTCAGGCACTCAAGCCGGCAGCGCTCTCCGTTCGCTGGAAGGTACGTCGGTTCAGCTAGCCGGCAGACACGGTCGCCCTCCTTCGTCAGCGTGCGTCCACACGCTTCCCGGAGCTGCTCATCATCCTGGCCGCAATCTGGGCTGCGTCTTCCTTGAGCACAGCACGACAGGAAGGAGCGTGCAACGGTGCGGCCCACGCCGACTGGCCGGGGTCATCGACTTCATGCTCTCCACTGACGGCGACGCACGCGCATACGCTCCCTCGCCGCAGCTCGCTCCTGAAGCTGGCCAGCTGCACATGCTGAGGGCATCGAATCGCGTGTGACGGACGTAGCGCCAGCGGGTGAGCCACGTCATTCGCCCACTCGCCGCTCACGACGCACAGGTGCATCGCCCACCGCGGCATGCCGTCAGGGCTGGGCGCTCTTCACCATACTGCCAGCACTTCGCGACCGCTTCCATCCTGCTGCGCTAGCCTGCTCACGCTCAGGCTTGGTGACCGCCTCCAGTCCTCGCTTACACTCTGCGCCGAGGCCGCAGCGCGCGCTGCACCTCACCGAGACCACGCCGCAGCGCAGCGCTCTGCGACCCTGCCGTGCTCTCGTTCCGCAAGACCAAGGACATGAAGGCGTTCGCCTTCGAGATGAGGCCGGCTGTGCCGCGCCAGTCGTCCAGCGACGCCGGACCCGACAGGTCCTCGGCTCGCCGCCAGGAGCGTGCCTCGGGCTTCTGGCTACTGAACGTTTTGCCGCGCCCCCTCGCCCGCTCGGCCCGCCTGCTCTGCACCGCCTCATCGTCTGTGGCTGCCTCACTCCTCCACACGCTTCGCTCTCGCCACACCCTCCCGTCGCATCTGTACTCATACTCAACGTCCCGCGCATGCGACTCGTCACCTCACGCGCAGCGGTTGTGCACGTCGCTGGCAGACAGCGACCCTCGCGTCCTGACGCTGTGGTGCACGTGCGAAGGCTGCGCGGCTGCGACGCATCATGAGACGGCCGGGGACACTTGCATTGAGTGACGCGAGGGCATTTCTTGCGCAGGCGAGCTTCCGGGACACGATGAGATGACGCAACGCTCGCGTGAAGCGTCCGAGCTATGTAGGACGGCCTGGCACGTCGGGAGTCTCGTTGGGCGATCGCAGGCAGCGCAAACGCGACAAGTGCTGCATTGGCAAGCGCGCGGCGCATCTGGCATCAATTCGGCGCACAGCGCGCCTCTGTACGCGCGTGTCAAAGCTTAATTTCGACCTCGAGAACTCCCCCGCGCATTCTGACGCTCAGACCGCGCAACCGCATCGGACACGCTTGAGCTGCGCTGCTGCGGTGGCACTCTGCCGCAGGATTGGGCCTTCGGTTGAACACAGTGGCGCCGCTTACGCGAGCTGCTCAGGCATGGCTAAGCGAGGAGACGCCGACAGGCTGCTCTTGCGGCCTGACGGACGTAGGGGGGCTACGCCCGATGTGCAGCTCAGCCTGGAGCTCGCGCCTGGGCCACACACTGCCGGGGCGTGCTGCCTGAGGTCTGGCACAGAGGTTCGAGGCCACGAGGAGCGACTACGAAGCACGCGCTGACACTCGCGTCGTCCTGGCTGCTGCGTCGCCCGCCAGCCGTTGGCTGACAGAGCGGGGGGAGGTGTACGCAGAGTCTCTGCGTGGCGCTATCACACCGCGGCATGCACCTCCAGTGAGAGCATGAAGCAAGACTGCGGCCGCCGCCAGCGTCGCAGGAAGACCACCCGAGGCTACACCGAGAGGCACAGCGTTAGGCAACAGACGTAGCGGAGACCGGAGGCAGTCAGGTTGACTAGCGACCTGGAGGCTCTGTGGACGCCTGACAGCAACAAGGCGAGACTGCGACTGTGCTGAGGCCCTCATCACCAGCGTACGCGCGCTGCACACGCGCCAGTGCGCTGTGGGAGGCAGGCGGGCGGCGCAGGCGAGACACCGAGCCGAGCGGCAGCGGGCGCAGACACGGCGGCGCGCGGCGGCGGAGGGCGGACGCGACGCGCGCGCTGTTCCCACGCCGGAGGTCACGTGCGCGGGCCGCGGCGGTCCGTGCGCCGCGAGGGCGGAGCCCCGCAAGGCGCGACCTCGACGCGGCGCGTCAAGGTGCGTGTTGCCGACGCCAGGCCTCGATGCCTCCCACCACCACCATCCGCCACCACCCACCCACCCATCCACCAGCATGCCCCCGAAGAAGGTCACGAGCGGCGGCAAGAAGGGCAAGGTGTGAGTGTGCCTGCTTGGGATGCGCGCGCCTCTCCGGCTGACCCGCCGCGCAGCTCGCCCTACAACGCGTACATGAAGCGCGAGCTCGCCAAGCTCAAGGAGAGCAAGCCGGACATGGCACACAAGGTGCGTCGCGGATGATGTGCTGGCGTCGGATGGGGCGCGCATGGATGGCGCTGGATGGGGCGCGGCTGCCGCTTGGGTACGTGACTAACGCCTGCCTGCCCTGCAGGACCGCTTCTCTGCCGTCGCCAAGCAGTGGGCGACCGCGCCGGAGAACCCGAAGGTGAGGCGCGCGCACGTCGTCGTCAGCCCCGAGCTGACCGTCTGCGCAGAACAAGGCCTAGGCACGCGTCTCTTCCCCTCTCGACGCGCTCTTCGTCGTGAGTGGCATGCGACGCTTGCCAGCGCAGCACCGGCTCACTCCGCACGGCAGGCTGGACCACACCGCCGTGCCATTGCTGGCGTGCGCACCTCCTTTCCCCATCCCGCCGTCCTCCTTCCGACCGTCGCCGTGCCGCGGTCTGCCGGTCTGGGCGTGCTCGTTTGTGTACACTAGTTACCATCACAGGCGCCTGAAGGATCCATATGCCCCTCTGCTCGATGCTGGCCGGCCTGGCACGCTGCAGCGCTGCTCTCTGAGGCGCGGCGCATGGTGTTGATCGAGACGCGCCAGCATGACCGTCGTCCGTCGTCGTTCCGGCCGCCCAGGAGGCACAGAGCGCACATCCTGAACGGCTCGCTCGGCCATCCATCCGCTCACAGCCAGCACGCCGAGCACGCCCGACTCGGTCTCAGCTCTGCAGACGGGGCGCGTGGACGAGGGGCTGGCGTACGCGGTGGAGACTCCCGCGCCTCGGCTCACCTGGTGGCTGCCACGCTCTCTCCGTCTTGGACAGACGCACGCCTGGTGTGATGTGTGGCCGTCGACGTCGTCCGACTCGACTGCAAGAGGCCGAAGGCTGCGGCAGCAGGTGCAGGTGTCACCCTGACGCGACGCGGCGCACGGTGACGCGCCCCCGACGCCTCCACACGGACGCTGACCGAGCCGCAGCTGACGACGCAGCTTGCGTCCGCACCACCACCACAACCGTCGCTCGACCCGCAAGCATGGACACGATCGTCGTGAGCTGCTCGGAACGTGTGTCGGCGCGCGGAAGAGCTGATTCCGCCGCTCCAGCCCGGCGCGCTTGCGGCCTTCACCGTCGACACGCTCGTCTACCCGCTCGACACCATCAAGACGCGCGTACAGGCCACGGACTACGCCGAGCGCTTCCCCGGGCGCAAGGGCTTGTACACGGGCCTCTGGAACGGCCTCGGCCCCGTCATCCTGGTCACGCTGCCGTCGGGTGCGTGGCCTCGTGCTCGCCGTGTGCTCGCCGTGCTCACCCACTGCCTGGCAGCGGCCCTCTTCTTCACGTGCTACGAGGGCGGCAAGGCGGCCTTCACCTCGCCGTCGCTGCCGCTCGTCGGTCACCTGACCTCGCAGCCAGGCAACGCACAGGCCGTCGCGCACTCGCTGGCTGGCGCACTCGCCGAGCTTGCGTCCTGCGCGCTGCTGGCGCCGGCCGAGCTTGTCAAACAACGGCGGCAGGTCGCCGTGGCATCGACGTCAAACGCCTCGCCGGTCAAGGTGGTCGCCCAGACGCTGCGTGAGCAGTCGCGGACGCTGTGGAAGAGCTATCTTGCGCTCGCTGGACGTAATCTGCCCTTGTGAGCAAGACAAGAGCTCACATGCCCATCTGCGCTGACGATGCGCGCCCCAGCACGGCGCTGCAGTTCCCGCTCTACGAGCACACACGACACCGCCTCGCCACGGCTGTGGGCCTGCCGGAGCGGGGCTCAGGGCCGGGCGCTCGCGCAAAGGCCAAGCCTACAGACGGCATCGCGTCGCGATCCCGGGCCATCGACGCAGAGACAGAAGCTGCGCGAGCCGCTGCGCTACGCAAGATGCGCCTCGGCCCCAACGCATCTGCCGCAGATGCACCAAGCCACGAGGGCGTGGCGCACTACTACCTCAAGGCCGGCCTCGTCAGCGGCAGCAGCGCCGCGCTGGCCGGCAGCATCGCCGCGCTCGTCACGACGCCGCTGGACGTCGCCAAGACGCGCATCATGCTGCACTCGACGACCAAGGCGGCATCGACGTCGGACTACAACCCGTCGACGCAGGGCGTGCTCAAGCTGCTGGCCCGTATCGCGCGCGAGGAGGGCCCCAAGGCGCTTTTCCGCGGCGGCGCTCTCCGCTGCGCCTGGACGGCGCTCGGGGCGGGCATCTACCTGGGCTCGTACGAGACGGGTCGCGAGTGGTGGCGCGAGAGCGGACGGCAGCAGGCCGCGGCGGTGGTGCATGAGGTCGAGGAGACGGTCGAGACCCTGACGCAATCATGACCACTGCTCCTCGCACGCCCCTGTGACACTCTGGCCCGGCAGCATGCCGCTGAGGCCCCGCTTGACCCAGCACTCGGCTGCGGCAGGCTGTGCACGACCTGCGCCGTCTCAGCCTTGATGGCCGCCAGCACCCACTTGCCGGACTTCTTCAGCGAGGCGGATGTAGCTGCGCTGCAGCTCGCAAGGGCATCATGCTGGACGCGCGCTTGCTGCACGCCGGCCCGTGCGCTGCGAGGCGCGCGCTACTGCAGCCGAGGCCGCTCTCTTGAGCACGCTTCGTTCCGCGCAGACGCAGCGGGCGAATGGCGACTGCCACTCGCTGCCGCTAGTCGATGCCGAATCTGACTGATGACGCTCAGGGTGCCATCCTTGTTCATTTGCCATCTGCCAGCATGCCAGATGCAGCGCTTAGGGGCTGCGTGGACTGGCAGCGTCGCTGCAACCCGTGGCCTTCGCAAGAGGGAGAGACGCAGCTGTTGAGCGCTCAACATCGCCTCTCACCACCACGCAAGCAAGACGATGCTACGCTTCACGTTCGGATGCGCGCTCGCGTTCGCCGCAGCCGTCTCGGGCTGGTCGATGTCGGTGCCTCCGCCGCAGAGGGCGCTGGCAGTCCCGAGCTCGCCAGTCCGGCTGCTATATCAGAACGACCTCTCATCCACTCTTGCGGCTGGCTGGCTCTTCCTCCCCACGCCGGTGCCGTCAAGTGGCGCAGCCGACGCATGCGCTCGCTTCTCCGAGTCCCTTGCTGCCGTGTCGACGGGCAAGTCCAAGGCTGTGAGCCACGACCTCCAGGCGCAGGTCGACTATCTGCTGCTCAACGGCGAGGCCCGCGCGGGCGACTCGTGGTGGATCGCCAAGTGGCAGGTGCTTGTCATTGAGCGACCCGGCAAGGCCTCGGTCAAGGCTGCACCACAGGACAGCCCGAGGGGGGTCCTGTGCACCAACACGGCACCACGGACGTCGGGAAACGCCACCGACTCGAGCGAGCGCTGGCAGGTGTCGGGCCAGGGCTCCGATGTGAGCTGGACCGGGTGCGTCTGCAACGGCTGTGCAGTAGTGGCATTGGTGCTGACTGTGACGGGCGAACAGCTACCGAGACCGCTTCTCGTTTCGCTTCCACGCCGTGCCGTACGCCAGAGCAGAGCGCTTCAGCTACGCCATGCCGCTCTCTGACCGAGGCGTCGTCGCTGCGCTCGGCCAGGGCCGCTCGCGCCAGTGCCCGCAGACAGCGGGAACGACGTCGCCGTATGCCGAGGAGTGTCTGGTGGCGAACGTCTTCACGCCGTACCTGCCTGGCAGCTCCGTGCCCGTCGCACTCAAGCCCATCATGGTCTGGCTGCACGGCGGCGGGGTACGTCGCGCGCTGCGAAGGGCGATGGCGGCCACTGACTGTCGTCCTCCGGTGCTCAGTTCTCCTCTGGCTCCGGTCTCGACATTACGTTCGACGGAGGCGCGCTGTCGAGCCGTTCGGACGTCGTGCTGGTCTCTGTGCGTGCTCATCCGGGCGTTGCAGCTGGCCGACTACTGACCGAGCATGCAGCCCAACTATCGCCTGGGCAGCCTCGGCTTTCTCCCGGTTGACTCAAGCGCAAGAGGCAACTACGCGATTTCAGATATTATAGCGCTCCTGCAGTGGCTGCAGACGAACGGCCCGTCGTTCGGCGGCGATCCCTCACGAGTGACGCTCTTCGGGCAGTCTGCCGGCGCTCAGCTCGTGACCGCCCTCCTCTCGGCCCCGCGCGCAGCAGGCCTCTTCCACCGCGCGATCGTGCAGTCTGGCCGCCCGTCGGACAAGCAGAACGAGCTCTCGACGAGCGAGGCAGCTCGCGGTGCCGCTGACGCTGTCATCCAGGCGCTCGGCTGTGGGCCCGCCGCGGACAAGCTGGCATGTCTGAGGGCGCTGCCTGTGCAAGACTTCATGCGCAAGTCGCCATCGTTCAGCAGACCAGTCGTGGACGGCACGTATCTCACGACACCTCGGTTGGACGTCACGCGGCAGATGGGCAGCATCGTTGCTCGCGTCCCAGTGGTGGGTTGATGAGAAGCACTTGCCCAGCGTGTGCTGACCGCGGCGTCCGCCAGATCATCGGCTTCATGCGAGACGAGATGGCCAGCCTGGGCACGCTTGCGCGCTCCGGACAGTCCCTGGACCAGGCGCTGACAAGCGCCGGCATTCCGGCCGATCAGCGCCAAGCCGCAGCGCGTCAGCGGAGCGTCTTCCCCGACACGGTGCGCAACGCCTCGTTCACGATCCAGGTGAGCGCTGCGGAGATCGAGCGTGCCCCGACTCGCCTGACGCCGTGCTGTCATAGACCGACGTGCAGTCTGTTGCGCGATGCGGGCAGGAAGCGACCATTAAGGCCGCAGTGCAGAACGGCATCTTCCCGAACGTGTGGGCCTACACGCAGAATCAGCGTGCCCGGCAGATCCCCAACTACGGTAAGCAGAGAGGGTCAAGCGCACGCGGCAGCTGCTGACCGTTCTGCAGATCCCTGGGCTGTGTGTCAAGGCGACAAGAGCAAGCCGTACTACTACTGGTGCGCTGGCGCTGCGGAACGCCGACCCCAGAGCTGCTTCGCTGACCCGTGCCTGCCCTGCGGCAGCCACTCTGGCGACCTCCTGCCAACATTCGCAAGCGCGCGCTTTGCCTTCGGTCTGGCACCGCGCGATGGCGCCGACGTCGTGTGGGAGCAGGTGATGCTCGACTCCTGGGGCGCCTTCGCTCGTCAAGGCGACCCGCGCCCGACGGCCGCGTACCTGGCAGCCCGGCGCTACAGCACCGGCGCGCAGCTGTCGGGCGCAGGCGAGTGGCAGCCCGTGACGCCCGAGCGGCTGCAGCTGCTCAGCCTCGGCCCTGCGCCGCGTATGGTGGACCTGGCCCAGATGGCGGAGCAGTGCAACGCGCTGGGGCGCGACATCGACTACGTCTCGCGCGGCGGCTGATTGCAATGGATCGTCCTGCAGCATTTGAGCGGCTCTGCTTTGCGCTTCCGGCGACGAGGGTGGTGGTGCGGACGGCGGGGTGAAGCCGCATCGCTGAATGTCGGTCCGGCTTCCCCGCGTGCCGAGCATGGCGGACGCATGCTTCCGAGTTCCGCTAGCGCGGCACGGCGAGCGGAGAGCCTCGCAAAGCGCGCCGCTTTCAACGCACGCGCCGCGGACGCCCCGGACTCCCGCTCGGGCTGAGAGAGGCGCCGGATGCGCGGATCGCTGTCGCAGCGCGAGAAGCTCAGACCGCAGCAGCGATTGCATGCGGGCCTCAGTGCGGCGTCAGGCGTGGCTCGGTGCAGCAGAGGGTACAGCGCTGCTGGACGACGCCGGCCGCCGCCGCCGGCGCAGCGGCTCGGCGACACGGCAGCGCCGCGCTCCCATGCCGGCGCGAGTCTAGTCGAAGGCGCGCCCCGCGCCGCGTTACCCCGCAATCGCCGCGCGCCGCACTCTTTGCTCCTACCACCACTTGCCGCCTCCCTCCCGATCGCGCAGCCATGGCACCCGCAACGCCCCAGCAGAGCACAGAGAAGGCGCAGTCCGCGGCCCCGGCGCATCATGCCGCGCCCGTGGTGCCGCACTCGGCGCCCAAGGTGGACCCCGCCGTCGCCCTGGCTGTGCGCCGAGCGAAGCCGCCGCGCGCCAAGTTCTGGCGGCCGCTGCTGCGCATGGTGAGCACGCTGTCCTGCGCCGCAAGGGCGCACCTGATCGTCCGGATCCGCAGGTGATCTTCCACATCTACTTCCTGCCGCTCACCGTGGGCGTCGCGCTGCCGGCGCTCATTCTGAAGAACCTGCTGCCCTTTATGCGCACGCACCCGCAGTGGTCCTTCCTGCAGGCGCTCTCCGTGTCCGTGGTGCGCTGGGCGATGCACAACTTCATCGCCTTGCGCTTGCAGCCGATTGCGCCGCGCGAGGGTGGCTGGCGCGAGAGCCCTAACTTCCTCGCCGCGCTGCTTGTCACTCTCAACCTGTCCGGGCCGGGCGGCTTCGCGGCGGTCAGGCGCCCGCAGAAGGTGGTCAAGGCCGCCAAGAAGCAGACGCACGGCCACGACCGCGTCTGGATGGACGCGCCGCCGCTCGAGTACTTCCGCGGCCTTCTCACAATCCACTCGGGCTCGAGCAGCGCCATGGTCCGCAGCCCGACGTACACGGGCCCGCCGCTCGTTGACCCCAGCTGGGCCAAGGCGCGCACGCGGGCGTTCTGGTTCATGCGCAAGGCAGGCGAGGCCCCGCCGGAGCTGGACGGCAGCAAGCGCGACCGGCCTGTGATCCTGTACTTCCGTGAGTGGGCCGCCGGCTGGCGGCGAGCGTCGCTGACGGGGTGTATCTGGCGTAGACGGAGGCGCCGGCGTGACCTTCGCGGCCGGCGATATCTTCATGGGCCAGACGCTGGCGCGCAACCTGGCCAGCACGACGGGCATCGACGTCTTCTGTGAGTGTCTCTCTGATGCTGCCCCTTCACTCGCGCTGACGTGGCCTGGCAGCCGTCGACTACGCCCTTGCGCCACACGGCGCGTTCCCGATTCCGGTGACGCAGGCGCTGGCCGCCTGGCTGCACCTCCAGTCGATGGGCTATGCGCCTGACCAGATCTTCCTGGGCGGCGACTCGTTCGGCTCGCACCTTTCGCTCGCGCTCGAGCGCTACCTGCGCCTCGAGATGCCGGCACTGCACGGCGAGGGCCACTCGCAGAAGCCGCTGGGCATGATCCTGCTCTCGGTGAGTGCGCTGAAGTCCACAGACGAGGCTGTGCTGACAGCGCGCGCAGCCGTGGGTGTCGGCAGTGGACCAGCACTGGCCCTCGCGCGAGGACAACATCAAGTACGACATCATCACGCGCTCGTTCCCGATCTGGGGCCTCGACGCCATGCGTGTTGGGCCGAAGCACAAGCACCGCAACGGCACCCTCGCCAACCTTGAGAACCCCTGGATCTCACCCGTCAACCAGCCCAAGGAGGAGTACGCGCAGCACTGCCCGGCATTCGTGGCCAATGGCGCCCTGGGTGAGCTGCACGTGGCAGGCCGGCCGAGACGCATGCTGACGCAGTCGCACAGAGTGCCTGCTCGACGAGGGCAAGGAGTTCGTCAAGCGGTCGCGCAGCGCCGGCGCCGCCGTTGAATACGTCTGCGTGGTGCGTCACGCCCGGGACCTGCGGCATGCGAGCGCGCTGACACCGCATTCGCCAGGCCCTCGAGCCGCACGACTTCTTCACTATGAGCACGTCCGTGCAGGCCTCGCGCGGCGTGTACCGCAAGATCGGCACATGGGCGCGCAAGCTGCTCGACAATCGGCCGTACGAGCTCGCATGATTGCACAGGGACCCACACACGTCTTGCCACTTGCTTATTGCCATCGCTGCCTCTCCCGGGACCATCGGACACGCCTGCTGTGATCTCGCGAGCTCCGCAGGAGCAACGACGCCTGCACGCGCGACATGTGCAGGCACAGCGCGTCCGAGCAGCATCGTCAGAGTGAGTCTCATTTCGTGTGCGACGCCTCTGCCTCGGTTGTCGAGGCCCTGGCACGCCTCTGAGTACGGGCTGTCGTCCGTGAGCTGCTTGTTCTGGATCTGCGGCGACAAGCGTGAGCAGCCGCCGCGAGTCGTCAGCCAGTCTTCTCACCTCGTAGATCAAGTCGAAGTGGCTGCTGGGGTAGTCGAATTCGTCGCCGAGAGCCTTGGAGATGTCGCTGAGCGCCTGTGATCGGTGTCAGCGTGTGGCTCGCTCGGCAGTCCGCCGCGACTGACATCGTGCTCCCAGCAGAGCAGCACGTCCTTGCCGGAGCTGCTTGCGAACTTCTTGATCGACGAGGTCGCGCAGTCCGTGTCGTCGCGGTCGCACGAGTGGTCGATCTTGAGTCCGAGGTCTTGGCTGAGCGGCAGAACCTGCTCGAGCCTCGCATCAGCTCAGTACGCGGGCTTCGCACACGCTACGCACCGTCTGGTACGGGCGGTTGCGGGCGCCGGACTTCTTGTAGTCCTGCGTGATGATGTAGCCTGCGGACTGAGGGTCAGGGATGGGTGCAAGGGCTGCACGAACGGCACGCACCGATGTCGTAGCCGTTCGCCTTGGTGAACACGTTGCGCAGGCACTGTGCCCGGCTCATGCCCTTGCTGCTCAGGCCGGCTGCAGAGGAGATGTCTCAGCAGGCACTCGAGCGCATGAAGCTGCGTCGTGCTCACTCGTCGAGTCGTCCGCCGGCTTCTCTCCGTGCCGGATGAGGAACACGCGGTTCGAGTAGGCGTGCACGGCAGGCACAAGCGCCAGGGCGAGCAGGGTGGTGAGCTTCATGATTGCGGAGTCGATGGGTCGCATGCGCAGAGGCCGAGCTGGCGCTTTATGTATGCTGCAGCCCGCCCTGCTCTCGCCACTGGATGGCACATTGCTGCTGGGCGCGCAAGCATGATGACCTGCCGCCCTGAGGCTGCCTTCCGGCGCTGGCGGCAAGCTGGTCAGCCGGCGGCACACTGCCGCTGCGTACCGGCGGCTCAGGACCCCTCCGCGCTAGCGGCCGGGGGCGGAGCTCCGCACTCGCGCCTCGCTGCAGCTTGGCCGTCAGGGAACGTGTGGCGGACAAACGCGCGTGCTCACGCCGCGACAGGACCGAAGAAGCTCTCACTCCTCGCAGTCGTGCGGACGATTGAGTCCTGCCTGTGTCCTTCACGCCGGGGCCGACTGGCTGCTCGGACGCTCGGCGATCTTGCAGCCGGCTGCGGGTGCGCGCAGAGTCAGAGCGTAGGGGCGCGCGTACCGGCACCTCGTTCGGCGCTGTGAGAGCTGCCGCAGCCCCCCTCCTCTCCTTGCCTCTTGCTGCATCTGCGTCCGCTGTCTGCCTCAGCAGCGGAAACCTGCTCGTGGCTCCCCTAGCCATCGCGACCAAGAGCAGCTCATACGAATGCGAGTCAGAGTATAATGGAGTGCGGTACATCGTCAGGCGTCATGCTGGGCTCAGTCGGCGTCGTGGTCGTCGAGCTCAATGGGGAAGGAGAGGGACTGCTTCTTGCGGACGGTGCGCGCAAGCTTAGACTGTGAGCCGCCGGCTGAGACGCTGCTCTGACCAGCATCCTCGCTCTCCGTCGGGACAGCTCGCTTCGTGCCGGCCAGGTTGCCGAGAGGTGTCTCGCGTGCGGCACTGCTCGTTGGAGGAGTGGAGGAGGGGAGCCTGGACGAAGTAGCCTGGGTCTCGTCCGACTGCCAGGGGAGCACGCGCAGCACATGTCAGCCCTGTGGCAGCCAGACGTGTGACTGGCTCACTCACCGACAGAGCCTGTCGCTGTCGAGCAACGGCGGCCATGGCTGCACCCTGCTGCACCTCGGCAGGTGAGAGCAGCACCTCGCTCTCGTTCAGGCTGTCCATCGGCACATCGTCGCGCTCGGGCGGCTGCACCACGGCGCCGCCAGTCGCGGCTTGCGCCTCGCTCGCAGAGGACGCCTTGATTGCCGCGGTGGGGCCGGGCGAGCTGTGCTCCAGCGACTCGATCTCGTCTCCACCAGACTGCGTCGCGTCAGCAGAGCGGCAGGAGAGAAGCACGCGTCGCACGAACCGGATGCTCGACAAGGTCGTCCATGACGATGTCGTCGTCGTCGTGCGCTGCTTTCGGCAGGCACACGTTTTCCCAGCGAGCGAGAATGTCCGCCTCGACGCCAAGACCGGCAGTGAAGTACTGGCGGCGCTTCACGCGCATCTGGTCGAGCGTACGGACGACGGCGATGTCGTCCTGCTGCATCTTCTTGTGCGAGTTGGCCGAGCGTCGCGGATTGACGTAGAGGAAGCCCTCGGATGCACAGCGCTCGCGGATCTGTTTGGCTTGCTGAAGGCTGCAACCGATGCGCTTGGCGAATGGACCAGTGCCCGGCCAGCCGCCGCTCTTGCCTCCGCTGGCGCTGTCGTCGTAGAGCTTCGCCAGCGCCCGGCGCATGAGAGCTAGAGTCGCAAGCTCTGCCAGCGTGCTCTGCCGGTGCGCGTCCTGCTCGACGCTGTGTCGCGGATCGTTGCTGACGGCACAGGAGCTGGGAAGCGGTCAGCGATGCGAGATGATGGGGAGCTTCGGACTCACTAGCACTGCAGCACGGTCGGCAGCGAGTCATCCGTCATGTAGCCGTAGCAGCATGCGTGGACCTGAGCGATCTGTCAGCTTAGCGACGGTCTGATCGAGCATGGCTCAGAGCGCACCCAGTGGTCACAGACGTCGCAGCACAGCATCAGGCCGTCATCGACCTGATCGCCACAGTCGCACTCGACCGTGTCCTTCTTCTTGGCGCGCTGCGCTCGCTGTGAGGCGACCTTAGACGAGAGGACGCGCATGCTCTTGCTCGGCTGCGTGTCGGAGCTTGTAGATGATCCTGGTACTGGCGAAGGGCGCGTGGACTTCGCTCCGCGCATCGGCAGAGCTCTCACAGTGTCTTGACGAGTCTGTGAGCCGCCACCTGCTGGCGAAGAAGCGCGCGTCGTCGCAGTGCCAAGCGCCGGAGGGATGGACTGATGCGGCGGGGCATCCAAGCCCTCGTCTTGCTCCGCTATAGGCGTGGACACGCCGCGAGACGGGCGTCGAGACTCGTCTGGCGAAGTCGTCGCGTCGATGACTGCGTTTAGTCTGGCCGGCACGGGCAAGGGTCGCCGGCTGGAGCGACGCGTTGGAGTAAGCGGCGAGGCAGCGTCGGACTGCATCGCCTCGTCGATGAGAGCAAAGGGAAGCTGCGCCTCGACGTCCGAGGCCTGGGCGGCAGACGCGTTCGATGCCTCGTACAGAAGGGTGCCCGCCGCAGACGCAGTGTAGCCCGGACTCTGCACCTGTTGTGCGAGGTGTGAGTTGACCGTCTTGCCGCCTCGAGATTGACTGCTCACATGCTGCATCAGCGCTGCGTTAGTCGATCCCTCTTCGTCCCACTCCCGCCTGACCGCCTTGGCGATGAACGTCTCGAGCTGAAGGACGGGGTCATCAGAACGTGGCATCCACAGCGGCGTCCATGCAACTCACATCGCCAATGTCGTCACCTGCGCCCTCTGAGTCGCCCATCGCCCGTGCACTGGCGCGACGCATCGCTTCCTCGACGGCCGACGGCGGTACGGGACCGATGCCGCCGTTCGCCATCTTGAGACCAACTGGCATGCTACGGTCAGTACGTAGCAGGCCGACGCGCTCGTTGCGCATCCGAGCGTCGTCTTGGGCGTGTTGCTTGGTGGACGCTCCGACTCGGCCGACAGCACCGCGCTGATCGATATCCAGCTGGTCGTCGTCCGCGACCTGCTCCTCGGCATCCCATAGGACCACGCGCTCAGTAGCGCTTGCTCCCTGCGCCACAGCCTCGGAGCGGCGAGACGCCATGGCGCGTGATTCGCCCGGAGCCTGCATCACCTCGTCCGCAGGTGGGAGAAGGTGGGCAATCGAGGCAATGTGAATGCTCATCCTGCAGATCTGATGTGAGATTGTGCGCGACGATCGCGCGACAGCAAGCTCACCCGTGGTGGCCCGTGTCGAGGGCGCCGATGCGGACCTGAAGGACGATCAGCAGGCCGAAAGAGGACAGACCTGGATGGGCGGACGTACCTGATCTGCGCGCTCTCCCAGACCAGACGTGGCGAAGAGAAAGCGGTCCTGAATCGGGTCGGACGGCGAGAAGTTCTCGGGCTGCGGTTGAATGGGTGAGCGCCGGCTGAGCGGAGCTCGACGATGCACCCGCACCTCATAGTCATCGGGCGCCGTGCTGTTGTAAATAAGCTTGAGCGACCTGTGTGCCAGACTCGACGTTAGCTCGACATGGGCGCTGCGCAAGCGAAGACGAACAAATAGCGTCGACCTGCGAGAGTGCCGTATCAGCGGAGCGTAGCAGAGGGATGTCGCTGCTACACGCACGCGGCAGGTCCGTCAGCGATTGAGTCAGGGTGATGAGCGAGCGCACGATGGACTTGAGTCTTGTGAGCAGGCGCAGCTCGAGCTGCTCAGCGTGCAGCACTGACTTGCACGGCGGCGCGCACATCGCGGCACGATGGCATCGCCGCCTCGGCGTCGCTGTTGTAGATCGAGATGCCGCGCAGCTTGTCGACCATCTCCAGCACGGGAACCTTGCCGCTGCCGTCCTCGAGGGTCTTGTAGGAGAAGCTGCGGCGCGACAGAAGCTCAGCGCACCGTCTGGCGCTCGCTGCCTGAAGCACCCACTTGAACGTGTATGACTCGATCACATCGTTTGGCCGGGCAGGATCGAGCGAGAGCGCTAGGATGAGAGACGAGAGGTAGTTGCGCTCGAGGGCATCGGCGACGCCACCTTCGAGGTAGGAGAGAAGCTGGTCCGCCTCAGTGCTCCAGCCGCGGCGCAGCTTCTTCACCTGTGCAGCAAGGGTTCACGAAGCCGTCTGCGCACGATGCCGCGCACACGTACCTTGATGCTGCCGTCGCGCGGCGTCTTCTGCGGGTTGCCGTTGGCGTCCATCAGCGTGCGCGCCGAAGGCACGATAGCGTCCTCGAAGTTGCCCTCGGGAAAGAGGGCGCGCAGGTAGGTGAAGCAGGAGATCGACGTCTCGAGCAGCATGCGCACGGCCTGCATGCTGCTGGCGACCGTCAGCGACGCCTGGTCCTGCGCCTGTCGCTGAGCCGAGGTGGTGCGCTGCTGCTGGGCCGGAGGGCGCTGGCGCTGCGGGGGCTGGCGCTCAGCAGTGCGAGCCAGGCGCCGCAGGCGAGACTGACCTGCGCCTGGGCCATCGCGACAGATGCTTTACACGCTGAAGAGGTCAGTACATGCAGCCAGGAACGCCTCGCAACAGGGTTCTACGGCGCAATGCACCTCGCGCGACAGACCAAGTCAACTCAGGTGTGCGCCCGATCACAGCGCAGCGGCCGTGTCTGAGCTTGGAGAGTCAGACGAGCGAGGCGCCGCCGCCGTCGCAGGAGCGCGACGAACGAGAGCTAGTGCCGCGCAAGACGCAAGTGGGGCCACGAGCAAGATTACGAGTGCGAATGGATTGTGTGGGCAAACGGCGCGAGAGACGAGTGGCTGCGGAGGTGGTGGAGCGGAGGCAAGACGTGGTCGAGCGCACGGCGGGTGCAAGAGCGCGTCTCGCATGCCGCGCGCCGCTGCGTTCCCGCTCTCCTGCTGACAAGGCCTGCAAAAGGCGATGTATGCGCCTCTCCTCGCTTCTCAACAGCGGTCTCAGGCCCATGCTCACTCTCCCAGCCATAAGACAGCTGCCACGGAGGAGGCAGTGGCCGACGAGCTCTTCATCTGCGCGACGCTGACCCCTCTCGCACTGTTCCCACGCTCCCCGCTCTGACAGGCCAGGGTGGCCACCGGCGCTCGGGCCGGCGCGCAGCCGGCGTGCGGGGAATCGGGAGTCGCATGAGCGGCCGCAATCACGAGGCGGCCGCTGCGCGCTGAATGCTGCGATCTCACCTCGTCACTCCACCCCCGAATGCCGCTTCGGAGCCGCGTGGCGCTGCGAGAGGCTGCACTCAGACTGATGCTGAGCGGCTGGTGCGAGCCTCGCCTCTCTTTCTGCGCTGCTGCTGCCTCGGCTGCCAGAGCCGATCACGCCCCGAGCATCTGGAGCCGCCGCGCGGGTGGGACGTCCGGCGGCACCCCAGCGCCTGGTGCAACTCCGCGGAAGCGCGCTGCTCCGCGCCGTGCCGCCTCCGCCGCCGCTCGCTCGCTTGCTCCGCGCTTGCCTTCGCTCCCGTTCGGCAGCCGCCCGTCGACCTCATAAGGGCCGCCTCGCAGCACGGCTACCCCGCATCCGCCCACCACCATCTCCAGTGCTCAGCAGCGTCGAGCGACCTCTCCACCAGCGACACACCCGACCTCACAGCGCCACCTCGCCCTGCTCCTCCACCTTCGCTGCCGAGCATGCCGACTGCCACCACCGAGCAGCACGATGTGCTCATCATCGGCGCTGGCCTCAGCGGCATCAATGCCGCATACCGCGTGCAGACCGAGACGAAGCGCGACTACACGATCCTCGAGGGCCGCGCGAGCATGGGCGGCACCTGGGACCTCTTCCGCTACCCGGGCATCCGCTCGGACAGCGACATGAACACCTTCTCGCTGCCGTTCCGCGTCTGGCGCGACGCAAAGTCGCTCGCCGACGGGCCCGCGATCCTCGACTACATCAAGACGACGGCTGCCGAGTTTGGCATCGACCGGCACATCAGATACAACACAAAGGTGAAGGCGCTCAGCTGGGATTCGAGCACCAGCCGCTGGACCGTCACCGTCGAGACGAACGGGCAGACGCAGCAGCTCGTCGCGCGCTGGGTGCTCAGTGCCAGCGGCTACTACCGCTACGACGCAGGCTACCTGCCCGAGTTCCCCGGCCGCGCGAGCTTCAAGGGGCCCGTCGTGCACCCGCAGGCATGGTGAGTGTCTCGCAGTGCGTGTGTCAAGGCACGTGCACTGACTCTGTACAGGCCCGAGGATCTTGACTACAAGGACAAGCGCGTCGCCGTCATTGGCAGCGGCGCCACCGCCATCACGCTCGTGCCCGCTATGCTCGAGCGCGGCGCTGCGCACATGACTATGATCCAGCGCAGCCCGAGTGAGTCCTCCGCCCTGCAGGACCTCCACCGCTGCCGTTGCTGACGCACGATCGCGCAGGCTACTACATGATGCTCAACAGAGAGGACACGTTCTCGCGCGTCGTGCGCAACACGCTGCCTGAGGGCTTCGCGCACACGCTGCTGCGCTTCCTCTACGCGGCACGCACGCTGCTCTTCTTCTTTGCCTGCCAGGCGTTCCCCAAGTTCTTCCGCGGCGTGCTGCAGGGCATGGCCGCCAAGCAGCTGCCCAAGAGCATTCCTGTGGACCCTCACTTTACGCCAAGCTACAACCCATGGGACCAGCGGGTGAGTCGTGCGCGTCGTGTGAGGAGAGCGCGCGTGAGGCTGACGGACACGCCGCTCACAGCTGTGCGTGGCGCCGGGCGGCGACCTGTTCGAGTGCCTGCGCTCGGGCAAGGCGGACATGGTCACGGGCCACATCGAGCACTTCACCGACAAGGGCATCCTCATGAAGGACGGGCAGCACGTCAACGCCGACATCATCGTGACCGCCACCGGGCTGCAGATGGAGCTGCTCAGCGACATTACGATCACCGTCGACGGCGAGCTCGTCAAGCTCGGCGAGCGCTACGCGTGGCAGGGCCAGCTCCTCGAGGGCGTGCCGAACCTCTCGATCATCATCGGCTACAGCAACCTGTCCTGGACCTGCGGCTCGTGAGTCTGGCCACGCTTGCCTCTCGGCACCCGACGCTGACCCTGTTTGCCTGCTTGCAGCGATGTGTGCGCGCGCATGGTCTGCAAGCTCATCAACGAGCAGGACAAGACGGGCAAGGACGTGACTGTGCCCGAGGCGGACAGGACCCAGCTGCAGCCCAAGCAAATCATGAGCCTGAGGTGAGTGCTTGCGACAGAGCAGACCACCTCTGGGCTTCGGCGCTGACGCCGGCGTCGCTCTACAGCTCGGGCTACTTCCAGCGCGCCAAGGGCCGCATCCCGATGGCAGGCAACAAGGCGCCGTGGGCGCCGCGCGAGAACTACTTCCGCGACCTCTTCGCCCTGTACTTTGGAAGCACCCGCGACTCGCTGCGCTCGTATGCCTCGGGCACCGCGCGTCCCGTCAGTGCGGCCGCCAAGAAGACACAGTAGGGCATGCGCCGAGCCCTGCTGTGCTTCTGCGCCACGTCACCGTCCCCTGATCCTCACTTATCGCTCGCGGCTGCTCTAGACGTGCTTAATCATCAGTTGCGCTACACATCAGCCTGCAGAGACCTTGCGAGCACGTTTCTCTGCCTTGGACAGCTTGCGCGGCCGCGCGTCGACGTCGTCCGCCTCCTTGCGCTTGCGGCTGCCCGCGTTCGGCAGCGCCATGTCGGTGGCCGGGTCCGGCGGTGCGCCTGTACTGTGCACGGGCGCAGCGAGCGGCACGTCGATGCCGGGTATTGCGCTCGCGCCGAGCTCGGGCTTGGAGAGGATGCCGCGATAGGTCTTGCGCGTCTCTGCGCCGGCGTGAGGGTCTCGTCAGTCGCGCATGAGAGACACAGCGTGTAGCGCAACGCACCGGCGCGAATCAGAAGCGAGCGAGCCGTCGAGGTGATGCAGTCTCGTGCCGCCTGAGGCGAGAGCCCGAAGAGAGATGCGCTGAGGTGTGCACGGCTAAGCAAGCGCAGCGTGAAGAACCAGCACGCGGCGCACTCACAGGTTCATCACATCGTTCGGCCCGCGGACGCCCAGCAGCTCGGAAGCCGCACTACTGAGGATGATGCCCTTGCCGCCGGTGATGCGGATGAGGTCCCGGCCCGCGCTCACGATGTTGCGCCTCCGCCGCCCGTCCTCGTCGTCGAGCATCGCGGTGTACGCGATCTCGAACACAGCGCCATTCTCGAGCGCATTTGAGACCGTTGAGCGCTTCAGGTGGAACGGCAGACGCGACGACGCCGACAGGTCGAGCGCGATGATGTCAATCGACATGGGCTTGAGCTCGGTGAGCGTGAGGCACGCAAGCGAGAAGGTGGCTTCCGTCGTCGGCATCACGGAGAGGAGATCCCACGAGAGCAGCGACATGGTGGCCGACGAGATCTGCGTGCTTGCGTTAGCGTCTGCAGCATCACATGCGCGCTTGACCATAGACAGCCGAGGACCCGACACAGGCTGGAATGGGCACCGAGCGGCTCAATTGCGCCATTGCCGCGGGCCGGGGTCTCGCTGCCACTTCGTCCCACCAGACAGCATCAGCAGCCGCAACTCACCAGGCCGAGGCCCTTGCCCTTCATGGTCTCGTCGTCGAGCGTGATGGTGAGGCGCTGTAGCTGCGCGATGCTAGCCTCACGCTCCTTACCCTTCGCGGTGCCGCTGCTTCTCGGGGCTAGCTCCGGGAAGACGGGCCGGCTGCGCTCGCCGAGCGTGGCGGCGGCGGTCGCAAAGGGGTTGACCTGGCCGGAGTAGCGCGTGTTCACGACGTGGTTGAACGCAACGGTCGAGAAGCCAACTGAAATGCGGCAGGAGTGAGCTCGGGCGGACAAGCACTGGGCGGTCGATCTGCCGACGTATGCCCTGGCGCAGTCGCACCGGCACTCGGCGCTCTCCCGTGCCTGCTTCGCATCGAGAGGCCCCGGCACTGCTGCTGTGCACTCACGCTCCGCCATGTCCGCAGTCAGTGCATGCAGCCGCCGGTGCTGCTCAGACGAGAGTGCCGCCAGAGCATCGTGCTCGGCCGGCGCGGCAGAGGCAGCACCACCAGGCAGCTCCTTCTCCTTTCCCTTTCCCTTGCCCTTGCCCTTCGCTGCAGCTCCCGCTGCGCCCTGGCCCGAGCGAGAGGAGGAGGCCGCGGGGAACGAGGCGCTGGCTGGGAAGCTCAGCGAGAGATCGTGGTACATCGTCGGCGCTCCAGCAGGCGCTGTGTCTCGCTGACTGGCGAAAGGCGTTGAGACAAGGAGTGCAGACGAAGCGCGAGCCTTGTGCTTGTTGCTCGCGGGCCCACAAGCGGCTGTGATGACGGGCAGGGATGATGGCCGGAAGCGTGGTGTGCGCCAGCCTGCGGGCGAAGAAGCAATGCGGCGCGTCATCGCGGGACTCGGGCTCGCCGCTGTCGCCCCTTCTTCGCTCAGCCGTCCATTGCACGCACTTGCCCGATGCGTTGGGACAGCAGCGCCATTGAGCCGCAGACGATGCATCTGAGATTTCAGTGAGCACCACGGCATCCTCGCATGCTGCTTGCTACGAAGAGGCTTTGCGGCAAGCGGTCCTGCCCGGCGGCAGCAGGCCGCGCGCGTTGTATTCCGCCCGCGGCTTCTTGTATTCAGAACCGTGCAGTTTGCTAATCGGCCTGCAGCTTGCTGGATTTTGCACCTCGCTGCCTAGTGCGCGGGCGCCTTCTCCGTCGCGATCCGGCCTCGCCTTCGCTTCTTCCGCCTCCACCCCTCGAACCACTCCTCGGCCAGAGCCAGCTCGCCGCCATGTCTCGCCTGCTGCGCCCATCACTGCGTCACCTCGCCGCCCGCTCGCTGCAGTCGCGCGCCGCATCGTCGTCTGCCTCGGGCACGGCGGCCGCGGGCGAGGCCGCCTCTTCGCGCTTTGACGGCGCCGCCCCTGCACCTTCCTCGAGCACCTCGGCCTGGGCACCCGCTCTGCCCCGCGGCACCGAGCCGGCGTACGACGAGGCGCTGGAGTTCCTCGCCGCGCACCGCAAGAAGCTGGCGGGCCGTGTCGAGGAGCTGCGGCAACAGGCCGCCGGCGTGACGGATGCCGAGGAGCAGAAGCGCCTCGCCGCCGTCATTCGCAGCGCAGAGGTGGCGCGCGACGTCAACGACCCCGAGACGCGCATGCGCTTCCAGACTCAGGAGGGTGAGTGGCGCGTTGACTGGCTGCGCCCGATGCCCAGGCTCACTGTGCGGCCTTCGTGCGAGCAGTGCCGCTCTCCGAGCCCGTGTTCCTGCATCTGCACCAGAAGTTCTGGCAGTCTGGCCCCCTGCCGCGCCTGCTCGAGCGCGCTCGCACCATGTCTGTGATCCCCGACGTTGTGCCGCAGCTGACGGCGCAAGTCGACCTGCGGCTGGCATTCGGCCAGGGCAGCGGCTACACGGACCACGAAGCGGGCGGCGGCGACGTCCTGGCTGGCGTGCATGTGCCGGTGTCGGCGGTGAGTCTGCTCCGTGCCACGCCTGACCTTCAGGGCCTGCTGAGCTGACGGCCATCTGCTAGACCGCCACCGAGCCGACAATCACGGCTGTGCCGTTCCACACCGAGGAGCGGCTGTACACCGTGGCCCTGATCGATGCAGACGCGCCGGATGCGCAGGCACAGCGCTACACCTCGTGGTGCCACTGGCTCGCGTGAGTAGCCGCTGGCCGTCCGATTTGCGCCTGCCGCGTTGCTGACACGCATGCGCAGGACCGATGTGCCGCTCTCCGCAACGCGCACGAGCATCACGGTGGACGCCGGCCGTACTCTGCTGCCCTACGTGCCCGCGCACCCGGCGCGCGGCACGGACGCGCACCGCATGACGCTTGTGCTCGTCTCTCAGGAGGCTGACTCGGCAGCCTCGCCGGCTGCCCCTTCGCGCGAGGGCTTCTCCCTTGCGGCGTGGCTGGAACAGGCGCGCGGCGAGGCGGTTGGCCTGGCCTTCTGGCGGTCCAAGTGGGCGGAGGCAGACGCCGCAGCCGTCAGCCAGGTGTGGAGCACGTACCGGAAGGGTGAGTAGCGCAGGAACGCACGTCAGCCTCGAGGTGTGCTCACACGGACCTGTCTCAGACGAGGCCGAGCCGACATACGGCAAGCCGCCGCGCCAGAGCGAGTACGAGGCGGTCGACGGAAGCCGGCCATCGCGGTATTTCTAGACGCAGAGAGCGAAATGGCAATCATGCGAGGCAAGATCAGACGCAAGGCACAGCCTTCGGCGCTGGTGCTACAAGGTGCCCACGCGCTTCCGTGCATCTGCACCCCGCGCCGGCCCCGCATCTGGCAGCGTGTGCGAGCTGATCAGCGTTCGATGCATTGCGATGGTCACATTTTGTTCGTCTCTGCACGCCGCTCATGCCGGCACAGCGCCGACCGGACTGGCGCACGGCGGCGGCGGCGGCTTGGACGTGTCGACCTTGGGCAGCGACAGCTTGCCGATCTGGAAGTAGTCGTCGTGGATGTCGAAGAATGTCTGCGGAGGGCGTGTGAGCTCTGCGGCACTGTGGCATGCGCTCCGGCACACTCACCCGCCAGTCGAGAAGCGCCTGGCAGAAGCAACACTGGGTCAGCGACGCACATGGCACAGCCTGCGCAGCGCACTCACACGCAGCTCCTCGCCCTTGAGCCCACGCACGTCGTGCGTCAGGTGGCCGCTCTTCTTGGAGAAGCAGCCCGTGACGTACGCGCGGCTCGCGTCCCGGCCCGCGAAGAAGTCGTACGGCCCGCCAGGCCCGTAGATGCGCCGTCCCTTGGTCACATCGTAGACCTGTCCCATGATCGAGAGCTGGCAGGGAACACGTGAGCATTGCGGCGCGCGGTGTCATGCAAGCCACTGCACTCACATAGATCGGTCGCGTCTTGTCCGTGCCGTCGTACAGAGCGAGCTCGGCCGGCGTAAACTGGCGCTGCGGCGGCTGGTGGCAGGCGTGAGCTAGAGGCGCCAGCTGATGAGGCGCGGTGCGAGCCGGAGCTCTAGCCAGTGCGCAGTGAGGCCCTACGAGCTCGACAGGTGCAGGGACGGCATGCAGGTAGTCGCCGCCGAAGGCTCCGTTGCCACCCCTCGCGCAGCCGATACACCTCAACGCCGCGTGACGCTGCACTCACCGGAAACCAGTAATGCTTCTTGACGTACTTGCCGCGGTAGCCCCAGATCGGATCGCCGGCGACAAACTGGCCGCCGGCGATGGCGAGCAGCAGCGCCACGACGCTCCACTTGAGGATGCGTGCGGCGAGGCTGCGCTGTGGCGCGCCGGCCTGCTGCTGCGCGGCCTCGGCGGCGCCGCGGGCCGCCTGCGAGTTGCGGTGCGCCAGGAAGGGCGCGTTGGCCTTCTTCTTGGGCACGCTGCGGCCGGGCGTGGACGGGTCGTCAACGAGCTGCGGGGCGGCGTCGGACATGCTGATGAGGTGTCGAGGAGGGGAAGAAGGCGCCGGCATGGCCTGAGCCGTGCGCGCACGTCACCCTGAGCACGGCACCGCGCGCCGATTCTTCTGGCGCCTTGCTCACGCGTGCACTCTACGCGTGCCTTTGCGGCACGCGCCGTGACGCGCGCCGGCGAGAAGCACACACACGCGCGCAGCGGGCAGAGCCTCGCCCCTGCTCCTCTCTCCACTCCCCGCTCCCTCTCTTGCACCTGCCGCCTGCCACCACTTGCTCGCGCTCACGACCTCAGCGCCGCCGATCCGTTTCCTTCGTGCTCTCCGCCGCAGACTGCTGCATCTCCTCGCGCCTCCATCGACATGGCGTCTGCTGCTACGCTGCCCGCCGCACGCCCGCCGCCGCGCGACCTTGACGCACACGACAAGCTCGCGCTCGATGTCGAGGGCGATGCTGATCTGGACCGCGCCATTGCTGCGTTCGACGAGTCTACGTGAGTGCCATGCCTGTGAACAGGACGTGCGGGCGCCGGAGCAGAAGCGAGCATGCCTCTCCGGCGCAAGCATGTCCACACGCGGGCGTGTACTACTGTCTGCTGACACGGCTCCGCCACCCCAGCATGGACTCGGCCGATCCGATGGTCGTCATGTCCTACTACCGGCACCTGCTGCCCTTCCGGCAGCTCTTCACCTGGCTCAACCGCGCCTCGGGCTCGGCGCCCTCGCGCAACTTTACGCACCGCGAGTTTGCCTTTACGCTGCAGAACGAGGCATATCTGCGCTACAACTCCTTTGGCACATGGGAGGAGCTGCGCAAGGAGGTGCTGCGTCTGAACCCGGCGCGTTTCGAGATCGGTCCAGTCTACACGGCAAAGGTGCGTCGCAGCACCGCGTGCTGGCGAGGCGGCGAGGAGGCTCGCTCTGCTCACGCCGTCGCCTGCAGCCCAAAGACCGCAAGACGGTGCAAAAGACGTCGTTCAAGCCCGTGTCGCGCGAGTTTGTGCTCGACATTGACATGACCGACTACGACGAGATCCGCACGTGCTGCTCGGGCAAGGGCATCTGCCGCCGCTGCTGGGCCTTCATTGCCGTCGCCGTCGAGGTGCTCGACGCTGCGCTGCGCACCGACTTTGGCTTCCGGCATCTGCTCTGGGTCTATTCCGGCCGGCGAGGCATCCATTGCTGGATCTCGGATGAGGAGGCATGCGCGCTGCCGGACGACGCGCGCAAGGCGATCGTGGGCTGGCTGGAGGTGATCAAGGGCGGAGCCTCGGCGGTGAAGAAGGTGGACGTCGGCAGCGGAGGCACAAGCGGACGCAACCTGCATCCCTCGCTGCGCCGCGCTCTTGGCGGCGAGGGGCCAGGCGGGGCATCCGGCCCGCTCAAGCGCGCCTTTGTCGACATCATCCTCACCGACCAGGAGTGCTTCCGCTCGGCTGAGGGATACAACCGCCTGCTGGCCCTGCTGCCTGCCAGCGAGCAGGAGGCCGTCTCGAAGCTGCGGAGCAAGTGGGACGCCTCGCCGAGCCGCTCATCGCTCGACAAGTGGCAGGACGTCATGGACTGTGCGAACCGCGCCGGCGAGCTGCGGTCACGCACGACGTGGCGCCCGGCGATGGAGGACATCGTCCTGCAGTACACGTACCCGCGTATCGACGCCGAAGTCTCGAAGCACATGAACCACTTGCTCAAGGCGCCGTTCGTCGTGCACCCGGGCACTGGCCGCGTGTGCGTGCCCGTCGACCCGGCCAAGGTGCACGCATTCGACCCGCAGCGCGACGCCCCGACGGTGGCGCAGCTCTTCAAGGACCTCAATCGCAGCCGCGCGCAGGAGGGCCAGGGCTGGGAGAAGACGGGCCTCAAGCCGTTTGTGCAGATGCTCGAGAAGCACTGCAAGGGCGTGGCGGACGAGGCACGGGTACGCAACCGAGCCAAGGGTGAGTGACACGTTTGCTTCAACGTGAACTATGCGCTGACTCGCCTCGCAGGACTCGACCAGATGGACTTCTGAGCGGCATCGCTGGGGCTCGCCCCTTGCGGCCGCGCTCCTTACTCGCGCCTCGGCTCTCTTCACCTTGTACTTTAGCGCATCCGCAGGCATTTGACGTGCAGTGAACGTGCGTGGCGTGATCAAGCGCAATCGGGCGCAGTGCGAGACGGGCCAGCGCGAGCAAGGCGACTCCGACGGCCCTGTGTGCATCACACGTGTCTCATTGCCGAGCAGCTGCCGCGCGAGTGCACCGTCCCTCACTTGCCCCACACCATCAGCTTGTCGCTCTGGTACTCGGCAATGCCGTCCCGTCCGCCCTCGCGGCCGAAGCCGCTGAAGCCGACGCCGCCGAAGGGCACCGTGTTCTGCGAGATGATGGCCGTGTTGATGCCGACCATGCCCACCTGCAGTGCCTCGGCGACGCGCCATGCGCGCGAGACGTTCTCCGTGTAGAAGTAGCCCGCCAGGCCGACGTCGACGTCATTGGCCTGCTTGACGACGTCCTCCTCCGAGGTGAACTTGTAGAGCGCGGCGACGGGCCCGAACGTCTCCTCGTCGTCCATGGGCTGTAGGGCAGCGGTGAGCAGGACGCACTAGCGGGGCTCTCGGGCAACTCACGCAGCTGGCCGGCAGGTCCGCGAGCACCGTCGGCTCGAAGAAGAAGCCCTCGCCCTTCTTGCCGCCGACGAGCACCTTGGCGCCGCCCTTGACGCAGTCGTCGACGTGCTTCTGCACCTTGTCCACGCCCATCTGGTTCACCAGCGGCCCGTGCGTCACGCCCTCCTGCATGCCGTAGCCGACGACGAGCGCGTCGACCTTCTTCGCGAACTTGGACGAGAACTCGGCGTAGATGTCCTCGTGCACGACTGTGGGCGTGTGAGCTGGAGTGCGCGGCAGAGAGCGTATGGGTCACGCACAGATGCGGTTGGCGCAGATGCACGTCTGGCCGGAGCCGCGCAGCTTGCATGCCAGCGCGCCCTCGACGGCCTTGTCCACGTCGGCGTCGGCGAAGACGATGAACGGCGCGTTGCCGCCGCTGCAGGCGGATGTCAGCATGTTTGCTGGACCGCGTTTGCAGCGCTGCCACTTACAGCTCAAAGCTGAGCTTCTTGAGCGTGCTTGCGGACTGCGACATCAAAAGCTGGCCGACGCGCGTGCCTACAGCAGGTTCGCGTCAGCCCAGGCAGCGCCACATCGCCACATCGTCACTGACTGCCCGTGAAGGAGAGCTTCTTGACGGCCTTGTTCTCGCACATCTCCTTGCCCACGGCCGCCTCCGTCTCGCCCTTGGCGCATGTGACGACGTTGATGGTGCCCTTGGGAAAGCCGACCTGCTCCGCGAGGTAGGCAATGGCGAGCGGCGAGAAGGGCGTCTCGGCCGGCGCCTTGATGACGACGGTGCAGCCGGCAGCGAGCGCGGCGCCCATCTTGCGTGTGATCTAGAGGCGGGTCAGCGGCAATGCTGAGGGCCCGGCACGCTGGCACTGACCATGGCGGCCGGGAAGTTCCAGCTGTGGAGCGGCACGTCAGACTCGCTCTCGACACGCCACGCACGCTACTCACGGCGTGATGAGGCCGGCCACACCGAGCGGCTGCTTCGTGATCACGTTGGCACGCACGGCCGGCAGCGTCGGCTGCGCCGTGTGGCCGTAGCTGCGCTGTGCCTCGGCGGCGAACCACTCGATGAACGAGTTGGAGTAGGCCATCTCGCCCTTTGCCTCGGCCAGGCTCTTGCCGTTCTCGGCGACGATGATGTGCGCCAGGTCCTCGGCGTGCTCCTGCAGCGCCTGGAAGAGCTTGGTGAGCAGGTCGCCGCGCGCCTTGCCCGTCTGTGCCGCCCACGCGGGGAAGGCGGCGGCGGCGGCGGCGATGGCGGCGCGCGTCTCCTCGGCGCCCATGTCGGGCACGGCGCCGATCTTGGCGTGCGTGGCCTTGTTGAGCACGTCGAACGTCTTGCCGCTGCGTGCGCCCGTCCATGCGCCGTCGACGTAGCCCTGCTGCTGCAGGAGCGCCTTGTGCTTGAGGGTCAGCGTCTCGTTGCTGCCCTCCTTGAGGATGTTCTTGGGCATCGTCGGCATGGCGGCGGTGCGGGAGGTGTGGAGCGTGCGGCGTGCGGGGTGTGGTTGTGCGGTCAGGCGAAGAGCAGTGAGGGTTGCGCGGGAAGATGCAGACGGCGCAAGACGAGCGAGCATGTGCGAGACGGGGGTGAGGGTGCTCAGCGCAGCCGCTCAGGCACGCGGCGGCGGCGAGGCGGGCGTCTCTTGCACCCTCCGGCCGGCCAGCAGCATCTCGCTGCGCGCCGTGCGCCGTGCCGCGGCACATGTGGAGTCGGCGCGCGGCGTGCCGCGGCTGCCCTCCGCAGCCGCCGCTCTCTGTGACGCACTTGCGGCCCACTTCGCCTCCTCGGCGCCGCTTTGGTGCAGAGCAGCTCCTCGTTGGGACTGCCAGGCTGGGCGCTGCTTGTGCGTCTACCTCGTGCCCGCACCCGCACATGCTGCGGCGAGAGGCAGCGCCATGCTCCAGCCGCGTGCTCCGATGCTTCGCGCCCCGCATCTGCCTGCGCATGGCAGCTGCTGCCGGCCGGCCTTAAAGCCGGCGCCGCTCTCTCGTGGGATCGGGCGAGCGGCGATGGCGCACGTGCCTGCTCCCACGCGGATCTTCCTCTCGCACGGCTGCCCTCCTGCGGTGCGCTATCTTTCTTATCGGGCGCCGGCGCCTCGCATGCTTCCGCACCGACCGCCGAGCCTTCAAGCCGCGCTCCGCAAGAGAGACGAGGAGCCAGCCGGCCGCCACAGGCACACAAAGGGCCGCAAGGGTGAAAGCGCCGCAGCAGCAGGCAGCAGACGGCGAGCAAGGCCAGACCGCCGCGAGCAGCCGAGACTGCCGCCAAACACGAGATCGATCGACGCCGCCCTCCTCAGCGCGCAGCGGCTCGTGCCCTGCGACGGCGACAGGCGGCGCCTCGTGTCCTGCGCCACGTCGCTAGAAAGCCGAGGCGACCGCTAGCCCGTGAGTCGTCCGCTGCTGCCGTGCCGCTGCTGAGGTGAGATGGCCCTCTCGGACTCCGAGGCCGCGGCCCGTGCGCCGACGGCCTCTGCGCCGAGGCGCCGTCTGCTCCGAGCCCGCTGTCTTGGGCAGCGCCGCACCCGACGGCGAGCAGGCTGAGCAAGAGGCGGCCTTGGCGATGTGCTGTGCTTGCGGAGCAGCTTGCCGCAGCGGCGGGGCGTGCGCCTCTTGCTTCGCATCTTCCACCTCTCCCGCTCGCGTCCCGTTTCCGCATCGCTCTGCCGCTGCCTCAAGCTCGCTGTCTGTGCAGCGCGCGGGTGTGCTGTGCCAGGAGCACTCGCCATGTCGGGCCCGTCGGGCTCCTCGCCGCCGCGAGCCTCGTCGCGCCCCGTGCGCCCGCTCGGCACGGCCCGCCGCGCTGCCCGCTCTCGCACGCCGACGCCCTCCAATCCGTCTGGCTCTAATGCTCCCTCGCCGCAGCCGCAGTCGCCACGGCCCGCTGCCGCATCTGCTGCACCCGTCAGCGCGCTCACGCCGTGGTTTCCGTACCCCGTCGACGGTGCCGCCTCGTCTTCACGTGCTGCCCGTCCTCGAGGCCGCCGAGCCGCCAGTGCCGGGCCGTCTGCGCCGAGCCCTGCCTATCGCCCGCGGCCACCGTCAGCTACGATGCAGGCAGCACCTCACTCGCACTCGCACGCCTCGTCGAGCGCCTTGCCGGCGCCGGAGCGCGAGCTGAGCGATGCCGAGAAGGAGCGGCTGCACTTCCAGAGCGTGCTGCAGGCCTTTGATGCGTATCTGCCCCACTCGGTGCGTCGCAGCGGTATGCTCGTTCTCCTTCTCCCGGCTCACTGCATGCTCAGCTCGAGACGAACAACGCCCGGCGGCGCTCGTACTACGCCCTGCCGCGCGCACACCGCACGCTGCTGTCCCAGCTCGGGCCCACAATACCGGGCCCCATGGCAGCAGCAGCGTCCGATGAGGAGGGGCACAGCACTGGCATTGCCGAGCAGACGGCACCCAGCGAGATGGCGCCCGGCGGCATCGGATTCAAGGCACGCCTCGCCGAGATTGACGACCGCATCAGGCGCAATGCTGATGTGCTCAGTCTCATCGTCGACGACTCGCGCGGCTTCTTTGGCGAGGCGGGCGGCGTCGAGAGCGAGGCAGAACGTGACAGCTCAGGGTCGGGGTCAGACGGGGCGAATGCGTCTGCAAGCGAGAAGGGCAAGCGTGCGCACGACGGGCAGGAGCAGAGCGCAGGTCGCCAAGGTGCTGCACAGCACCAGCACGGCACAGATCCGCGCCGCCGACGCCGCGTGGCCGACCAGGACCTCGACAAGATCCGCAGCACCATCAAGCAGCTGGTGCGCGACTGGAGCGACGAGGTGCGTGTGCGATGCTGGCGGAGTCGCGCTGCTGCTGACAGGCGGCGGCGCAGGGCAATGCCGAGCGGGAAGCGGCGTATGGGCCAGTGCTCGACGCATTGGACGCGCGCTTCGGCACCATTGCGGCAGCAGACCGGTGAGACCCACTCTTGTGCCGCAGTGCAGCGATCGAGCTGACAGGCGATGCAGGCCTGCTGTCCGCGTGCTCGTGCCCGGCGCTGGCCTCGGGCGTCTGGCGTTCGAGGTCGCATGGCAGGGCTACAGCTGCCAGGGCAACGAGTACAGCTTCTTCATGCTGCTCGCCTCGCACGTACGTCTCGAGGTAGCTTGCCGTCTGTCGGCTACGCTGACCAGAGCCCTGGCAGTGGATCCTGAACAAGTCTGCGCGGCGGCACGAGCACACCATCTACCCCTACGTGCACTCGTCGAGCAACTGGCGCTCGGCACAGGACCTGCTGCAGGGCGTGCGCATCCCCGAGTGCGTGATCTGTTGCGGCGCCGTGGCGCACGACTGACCTTGTCGCAGCGTCAATCCATCAGATCTGCCGCCGCACGTCGACTTTAGCATGGTCGCCGGCGAGGTGAGCGCAGCCCAGCGTCGCCATCTGCCACGCTTGCTTACGAGTGCGCCGCAGTTCGTCGACGTCTACTCAAAAGCGCAAGAAGGCGCAGCCTGGGATGCCGTGGCGACGGTCTACTTTGTCGACACGGTGCGTGTGCAGCAGAGAAAGGCCTCATTCCTTGCTGATCATTACTCCTGCAGGCGCGCAACGTGGTGCGCTATCTCGAGGTGCTGAACCACGTGCTGCCCGTCGGCGGCATCTGGATCAACGCGGGCCCGCTGCTCTGGCATTACGAGAACAACGGCGACCTGAGCATCGAGCTTACGCTCGAGGAGATGCTCGGCCTCGTCGAGCAGATGGGCTTTGAGCTGCTGGTCAGTCGCAGTGGCAGCGGGGTGTGGGCAGAAGACTGACCCTGTCTGCCTCGCCAGAAGCACCGAGCACTGCCGCCGCAGCCGTACACGGGCAACGCCGCTTGCATGCTCAGCTATCAGTACACGCCGGCCTTCTGGGTCGCCCGCAAAGTGCGCGACGTGACGCCGGCGCCGAGCATATGAGGCAGCGCACCGTGCGGGCCGAGCTCACTGCTTTGGCGCCTCGTCGAGTGCCTGCTGTGCCGCCCGCAGCTGCTGCAGCAGTGCAGCGCGATCCAGCCGATGCCGTGCCACCTCGCTGCCCTCGATGTGCAGCACGGGAATGTCATACTGGTACGCGCGCCGCCAGCGGTGGACGTCGGGCAGCGTGTCGTCGCGGATGTTGTAGAGCGTGAGCTCCAGCGGCGCCTGCAGTCTGTCAGCCGGCAGTGCAGCTGCTTTTGCGGTCGGAGACGCACCTCACGTGCCACGTCGTCCAGCACGGCCTTGGCGACGTCGCACAGCTGGCAGTCGGTGCCCGTGTACAGGGTAGCGCGCGGCACTCGCCGTGACGGCGCCTCGCCCTCGCTGCGACGACGCGACGTCGAGAAGCAGGCGCGCTGCGGCAACGACGGCGCATGCCGCATGCCTGCAGCCAGCGCAAAGGCGAGCCGGTGCTGACGCGAGAGGCTCTTGAGCGCGAGCATGCGTGCTGCTGTTGTGGTCGTGAGGCAAGGGCCAACGCGCGTCGCGACGTGCGAGCGCCACGCGCCGCACCAGTGCCGAGCTCGACCCGACGCGGGGAGTCAGCGTGGGCTTTGACACACACCGCCAAGGTGGTCAGAGCGCTGGTCAGCTCCATCCGCACCACAACAGCAGATATCTGTTGCTTCAGCAGCCGGCACGAGCGGAGGGGAGGGGGTGGCAAAAAGGGAGGTGGAAGTCAGGCAGGCAAAAGGCAAAAAGGAAGTCCTCTCCCAGACTCGAACCGGGGATCTTGCGATGGAAGGGAGCTGCAGGGGAGCAGCGCTGTTGCAATCGCACGCTGTAGCCGCTTAGCCAAGAAGACAGGGGTATCTATAGGGGATGGCTACCTTGCTGGATGTGATCTCAGGCAGGTCAGGGGGCCAGATGGCCTGATTCAGACATGCCAAGGCCACTGTACCTGCAACTGAGGGGCACTCTACGGTCTATTTGCAGGTCAAGGGCACTCTACTGTCAGGCACACCAATGCTGGCTTCACTGTAGCTGCAGGCACGCCACTGCTGGTGCCTCACTGTAGCTGCAGGCACACCACTGCCGCTTCTGGACGAGCAGGTTAGGGGCTCCGCATCTGCCATGCTGCTGCAGCCACCACTCGACACCGCGCCGAAGCCACGATGCGCGCTGTGCTGCACCTGCACCCAGAGCGGCCGCAGATGCGCGCGAGCCTTGCTGTAGCCGCAGTGGTGCGGATCGTGGAGCCGACATCCCGGGATGGCGGCGTCGGTTGCAGCCTGAGGGACGGCGCCGGCGACGTCGCCCAGCTCGCTTAGCCGAGGAGCGAGCCCGACCCCGGCCCCTGCCTCGCGTCTTGAGCTGCTATTCTGGTCCACTCCCCTCCCGCTCTGCCTGCATGCTACTGCGTGCTGCGTCTGGCCTGTACGCTGGTACGCACGCGCAGTGATCTGCGTCACCCGCATATGGTCCACGATGCGTCTCCTGCCCTCTGCCATCCGCGCCGTAGCGCGTGCGATCCCGCTCTTACTGTGCGCCCGCCGCGCCCGCTGACGTCTCCTGCTAGCTCTGCGACCCTGACGGCCGAGGTGCTGCGCCTTCCCTCCCGCGCTTGTGCTTGCAATGCACCTCCCTCTCGCGGCGCTCATCAGGATAGTGCAGCGCCCTCGCCCTCCACCCCTCTGATGCGCCTGTCGTTCGCGATCTCGGGTGTCGGTGCAAAGTGGTGTGATTGCCGCGCCTGCTGCTGGCCCACAGCTACACCTCTGCTAATCGCTTCTCGACCTTCTTTGCCTCCTGCGTGGCGCGAGTCGCATGAGCAGCAGTTCTGCCTCTCTCCGGCGCGCCCGACTCACCTCCACGAGCGCCGTAATCTCGGCGACGACCTCCTGCACCGCGGCGCGCTTCTCCTTCACCTGCGCACGCAGCGCCGCACGCGTCGAGCGCAGTGACCGCTTCTCCGCCGCCAGCCTGTGGTGCCTCAGATGAGCCAATGCGGCATGGCTCAGGCCGTACGTGTGCCACGCACCGTTTTCGCTCGAGCAGCTCGAAGCGCAGGCGCGCCAGCCGCAGCTGGTGCGCATCCTCGAGGATGTCGGGCGTGCGCAGCTCCTCGGGCGCCAGCTCCTTGAACTCTTCCAGCGGGTGCAGCGTGAGGGTCTGATGGATCGAGCTGGCGGCATGGCGCGTCAGTCACAGCACTGAGGCCAGCTGTGAAGGCCGCACTCACACGAAGCCGCGACACCGCCGAATCTCGTCCTCCAGCCGCCCGCGCTCGTACTTTGCATTCATGGAGCGCAGCTTGGCATCGTCGACGCGCGCACGCAGCGCCTGCACGCGGGCGCGCGCGGCGGCCTTGTGCGTGAGGATGGAGCGCGAGAGGCTGCGCAGCGGCGCCAGTGCCGGCGGCAGCAGCGACGACGAGGCGCCGGGCGCGGCGAGGAGCGACTGCGAGAAGTGCTCGAGCGACTGCGCCAGCGCGGCGGAGGAGAGCGTGGAGGAAGTGCTGGCCTCTGCCATGGTGGGCGTGTAGGTGCAGGTGCGAGGCGGGTGGTGGTGAGAAGCAACGACGCCGCGGCGGCGGCGAGCGCGCGGCCGACAGCGATAAGCTGGCACAGCACAGGAAGATGCGCCGCCGCCGCCGCGCCGCGCTCATCCTGCCTCTCTCCACCACGCCCGCCATGCCCGTCTCCTCGCCGCCCTCGCGGCCCGCGTCGCCGCTGCCGCCGCAGAACATCCTGCTGCTCGGCCTGCGCCGCTCGGGCAAGTCCAGCCTGCTCTCGGTCGTGTACAAGGCGCTGCCTCCGCACGAGACGCTCTTCCTCGACTCGACGCTGCGCTCGCACCACCTCGACGTGTGCGCCTGGGAGCCGGTGCGCTTCTGGGACGGGCCCGGCCTCTCGGCCTCCGCCACCGAGGGCGGCGCCGGTGCCGCGGCCGCCGTGCAGGAGAAGGGCAAGGCCACCGGCACCGCCGGCGGCCTCGAGTGGACGCAGGTCGGCGCCGTCATCTTCGTCATCGACGCGCAGGACGACTACTTTGACGCCCTCGCGCGCCTCCACTCCGTGCTGCTCGATGCCTATGCGCACAATCCCGAGATTCTCTTCCACGTCTTTGTGCACAAGGTCGACGGGCTGAGCGATGACTACAAGTACGGTGCGTGCCGCATGAGCTCGGCGGCCAGGTGAGCCGTGCACTGACCGGGCGCGCACCACAGACACACAGCGCGACATCGAGCAGCGCGTGCTCGACAACCTCTCCGACGCCTCTGCCTCGTTCACCTTTGCGCCGTGCGCCTACGAGATCCTGCGACAGAGCGCCGCCGCAGCTCCGGCTCTGCCCGCCTTGCCGTCGGGCCCAGCATCTGCCGTCGGTGCCCGTCCGGCCGGCGACCACACGAACCCTGCGTCTGCGTCTGCCTCTGCATTCGCATCCTTGGCGGGTCAGGGCAACGCCATGACGTCCTCTGCACTCTCTCGTGCCGCCGGCCTCACTCCCGAGACCCACACTGCCGGTTCGTCCGGCGTGCGGGATGTCGCCACGTCGCCGCGACCAGGCGGCAGTCATATTGCGGCCTCGAGCAGCGCCGCTGCTGCAGCCGGCTCGGGCGCACCGACGAATGTCAACCTGGACACGGACGTACGCCTCACGTTCCACACGACGAGCATCTTTGACTCGTCGGTCAACGTGGCGTTCTCGCGCATGCTGCAGGGCCTGCTGCAGCGCGGCATGGAGGAGACGTTGGAGGGTCTATGCAACAGTCTGTGCAGCGTGAGTAGGCCGTCGCGCTTCTTTCTGCCGCTGCTCTGACGACGATGACTTCTCAGGCGAACAAGCTGGACAAAGTTTTCCTCTTTGACGTGCCCACGCGCACCTACATCGCCGCCGACACGTCGCCGTTCGATCGCGCCAGCTTCGACGTGGCGTCCGAGTATGTCTCGTTCCTGACGCGCTTTGCCGATCTCTACTCGTGAGGCGAAAGTCATTCGGAGAAGAGGCGGCGCGACGCTGACGCTGGCTCGCTTGCAGCACACTGGGCGCGTCAGAGACCGGCGAGACTCGGCATGCATCTAGCGTCTCCCGCTTGGCGCCCGACACGACGTTGGCCTTCTGGCAGATCGATGAGTGCGTCGACCTTCTCTCCGAAGAATTTCGAGCCTCGAACCTCAAGCTGACTCCTCTCTGATCCTGCTGCCGCGTGTCTCACAGGCGTCTGGCGCTGCTGGCGATCCTGCGCACGCAGCCCGCCTCGCAGGGCATGCTGGACTTCAACGTCTCGCTCCTGAGGCGATCGCTGCTGGAGCTGCGCGATCTGTCACGCGCCTAAATAGGCGAGGGCGGTGGCAGGAGGAAGGAATGGGAATACTCCTGCTGCACTGCATGCGAGAGACGCAGTGAAACGGATCAGACGAGCTGATGGGATTGCGTGACGTGAATGAGGATGGCGGTGACGGGTGACCAGAGTTCTTTGCGGTGACAGGAAGGGAGCCGCGAGAAGCAGATGTGAGGAGGATGGGACAGCGAGGGCGCAACGTGCATCAACGCAGCCTATGACCCCAGAAGGCACAGGAGGGGCGACGGCCGCCACTGTGCGCTCTGCTGCCACTGGCACTCGTGTCGATGCACATTGCGCCCTCTCTGAAGCGCTCATGCACTCAGACGTCCTGCTGGCTGCCATCGGGCTCAGGATCGTCCAGCGGCAGGATCTGCGGGCAAGAAGCGCAGCAGTCAGCCCGGCATCTTCCTGACATCGTGCTAGCCGCGCCATCTCCAGCTCTACCCACCGCGAACTCGATGAACCCATGGTCCTTCGCTGCGTTGCCCTGCGCGCCCGTGCCCGTCGCGCCCGTTCCTCGAGGCATCAAGCATTGCAGACTAATCAGGCCCCGCTCATCCAAGCGGATCGACGTCTTCAACGACGTCTGCAGGGCGCGCAGGGCGTGTGAGAAGTACTTAAAGAGATAGCTGTTGCGGCAAGGTGCCGGGCTGGAGGTGAGCCGAGAGAAGAGAAGAGAGAGGAGCAGAGACGTACCAGCTGGAACAGGAGGTGAGACAGACATAGCGCTCCATGACGCCTCGTTCGTTTGGGAACTCCATCTGTCGGCAAAGCATGTCAGCGTCTCGTCTCTCACGCAGAGGATAGAAAGGGAGCCGGCTCACCTCGGCCGTGCCGAAGTCGCCGTCCGCTCTCAGCGTCAGCATCTGCACCCCCACCGCTGCCATCGCCGCCGCAGCCGCTCCCTTGCCCGCCTCAGCCACGCGTCCGCTGCCGCGAACACTCGCACTGCCTCGTACGCTGCTGCCGTCGCCTTCGAGCGCCGCACGCGCTGCGAGTGCAGAAGACCGATGCGCCGGATCAAAGCCGATCTTGAGCTCGCGCGCTGTGGGGTCGATGGAGAGGAGGGCGTCTGCTAGCAGCTCTGACTGGAGGGTGCAGAGTTATGTCACAGGCGAAGATGAAGAGGGAGGGGCGAGACGTACACGCATGATGGCTTGCCCGACTAGACGATCGGCGTCGAATGGCATCTCCGTCAATCCGCTCGGCTCCATCGTGGTGAGCTCGCAGCGTGTCACTGCGCCGCCTTCCTCCAAGCTGTGCGGGCACAGGGCGACATGTCAGCCGGAGCTCGCGGGGCCGAGCAAAGAAGAAGAGAGGAAGGCGCAGACAGCTCACATAAGCACCAGGCGCTTGTTCTCATCATCGAAGCTCACACGCGCTCGGGTCGTGCCCTCACTCTCCTTGCGCTTCTTGCCTCCTCGCTCCCCCGCCCCTGGCGGCGGCTCATGCATCTCCACCGGCGCGCCCTCGGACGCCGCCTTCGTCGAAGAGGGCGCCGAGCCAAAGACGTTGAGGCACTCGAGGAGGTTGGAGAGGTTGATCTCAAAGTCGAGCGAGGGCGGAGAGGCCTCTTCGGACTCGTCGTCCGACTCAGAAGCAGCGCGTCGCCCGAGGTGCGAGGCGGCGGAGCGCTCAGCTGCTGCGAGCGCTGCGGGAGAAGGAGGCGCGGGTGCGGCAAGGGAGGAAGTGGGAGAGCGGGACCGCTGCCGTGCTGAGCCGGCGGCGGCGGCGCGTGTGGGGCGAAAGAGGTAGGGATTGAAGAGCGAGGCGGGGAGATAGGCGTTGGCTGCGACGGACGAGTGAGCGCGCACAGAGCACCAGAGCCATGCTGCGGCGACGCACCCTGGACGGAGCGGTCGAGCTCGGTGGTGAAGGTGAGGCCAGCCTCGGAGATGGAGACGGTCGCGTACTGCGTGCGCTGTCAGCCAGCGCCGTCTAAGTGCTGCAGCAAGCCAACGCACGTGGTTGAAGGCGATGGGCCGCAGCACGGCCGCGAGGGTGCGCACGTCGGCGATGTGCGCCTGTGCAGGAGCGTCAGAGAGGCGCATGCTAGACGCCAACGAGGGCTGCGACGCACCGAGAGGGCCTCGTGCGCCTCGGGCGCGGCGTGCGGCATGGCCTTGGCTGTGGCGCGCGACGGGCGGAGCGCTGAGGCGCAGTGAGACGCCGGTGCGATGGGTGCTGGCAGAGAGGTGGGCGCTGGCTGAGCTGTATGCGCGGCGAGGGAGCGAAGGCCGTGGTGGTGGGAGGCGCACTCTACGCGCCGCCGCCTCCACACCAACAGAAGACGCGCCGGCGCGCGCCGCCGCATCCCATGAGCTCCGCCTCGCACCCTCGGTGCGCTCTCCTTCTCTCTTTCGCCTCGCCACGCAGGCCGCAGAAGGACAGGAACGAGTATGGCCCGTAATTCTGACGCCATGCCGCTCCATCTGTAGCGCCCGGTGACCTCAGCTGCCGCCTCATTAGCCGGCGACTCGGCGGCAGCGTGGCCCAAAGTGGGGTGCGCTCATCAGCGGAGCCGCCCCTGGAGAGCGTGCGTGCTGTTCTACATCGCATCAGCAACGCCGGCGCGCACAGGGCGCGCCCAGCCTGGAGCCGGCGTTGACGTAGTTGCCGTCATTGATTGCACCTGTGACGAAGGTGAAGCCACAGGAGGTGCAGCGAGAGCTCTAGAGACGCCGTGTGCGCGTCCTCATGGGCCCATCCGGCTGCGTGCTGCGGCAGCCGGCCCTTGCGCCGCACCGCCTTGCTGCGCAACGCCCGCGACAGGTGCAGGGAGCCGACGTTCCTGCATCTCATGCTGGCAGGGGCAACGCCTGACCTGCTCCGTCCTTTGCTCCTGCCCACCACCACGCCCGTTTCCACCTCACGCCGCCAACTCGAGCTGCTCGCCATCAGGCCAAGCTCCGCCGAGACGCCTTCTCGGCGCGCGTGTGACAGGTGACGTCTCGACGTCGCGCGCTGCTTTTTTGCCTTTCGCCCGCCGCTGCGAACGCGCATGGCGGCCGCTCCACTTGGCGCCGCCGCGGCGGGGGTGCTGCTTGTCGTCCCACATCCACCGGCGTCGGCCTCGCTGCTGCCACTGCCGCTCGCGCCTCTCGCATCGCCATCTTCGCCTCTCACAGCATCCGCCGCGCCAGCCATCTCGTCGCTGCAGCTCGCCCACCCGCTCGCCGCCGACCAGCCCACGGCCGCCACGGCCATCCGCGCCCTCTCCGCCGCGCTGCTCCTCGCCGCCGCCGCTGCGTCCAGCTCCAGCGCAGGCGGCTCTGCAAGCGCACACAGCAGCTACGACGCAGACGAGGCTGTGACGCCGCACCGCGCGGCCGAGCAGCCAGCGCTGCGGCCCAGCAGCATGCACCGGCACACCTCCGTCGACGCTCGCACAGAATCAGCAGAGAGCAGTGCTGCCGGCGCCGCCGCGGCAGCATTGCAAGCGCAGAGCTCTGCCATGTCCGACGCAGCCTCTCCTCCTCGGCGCATCTCGCTGCTTGCGCTGCCCGCCGAGCTGCTGCATCTCATCTTCTCGCACCTCCTGCCTCGCGCCGACTCCTCCGTCTACCCCGCCGCCAGCTGGGCCACGCTGCCGCCGACGCACGCCTTCATTCACCTCGGTGCGCCTCAGGCCCTGCGCCCTCTCCTCGCGCTCTCTCTCGTCTGCCGCACCACGAGCGCTGTTGCACTGCCGCTGCTCTACGCCGCTCCCACACTCGAGCGTACGCGGCAGGCTCGGCTGCTAGCTCGCACACTGGCGCTCTCGCCCTCGAGTGCCACGCTCGCACACGCCATTCGGCACCTCATCTTCCCGCAGGACGGCCTGCTGTATGCGAGCGATCAGCTGGCGGATCAGCAGGCATGGGCCACCTCGCTCGGCGCCATCTTCAAGGCGGCACGCTCTCTCCGGAGCGTGTGGATCACCGCGCGCCCACAAGGATGCAGCCTGGCTGCGTTTCTCGCGCCGGGAGTGGCGGCTAGGCCGAGTCGAGTGACGATCAACAGTTTCAGGTGAGTCTTCGCCGGCAGGCATATCACGTTGCGGAGCGCTGATCTGGAGGCGTGCACTTGCAGTCCATCGCCGGTGCCGCTGCACGAATTCGACCTGTCGCCCTTGACGCAGGTGACGCATCTGCATCTCATTCAAGTGCTGCCTGCTCCCGAACTGCTCGCCCTCTTTGCGGGACAGGCGCAGCCGGCTGCGCCGCAGAAGAGAGAGGCAAGTACAGCGGTGCAAGCTGCGCCAGGCAGCTACGCTGCCATCGCGGCGGCAGGACAGCGGGCCATGCCAGCTTCGTCCGAAGCAGAAGGAAGAGCAGGACGCACCTCTAGCCTCGCCTCGCCGCCAACTGCAGCGACTGCAGCAAGCCCCGCCATCGTGCTTCCGCAACCGCCATTGACTCATCTTCGGCTCTCCTCACTGCCGCCATTCACGCTGCACGACTTTGCCGAGTACGTCACCTATCGTCGAGCTTTGGCCGCACACGCCGCCCTGCCCGCCTCGGTGGCTCTGCAAAGCAATCCGCCAAGCGCGCCTGCACGGACTACAAGCTCTGCACTCAAGGCACAGGCGGCGCTGTACGAGCTTGCACTTTGCGTGCGGCGCATGCCGGCATTGCGGCGCCTCACGCTGGAGCTCAGTTCTCTCGGCACACTCGATGAGCCCGAATGGGCCATGCAGCCTTCTCTCTCCGCCACTGCGATTCTCGACGGCACCGGCGGCCCTGGCTCGCCGTACGAGGCCTCGACGGGCCAGCTGGCCACGCTCGACTTCCCAGCAGACGTGCCTGTCACGCTGGCCGAGGCGCGCGAGTGGGCTGTGCGCGAGACGGAGAATGCGCGTGCCAACGAGCGCAGCCGCACGGCGCCGCGCGATGCATACTGGCTCGACGTACGCATGGGGCTCGAGGCGCTCCGGGAGCTCGTGGCGCAGGCGAGCGAGAGGGAGGAAGTCGAGGTCAGACTGTGTGCGGCGCGGCCGGGCGGGTGGGATCGACATGAAGCGAGGGCGGAAAGCGCCGCCATGGTCGCTGCTGCTTCCGCTGCGTCGTCATCGTCGAGCAAGCTGCTCAACCACGCCGGTAGCCCATCGGCACGGGCAGCACGCAGAGTCTCGGCGGAGAAGACCGAGGCATACTACGCACGAGCTCGCGCCTCGGTCGACGGCAAGCCCTCTTCGCACGCAATGCAGGCGCAGCAAGACGCCGCCGCCGACAATTCTGACGACGACGGCACCTCCTTCTCCGACCCCGACATCTTCGAGCTGGCCGAGACGCGTCCGCTGTTGGGCTACCAGAGCAGCACGGCCAGCCGGCGCGGCAGCGCGGCGCTGTCTGCGGCCGCACACATGTCCACCGCGATGGCTGCGTCGAGCTCGAGACCGAGCAGCGGAGATGAGAACGCGGATCGCAGGACGACGCTCTGGTGGACTGGCGAATTGCCGCGCATCAATTCGGGCCGCGATTGAAGGCCGGCGTGACATGAGGCCTCCCTGCGACTTTCCTGTCTGGTGTCTTCCTCGCCCTCTCTCCTCTGTCGTTCTCTCGCTTGGCTCCGCTCGCAACGACCAAGCAGCCTCGGACGGGCATCCATCGTTGCCTCCGCTCGCGCATCGCTCACCTCTGCCTGCACACTCCTCTGCTCCTTCCGTCCCCCGCGTCACCTGTTCCTCTCCTCACTGGCTTCACTCTTGTCCTTCATCTCTCACGTCCGCAGCTCCATGTTCCTCCTCACTTCCCGCACCTCGCATGTCCTCTGCATATTCCCGCCAACCCTCATCGCACACTTCAATGCATCTCTCGCTTCGTCAGCATTCGCCATCCTTGCCATTGACTGTTCGACTGATGCCAGCGCTGCTCTAGCGGCCCACGCGAACCATCTTCTTGCGCTGTCTCCTTCCTGGCGCGTGCACCACCTTCTCCTCTTCCTTCTTCTCTGGCTGCACCTCCTCCTCCTCATCGTCGTCGCCCATGCCCATGCTGCCCATCATGGCGCCCAGCGGGCCCATCTGCGAGGCCATGCCGCCCAGCATGCCGCCCATGTCCGTGTTGAGCAGGCCCGCCTCGAGCGCGGGCGAGTTGGGCGGCAGGCGCTCGGCGGGCGGAGGGAAGCGCATGAGCCGCAGCCGCTGCTGGCGTGGATCCAGCGGGCGGGCGGCAGGAGAGGAGGAGGAAGAGCCGGCGACGGCGACGGCCTTGCTGTCCTTGCTGTCCGCCTTGGACGCGGCGCCCTTCTTCTTGCCCTGCTTCGGAGCTCGGCCCTGACGTGCGGGCTGCGCCGGAGGCTTGCCGCCGTACTTGGGCTGCAGTCGCTCGCAGAGCGCCAGAAGCAAGACCTTCTCTGCGCGCGAGGAGACGCTTCAGCATCAGCTCTGCTCGGGCATGGCTGCACACGGCCCGGAGACACTCACTGTTCGCATACTGCTTGTGCAGCACCTCGCCGTTCTCATCCGTGAGCTTGACCTTGACGCGTCCCGGATTCTCCCAGTCCTGCGGATGTTGCCTGTTGGGCTGTCTCGCACGCTTCAGCTCAGGTGCCACGCCTTGCAGTGCCGCGCCGCACTCACCTGCAGCTTGGCCTCGATGCCCATGCTGCGCAGCTCGCGGAACATCCACTGCGCCTGCGGCCAGAGGACGGACTTGTCGTACGGCGTGCGGCGCTGGCCCTTGCCGAACGCGCGCTTGGCGTCGATGTAGAGCGGGTAGAGCGTCGTCCAGCCCTGCACGCGCGCCGCCTCGGCCTCGAGGGCCGCCTCGTCCTGCTGCGGCGGCTGTGCGCCGCCGGCACCGCCCATAAGCGCGGCCATGGGGTTGGCGCCGCCTGCGCCGCCGGCGCCGCCCATCATGGCCTGCAGCTGCGCCATCTGCTCGGGCGTCATGGCCGGCATGCCGGCGGGCATCTGCGGCATGGCGGGTGCGCTGCGTGCGACGGGCGCCGTGGGCAGAGCGAACTGCAACGGCGCGAGGTGTCAGTGCGCGCGCAGCAAGGTGCGCTGCCGCCGATGCGCAGGGCCACGCACGTCGGTGTCATCGTCGAACTCCTCGATGGTGGCTGCCTGCGGGTGCGACATGGCGGCGAGTGTGGAGGGAGGTGGTCGAGAGGGTGACTTGTGACAGCCGTGTGGGGCGCACGTCGACCGTGCGCGCGCGGCACAAGCGCGCCGTCGCTCTCGCAGCGCCGCCCCGCCAGGCAGCCTTGGGATGCTCCGGCGAGCATCTCCTCTCGAGCACAACGCTGAACAGAGCTTTGGGGGCCAGAATCTGCGCTGCCTATGTAGCTCACCGAGCTTGACCGGCTCAGGTTGGCAGCCAACGTAAAGGACACCGAGTTGAGATGCATGAGCGAGAATGAGCGAGAGCTATCGGCGCGACGGTCACGCCCGCGCAAGAAGCCAAGCGGCGCAGCGCTCGAGCCGCGTATTCTGTGCGTCCGGAGCAGCCGTATACAGCCGTCACCCGTCGCAAGGCCAGACATGAGAATGTAGCGCAGAGCATGCCGCCTCTCGCTGCTGTGAGCGAGTGCAAGCCTCGAGCATGAGCCGCAGAAGCGAGCCGGCGGTGCGCCCAGGTGCTGCCGGCGGCGTCCCGCGGAAGCGCGGCGCCGCTTCCCACGCTGCCACATCGGGAGCACACCGCATGGGCGCAGGCGGTGCCTGACGCCCGAGGTGGGCGGCCTCGCTGCTCGGTCCCGCTCTGCCTTAGCTTGCATCCGCATGCACCCACCTCGTGGTGCGCCGGCCTGCAGCAACTCGGCTTCTCTCGACGCTCTTCCGTCCCGCCTCTCGGTAGACCGCTGGTCAGGCACGGCTGTGTACGAAGCCCACCTCGGCAAGCACTTGAGGCGCAAAGGAGCGCCACGCTTGGCCCGCCTCCTGCTCGGGCCCCGAGACACGCTTTGCAGGCGCAGCATCCGCTCGGCCATCCACCACACCACCACCACGCCTGCACTCGCTCGCCATGGCCGCCTCCAGCGCACTGGCACAGCACATGCTGGCGCGCATCGTCGCCGACATCGACACGCTGGCCGCGTCGGGCACCTTGCCGTGTGCGTCTCTGTCCTTGTCCTCCTGTGCGGGCCATGCTGACTCTGTCATCGCCCTCCGCAGCTGCTACCGCCGCCAGCATCCAGGCCCAGCTGGCGCCCTACCTCGGCGTCTCCGCCACGCCCGCCTACCCGTCCTCGCCAGCGCCAGCGCCCGCCGTGCAACCGCCCGTGGCGGTAGAGCAGCAGCGCTTCCGCGCCATCTGGGCCTACGCCGCCGCCGCGTCCGACGAGCTCTCCTTTGCCGCCGACGACGTGCTGCTCGTGCCCGCCGCGGGCGCACAGAAGGGCGACGAGTGGTGGCTCGGCGCGCTGGAACGTGCGCCGCATGTGCAGGGACTCTTTCCCTCTACGTGAGTTCGGCGTTGCGCCGCCGATTGCAATCTCGATGCTGACAGAGCACGAAACAGATACGTGGAGCCCCTGCGTCCGTCTGTCCCTCGCAAGCCCTCCAACTCCACACGCACGCTCCCACCAGCGTATGTTCCACCGCCAATCTCGCCCGTCACGCCGCCAGTCGCCGAGCCAAAGTCGCCCGAGCGCAAGCTGGGCCCGCCAAAGTGGCGCCCTGGCGTCGCGCAGTTCTCTTCCAACGGCGCGGAGAAGCCGCCGCCGCCGCCGTCCAGTGCCGCTGCTGCGGGTCCGAGCGCGCCGGATGGCAAGCCAATGACGCCTGAAGAGGCGGCGGCGGCTGCGAAGAAAGACAAGGTGCGTGGCCCGTGAAGCGTCTCGCTGTCCAGGTGCCTCTTCGATTGGCAATGCACCACGCCTAGCTTGTTTCCCTCTCACAACGAATGCTGATGCGCTATCTTCCCGCGCCCCGCAGCTCGACAAGTTCGGCAAAAAGATGGGCATGAGCGTGGCGCACGGCTTTGCCGGCGGCGTCGGATTGTGAGTGCAGCCCGAGTGGCTTCTGCCGCGCATCTGACGCATCGCTCACCTTCGCCCCTGCGCAGTGGTCTTGCACGCAACATCTTCTGAGACCGCCGCTGCTCTCGCAAGCGCACTTCCTCGGCCCGCCATCTGTAGTGCAGCACGGCCTTGCTCTTCTCTCGGCCTGGTCCTGGGCGGCCCTCTCTTTCTGCGCATGTCCCTCATTTCTTCTTCGACTTCTTCCCCTGTTTACGACACGGTCACCTCTTCACGCCTTCACGTCCCAGCCACGCTCTCAATGCAAATCATGACAGCGGCATGTTGACAGTGACAAAGCGCAGCCCGACCCGGTGTAATGTGGGCTGGCGCGGATGTAGGGGGCGCGGGAGCATCAACTGGCCTCACTGGCCAGCGGCGCCTTCACGATGAGTCTGCCGCGATGCGCTGTGTCAGCGCCGTTTCGTTTCGACCTGCGGCTCGAGACCACTCACCCATTCTCGACGAGCTCCATGCGCAGCAGCAGCGCCTTTGCAGCGCGCACGCGCTTCTGCCCCACCTCGATGGCATTCTCGAACAGCGCCGTGCGCTCATCAACGCGCTTCGTCTCCAGCACCTGTGCGGCGTAGTCCATGTCAGCGATCCCTGGCCACATGTGACGCCCGGAACTACACACCATGCGACTCCAGTCGATGCGCGCCTCCAGCTTGCCGGCCTGGATGAGCGCGACGAGCTTCTCGAGCGTGTGCTCGCTGTCCCAGCCGAACGCAGCTGCCATGCGCTCGACGGCCACGCTCTCGAAGGGCGCACAGAACTGCTGCAGTGCACGCTGCTGCAGCGCGTCCGTCAGGTGGCCGAGATGCGGCGCGAGGTAGACGTCGAGCTGATGCCGGCTCTGCAGAAATTGCTCAGCGATGTGGAATCGAGCGCGCAAGAATCACCGAGCGCACCTTCCACACATCGAGCAGGTCCAGCGCACGCTTGTAGTCGCACGCTGCAAATGCCTCAAGCAGCTGCCGCACGTGCGGTGCATGCTCGAGGAAGGGACGGAAGGACGCACGCTCCACCACCTCGCTCTTGAGCGTCGAACGAGGAAAGGTGGCCAGCGCACAGAAGACGCCGTAGAGCGCAATGTCGGCGGGAGACAGGATCTGAGAGGAGCCTGTCAGGCACGGCGAACTAGGCCAGCGCGCGGCTACTCACGTGCGCGATTTGCTCAGCGCCTGCTCCGGCTGCCGAAGGATCAATGGCGAGGAAGGCCCGGGCTGCGCGCTCGTAGTTGCCCATGCCCAGCTGCGCCACAGCGCCCGCAGCTGCGAGCTTGGCAGTGAGGTCTCTCAGGCCCTTGCTCTGCGCCGCCTTCTTGCGCAAGCTCTCGGCGTTGGACGATGCCACGCTCTCCGACGCCTCGTTGCCCACGGATCCACCGGCGCGGAAGAGGGCGCCAATTACATCGCCGCCGGGCGTCGGACCACCGCGCGCGGAAGGCACACCCGTGGCGCTGCTGAAGCTGCCCGAGTGCTTGGATGCCGACGCAGCTGCAGCAGAGGGGTTGTACGACTCCAGCACGCCCTCGGCCTTGGAGACGAATGTGGAGACGTTGGAGAAGTTGTGTAGCTCCAGCGAGACCTTCACAGACCGGTCAGCCCATTCCTTGAGAGGCGCTGGCGCCTGAGCTCACCTCAATGACGCCGAGACACATCTCCACGACATGCTCGCTGGTGGAGCAGAACTCGCGCGTGCGCGTGTAGCACTTGAGCGCATCGCTCAGCTGGCCGCAGTCGCGCAGCCAATTGCCCAAGTCGCGGTGTCCAATCTGGTGGCTGCATCAGCATCACTGCGTACGCGAACAATCTCGTAGGACTCACACGGATGCTCTCCTTGATCATGTTGTTCTGATAGCCGCGCAGCTCCATCTCGAGCTTCTCCGTCGTGCGGCGCTGCTCCTGCTCCGCCTCGGCCATCCAGGCGCGGTCCTCGGGCGGCACGCGCTCGGCGGCCGGGCGCAGCGCCACGCCGTCGGGCAGCGTGTTGCGCACCAGCGCCGCCGACGAGTAGAGGTGCGCATCGGGCGTCTGGCGCAGCAGCGCCAGCGCGGCATTGGCGCACGGCAGGCGCAGCGAGGGCGAGTGCAGCGCGAGGAAGAGGAGGCGCGAGATGCGTGTCCGGCCTGGGGTGAGAGTGAGTGTGGGCTCCGTGCTGCTGAGCTGCGGCAGAGCTGACCTGTGTATGCCGCGCTGGACGTCGCACAGCCTGCGTCAGCCTGTCCTGTTGGGCGTCGCGTCCTCCAGGCCGGGCTCACATGTAGCTCTCCCAGTCAAAGGTGTCGTCGTCGCGCACGATGATGTTGGCACGGCCGGCGGCGAATGAGCGGGACGACGAAGAGGCGCTGGCGGCGGCCTCGGGCGCGAGCAGGTGCGCCATGGTGCGGTGAGCGTGGGCGAGGAGGCGCGAGATGAGGTGGAGAAGCGCAAAGTGGAGCGCCGCGCGAGCGCTTGCTCACGCACCTGCACGGCGCACAGACCCTGGCCGCGAAATGCACAAGCTCGAAGCTGCCGCGAGGCATGCGCCCAGTCGCGCTCGCGCACGGGCCACCCCGCCGCGACACTAAATCCGGCCGCCTGACGTCACGCAGCGCGAAGCTTCGAGCCCGGCCAGCGAAGAACAGCCGCAGCGAGAGGGGGTCAGATGCTGTGCAGAGACGTCAAGAGAGGCCAACGATGACGAGCAGGACACTCTTTGGCAGGGCAGGTTGGCAATCATGACGACAGGCGACGTTGAGGGCCAGCTCAGGAGGAGGGAGGCAGCTGCGTGGCCATCCCGCTTCCCCTCCGCGTGCGCGCCAAGCCGCAGTGGAGCGAGGGAAGGAGCGCGAGGCTCCGCGGCGTCGGCTCGGCTGTCGTGTCAAGGCAGCGCCACCCCGACGCAGGACAGGTGGCCCGGGCATAAGTAGCCGCACCGACAGGCCGCTCCAACCTCGCCTCCCAACCACCACCTCACCCACACCACACCAAGCACCCCACCCACGCACTCATCCACCATGGCCGGCAGCAAGAAGATCCTCGTCGTGTTCACGTCGCACACCAAGTGCGTGGGTCGGCGGCGTGCCGCACTGCCCGGCTGCTTGCTGACGCGCGCCGCAGGATGATCGACAACGACCACCCGACGGGCTACTACCTGCCCGAGATTGCGCACCCGGCCTACGCCTTTGAGCGCGCCGGCTACACGCTCGACGCCGTCAGCCCCAAGGGCGGCGAGGCGCCGCTCGACCAGGCCAGCGTCGATGCCTTCAAGGACGACAAGGAGTGCCAGGCGTTCCTCAAGAGCGACAAGTGGCAGGCCTGGGTCAAGAACACGGGCAAGCTCAGCGACGTGCCCGCCGACGGCAAGGGCTACGATGCGGTGCGTGCCCGCAGCGGCACAGCGTGGCGATGCGTGGCTCACATCCCGGCTGCAGATCTTCTACCCCGGCGGCCACGGCCCCTGCTTCGACCTGCCCGTCGACGAGCACAGCAAGGCGCTCATCAAGGCCTTCTACGAGTCGGGCCGCCCCACGACGGCCGTGTGCCATGCTCCCGCTGTCGTGCGTATGCCTCTGCGTCCTGCGCCTTCCGCACAAGCTCACCCCCCGCTTAGTTCACCGACGTCAAGCTCTCCGACGGCTCATACCTGCTCAAGGGCAAGAAGGCCACCTGCTTCACCGACGCCGAGGAGGAGCAGGCGCAGCTCACAAAGGCCATCCCGTGGCTCGTCGAGTCGCGCATGGTCGAGCGCGGCTGCGACTTCTCCAAGACCAAGCCGTGGGGCGAGCACGTCGTCGTGGTGAGTTGTCGCGCGTGGTGCATCCGCTGCGCCCATCGCTCATCGCCATGCTCCAGGACGGCAACCTGCTTACGGGCCAGAACCCGGCGAGCGCCGGCCCGCTCGCGGAGAAGATCATCGAGGTGCTGAGCAAGGCCTAGGCGTGCCCAGCTGACTGCTCTCGCCTGTGACCCTACTACTACCACCGCTACTGCTCCTCTACTGCTTGCAATCGACGCATGAACACCTCACAGCATCTGACACACGCTCCTTACCCGTGTACCGCTGCGTGCACAGCCGGAGTGCTGCATGGCCTGTCGCGCGTGCACGGGTTTGCAGCGCATTCCGGCCTTGAGCCTCGCTCGACGCTGCGGCACCAAGGCTGACCTCTGCGTGCCTTTGGCTGCTAGACCTGATTGCGTGACATTGTACAGATGAGAAGCTCTATGCGTGGCCGGCGCTACTTGGGACTGATCATGACCCAGGCGGCTGCGGCGAGGATGACGGCGCAGCCGAGCAGGGAGAGAGGGTGCAGCGGCACGCCGAGGATGGCCGACTGGAAGATGGCGCTGTAGATGGCCTGCGAGAACACTGCGAAGACCATCAGCCCAGCCCCGCGGCACTCCATGACACAGAAGACTCACCGAGCAGCGTCGCGCGGCCCGCCTTCTCGCGCTGCAGTCCCAGCGCCGCAAGCACCTGGGCAAAGAAGCCAAAGACGCCAATCGCCAGCAGCACGGCGCACCACAGCCAGCTCGGCGGCACGCTCCACGTCTCGTCGAGCACGCTGGCGCCGATGTAGCTGACGATGGAGGCGTAGAGAGAGAAGGCGGCCACGCTGTGTGTGGCGGTGGAGCGGCGGCCTATGTGCCGGATCGTGGTGTATGCGCCTGCGCTTCCCAGCACTCCCACGAGGGCGACGCTGGGATCCTTGTTAGTCGGGGGAGATGCGGCAAGGATGCAGGGTCGACTTACACGACGGCTCCGAGGCGCTCAGCCTCCGTGGGTCCCCGGCTAGTGGGCACTGCGCCATCGCGGCCGACCATGGAGAGGGCACGCGTGGCCAGATCCACCAGTGCCTCGGGCACGGGCACGGGCACTGGATCGGGCACGTTGCCGAACAGTACCGCTGGCCGTGCAATCAGCACGACGCCGAGCAGCGAGACGATGCCGGCAAAGGCTTCGCGCATCGAGAAGGGCTCTGCCATCCTGCGTCAGCCAAGTGGGAGACTGCCCGGCCCGTCGTCTCTCACCTCCGAGAGCGACGGCTGCGAGCAATGCAGTAGCAAGCGGCGCAAGAAACGTCAGGACCGTGGCGTCGGACAGCGAGAGGTACTGCAGGGAGTAGTAGCTGGCGGCCAGGGTGTCAGCCTTGGCAAGCATACATCTAGAGCACAGCCGACTCACAGGCCAAACAGCCCCATGTACCCGCTGACGCCGCGCAAAGCCAGCAGCCAGCGCACCTCTGGCGGCCCCAAAAACGGATGCGGAATCTTGCGTGCCACCATCCAGGCGCTGCAGAGTAGCCAGGTGATGCTCATGCGGAAGAAGATGGTCTGCAGCGCCGAGATGGGCACGGAGCCCGCGGGCAACGGCAGCGTGTAGAGCAGCTTGAAGCAGAGCGCCATGAGGCTGCGGGAAGAGCGTGAGCCCAGCGCGCCCGCTGGTCGGCAGTCTCGCAGACTCACGAGTAGAGCAGCTGCGCGCCGGCCACGTACACGAGCCCCTCGTTGGCACGCAGGCCGGCGGCGAAGCGCGCGGCAAAGTTGTGCCGGCGCGCCTGCTGGCGTGCGGCGTCGAGCGAGGCCTGCTTGGGATGCCGCCGCTCGGCCGGCTCGGCGGCGGCGGCAGCGGCAGGCAGCGAGGGTGCGGCGGCCTCGAGGTCCGGCTCGAGCTCGTCGCTGCCGAGCAGCGGACTGTGCTCTGGCCCCTTGTCGACGCGCGCGCTACGCATCGTGGGCGAAGGCAAGCCTGCAGACGGGAGGAGCGGTGAATGCAGGCGACAGAAGAGGGCGTCGGAGGCGGCGTGTGCGATGCGGAGGGGTGTGCAGCGGAGATGTGGTGGAGTGAAGGAGGCGTCTGCTGCCGGCTCGAGCGGAGAGGCGAACGGGTCCAGCTGAGCTGCAGCAGGCCGCGGCGATATTCCCGTCTTGGCGCATGGGCAGCGCGAGCGCCTCTCCCTCTCTCCTCGGTCTTCTCGCTCAGCCGCCTTGACTCTTCGCCCCTCTCGAGTCGGCAGAACGTGCGCCTCGAGAGCCACTCAGCGCCTCACTACAGCTCGGACCCCTCGGAGGCCGGCGCAGCGCAGGCGAGGCCACGGGCGCAAGGCGTGACTCGCGCGGCCGGCCGGCCGGCTCGGCCTTCGTGCCGCCGCGCGGCACGGCAAAAGCGCTTCCCACGCCTCTGCTCTGTCGCACGAAAGAAGCGCCGCGGCGCCGAGCGCCATCCCGCTGCCCGCATCGCCGCCTCTTCCTGCCCTCCCCTCCACCACCCGCTGCGCCGCCTCCAGCATGCCCAAGCCCTCGGCGGGCGACAGCTCCTACGCCGACACGGGCACGTCGGCATCGGCGTCGGCCGCCGCCTCGTCGCCGCCCGACGACCACATCGTCGAGTCGCACTCCTTCCGCGGCTACCGCTTCGCCAGCGGCGCCTGGGTGCACAAGCGCGACGCTCCGCACGCCGCCGTCGCCCTGTGGCACGCCGGGCGCGAGCAGCGCGAGCGCCGCAAGCGCGAGCGCCGCGAGCGCATCGAGCGCGAAGAGGCACGCGCCAAGAAGCGCGCCCGCAGCAGCGCTGCAGACTCGGGCGCCGGCAGCCAGGAGCCGGCGGTGAGTGGGCGGCGCAGGACGGCCGGCTTGCACAGGGCGCTCACAGCTGACGCTCTCCGCAGCAGCGCAAGCATGCGCGCCGTGCCAGCCCCGAGCCGTCGGCCTCGACGTCGCAGATGTCGTCGCAGCGCTACTCGTGCGGGCAGGATCCCATCGTCGTCATCCCGCCGCGCCCACACGCCAAGCAGCGCAACGTCGGCATGCCGCTCTCCAGGCAGAACCTGCCCGACTCGTCGCACTCCGGCTCGTCACGCTCTCGCTCGTCTGACTCACAGACGGGCTACTACTTCGCCAGCAGCCGCGAGGGCAGTCGTGAGCCCTCGTCAGAGCAGGAAGCAGAGCAGCAGGCGTCGCAGCCGGGCCCATCCACTGGCCCGAACGAGGCCGCGGAGCAGTCGTCGCCGGCTGCCGCGCAGCATCCGATGTGGAACAACGTCACACAGTCGGTCGAGTCTCCCTCGCAGAGCCAAGTCGCGCAGCCGGCGCCGCCTCGGCACAACGGACATGCGCCGCTGCGGCGCATCGGCGCCGAGACGTTCGTCGCGCACCTGGCGGGCCAGGAGGAGCGACAGCGCGCGCCGCCGCCGCAGCATGCACCGGGCTCTTCTGCGCGCCAGGCATCGCCGGCTTCGTCGCCAGTGGAGCACTTCTCCTCGCCTCCGCAGAGCCCGATCAGACAGGTGCGCGCTCCTGCTCCTCCGGCACGCCTCTCGCGAAGCATCGTTCCGCCGCCGAGTGAGGAGGCACGAAGAAGGGCCGCGCTCACCACACCGGTTTTCGATCCGAACCTCGACGACGATCTGCTGCGCGCACAAGTGGATGCCGCGCGGCTGGTCACGATGAACCGACAGGAGGCGCGCAGGCAGAGGCAAGAGGCAGAGCTAATGCAGGCTGAGCTGCGCGAGCTGGCCGCGGAAGCTGCAGGCGCTGGAGACGAGGACGAAGACGAGGACGAGCTGGCGGCGTTGCAGCGCGAGGCCGCAGAGGCCGAGTTGGCAGCGTCCGCGCCAGGACCGTCGCGCTCTGCGCGCGCATCAAGGGCGGAGCCTCCAAGCTCCTTCCCGCCGCCCTCTGCGCCTTTGCCAAGGCAGCCTCCGCGTACTTCGACGCCTGCCCGGCCTGCGTCACGCCTCGCGTCGAGTGAATCGCCGCCCTCGATTCCGCCCACGCTCTCCGCGCCCGCGCCGCTGCAACCCGAAGAGATCGAGGCCGACCCCTTCGCCGCTGCGTCCGTGTCGCGCATCTGCGCGCTGGTCACGGAGTCGCCCTACATTCCGCCATTCCTCAAGGGCGAAGTCTCGCGCTTCGTCCTGCGCCAGGGCGCCGTGCTGCGTGCCGCTGCTGCGGGTCTGTCGAGCGAATCGCAGGAGGACGAGTCGGAGACGCAGGAGGACGGCTTCGTGCGGACCAAGGCCGAGTGGTTTCTGGAGCTGCAGCGCGGCAGCGAGGAGGCGCCGTACTTCATCCTCGCGCTCTTCATTGAGGAAGGCACGTACGGCGTGCAGCTGCTTGACGAGGAGCGCGTCAAGGCCGTCTATGCCGACCCAAGCTACGATCCGTGGCTCGACCGCAACGGCCGGCCTTTCGTCATTCGCGGACTGCCCGGCCCTGTCGCGTGCGCAAGCATGAGCAGCTTCACCAACAGCGACGAGAGTGCAGCTCTGCGCGCCGAGCGCGACACGCTTGCTGCGCAACTCGAGCGCGAACAGAGCGCCGTCGCAGCGCTCAAGACGCAGCTTGACAAAGCTAGCTCAGGGCGCGCAGAGGCGGAGAAGCAGGAGAAGTTTGTGCGCGAGCTGCTCGACAATGCCTCGGAGGCCGCGAAGCGAAGCACGGCGGAGGCGCGCGAGGCGGAGAAGCGCGTCAAGGAGCTGCAGGAGCAAAACGCACAGCTGCGGTCGACGCTGAACGAAGGCCTGCAGAACTTCCATACCGCGACAGCGGCACAGCGACAGCAAGTCGAAGCACGCTGCAAGAAGCTCGAGGCGCAGGTCGCTATGCTGACGGAGCTGGCACGCTTCACCGATGGCCCAGTACGCGAGCGGGCGGCGCTGTGGGAGGTGCACGTGGAGCGAGAGCGACAGAAACAGGAGGAGGTGGCACGCAAGCAGGCGATCATGAGGGCGGAGAGGGAAGAGCACAGGAAGCGACTGATGCTGCTCGGCCAGCAAGCTAGAGCGCCGGTCGCCGAGCAAGCATCTGCGGTGCGCCCGCTCTCGGCTGAGCGCCACGTCGTCTCGCCTCCGCTCTCACCGGTGCTGCCTTTGGATGATGACTCGGAGTCGGAGGATGAGCTGGCAGCTCTGGCTGCCGAGGCGGCGCAGGCTGAAGCCGCGGAAAAGGCTGCCGAGCCGGCGCGAGAGCCAACAGCATCGCCGACGCAGTCCCAGCAGCGCCATGCCGCAAGACTCGAGGAGATCGAAGCCGAGGCCGAGGTCGAGGAGCAAGTCGCTCCTGCTGCTCCGCCGATCCAAATCGAGCCGATGCAAGAAGACAATCCGCCCAGGGAGGCCTCCACCCATTTCCTTCCGACGACACAGGCGCCTCCACAGTCATCTGCCACATCGTCCTACTCGATCGACATGCCTACGCAGTCCGGCCGGCCGCTCTTCCGCACCACGCCATCCCCGCCTCGTGCGTTCCGCGGCGAGTCGCGCTTCGCCTCCGAGGCGCGCGAGATTCTCACGCAGGAACTGGCGGCCAGTGCCGTCGAGGTTGCGCGTGCTGCTGCATCTGCTCGTGCGAGCCACGCACATCTGCCGGCAGACGTCGCGCCCGGCGCGAATGCGGCCGTGCGAGAGGCACAAGAGGAGATGGAGTATGCGCTCAGCGGTGCCGCGCGCGCCACGCCGCCGGGTGCCGTCTCTCTCGACAGTGCAGCAGCTGCAAACGGACAGCTGGGAGGCGCACAGGACGCACGCGCGTCGAGTGCCGAGGAGGGCGAGCTCTCGGACACGGGGATGGAAGACGACGAAGCACGCATGGCGCGCATGCTGCTGGCTGCTTCGCCGATCGAAGAGGATGTCTCGCGTGCGGGGCGCGATGGCGTTGATGTGAGTGTAGCAGCTCGAGCGCGACTGAGAGTCTAGTCTCTGACCCCTTTGTCGCAGCCCCGCTTCCGCGCCGATGCCTTTGCTCGGTATCCCTACTAGTCTGCCTGCTCTCGAGCAGCCGCGCTCTCCTCGCTGTTCTCTGCGTCACGCTCTGCATCTGCAATACCCACGAGTCACTCTATTGCTTCTTCGTCGTGGCGTCGCGGTCCTTCTTGAAGCGCTCCACCCACTCCTTCTCCTTGTCGCCCTTGGGCAGCACAATGAGCGAGAGGATGCCATCCTGCAGCACGATGCCGTCTCGCGGCGCGCCTGTTTTTGGATCCGCATCCTTGGCGCCCTGGTCAAGCAGCTGGCGCAGCGAGAGGGCGCGGCCAACGCGCAGCAGGCGCTTGCCGTGCGTGCTGGCATACACGACGAGATTGCTCGCCACGTACTCCCGTCGCTCGTCCCACGGCGGCGGCGGCGCAGTGGCCGAGAACATGGCATCGAGGTGGTCGCCGATCGTGCTGTCCTCGTGGAAGTGCGAGATGAAGTCGGACTGCGAGTGTGCCGGATAGAGGAAGAAGAGAGGGAAGATGAGCGGCGTGCGCACCCAGTCTGGCGGCGTCCAGGAGGTGTTGGAGAACGGCAGCGTGCTGCGTGAGGAGGACGGCAGCGCCTCGGGATCGAAGTGTGCCGGCGTGGGGTTGTCTGGCGGCTGTGGCGTCACCTCGACCCAGAGGCCACGAGCCTGCGGGCGTGGTGAGCAGTGCTCGAAGCACCACGTCTGGCATCACTCACCAGCAGCGCCCGGTCCAGCGCCAGCTTGCCCTCCTTCTCTCTCCGCTCGCGCTCCTTCTTCTCCTGCGCCGCCTTCTCAATGGCCGCCTGCCGTGCCTGCACCTTCTTGCGCATCGCCAGGAACGCCTCGTTGGCCGGCTCGAGCAGCAGCGCGTGCTCACAGCAGTCGAGCGCCTCGACGAGCTTGTCGAGCGCAAAGAGGGCCCGCGAGGCGCGGTAGAATGCTTTCGTGTTCTTGGGGTTGAGCGCCAGCACGGCGGACGTGTCGCGCAGCACCTGGCCGTAGTTCTCTGCAGCGGGGCGTCAGCGTGTCCCGCCAGCACGAGCTCGAGCACGACGCACGCAGCTCCATGTTGCACGCGGCACGGTTGCCCAAGCACGCCTCGCGCAGCATGGCATTCTCGGGGTTGGCGTCGAGAGCCTGCGAGTAGAACTTGGCCGCCTCGCGGTAGCGCTTGCCCGCGAAGTACTCGTTGCCCTGCGCCTTGAAGTTCTGCGCGACCTCTGCAGGAGTGTGAGCGGAGAGACAGCAGCGGCAGCGCATACAGACTCACCATCAGGCGTGCCGTCGTGCGCCAGGCTCTGCAGCGCCTCGAGCGCCGTGTTGGCGGCGTCGCCCTCCTCGGGCGCGGCGCCCTCGGCGGGCAGGTCCTTCATGAAGAGCGGCAGCGAGTCGAAGGACCTGAGCTGCTCCTCGACGCTGCGCCCGGGCGCCGGCGCCGATGCAGCAGCGACTGGCGTGGTCTGTATGGCGGCACATTCAGCCGGGGTGCTGCGTGCTGCCGCGGGCCACGCACCATGCTGGGCAGGGAGAGGGAGCGGGGGAGTGTGGGGCGAGAAGGAAGCGCGAGATCCGCGGCCAAGCCAAATTTCGATACGGCCGCACGGCAGTGGAGGTACCGCGGCACGTGACAGCCTAGCGCTGTGAGGCTCTACTTCTCTCTGCTGACCCATGGCCTCACGTTGATGTTCTGCAGCACTCTTGTGCTCCATATCTCCCCCTGATATGCCTCCAGCACCTCACAGGTGTGCACGCAGCAATGCCTCATACACACAGGACCTTCTCTGCCCCCAGCATGGCAAGGAAGTCCTCTCCCAGACTCGGACCAGGGATCTTGCAATGAAAGGCAGCTGCAGGGGAGCAGCGCAGTTGCAATTGCACGCTGTAGCCGCTTAGCCAAGAAGACAGGGGTATCTACAGGGGATGGCTGCCTTGCTGGCTCTGATCTCAGGCAGGTCAAGGGGCCAGATGGCCTGATTTAGACATGCCAAGGCCACTGTACCTGCAACTGAGGGGCACTTTACCGTCTCTTTGCAGGTCAAGGGCACTCTACTGTCAGGCACACCAATGCTGACTTCACTGTAGCTGCAGGCACACCACTGCTGGTGCCTCTCCGGCCCACACTATGGCTGCACCTGCAATGCTGCGGTACTTTGGCTGCTAGTAAACCACTGATGACTTCTCTTCAGCCAGCCTACGGCAAAAGCCAGTTCTATTGTACAGCAGTGGAGGTGGTTGCAGCACGTGACCGGCGCTGCCTCGGGCCAGCTGTCCCACGCCGGCGCCGGCGCAGCACACGAGCCGCGGCGCCGTCCCCGCGGCGTGCGTGATGCAGCACGGCGCGGCGGCGGCGCAGAGACCTGGACGCGCTCCGCCCTCGCGACGCGGCGCGTAACCCTGAGCGGCCCTCGCCTGGAGCGTGGCTGCTGCTTGCCTCCCACCTCCACCTCCTTCACCCGTCCGACGCTCGCACCTCACCTGACGACCTCTCACGACCGTACCTCTCGCCGCTTGCGCGCCGCTGCATCGGCAGCCGTCCCCGCACACTCCGCTCGCACAGACGCGTTTCCACCAGCCGTGCTGCTCTGCGCTCTGCCGCCTGGCGCCGCCGCCTCTGGTGTGCGCAGCCCCGGCGCCCCAGCGGCGATTGCGGCGCTAGCAGTGCCGTCCGGTGCGATGCCGGCGCTCGCTCGCGCGCCTCGTCTGCAGTCCGCCTCGGGCAGCGAGTTCTCCTTCCCGGCGAGCGACGACGATGAGAGCGTGCGTCGTGTCTGGCTCGGCGCCCGCGTGCGACATCTGGCTGACGTGCTCTCCCTCGACAGCTCGTCGACTCGCTCGTGTCGCCGGCCAAGCGCGCCTTGGAGCCGGTGCGCGCCTCGAAGCGGCGGCGCGCCGAGCGTGCACCAGCGGCGGCCAGCGCGGTAGCGGGGCCGAGCGGCAGCACGAGCAAGAGCGCCAGCGCCAGTGCGAGCGCAAGCACGAGCGGCGGGCCGCGCAGCCGCAGCAGCACGGCCGGTGCACCACGCCGCAAGGCGCGTCCGGACGTGATGTGCGCCTTTTGCGGCGCGACGGCCAAGATGGGGCCGCGCGCTGGCGCAGAGGGCATGCTGAGCTGCGCCGAGTGCGGAAGCAGCGGTGAGTGGAGCCAGTGCGGCGGCTGGGCGGCGAGCCAGGCTCATCGGCGTGCCCGTCTGGCGCAGGCCATCCAACCTGCATGCAGTGGCCGCGCAACTCGCGCAAGGCCCTCGTGACGCGCGAGTACGAGTGGAAGTGCATGGAGTGCAAGACGTGCGAGATCTGTGCGCTGCAGGGCGACGACGTGAGTGACGGCCGGGGAAGGAGAAAAGCTGCGCAGGCACTGATCAGAGGCGCGGTGCGCCCACAGACCAAGCTCATGTTCTGCGACCGCTGCGACCGCGGCTGGCATCTGTACTGCCTCAACCCGCCGCTGGCCAAGCCTCCACGTGGTGAGCTGCGCCGCGACACAATGCGCTGCAGACGAGGCTGACAACGCCCTCTGCAGGCCTGTGGACGTGTCCAACCTGCACTCAGCTGGGCGACCACGTCTCGAAGGTGCTGACAGCGAGCGCGAGCAACCGCGGCGTGGGCGCTCAGGCAACGCCAGGCCACTCGGCGCGCAGCTCGCCGCTCGCCAGCTCGTATGGCGTCTGGGAGTCGGGCGCAGGCGAGAGCAAGTACCCAGGGCCGATGCGCGCCTCGTCGCCGCGGCCCAGCCATGCCGCGTCAGGCTCTTCGCCGCAGACGGCAGCAGCTATGCGAGCCAAGGGCAGCGCTGCCAAAGCAGGGCGCAGTGCGGCAACGCTCGGCAAGGGCAGACGCGAGAGGAAGCGGACAGATCCGGAGAAGAGCTTCGAGGTGCACACGCGCGCCAGCAGCTCCTCGGCGCCGGGCAGCCCTGCGCCTACACCGGGTGCGTCGCGCAAAGGCGCGCGCAAGGACGAGACGCCACTGCAGAGCCGAGGCAAAAGAGCTGCTGCATCAACCTCGCAGCGCAAGAGCCGAGCGCTGCAGCAGCTCACTGTCCTCTCATCATCCTCTTCCGACGAGGAGCAAGACGCAGAGGCGGAGAGCGATGACGATCCGCTTGACGTGCTGCCGCCCGGGAGCGCAAAGGCGCGCAAGCGCAAGGCAGGCAAGCATGCTGCTGCGCGTCCGCGCCTGGCCTCTGAGACACCCAGCGAAGAGGAGGTAGAGAGCGAGGAGGAAGAGCCCTTTGGCGGCATCTTGGTCGGCGCAGAGGCAGACACGAGCAAGACGAAGCCGATGCCGGAGGATGTGGCGCGCTTCGAGGCGAGCAAGCGGGCTGCCGAGGTGAGTCCTGGCCGCTCCATGGCCGACGGCCTGTGCTCACGTCTCGGACAGGGCCAGCTGGGCGGCGAGGTCGCGTCGCTGCCAGGCACGTCCTCTGGACGCGTGCCCAAGCGTCCCGGGCTCGCCTCGTCATCCTCTGCTGCTGCTGGCTACTTTACAGGCTCGCCGTGGGCCGGCACGGGCTCAGTGTCCGAGGCCTCGCGGCGTGCGGCGCTCGGGCCGGCCGCGGCGCCGCCTGCTTCCCCGTCTCTGCATCCTCTGCCCGGCACTGGCGGCTCGCTCGCCATGCCAGCTACGCCAGCTACGCCAGGCACACCTGGCATGCCTGCCTCTGCCCTCCCGCCCTCTGCCGTCGCCGGCTCCTCGAGTGCGCGTGCGGCCGAGTCGGGCACCGCGCTGCCGATCAAGACGATCCGCTTCGCAGACTTCGACATCGACACTTGGTTCCAGGCGCCGTACCCTGAGGAATACTCGCTGGTGCCCGACGGGCGCCTGTGGATCTGCGAGCACTGCTTGAAGTACATGAAGAGCCGCTTCGTCGCCATCCGCCACAGGGTGAGTGCTCCGCGTACGCGCTGACGGACTCACGCTGACTCCGCTGCAGACCAAGTGCAAGCAGCGGCACCCGCCAGGCGACGAGATCTACCGCGACGGCAACGTGTCGATCTTCGAGGTTGACGGGCGCAAGAACAAGGTGTGTCCTGCTGGGCTGTCCGTGCATCCTCGCGCTCACACCTTGCGCAGATCTACTGCCAGAACATCTGCCTGCTGGCCAAGATGTTTCTCGACCACAAGACGCTGTACTACGACGTCGAGCCGTTTCTCTTCTACGTCGTCACCGAGACAGACGGGGCGGGCGCGCACTTTGTGGGCTACTTCTCGAAGGAGAAGCGCAGCCCAATGAGCTACAACGTCTCGTGCATCATGACGCTGCCGATCCGGCAACGCCGTGGCTGGGGCAACTTCCTGATCGACTTCAGTGAGTGGTGCAGAGCGACGTGCAGTGGTGCGTGCTGACATAGTCGCTGCAGGCTACCTGCTGTCGAAGAAGGAGGGACGCGCCGGCTCGCCCGAGAAGCCGCTCTCCGACCTCGGCTTGCTCAGCTACCGCAACTACTGGACGCTGGCCGTCTTCTACTTCCTTGCCCAGGCGCCGAGTCGCATCACGTTCGACGGTCAGTGCGCCCCAGGCCAAGCTGTCCTGCTGTGCTGACACTTCACCGCAGACATCAGCAAGGGCACGGCGATGACGCACGAGGACATCTTCTACGTGCTGCGCGAGCAGGACATGATCACCGTGCATGACCCGTCGCGCGCTCGTTCGGCGGGCTCGCCGACGGCTGCAGCAGGGACGGGTGCCGCAGGTGTGGCGCACTCCTCGCGCGACCGCTCGCGGCGCGGCCGGCCGCGCTCGGGCGGCGCTGCGGCGAGCCGTGCGGCGCTGAAGCAGCGCGACAAGGAGGCGGCGCTGGCCGTGCCCGATGAGTACGACATCCACTGGGACCGCGCCTACGTGCTGGCGCACCTCAAGAACTACGAGACGAAGGGCTACCTCAAGATCAAGCCGGAGCGCCTGCACTGGACGCCGTTCCTCGTGTCGCGCAGCTTTGCGGCCGCCGCGGCGATGGCGGGCGCCGACGAGGCCAGCGGCCTGGGCCTCAGTCTCAGCCTCGACGCCGTGGCTCCGCTTGCGGCGCTGCGCACCGGACCCACGTCGCCGCAGCCCAAGCCAAGCGCGGCCTCCGAGCACATGACGTCGCCCGCGCAGCCGGTCAGCGGGCCGAGCTCGCCGCGCATCGTGCTCAAGCACAGCACGTCGCCGCTCGTGCGTCGCAACGCCGGCGCGCCGGCCGGCTCGCCGACGCCTGGCGCTGCACCGCGCGTCCTGCGCAACTCGCCGGCTCAGCCACGGGTGATCGTGCCGGCGCCGAGCGCTGTGCCCGCCGCTGTGCCGAGCGAGCTGGCTGTGAAGCAGACGCAGGAGGAAGAGGAGGAGGTCGCGGCGGCGCGCGAGCTGGGCGTCGAGCTGCGCGCCGCGGCGCCCAACGGCGCGGCGCCGGCCGAGGAGATGGACATCGACACGGACGCCGAGGGCGAGGAGGACCCCGATGCGCCCCTGCACTGATGCAATCAGATACCACGAGCCATGCTGCTGTGTGAGGAGAGGAGAGGAACCGCTGCTTTGTAATGCCGGCTGCGTGGCCGCGGCGCTGCGAAAGTCGCACGCTGCTGGCTTGGACGCGCCGCGGTCTTTTGCCGCGGCGGAGTCGCACGGGAGACGCGCAGCAGCAGCAAGTGCTCGGGCGCCGTCTTCCAGCCTTGCCTCTGCTCCACCACCACGCACTCTGCCGCCGCCATGCTCCGGCCACTATTCCGTCTGCGCCCGCTGGCGCGCTCCTCGCTCGCCGCGCTGGCGCCGCGGCCGCTGGCGCCGCTGCGTCTGGCGCCCGTCGCCCGCGCGCTGCACGTCTCGGCCGTGCGCGCCCACGGCAGCATCACCCGCCCGCCAAAGGGCGAGGGCATCCGGCTCATCTTCCGCGACGCCAAGGGCGAGGAGAAGGAGGTGCGGTGTAATGAGGGCGACGACATCCTGGGCGTGGCGCACGAGTGGGACATTGAGCTGGAAGGTGAGCACGGCGAGAGGAGCGCCAGGCGTTGCGGCGAGGCTGGCGGCACGGCTTGCCTGCACCTGCGGGCCAGTGCTGACACGCACCAGGCGCATGCGAGGGCAGCATCGCCTGCTCCACCTGCCACGTCATCCTGCCACCAGAGCACTACGATGCGCTCGAGGAGCCGGGAGACGACGAGAACGACATGCTCGACCTGGCCTTTGGCCTGACAGACACGTGAGTCTGCCGCTGCACCCGCCAGGCTCGCATGTGCGCCCATGCTGATCGTGTCGCAGGTCAAGGCTGGGCTGCCAGGTGCACGTCGACAAGTCGCACGACGGCATGGTCGTGCAGCTGCCCGCGGCCACGCGGAATATGCGCGTCGATGGCAGCAAGCCGACACATCACTAGCGGGGCAATGGAGATGACTGCATGGCTGCAGGTGCAGCGTTAAGAGCAGGACGAGATGGGAGGTTGACGTGGGATAATGCGAGGTCGGTGCCGCGAGGCAGAGAGGCGAAGAGACAGAGCGCGTTGCGCCGGGTTCAGCAGCGCTGCTCACTGCAGGTGGCTTCAATGCGCGGCCTCTGCGGCCTCTGGTTCGCGAGGCATGGGCGAGCTAGCGCCTCGTCACCGCAAATACAGATGTCCGCCTGCCCACGCCGAGAGAGTCGCCCAAGCACGCACACAAGAACGGCGTCAGATTCGGTCGTGAAGGACATGAGGGTGCGGAAAGCGGAAGACAGAGAGGGGCCACGGGACGGATGAGTGGGAGCGCGGAACATGAATGAGACGGAGAGGCAGGCGATGCGGCTTGTTGCGTCGTGCCATGATGTGGGAAGCAGCTTGCGAAGCGTCAATCACTTCGACGCACCTGCGTGCGTGCTCTTGGCGGTCGAGGCGCCCGGGATGTCGAGGCGGCGCTTGACACGTGCGATCTGCGCCACGAAGACGTCTTGGCTGGTGAGCTGCTTGCCCTTGACGCTCAGCACCGTCGTCTCGCGGCCCGCCGAGTCGATGCGCACGTCTCCCTTGAGCGAGCCGGCAGCGTGGAAGCAGGACCCGAGGATGTCCACTGCCGCCGACGCCGCCGCCGCCTCCGAAGCAAGTGCTTCAGCAGCGCAGCCCTCGCGCCAGACGTGCTTCTTGCCGCCAGCCGGGAGGCCAGCCTCCTTCGCGAGCTTCGAGAAGCCCTCGAGGTACTCGCGGACTGACTGCGGCTCGTCGGCGCCGTTCGAGGCGCGAGGGAGCTGGAGGAAGAGAGGCACAGAGGGCTGCCGAACGCCGCGAGGCTGGCGAGGAAGAGGCGCCGATGGCTTAGCGCTGAAGCGAGAGGAGTTGTCGTGACGCGAGAAGAGTGCGTCGAGGCTCTTGACATGCTCCTGCAGCGTGAGGTCAAAGAGCAGGCCTCGGTGAATCAGGAGTGCGAAGTTGCACGGAGTGACATCGAAGATCGTGTCCGACAGCGTCGAAGGACACGCAAGCAGGAAGTCGTGGGTGACCTGAGCATGACGTGAGCGAAGGACAGAAGGACGCTGCCTCGCGTGCACGCACCCCACGAGCTACGGACGGCATATTCCAATCGCCCCTCATGTTGCGAACCTTGACGATGACCTTGAAGACGCCGCTTGCCGTCTTGTCGTAGGCAGTGTGTCAGCGGATGCTGAGCAGAAGCGAGCAATGAGCCGCTGCTGCAAGTTTCTAGGGACGCGGGGCGTCCCGCACTCGCTCTCCTGACAGCAGCCGGCTGTGATGCCTGCTGTCATCACATGCCGCTGCGCTTCAATAGGAAGAGGCTGACACTCATTCCACAGGACACGTTCTCTGCTTCCCTCTGCCATCTCTCCGGCTTGAGGCCAGTCTCACCTGGAGAATGTCAAGGTCGTGAGACCACACGCCTCCGAGGGCGTCAAAGTCCTCCTTGGCCTTGTTTGCGACAAAGGATCCCGCTGGACGTCCCGTCTGGAACTAGAGAGAGATGAATGAGCATGCTGTTGCAAGCCTAGGTCCTCCGACTTGAAAGCAAGCCAGGCGCGGGTGGCTGTGGCGCCGGATTGGAGGTCTTTGCAGCGCCCAAGCGCGGTCACAGCCTGACTCACTTGTAGCTTCATCACGCACTCCAGTTGCAGGTTTGCAAGAAGATCACCCTCCCCGTCATTTAGATTGCGCAGAAGCTTGACGAGCTCCTGCTTGCCGTAGATGCCCTTGCCCTGCTGCACCTTCTGCTCGCTCGTCTGCTTCTCCTGGCCCTTCTGCTTCTCCTGGCTCTGCTGCTTGATGCTGCGCTGATCCGTGGCATCTTTGTCTCCGTCACCAGCGCGCTCCTCGTCGCTGTCCCCACGCTTCACGGACGAGTTGTGAGCGGTCGAGTCGCGAAGACGCTTGCTGCCGCCGGCCGTCTCGTCGTCGCGAGCGTGCTTGCGACTAACGCGCGGCACGGCAGAGGTGGAGGTCGACGCGCTGGCGGCGGGCGCTGCCGTGGCTGCCGACGCCGTGGCGCCGCCCTGCACAGACGAAGAGTCAGAGACGGCGGGCATGACGAGAGGCGCGGCGGAAGAGAGTGATGCAAGGTGAAGGTGCGGAACGAGGAGGCAGGCGAAGGGCGGCGGAGTGTTGGTGTGTTGGTTGGGAGGCAGGCGGCGCGCGTCTTGGCGCCACTGACGCGTTAAGTGCTCCGCGCGCGTGTCAGCCGCTGCTCGATGCACTCCACCACCACCTCTGCCCGCAGCACGCCCGGCAGGCCGTCCCCTCCGCTGTGCCAAGCGCACCTCCTCGCACCATCCAGCCTCGACTGCCCGCCATGGCGCAGCTTCCCGCCCAGCCTGCCGCGCAGGCGGCGCATGTTCAGGCGCCGGCCTCCACTTCCGCTGCTGCGCACGACGCTGCACCGCACGCCGCTGGCACCGCTGCGCTCGCGGGCGTCACTCGCAGCGACGACGAGGACAATCACATCGGGCACGCTCTCGAGTCAAATCTGATTCAGGAGGAGGATGATGAGATGGAGGAGGATGAGGATAGTGAGGACGAGAGTAGTGATGATGAGGAGGAGGAGCGCGAGTTGGCGGCAGAGGCGCGCGCGGCGGCCATGAATGAGCTGGATCTCCCGGCCCAGGGTGAGTCATGGCGCAGTTCATTTCCCTGCGATGGCCTTGAGCTCGCAGCAGCGTGTACGCCAAAGCCCGAGGTGCCTCAGCTGACCCCGTCGGCATCGCACAGACCAGTTCATGCAGGACTGTGCCGAGGCGCGCGCCCAGGCCGAGATGGACTTGATCATCTCGCAGAGCGCCCGGATTGCCCTGAACACTGCCACCAACAACATGGATGCGGAGGTGCGCGCCTACCACGAGCACTACGCTGCGCTCCTTCTCGAGCGGTACGCTAGGGTCAGGAGCATCGAGGATGCGCTGGCAGCAGGCAGGCGCTGCGACTAGTTGCGCTCCACTCCGCCACGGACTATCCTCCCGCGCTGTACACTTCCGTCCATCATCTTTCCCGTCCGTGACCTACTTCTCATGACCCTCACCATCAGCACGCGTCACCTTCGTCGTCCACGACCTTCGCCGTCCCTGTCCCTCGCCGTCCATGACCTTCACCACGCGTCACCTCCATCATACGTTCCCTTCCGTCGTTCACGGGAATCACCAGTCGCTCCGTGTTCATCGAGACTGAGTCGTGTGTACCCATGCATTGGGCAGCGGCGTGCTGCTACCGCACGCTGCCCAGCGGCGGAAAGCCGAGCGCCTCGCCGCGGGCAAGCACGAGCCGGCGCGTTTTGTGGATGACGTAGCCCTTGATGATGCCCTGCAGAGAGGCGTCAGTGCAGCGCGAGCAACGCAAGACAGCGCACTCACCTGATCAATCAAGCTCACGACGACGCACTCGACGTCGTCGAGCTCTAGCGAGTTGTCCTGCCATGCGAGCCGGACCATCGGCAGGATGGACGCGAGCGACAGATTCGGCGGTGGTGACTGTGCGCCTGGCGCAGGTGGCGGCGCCGGCGTCGCTGCACGGGTGATGAGCAGACTGGCTGCGGCGTGAGTGAAGGCAGAACGAACACTGAACGCTCGCCTCACCATCTCCGCAGCAGATTCCGCCAGCAGCCCGCCATCATGCGCTCGCGCAGCAGCGAGTAGTTGCCGTGTGCACGATGCCACTCGCGCCATCGCTCGAGCTCCTGCATCGTCGCAGCGCCGTTGCCTTTCCGCAGCGCGACAAGGAGCGCCTCAAACTGCGGCGCAAGACCGGCGGCACGCAGCAAGGGCGTCGATGGGTAATGCCCCAGGATCAGCGCCGACACGAGCAGCGGGATCAGGATCGTGCTGCAGCAGCGTCAGCGATGGCGGCCGCACGAGACACGGCCCAGCTCACCGTTTGTTCCGCGAAGACACGACGCAGTTGTCAAATGCCCATCGCAGCTGCCCGTGTGCCTGGCAGCGCAAGCAGCGCGTCAGCGTAGTCTAACGCAATGCCACTGGCGCACGCACCAGTCGTATCCGATGTTGGCTCAAGCGCAGGCGGCCGAGGTAGTAGCGGTACGTGACGCGGTCGGCACGGCTGTAGCTCGCCTCGCCCACGTCAGTGCCAATCGTGCTGACGCCGTCGTTATACGCGATGCCCGAGGCGTGTAGCGAGGAGGGCGAGAACTGTCGGTTCAGTGCGAAGGCAGAGTCGAGCGACGAGAGCACCGTGTCGCAGAGACGCAGGTTATTGAGCTGTCAACAGGGTCAGCGCTGCGACCGAGCGGTACAGGGGTCTGCTGCGGGCCGTACAGCATGCCCGTCATCCAAGGCGCCGCATTTTACTTCGATCCGCCGCTGCTCTCCTTCAGGGCGCCGCTGCTCTCCTCCACGACGTCCACGCTACTCACGCGGAAGTACGCCGCAAAGCTGCCGTTGCCCGCCCACAGCGTGTCTCGCCGGCGCGTCTCGTCTGCCGGCGCCGGCGTGCGGTCGATGGCGCAGAGGCCGACTGTCCGGCTGAGCTTCGCTGCCGCATCCATCATGGCCTTCTGCGAGCCGCCGCCGACGGCATGGTCGGCGCGCGAGGCGAGCGCCAGCAGCGTCGAGGCGAGCGAGCGCAGCACGGGGCCGAAGTACAGCGTCTCGGGCGTCGAGTAGAGGGCAAATGCCTTGCTGCAGCGCAGCGTCAGACGCGACCTCCTGCTGCATGGCGTGTCTACTCACGCATACAGCTCGCTCCAGGCCCAGTACGCCGGCGCGAACGCCTCGCGCGGCAGCAGTGCCGGGCGCGCCAGCAGCTGGCTCGGCGGCGGGTGGCCGGCCAGGTAGGCGAAGAGGGCGGCGATGAAGGCGACGAAGCGGTCCGTCTTCTTGAGCGCCAGCACGGCGGCGATCTGCGCGCTGAGGTCGACGGTCGGCGGCGGCAGCACGGCGCGGAAGTGCGGGTAGTGCGCCGGCTGGATGAGCAGCAGCGCCGCGAGCTGTGCCGGCTGCGCGTGCCGCGACGCATACGCGGCGCCGACGGTGCGCAGATAGCCGACGATGTTCTCGTTGAGCATGGTGCGGCGCGAGGAGCCGGCGCCGGCGTCGGCGGGGCGGTGTGTGTGGAGCGAAGGATCGGGAGCGCTGGCGCGTCGGAGCTGCCAGACGCCGCGCGCCGCCCGCGCCGTGCAGCAGCGCGAGCCATGGCATCTCCGCGAGCGCGCGCCCGCACATCGGGTCTGAGCAGCCGCAGGACTTGGAGCCTCTCGCAGGCTCCGTCCGTCGTCACAGGCACCCCTCATTCACAATCGCAGCACACAGCATCGCCTGCATCATCATTGCATCTCACAGGCGGCTCTTGAACACGCGCATGCCCACCGCCTCGCCCACCTCGCCCAGCAGGTGGCGCCGCACGTACGGATTCAGGAACACGCCGTCGACGTCGACGGCGGCACGGCACGCCAGAAAGTCGTCCAGGTGCGGGTAGAGGCGCGCCATCTCGGCCGCGCCCACCGTGTGCGTCTTGGCCCAGTGAGGGCGCCCGGCGTAGTGCCGCATGAGCGCCTCGAAGCGCGAAAAGAGCACGCGGTAGCGCACCGCCTGGTTGTACGGGCTGTGCGGATGGGGTCAGCGAGGTGCGGCAGGGCGTGTGAGGCGCTAGCGAACGGTAACACCGCACAATGTACCCCGCGGTGTATCGAGGAAGGCGGTGCTCTGACCGATGCAAAGGACACCAGCCAACCTGCCAATCGCCTCAAACTGTACAGGCCGAGGCCCGGCCGACGGGCCACATGCCGCTCTTCGTTGGTCGGCCTTAGTCACTCACCGGAACTGAATGACACCAATGAAGCAAGTCTTGCGCCCTTGCGCATGGCTCAGCCAGATGCCATCTGCGTCGGCGAAGCGAATCTCGACCGGAAAGTGGATGCGCTCGCCGTTTGCATCTGCCTCCTCCGCCTCCAGCCACTCTCTCAGCGCCCTCAGCGCACTGGCAGCGTGCACAAGCGGGATGGCCCACTCGCTCGTGTGCTGCGGGAAGAGACAGTCCATGTTGAAGACCTTGTGCGACGTATTGATCGAGTGGTACGTGGCGCCGGTGCCGATGGGCGGCAGTGCGCGCGAGAGGACGCCATACTTGCGTCCATTGTCAGGCGGCGGCGTGAGGAAGGCGTCGAGCGAGACGCGGTGTGCCGGTGCTGCAGGGCGCGACACGGCACCTCGCTTGGCGGCCGCACGCAGGGCGAACACTCGCGCGCCGTGCTCGCCGGCTTGCGTCACGGAGCTCGAAGAGGAAGGCGTAGAGAGCTCGGTGGTGCGCGCCACGAGAGCCTTCTTGCCGTCTGATGAGCTAGATGCCGAAGGCGACGGCGCGGCTTCGGGCAGTGAAGAGCTGGAGGAAGACGAAGGACCAGATGCAACACCTTCCTCCGTCGTCCGTCCCACGCCGCGACTGTGCTCTCCTGCTGGCGGCGGCGGAGGCACCGAGCTCGCCTTGCCGCCCGCCGACGACTCGAGCGAGGAGGCGTTCTTCGAGCTCGGGTGCGTCAACCAGAAGACAAGACGGGCGATGCGAGGAGGCAGGGCGCGATGGTAGCGCGAGACGAAGAGCAGCAGCTGGGTCAGGTCGTGGCCGACGACCCGGCCGTAGATCTTGCTACCAAGGCCGACGGGCATCGGTGGCTGCAAAGAAGGCCATGAGCGGAGATCGCCGGGAGGTGCAAGGGGACGAATGCTCTCACCTCGAATGTGCGGTCGGCGCGGAACACGGTGCACATGCGCGCCTGAGGCCAGTACATGATCTTCGCATGCTGACTGGACTGGACAATACGCTCCAGCCGCCGCTGCGCCTCGCGCGTCACCTCATCATCCTCATCGTCCTCCCGTGCCTCCTCGCTCAGCACGTCGGCGGGCAGCGGGTAGACGTGCGCCGGCGACGTCGTGCGCACGGCAGGCAGGTAAGCCGACTTGGCGGGCGGCAGACGCTCGCCGCGGGCAAGTAGCGCGCCGATGGATTGCCGTTGCGGCGCCAGCGATGCTTCGGCGCCCGGAGTAGCGCCCTTGGCGCGCGGCGAGAAGCGCGGCGTCTCGGGCGCCGCCAGCACGGCGGGGTAGCCCGTCGAGGGCCCAAAGAGGAAGTCGACCGTCATCTCCTCGCCGACCTGGCGCAGATTGAAGGCCGGCTCGACGGCCAGCTCGGCCTCCACGATGAGGCCCGTGCATCCAAGACCACAGAGCGTGGCGTTGAAGAGATCCGGGTGCACCTCGCGCGAGCAGAAGAGCACCTGTGTGCCGCCCTGGGCCGGCGGCAGCGCGACAATGACGCGCAGCGAGAGAATGGCGGCAGAGACGACGGGAAAGTTGTAGCCCGTGCCGTGCGTGGCCGTAGCGATGAGGCCGCCGAGCGTCTGCTCGGAGATGGAGCCGACGTTGGACATGGCCAGCGGCGGCGTGGCGGCGGCGAGGATGTCGTGGATGGCCGAGACGTACGTGCCAGCGAGCACGGTGACACTCGGCTTGGCGGCGTCGATCTGGCAGAACGTCCATCAGCTACGGCACCTACAGACGTTGCGCAGCGCACTCACCTGCACGACGCCCTCCATGCGCTGCATGCGCACCAGCCACTCCTTGCTCCACATGAGGTCGCTGGGACTGTGCGCGCGGCCGACGGCGCGCAGCTCCTTGTGCTCGCGGCGCGCCAGCTCGACGAGCGCCAGACACTGCTCGACGCTGCGCGGCTCAAAGAGGCGCTCGGGCGTGACGTGCGTGGTGCCGCCCCAGTTGGCGAGCTTTTTGGAGCGCACGACGCACGACGCGGCGAGCGTGTGGAGGGCACTCGAGGAGAACGTCGCGAGCGCCGTCGGCGGCGGCAGGCGGCGCGCGGCGACCGAGTCGGCCGAAGGTGACGAGGCCATGCTGGATTGTGCTGAGGTGCGGTGGTGGCTGTCGTGAGGCAAGCGGCACGCAGCAGACGGACGGGGATGTGGATGCGGGGCGGCGGGATGAGCTCATCGGCGCGCGTGACCCTGGCCGGCGCACGCCCGAGTTCCGGGGCTAGCGTCGCTGTCGGCTGGCGCGGCCGTGCAGCACCGACGCGCCGCGCACAGGCCTCCGCGCTGGCACACGAGCAGCGCGCGCGACTCCTCCGCAGCTGCCCGGACACTGCGCTGGCGCCTGGCCGCGACCCCGCTTCTTCTCGGCGAGGCCAACACCACGCATCGGCAGCGCGTCCGCCTCCCTCTCCCACCCCCACACCCCGAAGATCAGCTCGTCCGATCTTCACACAGCTTCCGCTTCACTCGCCACCGCCTCGCAGCCAACTCCCGCTTCTGCCATGTCCGCCGCCGCAGCCGCTCCCGCCGCTCCGCCCGCGCTGCAGGGCGGCGTCGTGCGCAGTGTCCTCTCCGGCGACACGCTCATCGTGCGCCCAAAGGGCGTCAACACGCCCGGCAGCGAGAGCATCGTGCACATCGCCGGCATTGCTGCGCCGCGCATGGGCAGCCGTGAGCGCGATGACGAGGTGAGTAGGCAGCTTGGTGCGGTGCACAGGCGCGCCGGCGAGGCAATGGACACACAGCAGCGCCGAGGCTGGACAGTGGCAGAGCAGACGCAGAGGAGTGGGCATTCGCTAGTGTGGCTCTCCTGGAGGGCAGCTCTGTACCCTTCGTCAATCCTGTCCACTACCCCAGGCGGCCTGTATGCCGCCGGCGTGTCTCGCGGTCGTGCAGCGTCTCCTTGGTGCTGCAGCCAACGGCGCATGCGTGATGCCTGTGCTGACGCCTGTTCGCTGCACAGCCACAAGCATTTGCCTCGCGCGAGTTCCTCCGCACGCTGCTCGTCGGCCGCGAGGTGCGGTATCGCCAAGAGTGAGTGTCGCCCAGGCGCATGCTCCACATGCCTGCTCACACGCTGTTGCAGATACGTCGTGCCTGTCGCCGGTGCAGCTCCACGCGTCTTCGCCCACGTCTTTCTGCCGCCGGAGACGCCTGGTGGACCCGACACCAATGTCTCGCACAAGGTGCTGTCTGCCGGCTGGGCCCGCGTCCACGACAGTGGCTCTCGCCGCAACGCCAACGCCACGCCTGAGGAGGAGGAAGAGGGCGGCTGGAAGGCGGTGCAGCGCCGCGTGCAGGACGAGTCCCAAAGCGCCGCGCGTGGCCTCTGGGGGCCCGACGACCTGCTGCGCGTCGAGTACAACATGCCGACCGACGGCATGGCGTTCCTGAGCGAGTGGAAGGGCAAGGAGATCGAGGCCGTCGTCGAGCAGGTCCGCGACGGCTCGATGCTGCGTCTGCGTCTCTTCCTCAGCCCGCGTCACCACCAGCTCATCAACCTCAGCCTTGCGGGCGTCAAGAGCCCGCGCGTCTCTGGCGGCGGCGGTCCCGGCTCCAACGAGCCGTCGGAGCCTTTCGCCGAGGAGGCACGCTTCTTTGTCGAGTCGCGCCTCATGCAGCGCAACGTCAAGGTCTCGCTGCTCTCCATGCCCGCACCCACCTCGGCGCCCACGCCCTTCGGCAGCAATGCGCCGACACCCGCGCCGACCGCACCCAGCATGCTCATCGGCTCCGTTCTGCACCCCGTCGGCGACATTGCTACGTTCCTCCTCGGCGCCGGCCTGGCGCGCTGCGTCGACTGGCACGCCGGCATGCTGCAGGGCGGCATGGAGAAGTACCGCCAGTCCGAGCGTGCGGCCAAGGAGAAGCGCGCCGGCATCTGGAAGAACTGGGAGCCGGCCAATGCTGGCAGCAACGGCGCCGCCGGCGCGGGCGCCGCCTCCATCCTCGCTAGCCCCGAGGCGCGCACCTTTGACGCCGTCGTGACGCGCATCATCAGCGGCGACACGCTGCAGGTGCGCAAGACGTCGCCGGCCGACTCGCCCGAGCTGCGCATCCACCTCAGCTCCATCCGGCAGCCGCAGGCCAAGGACTCGGCGCAGGCGGGCTACGCGCACGAGGCGCGCGAGTTCCTGCGCAAGCGCTGCATCGGCAAGGGTGTGCGTGTGCACATTGACTGGGTCAAGAAGCCCGAGGGCCAGTTCGAGGAGCGCCGCTACGCTACCGTGCTCACCACGACGGGCAGCAAAGAGACCAAGGGCAGCAGCGTCGGCGAGCTGCTCATCCAGAAGGGTCTCGCCACCGTCACGCGCCACCGCCGCGACGACGAAGACCGCAGCCCCGAGTTCGACAAGCTCATGGCCGCCGAGGCGTCGGCCGTGGCCGAGAAGCGCGGGCTGCACTCCGGCAAGCCGATGGACGCGCCGCGCCTTGTTGATGCCAGCGAGAGCGCCGGCAGGGCCAACTCGTTCCTTCTCGCGCTCAAGCGCGGCGGCAAGCAGGCTGCCGTCGTCGATTTTGTCGCCTCGGCGTCGCGCTTCAAGCTCATCGTGCCGCGTGAGAACGCTCGCATCACCTTTGTGCTCGCCGGCATCCGTGCGCCGCGCACGGCGCGCAACGCCAACGAGAAGGACGAGCCATTCGGACGCGAGGGCCTCGAGTACACGAGCTCGCACGCACTGATGCGCGACTGCGAGATTGCCGTCGAGGGTGTCGACAAGGTGGGCGGCTTCATCGGCGCGCTCTACCTCAACCGCAGCGAGAACTACGCGGTGACGCTGGTGGAGCAGGGCCTGGCAAGTGTGCACGGCTACAGCGCCGACAATCTCTCCTACGGCCCGCAGCTGTGTGCGGCCGAAAAGGCGGCCAAGGAGGCGCGCAAGGGCATGTGGGCCGACTGGAGCGAGGAGAAGGAGGCCGCCGCTGGCGCCTCTGCTGATGCCTCCGCCGCTGCCGCTGCTGGGCCCAGCAGCCGCACCAACGGCTGGGGAGCGCCGGCGGCACCCGTGGCAGCGCGCGACGAGTACGTCGACGTCGTCGTGTCCGACGTGCGCGGCGACGCCGGCGCCTCGGGCACCGTGCCCTTTGCCTTTTCCGTGCAGATCCTCGACGACAAGATCCAGGGCCTCGAGTCGCTGCAGGCCGAGCTCAACCGCGCCGTGCCGTCTGCGGCACCTGCCGGCTTCACGCCGCGCTCGGGTGACCTGCTGCTGTGAGTGGCGCGCCTAGTCGAGCTACCTTCACGTGCTGACCTGCTGTTCTCGACACAGCGCCAAGTTCTCTGGAGATGGCGCCTGGTATAGAGCCGTTGTCACGCGCGCCCACCCGGCACAGCGTCGCGCTGCCGTCACGATGATCGACTACGGCTCTCGGGACGACGTTGCAGTGCGTGTGCTGCTTTCTCTTTGCTCCTCGTGTTCTCACACCCACGCCCTCGCAGTACGCAGACCTCCGGCCGCTCGACGCGCGCTTTGGCAAGTCGCGCCTGGCACCCATGGCGCACGACTGCCGCCTCAGCTTCGTCGCGCTGTACGAGGGCAAGCCGGGCAGCGGCGCCGACGAGTACGCCGCCGAGGCACAGGACCGCTTCCGCGAGCTCGAGGGCCGCAAGCTCATTGCCAACATCGACCAGCGCGAGCCGGGAGCCAGCGGCTCGCTGCACCTCACGGTGAGTGACTGGGCGTGTCTGTGCTGCGTTTCGGCGGTGCTGATGCTGCGCTTTGTCATCAGCTGTACGACCCGGACAACGCCTCGACGAGCCCCGAGGCGTGCCTCAACGTCGACCTCGTGCGCGAGGGCTACGCACTGCCGGACCGCAAGGTGGCCTACTACAAGGCACGCCCGGCCATCGTCGCCGCGCTCGAGGCTGCATCGGCGGAGGCTCGGCGCTACCACCGCGGCATCTTTGAGCTCGGCGACCCGACTGGCGCAGACGACTAAGCTTGCACGCGCTGCTTGTGTTTCTGAGGGCAATAAGACAAAAGACATGGGGCTTCGAAGAGAGAGCACGAGCAAGTGTGAAGGGCCAAGGCGCCGAGTGCTGGTGTCGTGTGCATTGAAGCAAGGCGCACGTTTCGGCACAGCCTCACCCGTGCGTCCGTACGCTGCTTTGTCCTCGGCGCGTTGCTTTCTGGCATGAGGCCGACGACGTCCGTACGAATAGCGAGCGTGGAGTTGGCCGGCGCATGACAGCGTGCCGGTCATCCGTGTTGCGCCATCCCACTCGCTTGCGGGCGTATTGCCGGCCGCCATTCGGTCTGTTCTCGCTGCCTGAAGTCCCTACATGTCCCCTCTTCTGCCTCCATCCCAGACTCCGCGGCTACCCACGGGTTCGTCGCACGTGTGCCCAGCGTCGGGACGGCGGCACGGGCGGCAAGTCCGCCGTCCACAGCGCACCGCTCATGCTTCCGCTCAGCTTACTCCGAGCTGCCGAGCTGCAGTCCTGCGCAGGATGCGTGCTGAGCTCAGGCTTGCATGCCGGCGGCACAGAGTCTTCTCGGCATGCCAGAGCGCTGTTCATGCTTCAACGTCCGTGCAGCTGCGAGCTCGCAGCATGCTGTTCCCGCGAGTCTTTCGGCTCGGACCGCTGGTCCTTCTCGCCGGACCGAAACGGACCCGCTGCCGTGCAAGAGGGGCTCTCAGGGCTCTTCTGGGATGGTTGGGTACAGGGTGGGGGCAGGCACGCGCCTGGACTCTGCACCTGATGCTGCCGCTGGGATAACAAATTGCCGTTCGGCGCAGCGGCGATTCTCCTGCGCGCGGCCTGCATCCTGCCTGCACCTGCAGCGGATGCGGAGATGGCCGAGGAGCGTGCTTCGCTGGCAGCAGCACGCTTCAGCGCCTCTTTCGCGCTCTGCTGCCGCAAGAGGCGTCACTTGCGTGCACGTGCGCCCATCTTGCCAAGACCACGCTAGTCTCAAGTGCTACTCTCCGCCACGGCGCGCGTGTCAGGGGGCAGCGCGCCTGTCTCTTTCGCTCTCGGCCATGCCCCTCGCGCTCTCGCAATGACGATCCCGCAGCCGCGTTGCCGCCGGCTCGCCAACTCGCCGCGGCCGACAGCGGCACTGCGCCTGCACACGCCGCGTGCGAGAGCAAGATGGCGCACGCCGGACGCCGCATGAGGCCAAAGAGAGCGCAGCGCGCCGAGAGCGACAAGAACGTGCGGGCGCCTCGGCGGCGTGCGGCGCGAGGCGAGGTTGAGGCGCCATCGGGCAGCGAGCGTCACTGGTGCTGCCGCTGGCGTCGAGGCGCACGGGCGCCAGCAGCAGCAGCAGCAGCAGGCAGATGGCCAGCAGCAGGTGCTCGTCTTTGCCCGCCGCCGCCACCTGGTGCCATTCACGCCCCAGGCACACCCCAGGAGCAGCAGCGGAGCAGCCACCTCCTCGCGAGGGCCGAGAGCTGCACGCGCTGCAGCGGTGGCGGCACTGTGCCTCCAGGAACGGCCGAGAGGAGCGGCATAGCGCACGCAGCAGCGGCCCTTGCACGTTCCATCGCGCGCCGCTGCTCCTGAGCGGTGGCGGATCTTCTAGCGCGGACATCTCGGCGGCATCGCCGGCGCCGGGCGTCGTGCGACATTCGCAGCCGGTCGCCGAGCCTTGTTCGCTTATAAGCGCTCGCCGCGGATGCATCTATCTCCCACACCCCAGCAACACCTCAACACTCCGCGATGCAGCTCAGCAACTCGCTCCTCCAGCTCTCGCTCATCCTCACCGCCGCTGCTTCGGCGGTGCAGGCGGCGCCCGGCCGCGGCAAGAACGGCCACGGCCAGAAGAGCGTCATCCAGCTCATCAGCGACGGCTTCGGCCCGGCGTCGGAGACGTTCGCCCGCAGCTTCGTCCACGCCCGCGACGGCCTGCCGTGGAACACGACGCTGCCGCTCGACCGCCACCTCGTCGGCACGATCCGCACGCGCTCCACCGACTCCCTCGTGACCGACTCGGCCGCATCAGCAACCGCCTACTCATGCGCAGTCAAAAGTTTCAATGCCGCCATCGGCGTCGACGTCGACTCGAAGCCGTGCGGCACGGTGCTCGAGGCTGCGCACGAGCTCGGCTACTCGACGGGCCTCGTCACCACGAGCCGCATCACGCATGCCACGCCCGCCTCGTACGCCGCCCACACGCCCGACCGCGACGACGAGAACCTGATTGCCGTGCACGAGCTCGGCGGCACCGTGCTCGGCCGCCGCGTGGACCTCATGTGGGGCGGCGGCCGGCGCCACTTCCAGCCCAACACGACGACGGGCTCGTCGCGCAAGGACTCGCGCGACCTCATCGGCGAGGCGCAGGCCGCCGGCTGGGCCGTCGCGCTCAACCGCTCCGCGTTCGACGCCTTCAACAACGGCAGCGCCGTCAAGATGCCCTCGCTTGGCCTCTTTGCCAGCAGCCACATGGCCTACGAGCTCGACCGCAACGCCACCGCCGAGCCCAGCCTCACCGAGATGGCCATCGCCGCGCTCAACGCCCTCGAGAAGGCCGGCAAGCCCTTCTTCATCATGATCGAGGGCGCCCGCATCGACCACGCCGCGCACAACAATGACCCCATCGGTGAGCAGTCCTGTGTGCGCCCTCGTCTCGTGCGTCACTGACAGCAGTGCAGGCCACATCTACGACATCTTGGAGTACAACAAGATGTTCGAGGCCGTCACCGCATGGGTCTCCAAGCGCGAAAGTGACGATATCGCGTTGATCAGCACCAGCGACCATGAATGTGGTGGACTGACGTTGGCTGAGCAGCGCCCCGAGGACAGCGAGGTGAGTGACTCGTACACGTCTTGGCGGGGCCTTCCAATGATCTTGAAGCGACTCAACGCGGATAGGGGCGGAAGCTAGGGGCCCTGCCGCGCCGTGGGCGGAAGTTCCCACGCCTCACCATTGCCCGTCGTCCTTACGCACCGCCGTTACTCGCTCACCGTCCTACTCGCCCGCCGCCCCGCGCACCGCCGTTGCTCACACGTCTCTCTTGTTGCAGGCGCTCTACGGCTGGATGCCGGACGTCTTATTCGGAGCCAAGCACACCACCGAGTTCCTCGCCAACGAGTACGCGGCGTACGTCAAGAAGGCGAACCGCACGGACACGGAGCTGCGCGAGCAGATGGTCCGCGAGATCGATCAGCTCGGCCTGAGCGACGTCCAGGACGACGAGGTCGACCGCGCAGTGCTCATCGCCAAGAACGACAAGACGGGCTATGCGCTGCCGGTCTTCCTCGCCTCGCTCGTCAACTGGCGTGCGCACCTTGGCTGGAGCACGACGGGTCACTCAGGGGTGGACGTCAACCTTTACGCTTACCATGGTCAGTGTGGCGCCTGGCAGCCTTCCTCTGCCCTCCTGGACTGACGCCTTTTGCCGCTGCACGCAGCCAACCCGAAGAAGCAGGCCTCGTACACCAAGGCGATGCTCGGCAACCACGAGAACACCTGGATCGGCCAGTGGACTGCGCAGCACCTCGGTCTCACCGCCAAGATGGCCGAGCTTACGACGAAGCTCAACAACGGCACGCAGCACGTCGCCGGCTCCGGCTCGGCCAACAAGACGACGGTCATCGACCGCTACCACGCCGGCACCAAGCACATCCTGCCCGCCTACCAGCCGCCGGCCGCCAAGCGTGCTTGGGGCCTTTCGCATGCGGAGAACGATTTTGTGTTTGGCTCTGAGCGTCGGGCCGCGATGGAGGAGCGCTCGCACGCCGCTGCCAAGCGCCAGGCGCACCGCGACCTCTGAGCCGCCGCGCTCCCACGCCATGCCGTCTGCTCTCACGCCATGCCGTCTGCTCCCGCGCCGTGCCCCTAGACCGCTCCGCACCGGCTGCCTCAGACACGCACGCAATGCGATAGAGACGTGTCAACGAAGCTCGGTCATGTGTGGTGTGCTGTTACAGGGTCTGATGTGGTCATGCGCGGGTCAAGGGAAGAATGATGTGTAGATGAGACGGGTCACTCGACGAGGCGCCAGCTCGTGTCGCGGCGCGTGGAGAGGAAGATGTCCGCGGCGTCGTCCGGCTTGCGCCAGCTGCGCAGCTGCGTGGGTCGGAGGTTGGTCACCTGCCGGAAGCGGCCGTGTCAGCTCTGATCAACGGCTATGCAGACGGTGCTGCTCACAATGTAGCGTTTGCCCTCCTGCAGGCCCTGCTCGCCCAGCTTGCTGACGTCCCAGACCGTGAGCTGTACGCTGCGCTGGCCCCTGGGTCGTCGGCCCTGCCAAGCGCCTCCAGGCCCCGTACCTGCGTCTTCGAAGCGGACGACGCGAAAGTCGCGCGAGCGACGCGGAGCGCACGCGGCGGCGAGCTCAGCTTCCATCTGCCCGCGCATCTCCTCACGCGAACGCTGGCTGCGCTGAGCGGCGAGCTGCGCAACGGCGGGCAGGCTGCTTGGCGGGATGCGGGAAGCATCGCGCTGCGGGTCGGACGAGACGAGAAGCGAGTCCAGGTAGTCTTCGCACTGGCTCGCTGTGGCTGCAGGCGTAACGGATGTCAGGAGCGCTCACACCTGTCCGCGTTGACCTGCTCACCGTAGCTCTGGGACGCGCCGGCATCCATGCCGCTCGCGAGGTGGTACAGCATGCCGCTGAGCTGCTCCAGCGTGCGCTCCGACTGCTCGTACTTGGCCTCGATGCGCGCCCGCACGTCGCCCTGCTGCGCATGCCACTTCTCCTCCTCTTCGGCCTCTTGCGCCTCGCCCCGCGCATTGCTCATGTCCTCGCCGCCGCCGCGCTCGCGCTCGTCGACAAAGGCGAGCGGATAGACGCGAGTAAGGACGATGTCCATGCACGGCACGAGGCCGCCGTCGGGCGTGAGACTGCGGAGCGTGGCGACGAACGGCCGAGGCGCAAAGCCAAGACGCGCGTCCCAGCGCGCCAGCTTGACAGCGTTGCTCTCGAGACACAGCGCCGAGAGGTCCAGAGCTTGCAGCACCTCAGCAGGCTCTGACGACCCATTGAGCTGCGAGAGGTCAGCGTGCGCAGCGAAGCGCGCTTGCGATTGACTCACGCGAGCCCCCGAGATGGCAAGCTTCGAGCCGACCTTGACGCGCCCACGCTGCACGGCACGGTGCAGCGCCTTGTCGATCGTGGCGCGGATGCGGTACCAGCCGTCCGTGAGCTCCACGAATGGCGTCTCGTCCTCCTCTAGCGCCGTAGGAATCGCCATGACGCAGAGCACCATCGACTGGCTGGGCGACGAGTCGTGCTCCTGGATCCGCTTGATCGCCGAGCGCTGTGCGAGATTCACCTCACGCTCGTAGCTGACCAGGAGCGACCGTCAGCATCGTGAAGCGCGGCGGCGGGTCAGGTCAGGTCGGCTCACCGGTAGAGCAGCTGCTTGCACACCTCCTCGCTGCTGAAGCGCCACGCATGCTCGTCGGGCAGCAAGCGCGTCAAAGCCGCGATCTTCCACAAGATCAAGAGCCAGTGATTGCGGATCCAGCGAGCGTCGACGTGCACTGCGCCCTTGCTGTGAAGGAACTCGAGCGCCTGCTGCGGCCCAAAGGCGTCGCCGGCGGGCGTGTCGAACTCGAACTCGAGACTGCGCATGGGCGTGTCGAGAATGACGGGAATCTCGTCGAACTCTGCCTTGACCGCTGCAGCCGAGACGCTCTCAGGGTGCAGGCCGTAGGCACGCATGCCCTTGCGCTCGCTGCGAGGCGTCGAGAGATCGAACACCGCTGGGCCTCCAGAGACGGTCGGCTTGCGCAGCCGTCCGCTCTGCTCGCTGCCCACAACCGAGTGCGGCGCGCGTGCACTGGCAGCTGGAACCTTGAAGACATCGGCAGCAGGCATGCGTTTGCGGCCGGAGGCCAGACCAACGTGCGACGGACCAGCGGCCGTCTTCAGCGGCGAGCTGAACGCTGCTGAGCTGGGCGTGTTGTGTCTGGGCGTCACAGTCGCCGCAGCTCGAGGCGCCGACTTGAAAGGCGTCGCAAACTTCGGGCGCGCCACGCTTCGCGCAGCAGCAACGCGAGGCGTGACGCCGAGTGCGACTCGAGCGGACGTCGATGCCGGCGTGGAGAGGAGATGCGAGCCAGATCGCTGTGGAGTGGCACCGGAGCTGAGCGAGGCGCGCGGCAGCGGCGTCGCCAGTGGCCGCACGAGAGTGTTCGTACGCAGAGGCGTCTCGAATGCCCGCGGAGCAGCAGCTGCCTGCTGCTTGCCTGCGCCATTGACCGACTCGTTCGGGCTGTGGCGCGGCGAGCCGCTGACATTGTCGTGAGGCAGCCGTCCGAGTGGCGTCCGCGTGCGCTCGAGATGGCCACCGGCGGCGTTGCCTGGACGTGCGCCGGCAGCGAATTCTCCGATCACAGCACTTGCGGCTCGGCTAGGCGTGGAAGGCACGTCGTCCTCGCCATCCGCCACGTCCCAGAAGCGCGAGCGTGCAGCCTTTAGGGCCGCTTCACTCGGCGCCTTTAGCGCTTCGCCGCGTCCGCTCTTGAAGCCGATCATAGGAGGCACGGCGCCGTTGCTGAAGGTCGACGTTGAAGCGCCCATCGCGCCTGCAAAGCTCGCATCAAGATCGCCGTCCGCGAGCTCCGCGAAGAGATCGCTGTCCACGCCCGCAAACTCGTCGTCGGAGTCATAGGCCGCACCAGGCTGCTTCGCCTGCTTGCCGCTGCGAGCGCGCTGAAATGCTCGCGCTGCGACGGCCGGCGACTCGAGCACAGCTCCTGTGCGCGCCGCTGGCCGCCGTGCGGCTTCGGGGCTGAGCATGAGATCGTCAAAGTCCTGGCTGTCGAGGCCGTCGAGAAGCTCAGCGTGCTGCGGCGACTGCGCGGTCTGCCCAGCACTGGAAGTGGCTGCCGCTGGAGGTTCCGTGGACGAAGCCGGTGCTAGTGCCGAGCCTGATGCCGTTTGGCTGGAGCTGGCCGCCGTGTGCGGCACCGAAGGCGCCGCGACCGCTGGAGAGGAGGCCGGAGCAGCTGCAGAGGACAAGAGGTCCGGCGAGGCAACGCGACTTGTGGCCGTCCTGGCGGTCGGCGACGAAGACGGCCTGGCAGGCGGAGCGAGCATCGATGCAGCGTCGGTGGCAGCCACGCCCCACGCGGCAACCGCTTCGGCTGCGTCCGCCACGGCGTCCGACGCAAGTGCGCTTGCCACGACGACTGTCCCAGTAGCGCGCGGCTTGACAACCATCGCAGCCTCGGCGTCCATCGCAGCTACGTTTGGCTCGGCGTCCATCATAGCCGCGCCGGCCAGCTCGGTCGCGTTTCGCTCCATGTCCAATGCAGTTGTGCTCGGCTGGCCCTTCTCGCTGTCCTCGACCGGCTGCATCTGCTTCTCTGCCGCGGGAACTGCGGGTGCTGGAAGCGAGTGCGCCGGTGGGATCGGCTCTGCTGCTGGCTCTGCTTGCGGCACCGAGGCAGCTTCGAGCTCTGCGGGCGCCTCGCCCTGCGGCGCTTCGGACGCGGTTTGCGCTTCTGCAGGCACGGCGGCCGGCGTAGGCTCCGGTGCCGCAGGTTCTCTCGCAGCTGCGGTCTCGTCAAGGAGCATTGGCGCGGATGCGAGCTCGGCGGCCGGCGGCGCACCCTCCACTGCTGCCTTGCTAGGCTCTTCCGCGTTCTCAGCCTGCATCAACGCCTCTCCGGCGTCATTGTCCATCTTGGCTGCCACCTCGTCCGCAGCTGGTGCAGCTGACGCAAGCCCGAGCGCGCGCTCAGCAGCATCTGCTTCATCTGCATCCGAGCCCGAGCTCATCCCTCGCGGCGGACTAGGCGAGGCAGCAGATGAAGCGCGGCTTCCGCTATCCGCCCCGGACGCCGTCATTCTGCGTCGTTTTGAGGAGGACGCCGGAGAGCTGAGCGGCGACGAGTCGGGTGCGAGGATCTTGGGCTCCGAGCGCCTCGATGATGAGGTGCCGCTCTTTTGCGGCGAGACACTGCCCTGCACAGACGCACGTGCAGACTTTGCCGGAGAGGATGCAACAGACGTGCTTCGCCTCGACTCGTCCGCATCTCCGCCCTCGTCGTGCTGCTCGGCGGGCTCCTTGGTCGGCGACCTTCTCGACGAGGCGGGCGAGCCATGGCTGCTGCTCGCGTCGGGCTTGCCCGCCCGCTCCAGCACCTCCTGTGCGTCCATGAAGACGACATTCGCCTCTGCCTCGCGCCGTCTGCGCTCATCGCCTCGTGCGCGGCCAAGGGCGCTGCTCACGAGCGTAGGACGAGTGCGCGGCGGCGCAGCGGCAGCGTTGCGTCTGCGCAGGCCGGAGCGCAGCGGCGACGTGTGCGCTGCGGCATGCGCGCTGATGACGTCGAGGTCTGCGGCCGACGTCTCGACGGACGGCGGGCGGCGCACCGAGCGTGAGGCGCCGCCTTCCTCGAGCGGCGGCGCATGCATCGAGATGGGCTGCGCCGGCGAGCGGCGCGCCTGGCGCAGTGCCGGTGCTGCACTGCCTTCGGCGTCCGAGGCGCCGTCCGAAGCCGCGGCGCCGTCGTCGGTGGCGCTGCCGCCCGAGCGGCGCGGCTGACGCGTCGAGACGCGCCGCCGCTTGATGGGCGTCACCTTGCGTGGCGACTCGGCGGCGGCGGCGGCGGCGGCGGCAGCAGCAGCAGCGGCAGGTGCCTCAGAGGGCCGGGCAGAGGTCAGGCTGACCTTGCCGGTCGGAGCCATGGCTGCTGCGCAGAGGGCGGCACGGTGGCGCAGAGGGTGCTGTGAGAGGCGAGGCGAGGATGTGGAGATGCGGCAAGCAGGCCGCGAGGCGCGGCGAGCGAGTCCAACACGCCGCGCGCCGCACGCGTACTTGTCAGCAGCAACAAAGTGCGCTAGCGGCCCGTCCTTCGCGCGTATCGCAACAGTCCCGCTTGCAAGCTTCAGCAATGACTCGCGACACATTCATTCGGCCCAGCCGTCGTGTGGGGACTGCAGCGGCAGAGTGAGCTGCATGCCGGGCTTGGCTGCTCGGGCGCGAAGAGCGAGGCGGCGCGCGTTAATGGACGCGTCTGGCGCAGCAGCCGCGGAAGCGCACAAGCTGGGCACAGGCGCGAGCTTCGGCGGAGTCGTTCGCCGATGCCTTGGCGGCGTGGGAGCAGCGCGCCTTGCGGAGCGGGGGCCAGCAAGGCACACCGCGGCCGCGAAGCGAGCGCAGCAGCAGAGCGCCGCCGATGCACCGGCCACGCAACGCAACAGCCACAACAGCCGCGGCAGCCTCTCACAAGTCACCTCGACATCCGCGCCGCTCACCCTCACTCTCACTCCGTGCCGACGCCGCGCCGCACATGTCCGCCGTCGGCACCTCGGGTCTGCAGCGCCGGCGCGGCGGCGCCGGTGCCAATGGCAGCGCCTCGCCCGCCGCCGGGCCCTCGACGCCCACCGGCTCGGGGCCCGGCGGCGCCTCGGCCTCGGCCGCCGCCGCCGTCGCCTCGGGCGCGCTGGGCAAGGCGGCCCTCACCGGCGACCACCGCATTGCCTACGACCCGCGCGACCTCGACGACCCGCAGGAGACGCGTGCCCACCCGCGCCTCACGCTCATGGACGAGTGCCTGCTGCTCGGCCTCAAGGACAGACAGGTGCGTGCGGCGTGCTGGCGGACATAGGAGCACGGCAGAGAGTGTCGCGGCTCAGGCATGCTCTGTGTTGTGCTGTGCCGGGCTGTCGTCCTGCTCGCGGCCTCTCCAGGCTCTCACTGACGCGCCACGTTCCGCAGGGCTACCTCTCCTTCTGGAACGACAACATCTCCTACACGCTGCGCGGCTGCATCCTCATAGAGCTGGCGCTGCGCCGGCGCATCGGCGTGTCGCGCGACGGCGCCGCTCGTGCGCGCCCGCTGTCGGAGCGCCCGCTCGAGCTGCTCGACTCGCGCATGACGGGCGAGGTGCTGCTCGACGAGACGCTGCGGCTCATCAAGGGCGCCGAGCCGATGGGCGCGGCGCAGTGGGTGGACCTGCTTAGCGGTGAGTGTTGGAATAGGAAGGTCTCAGTGTAGCGGCTTTCGGCGGATCGCGCGGTCAACTTGGCTGTGTTTTCCTTCGCGCCGCCAGCTATGTGCCAGACGTCGCGTGACCACATCGCTTCGAGCCACCGTCTCGCACCCAGCTGCTGACCCTCCCGCAGGCGAGACATGGAACGTGACGAAGATCGGCTTCCAGCTCAAGCAAGTGCGGGAGCGATTGGCAAAGGGACTGGTGGACAAGGGCGTGCTGCGCACCGAGAAGCGCAACTTCCTCCTCTTCGACATGGCCACACATCCGGTGGCCGACTCGGGCGCCAAGGATGCGGTGCTGCGGCGCGTCTTGACGCTGCTGACGTCGCGCAGCGGCACACTGCCGTCGCCCGGCTCGCTGTATCGCGACGAGGGCAAGGCCGTCTCGGCGCCGGCGACGCGCAGCCTGGCGCTGCTCTGCTGTGCCTTCTCCGCCAACGTGCTCGAAAATGCCCTCACGCACCTGGCGTACGACGCGCGCGAGGCGGCCTTCCAAAAGGCAGACGACCTGCTGGCCGACTTTGCACAGTGGCCGATGGCGCCGCGCTCGGGTGCGGCGATTGGCTCGAACGTTGCTGGCCCAGCGGGAGGCGCGCGCAAGCCGGGCATCGGCGAGGGAAGCATGTCGACCGAGGCGCAGGGCGCCGGCGTCTCGACGGCCGAGCTGGCAAAGGCCGTGCGCGCCGAGCTGGTGCGTGGTGATGCCGGAGAGGCACAGTTCGAGACGATTGCGGCCGTCTTGCACGTGCTGAGCCGGATGGACTCATTAGTGAGTGCTCTGTCTTGCAGACGCCGCTACGTGATCGCTGATTGCAGACTTTCGCCGCCAGCTCTGAGAACCCAAGACGCCTCGCGCGCAGACGTCGATCTTCTCACGTCGCATGTCCTTGTGTGCCAGCGCCACCCATCCGACTCTTCCTGTCTTCCCGCGCTTCCAACTCCTCTGCACCGGCTGCAATCGTTACCCAAGAGCACATCACTGCGTGTGCGAGCCGTGATGTTGCAGAGGCCAGAGCGCACCTACTCAGGAGAGAATAGCGAAGCGGCTGATGATCATTAGAGGGAGACATTGCGTTACAGGAGGGTTACAGCAGACTCGCAGCGCGCAGGGTCGCGCCAAGAGATAAGTCAAGGAGGCCGAGCGCTTATCCCGAGCCTTCTTTCCAGCGAGCATCGATGCCATCATCTTCATCGAGCGTCATGACTGGCGGGCGCTCCTCTGTCGCCGACAGCGCAGCGTTGCCGTCCTCCGTCTTGCTGCGCTTGCGGCTCATGGCCTCCTTGGCCGCCATCTGGATGCGTCTGATCTCCTCCTCTTCGCTCGCTGGCGCCGGCTTCTGCGGCAGCCCTGCAACGCCCGGGAAGGAGCCGGACGGAGGACCGCGCTTCAGTCCGGGCGCAGAGGCGCTGCTCGGCGCGCCTGGCATAGGCGGCGGCGCGTTGATGCGGTTGGGAATCTGCAGCCATGCGCAGAGCGCCTCGGTCTGCGGGTTGGTGTAGTATGGCGCTGTGGACGCACACGCTTGTCAGACATGCTCAACATCAGCACAATGGTCTGCACTCACGTGGTCCGGGCGCTGAGCCCTCCGGAACAGTGACTGGCGGCGCGGTGTGCACGAAGGCTTGCACGCCCGCGATCGCGAGCGGATGCACGTCGGCGCCCGGCGGGACCTCGCCTTCGCCACGCACGCGTGATGAGAGGTTCTGCTGCACCCACGTCTCCTCGGCCTGCACCATCTCCCGCATCTGCGCGCTGCCCGCGGCCGGCATGGCCGGCTGATGGCGCGTCAGGCTGAGGTACGAGTGCGTGGCGCGCGTGACGGCGAGCCAGTGTGCGACGTGGCGGAACGTCGGGAGCCGCGGTGGCGAAGGAGCCGGATTGCTTGGGCCCGCGCCATCAACGGCCGCCTCGGCTGCGGGCTCCATGCCCTCTGCCAGTGGCTCGCCAGCAGCAGCGACAGGGGCAGGCGGCAGTGGCAAAGCGTACGAGTCATCGTTGTCGAATGGCGCCGGGATGTCCAGAATCTGGCGCGGAACGGCAACGTCAGCCTGGCGCAGCGCACAAAGCCAGCGCTCTATCTCACCTGCAGGAAGTCCTGGCCCACCATGCACTTGCTCAGCGCCAAGAAGCGCGTCTCGCCGTCCTGGCGCGTAGCATCAAGAGGCATCGCCGCGTCGCTGCCCGACGCAACTGCGTGCGGCGGATCCTCGTCCATGTCGTCCTTCACTGCGGAGGCAGCTTCCACGGCAGCATCTGGTGCCAGCGCGGCCTCCGGCTGAGGACTCGGCGACATCTCAATCTCGATCTCGTCCGGGTTCGCTTCGGCCTCGACGCTCTCGTCCGGGACGCCCTCGGCGTCATGCGCGCCAGCATCCAGCACGACCGGCACGCCGCCCCAAGTGCGCGCACGAGGCGCTGCCGCCTCCTCAGCAGGCGGAAGCGCAGACGACGAGGCCGCAGCGTTGTTGCTAGGCCCGCCAGACTGCTTGCCCTGTGCAGACGCCACAGTCGTGACGCTGCCGTCGTGCTTGTACAGCGCGGCGAAGCGGACATGCAGATGCGCCGAAAACCAGTAATCGGGCGCCAGACCACGCAGGAGCTCCCACAATGGCGGCGAGCCCAGCGTCGAGGTGTTGATCTGCAGGCGGTATGTCAGCGCTGGCTGAAGAGCCCGTTCGAGTGCATACACACCTCGTCCTTGAAGAAGGGCTTGCGACGGATCAACGCCTGCGTGTCGCCGTGCTGCTCGATTGTGTTCGGCCAGTCGTGGCTCATCACGACGTGCGGTCGACTCTGCGCATCCGCAAGCTGCTCAAGACGTGTCAACGTGACGCCACAGCGCCGCTCTCAGCATGCGCACTCACCAGCGAGAGGCGCCACGAGTCATACACGCGCGTGTGATAGATGCTGCGCACGGCGCTGCGGTCGTACGGCAGCGTCTCGTAGCGGCCGCGCGTAAAGTCGTGCGACTTGTAGATGCCCGAAATGCCGGCGATGCGCAGGCCACCTACTTCCACACAGCCTGCGGCGCCGAGGTAGTAGATGTTGGGCGCAAGCCAGCCGCCGTGGTAGCTGGCAGGGAGCGGTCAGCACACGCAGATGCCCAGGCAGGTGAATGCGGGCTGGCGGGGGTCTCCGCACCAGCATGTCCCATGCTCGACCCACCGAGCCGCGCACTCCGTGCTACTGCCACTCACAGCTCGTGCATGTAGTTGCTCGCCTCGTGGTTGCCGCCGATGACGAGCGTGAGGATGGGCGCGACCTTGACGCCGCTGTAGTAGTGCGCAAAGTCGCCGAGCTGCAGGTACTTGTCGGGCATGGCGATGCACGAGAGATCCGCCGCATTGCGCGCTGCCTGCACGTCGCCGCAGAGCAGCAGCAGCTGCGTGCGAGTGACCGGCGCCGCCGCCGCCGTGGAAGAAGAGCCCGAGGCGCCAGCCGCTGCCGGCTGCGAGGCGCGCGCATCGAGCGCGGCGATGCTGGCGTAGATGGCGTCCAGCTCGCCGTGCGAGCAGCCCTCGATGGCGACGCGCATGGCGCAGAAGGGTGTGGCGCGGAGGGCGCGGCGGGCGAGGCGGGTCGCACCGGCTGGAGTCGGGTGGCTGATGCGGAGCGGAAGGAAGCAGCGGCGAGAAGCAGGATGTGCGGAGAGCAGCCCTCATGCTGGTCCCGGCGCGTGGGAACAGTCGCAAGCGCCGCCTCTCGGCCGGGAGAGGGGCAGCGAAATTCTGGCGCGGCAAGCCTTGCGCTTGCCTCACACGAGCCTCTTCCTTCCTTCTCCTCACCCATCCTCCACGCACAGCGAGCCACGATGGCCTCTCCCTCTAGTGCGTAGTCGCGACTGCGCGTATCTCTACCCAGGCTGACCACTCCTGCAGAGCCGACGCTGCAGGCCATCCACGCCTACCTCGCCGAGGTGGCGCCGCAGACGGCCGCCGCGCTGGTGGCCGAGCAGCAGGTGCAGCCGCTGCCCGCCGCGCTGCGCCGCTCCACCAGCCAGCGCATGCTCGCCACGTTCGGCGGCGAGCAGGCCGCTGCCGCGCAGGCGAGCAGTGATGACAGCTCGAGCGACAGCGACAGCGGCAGCGAGAGCGACGACGAGAGCTCGGGCGACGAGTCGGACGCCGCGCCCGCCGCTTCTGCCGCTGCTGTCACTGCTGCGCCAGCAGCGCCAGCGTCGTCGACGGCGCGCAGCTCCTCTTCGTCCTCATCCTCCTCTTCGTCTTCATCCTCTTCGTCGTCATCGTCGTCGTCGTCGTCCTCTTCGTCCGAGTCTGACAGCTCCGACTCGGAGAGCGAGAGCGAGGACGAGGCCTCGAGCGCCGGCGCCAGCACTGTGGCCGTCAGCGTGGCACTGCAGACCCCGACGCCGGCCGCCGCACCTGCCGCAGCCACTGCCGCAAAGCGCAAGCGTGCGGCCGATGACGAGGGCAGCAGCAGCGATAGCGACAGCAGCAGCAGCTCCTCGAGTAGCAGCAGTAGCAGCAGCTCGAGCAGCTCGAGCAGCTCGAGCGACTCCGACTCAGACTCCGGAGACGAGTCGGACAGCTCTTCGAGCTCCTCAAGCTCGTCCAGCTCTTCCAGCTCCAGCTCTAGCTCCAGCTCTAGCAGCAGCAGCTCGTCGTCCAGCTCTAGCAGCTCGTCCTCTTCTTCCTCTTCTTCCGACTCGTCCGATTCGGATGGTGATGCCGTCATGGCCACCGCGCCCTCCACGCCCGCGCCACCGGCTCCCACTCCGCGGCCAGTCCCGGCATCCGCCTCTGCGTCGCCGGCGCCCTTCAGCACGCCGAGCGGCAGCGGCGCCGCAGGCGCAAAGGGCCGACGCAGCACCGGCACGCCGTTTCAGCGCGTCAAGAGCGATGCCGTCGAGTACGCGCACGAGGGCATGAAGGACATGAGCTACGAGGCCGCAGTGAGTATGCCTCGTCTCATCTCTTCATCAACTTAGCGGCGGCCGTCTTCTGTAAGCTGACACATTCACAGGCCGGCCAGTCCGGCTATGGCGCCAAGGCGTCGGCGGACCTGCTGCCCACGCGCGGCAAGGGCTTCACAAAGGCCAAGAACAAGAAGAAGCGCGGCAACTACTCGGGCGGCGAGATTGCGCTCGGCAGCAAGTGAGTGCTGTGTCTCTCACGCCTGAGACGGAGGCTAACGCTGCGCATGCACAGCTCGTTCAAGTTCTCCTACGACGACGAATAGACGGCTCGTGGTATCGTTATGTGCTCCGGTTGCAATGGTTATGCCTCACAGATACTCCAAGACGAGATGCTCTGCGTGTGTCGGTGAGTATGCATTGTGTTGTCATAAGAGTCCAGAGATGGTGGTACATGGTGCAGGAATGGATGGGAGAAGGCGCCCTCAGTCGCCAAAGACGAGCAGGCGGGGCTTGGCGGCGTCCAAGGATGCGCCTTTGGCAATCCAGGCCTCAGCGAGACGCCGGCCAGCCTCCGTCGGCTGGCTGAAGGCCGTGGCGCAGGCGCGGTGGCCATACTGCTGCTCCAGAGCCGCAGCAGACAGGCCGTAGACGGCGGTGCTCAGCGCAGCGTCGAGCAGGGCGATGCCGAGGCCCGCACGCCGAGCGATAGGCAGCACGTGGATGCGGTGCACTGCGAGCGGCGGCGTCTGCTCGGCGGACAGCGGCGCAGAGACGAAGATGGCGTCGCCGCCGTCGTCGAGACGTGTGGTGCTGGCAGAGGCATCCTCGTCGCGCTCGCTCGCAGACAGCACCCGGCGCGCGGCACCGGCCTTGGTGCGCCCCACGACGGCAGCTGCCAGCACGCGGCCGCCGCGCGTCGAGCTGACGGCCACCAGCACCTTGCACGAGCGCTGCGTGACCTCGTCGAGCGGCGCAGCGCCGAGGGCGTCGTCGATGTTGCGAGCCACCTCGGCCAGCTTGCGCGCAACCATCGCATCGGTGCCTCCGAGCGAGTACGAGAGGATGTGCACCTCGTCGTCGCCCAGCACCTCGGCCGTCTTGCCGCGCAGGCGCTTGACCAGCGGCGCGCGCAGCGTCTTGGTGGCGACCTCGGTGCCGGCGGCGAGGAGGCTGCGGTTGCTCCACTCGACGCCGCGCGTCATGCGCTCGTGGTGCTTTGCGTGCAGCGCCGCATCCTGTGTGTCGGAGCGGTCGTACGACATCTCGCACTCGCGGCACGTCGTGCGGATGCTCTGGCCGAGGTCGAGCACCATCTGCTCCGGCTGCTTGGGCCGCAGAGGCTGCAGTGCACGGCTGGACAGGGCGGACGAACGGCCCTTGAGGGACGGCGAGGGCGGCGGCGAGTCTCGCGCCGCGCTGTCAACTGACGTCGCTGGCGAGCTGATCTCGAGACGAGCGCTGGCGCGCGAGGGGCTGCTGGGCACATCGCTGCTCGAGATGCCGTGTCTGCGCGGGCTACGCCGACCGCCGGGCGTGGTGCTGCCTGCTGAAGCCGGCGAGGAGACGATGCGCTGCCGTTTGGCCGCCTGTCCGCCGTAGCTGGCCTGCCGTGCTGCGGGCCGCTTAGTCTGTGGTGTCTGCGCTGTGAAGAAGGGCCGGGACTGTGTCAGCTCTCTGCCTCTCACGCGTCCCTCGCCCGCTCAGCCTGCTCGCTGCATCAGAGAATGCATTGCGCAGGCCGTGGCCGGGTGGGCTCAGGCTTGTGGCTACGTACAGGCTTGTGCGGGGACCAAGATGGGGTTGCTCATCGAGGCGTCGTGCTCCGTCTGCAGGCCCAGCGTGCCGATCTGTGCCTTGATCACCTCGAGCTGGCTGACGATCTTGGCCGTGCGTGCGGCCTCGGCGGCCTCGGCCTCCTCATCTCCGGCGCCCGGCTGCGGGCCACGCTTGGCGCTTGCACACTTGAAGAGGTGCGCAAAGTCTGCCAGCGTCGACATGGGCACGCGCGACTGCGCACGCTGCGCCTGGTGCTCCTTGCTCGCCAGCATGAACTCCTTAGACACGCTCTGCGCGCGGTCACAGATCGACAGCGGCACGCCGGCGAGCGCCGCGACCTGCGTGCCGTACGACGACTCGGCGATGCCCGGCACAAGGCGGTAGCTGGAGCGCGGCGTCAGAGGTGAGGCAGAGTCGTCGGTGCTTTGAGCCACTCACGTGAACACGACCTCGCGCTTGGCATCGTCGACGAGCACCTGCATGTGCTTGTTGCTGACGCGCGGGTACGAGGCAAAGTCGAACGCCAGCGAGGTATAGTGCGTGAGGAAGAAGGAGAGGCAGCGCGTGCGGCCCACGAGGTGGTGCAGCACCGCAAAGGCGATCGAGGTGCCGTCGAACGTCGAGGTGCCGCGGCCGAGCTCATCCATGATGACCAGAGAGCGAGGCGTGCACTCGCGGATGATCTGCGGGTACGCGGGTCAGAAGTGAGGCGAGGACGCATTGTCTGCTGCTGCACTCACGCGGGACGCCTCCAGCATCTCGACCATGAAGGTGCTGTTGTTACGGAAGATCTGACGAGGCAAAAGCGTCAGGTGGGGCGCTCGCAAGTTCCATTCGTGCTACTCACCTGGTCGTTGGCACCCATGCGGCTCGCGATGCGGTCGACGGGCGAGATGCGCGCACGCGTGGCCGGCACGCGGCAGCCCATCTGCGCCAGGATGACCGCGGTGGCCGTGGTGCGGGCCGTCGTCGACTTGCCCGCCATGTTGCCGCCAGTGAGGATGACGACCTCGTCGTGCTCGCCGCCGAGCGCCACGTTGTTGGCGATGAAGTCGGCACCCGAGGCCGTGGCCATGCACGGGTGGCGCAGCTCCTCGAAGTCCACGAGCGCAGTCTCGCAGTCCACAAATTCGGGGCGGCACGTAGGCTCGCCCATGGCGTACGATGCCTTGGCGAGGCTGAGCAGGCAGTCGAGCTCTGCCAGGCCCTTGACTGCGCGCAGGAAGAGCGGGCCGTCGTCGGAGAACTCGACAAAGAGCTGCGCGTGGAACTCCTTGAGCGCGGCGAGGCGCGTCTCGCGCGCCTCCTTGAGCTGCTGCACCAGGTCGCGCACGGCCGGCGAGTAGTAGCGCTTGTAGTCCTTCACCTGCGACATGAGCGCCCAGTCGTTGGGCACGCGCGTCTTGATTGGCACCTCGACCTGGTAGATCTCCTTGGTGCCGATGTGCTTCCACTTGACCTGGCGCTTCTCGAGGCCGACGGCCTTGGCTGCCTTGGCGAGCTCGTTCTCCAGATCACGCTCGATCTTCGCGATCGCGTCGTCGGCCGCATCGTAGTCCTGGTGCACGTTGCGGCGCGGCGAGAAGGCGCCATCTTCCTGCACGGTGAACATGCTCTGCAGACGAGAGGAGCGCTTGGCCACGGCAGGAATGGAACGCAGCAGGTCGCCGACGACGGGCGTGGCGAAGTCGTGCGCAAGCTCGAGCAGGCGCTCGACGGCCGGGTCGATGCGCGTGAGCGCCTTGAGCGTGCGCGTGAAGTCGGCTGGCTTGCACTTGCCGGCGTAGATGCGCGGCATGATACGCTCGATGTCGGGCAGGCTGCGTGCAAAGCCGTCGAACTCGTCCTCGAACGTCGGGTTCGTCAGGAAGGCGTCCACGGCGTCATGACGCGCCTCGAGCGGAGCGCGCGCGGCGAGCGGCGCGACGAGCCAGATCTTGAAGAGACGCTTGCCGAACGGCGTGATGCAGCGGTTCAGCAAACGGTGCAGCGTGCCCTCGTCGTCGCCCTGCTCATTCGAGAGCACATTGAGGTGCGTGAGCGACTGGGCGTCGAGCACCAGGCACGCGTCCTGGCGCAGCGGGTCAAAGACGTCGAAGTTGCGGCTCGAGACCAGGTCGGCGTCGAGGTTGAGCTGCTCGAGGTACCAGAGCATGCCGCCCAGCGCCGACATGGCTGCTGGCTTGTCGAGCATCTTCTGGATCGCCGCGGGAAAGACGGAGGCCTCGGTGGTCTCCTCGCCCGGCGCAAAGAGCGCGTCGAGCTTGCGCCGTGCGCCGTGCAGGTCCAGGAACTCCGAGCCGGCCTTGAGCATCGTCGTCTGGCAGCTGAGCGGCACCGTGTTGCGCAGCACGCGCATGGTGCGCTGCGAGAGGCCGGCCTTCTCGTGCATCAGCTCCTTGATGCGCAGGCTGCGCAGGAGCGTCTCGAGGCGCGTGCGGCTGGCGTCGTCGTCGAAATGCGTCAGGCGGAACTCGGCCGTGGCGGCGTCGAGGATGCACACGCCAAAGGTCGGCACGGCGGCGGCCGTCTCCGAGCCCGCGTCGCCGTTGAGCGCACCGAGGAACATCTCCTTGATCGAGACGCAGTAGCTGCTCATGTCGTCGGGCAGGCACGAGGCGTCGACGATGGTGCCGCCGGTGAGCACGTGGCGCAGCTCGCGGCGCACGATCTCGCTGCCGCCGCCGCGCGTCTTCTCGCCGACGCGCATGCCCTTGGCCACCGCCGTCTCGCACTGGTCGACGCGGCCGACCTTGTAGCCGAGCGCGAGGAACTTGTTGGCGAACATTTCGAACGACGACTCGGGCACGCCGACCATCTTCATCTTGACGCGGTCCGTCAGCTTGAGGTCGAACTCGCGGTGCCCGATGAGCGCGTCCTCCTCGTACAGCTCGTAGAATTTGCCCTTCTGGAAGAAGAGCACCGTGTCCCAGTGCTTCTGCTTGATCTCCCAGAACTGCACCTCGAACGGCGTGAAGCCCTTCCAGGCGCTCTTGGGCACGTAGAGCGTGCGCGGGTCGTACTCGGGCTCGCCGGGCCGGTTGCCGTCCTTGTCGCGCAGGTCCTGCAGGAAGCTGTACGCGACCTCGTTGGCCGTCTTCTTCTGGCGCTCCTCGACGGCGCGGCGCTCGGCCTTGGTGAGGTGCGCCAGGCTCTGCGTGCGCGGCTTGCTGGCGGGCACGTCGCGGCTCGGCGGGCTGCCGCTGCTGCGGCCAGCGGGCGCAGCGCCCATCTTGAAGGACTGAGAGCCAAGGTCAGGAATGGGCGACTGGCGCGCGGAGACAGCAAAACTCACTGCAAGACGGCTGCCCGAGGCGCCTTCGCCGTCCGTGTCCTCGACCACGCGGCGCGCAGGAGCCTTCTTCTTGGGTGCAGCGCGGCTCGGTCCAGCTTCGGCTTCCGTGTCGACGTCCATCGCTGCATGCACGTATCAGCGGCTGCGACGCCAAGGAAGCTCAGGCCACTCACCACTGGCGTCAGTCAAGGCGGCACTCTCGCTGTCGTCGTCGTCGACCAGCCAGTCGTCATCGGCTCGGCCGCGCGCCTTCTTCGCGGCGGGTCCGGCCTTGCCGCGGCCGTTGGCCTTGCTGGCGGAGACGGGCGCGAATGCGTCGTCCGAGTCGCTCTCGGCCGTTGCAGCAGAGGCGCTCTCGGCATCAGACTCGAAGTACGCGGGACGCTTCAGAGTTGCGCGCTGTGGGTGATGGCAGTCAGCAGGCGGTCGCAAGACAGCGCAAGCGAAAAGAGGCGCATACATGCGGTCTGTGCCGCAGGATAGCCCTCGTGTATGCGGCAGGAAGATCCTGCCGCATACACCCCGCATCACTCACTCGCCGCAGAGGCACCACAGCCTCGTCCTCGTCATCCGAAGCTTGAACTGATCTGGCTGCACGAGACGAGGAAGCAGCGGCAGTTGGCTGCCGGCTCGCACTTGACTCGGAGTCTTGAGCAGCATCTGGCACCAGCGGCGAGCTCGCCGGCGGCGTCGGCTCGCCGCTCGCGGATGCAGAGACAGCCGCCGGGCGCACCACCTTGGCCGCCTTCTTCGCCGTGGGCCGCGATGCACTGGCACGCGTCTCGGCCTCATCCTCCTGGTCCGCGTCTTGCTCCTCATCATCGCTTGCGACCAGGACGCGCTTGGCACCGCGAGACGCCGCAGCCTGGCCCGGGCGACGTACGGTGGGAGGAGGCGTCTGCGTGTCGGCCGGCGGCGCGGCGACTGTCGCGGGGCGGGACTTGCGCAGGGGCGTCTGGGCCGGCGGCGGTCTCATGGCGCCCTTGTCGGTGGGCGGCGACTTGCTGGACGACGAGGCGGCGGGAGCGGCGGCAGCAGTCGCAGGAGCGGATGCCGACACGCGCGGCGCAGCGGGCGCAGGGCCGGGCGCCGGCTTCGCCTTCCACATGCTGAACAGCGTCGTCTGCTTGCCGGCCTTTGCCGGCGTGGGCGGTGCCATGGCGGCGGGTATGTGAAGGAACGAGTGACGGTGCGGTTCTGAGTGACGAGGGTGGGAGCCGGGACGAGCGATGGGATGTGGTGTGGTGGAGAGGAGCGAAGCCCAACACCAGCGCCCGCTGCTGCGCTCGAGCGCGCACTTTGGCGCGACACGCGTCGCGTCGCTTCAACACCCACGTCACAGTGACGGCAAGTGCGAGCGTGGGAGCAAGTGTGCTTTCGACGTGGGCGTCACACGTGATACAGGCTCAAGGCCGAGGCGCACGGACGGCCACGCGCCCCTCCGCTCCGTACCACCTTCCACCCTTGCGCTGCTGTCCCATCTCCGTGCCGCGCGCGTTCCATGGACTACTCGTCGATTGGCCAGGACCACCACAGCAGCTCCGTCGTCGACATGAGTGCCGCCGCGCCCGTGCCGCACAAGTACAGCGTCATCCTGCCGACGGTGCGTGCGGCCCGGCACGCCTGGCAGCCCACGCCTCGCTGACAGCGCGGCAGTACAATGAGCGGCGCAACCTGCCCGTCATCATCTATCTGCTCGCACGCATGTTCGAGCAGAATGCGCTCGACTACGAGGTGATCATCGTCGACGACGCCTCGCCCGACGGCACGCTCGAGGTTGCCAAGCAGCTGCAGAGCGTGTACGGCGAGGAGCGCATCGTGCTGCGCCCGCGCGCGGGCAAGCTGGGCCTCGGGTGAGTTGCACGGCTGCGTGTGCACTGTGGCAGCGCTCTGATGCGCGCTCTAGCACGGCGTACGTGCATGGCCTCGAGTCCTGCACCGGCGACTTTGTCGTCATCATGGACGCCGACTTCTCGCACCACGTGAGTCTGCGCCGCCGTGCAACAGCACCGCAGCATCTCACGACATCGCTTTAGCCCAAGTTCCTGCCGGCGATGATTGCGCTGCAGCGGCAACGGAATCTGGACATCGTGCAAGGCACGCGCTACTCGGGTCCTGCGACCGGAGCCGGCGTGTACGGCTGGAACCTGAAGCGCAAGCTCGTCTCGCGCGGCGCCAACCTGCTGGCCACCTTTGTGCTGGGGCCGGGCACGAGCGACGTCACTGGCAGCTTCCGGTAAGTGCTGCCGCAATTGTCGCCAGCGCACCGCTCAGACCCGCGTGCACAGGCTGTATCGCCGCCCTATCATCGAGAAGCTCATCCGCGAGGTCACGTCGAAGGGCTACGTGTTCCAGATGGAGATTCTCGTGCGCGCAAAGGCCAGCGGCTGCTCCGTCGGCGAGGTGCCCATCACCTTCTGCGACCGCGTCTTTGGCGAGTCAAAACTGGGCGGCGACGAGATTGTCAGCTACGCCAAGGGCGTGTGGAATCGTGAGTGCCCGGCGACGAGCCCGGGCCAGCGGGCATCGGCTGACGGACCCTCACTGCAGTCTTCGTCAGCATCTGAGAGCGGGGTCGAGGGCGCAATGTCACTGTTGAGCGATGCTACAATGTGGCGCTGGTCAGATTGCGCTGCGCCGCGGGCACGGCCGCTTAAGGGGTAGAACAGGATCGCAGCAGACCTCACGCGGGCAAGAGGTGCAGACTGCCGCAGCGGCAGAGGTATCTAGATTGCAGCTAGCGGCGCGCCGAGCTCTCCCATCTCCCGTCTCTCCTTCGGTCTGCATCTCCGTCTCGGCCCCGATCTCCGTCCCGCTCGCGATGACGGTCCCTGTCCCGCGCCCAGTCCTTCGCCCTGTCACGCTCGCGCTCCCTCTCCCTCTCCCGGTCTCGCTCGCCGCCACGCTCCGGCTCCCGGGCGCCAACCTTGCCCATCAGCCGATCGCGCACCGCGTTGGCACGGCTGAGCGCAAGTGCCGCTGCGTCCGCCGTGGGCCCAGCGCTGACACTTGGCGGCGCAAAGTCGATGGCGCGGGCTTTGCCTGGCGCCTGTGCGGCATCGCGCTGCGCCTGCTGCGCTCGTTGCATGTCGGCTAGCGGGGCAGGGGAAAGCGTCAGCACTTTCGCTTGGCTACACTGACCGCCACATAGACGCACCAAGCACATCCTTGCCGCCCTCGCGCATCATTGTGCGGCGGTGCGCCGGCGTGGCATTCCAGGCGTCGGGCGCGCGCTGCGGATAGCAGCTGGCGCCCTCGTCCACGTCGACCCACTTAACGAGCTTGGCGTAGATGTGCGGGTTGCGCAGTTGTCGGTTGCGCGCCAGCGAGACGTTGAAGTGCGTGCCTGAGGCCTTGAGCTCGTAGAACTTGAGCAGCTTGGCCTGGCACGATGCAGGGGTGAGGGTGAGCTCGGCCCAGGCGACCAGGCGTATGCACCTCGTGGCCCAGCGACTGCCTTTCCTCTTCTCGCGGACGAACTCACCTCCAATGCCGGGTCCACCTCTCCTGCTTCCAGCTGCGGCAGTCCCCACTCCGAGTCCAAGCTGCCATCCTCGCGCACCAGCGGCGGCGGCGCCAGAAGGCCCAGCAGCTCTTCGCCGGCATGCTGCGACGCCGCTGCCGCCGGCGAGTCGCGCTGCTGCTCGCGTAGCGGCGAGTCCTGCGCGGCGCCCCGGGGCGATACCAGCTGGCGCAGCGAGGAGGGCCCGGCAGAGGCGCCGTTGGCGCCCGCCGCGCGCTGGCTCGCTGCTGCGGCGGGCGACGAGCCGCGCTTGACGCCGAGCGACGCCGATGCGCTGGGCCGCGGGCTCGAGCTGGCGCTGCCTGCTGCGAGCGTAGACGCCAGGCGCGGCGTGTGTGCTGGCACAGCGGCTGCGGGGTTCAGCACCTGGGCGCCGCTGCTTGGTGTTGCAGCGCTGGCGGGCTGGCGAGGAGGCGCGGGCGGCGGCGCACTGGGCCCTGCCTCGCCGTCCGAGTCGGAGTCGACGTCGTAACCGACAAGGCCTGATGGTGCACGTGTCAGTGCCGAGCGACGCGGCGGCAGGCTCGCACACGCACCCTTCATGCGCAAAGCTGCTGGATGATGGCGGTGCAGAGGCAAGCTGCATCTCGCATCCGTCACGGCCAAGCGCGCCGCTCGGGAGACGGCCAGGAATCTGCGCTCCCACGCCGCCGCTTCTTCCGGGCGCGGATTATCCGGAGCGCCCCCTCGCCATGCTTGCTGCTGCTGCACGGCGGCCTCTCTCCCACACACCACCACAAGCCCCGCAGCATGCTCGCCGTCTCCGTGCGCTCCGGCTGCGCGCTTCGGCTGCCTCCATCGGGCCGCGCGTCGGCACTGACACGCCTCGCCGGCGTCGGCCAGCGGCGCGCTGTCTCCACAGACAGCAGCACCATCGAGCTGGCGTACGAGCGCCATGCCGCGCCCGCCGCCGCCAGCTCGGCGTTCGGCAGCGCCGGCCCGCGCAGCATCGTCGTGGCGCACGGCCTCTTTGGCTCGAAGCAGAACTGGCGCAGCATCGCACGCGCCATGGCGGCAAAGTGGGGCCTCGACGTGTGGGCCGTGGTGCGTGGGCGCGAGCAGCGCTCGCACTGCCCGTCACTGATGCTGCTTGGCAGGACCTGCGCAACCACGGCACGTCGCCGCATGCCTCGTCCATGACGTACTCGGAGCACGCGGCCGACCTCAGCGCCTTCTTCGCACAGCATGGCCTCGAGCATGTCGCCCTCGTGGGCCACTCCATGTGAGTGCCGGGGGGCGTCTCATCACAGGCGCTGGCTACAGGCGCTGGCTGAACCCGTGCTTCTAGGGGCGGCAAGACAGTCCAGACTCTCGCCCTCTCTCGCGTCGGCGAGCCGACGCATCCGCTGCACAGCCTCGTGTCGGTGGACATGGCGCCGGCGCGCGGCAGCCTGAGTCCGGAGTTTGCGGTGCGTAGCAAGGCTGGCAGTCCATTCGCGGCGCGAGCTGACTGCTTCTGCAGCGCTACATGGACGCCATGGTCGAGATTGAGGAGGCCAAGTGCGCCTCGCGCAAGGACGCCGACGAGATCATGCAGCGCACAGAGCCGGTGCGCATGCTCAAACCCTCGCAGCCGGCCCACGACTGACCCATGCCTCGGCAGGACGCCGGCGTGCGCTCCTTCCTCCTCACAAACCTCGAGCGGCGCAAGGATGCGGCGCACTGGTCCTTCCGCATCCCCGTACGCAGCCTGCAGACACAGCTGCCGGCGCTCGGCGACTTCCCGTTTGACGCGCCGGGGCAGGAAGAGGCGGGCTCGGGCCGGCCTGTGCGCTCGTGGGACGGGCCGACGCTGTTCATGAAGGGCGCCAAGAGCAAGTGAGTGGGCGTGCCGGTGGACGCATGTGCTCGTTGCTGAGCCGCTGCCCAGGTACATCAACCGCCGAAACATCCCAATCTGCGACGCCTACTTCCCCAACGCGCAGCATGTCTCGCTCGATGCCGGCCACTGGGTTCAGGCCGAGCGGCCCAACGAGTTCCAGGAGGTGCTGGGCCGCTTCTTGCGCAAGGAGCCGCTCGAGTAGACAATACAACAGTGACAAGGATGCATTGTGTGCTGTGCGTGGCCGTCTCTCACGCGGCGTCTCGGCGCGCGGTAGCCAGGCGCCGCAACGCCACAGACGCAGAGGAGGCCTGGCTGCCCTCGCTGCCCACGAATGACTCTGACGCGCCTGCGTCTGATGTGTCGCGCCGGCGGATACTGGTAGCCGCGGCCTTGCGGCCCCACGTCAGGCCGAAGCGCGGCGGCGTGCCGACAGGGTCCGACAGGGCGGTGGACACCGATGGTCGGATTGTGGAGCGGCCGAGTGTGGCACTGCGCAGCGGACTGGTCCCAGGGCCGGTCCGCGTGGAGAACGCCGAGCTGCCAGCGCCGCCACTGACCGAGGAAGCTCCGCCGACGCTCGCGGCTTTGTCATCTGCCGATGGCGAGCGGGCTGCCAGGCTCGTCTCACCGAGCGCAGGTGTAAGATCCGCAGTGGCGAGCGCCGGCGAGCTCTGCGTCGGCGTGCGTGAGAGCTTGGCAGCACCGGCTCCCGAGCTCGTCGCTGCGCTGCTGGAGAGCAGGTTCGACGAGCTGGCGCCGACGTGCGAGAGCATGAGCGAGTTGCCGTTGATGCTGATGCGGTTCGAGCGCGACGAGACGCTGCCAGGCACCGGCCGGGGCGATGCTGCCGAAGTGCTGCTGTCCAAAGGCCGCTCGCCAGCTGCTGCGTCCGATGGCGTGCTGCTCGACCCCTCGCGGCTCGGTCCCAGCAGCGACACGCGGCGCCTTCGAGAGAAGTAGTCTGACGCTCCGCCGGCTTCTCCCTGCACGCTGCCGGGTGCAGGACTCTGCGAGAAGGGGTTCAGAGCCGAGGCCGGGGTCAGAGCCTGGTTGCTGCGCATGAAAATGGGCTTCGATGGCGAAGTCGAAGACGAGGCGACTGCAGATGCGCCGACGCTGGAGGGCACAGACGTCGATCCCGCTGCGTCCGCCGCCGCAGCGCGCCTCTTGCCTTGTCCAAAGGCAGGCGCTGCAGTCTCGAGCACGCCGGGACCGCGCGGCTCGTTTCCGAGCGAAGAAGGCATCGGCCACGGCCGCCCGCTAGCGCCCGGCGCGTATCGACTTTGCTCGGGCGATGTGCCACGCGAGCCTGAGCCGCGGAAGGCGCGAGAGATGCCAGACGGCGATGTTGCCCGTGAGAGACCAGCGAGCGTGACGGCTGGGCCCGAGCCGTTGCGCTTCGGCAGCGGCTGGACAGCACCCACCACGGTGGCGGAGAGGTCGCTGCTGTTCTTGCGCGACGGCGCATCCGGGGGCGAGATCTCGGGGCTCATCGGCGGCGGCGCGACCTCCTCGTCGATGCGCGCTGAGGTGGGCAGGCGGTTGCCTTCGCTCGTCTGTCGGCGTCCCTTGCTCGCCATCGTCGCACGCTCGCTGACAGGCACCGACGTGCCCGAGCTACGGAGCATAAGCGGCGGGGATGCTTGCGGGAAGCTTCCGGCGCGGCGCAGCTCGGGTGCCGAACCGGTCTGCGCGGCGTCGGGCACAGGCGACTGTGGGACAAGAGATGCCTCAGGGCCACTGCTCGACGGGCCGTCGCCCACGGAGACACTAGTGCTGCGTCGCAGCTGTGACATCGCAGTTGAGGCGGAAGAGGCGGCATTCGCCAGCGCCGAGGAAGAAGGATTGTTCCAGCCGTCGACGTCAAGCAGATAGTAGCGCACGCCCTCGGCGAGCTGAAAGGGGTTGCCGTCCTCGCCTTCGTTCGTTGCGATGCGCTCCTCGATCCTCGTGATGCGCGCCACGATCCACTCTTTCGTGCGCAGCTGGTTTGCCAGCGCACCGCGGGCATTGAGGAAGAAATGCGGGAACGAGATGTTGAACGCCGCCCACGGACGAGCCGAGGTCGACGTGTTGCGCGTCGGCAGAAAGAGCGCCAGGTCGCCGGCGGCGAAGTTGCGGAAGGTGATACGCTCCCTTGCAGCGGCGGTCGCGCGCGCGAGCTTGTCGGAGCTCGAGCGGTAGGCCTTCTGCCACTTGCGCACGAGCGTCGTGAGGCTCTCAAGCTTCGTGCGAGCCTCGTCGTGCGCGAAAGGATGTGATGCTCCGCCATCGAGAGCGCGCAACGCCTCGAGGACGACCTCGGGGCTCGCACCGCTGACATCAGCCTCGAACGCATCGAGAGCCGCCTGGCGCTGCGCCTCCGCTGCCTCCTCTTGGGCGCTGTCGGCTTCGTCTACAGTGACAGCTGCTGCGGCCTTGGCCGCCGCGCCGCTCTTGGAAGACGAGGAGAGAGCCGGCATGGCGCGCACAAAGCGCCGCAGCTGAGTGGTCTTCGCCAGGAGCGGACGAGTGCGACCGACGATGTTGTCGAGCGTGCGCTCTGCATGCCTGCGGCTGACTTCGGCATCGGTCGCCTGCCGAATCATCTCCTCGTGCGCCTCATCTGCCGCGCGCAGTTGGCCACGCAGTGTGTCGGCGGCCTCGCGCTGCACAGCCGCCTCCGTCTGCGCCTGCTCGGACGTCTTGGCCGCGCGGTGCAGCTCGGCGTCCTTGCGGCGGATCGTCTCCTCCAAGATGGCGCGGTCGCCGTCGACTTCGGCTCGATACGTGCGCAGCGCCTTGTCGCGTGCACTCTCGGCCTCTGTGAGCAAGTCGCGCGTCTCACGCGTCTCGGCACGGGCAGCGGCGAGCTGGGCGACGAGGTCGTTGATGTGCTCCTGTGCCGCGCTGAGCTCTCGCTCTGTCGAGGTGCCCTGGCCCAGAAGCGATTCGATGCGGTTGCTTGCATCGAGCCGAGCAGCTTTGGCCTCCTCAAGCTCGAGCTGTGCGTCGCCGAGATGTGCCTCGAGCTCAGCCACGCGCTCGCTCTCTTCAGTCGCCTCGGCGCGCGCCTCTGCCTCGGCCCGACGAGCAAGCTCAGCATCGAGACGCAGTCGGCCGAGCTCCTCCTCCATGTTGAGCCGCCGTGCAGCCTCCGTCTCAGCATCGGCGCGGAGGCTCTCGATGGCACGCGCGCTCGCTTGTCGCTCCAGCCGGACCGTGTCGAGCTCTGCCGCCTTCATGCGTGCCTCGGTGCGTAGACCCGCTGCCTCCGCTCGAAGCGCAGCCAGTTCGGCGTCGTGCGTCTCGGCCGTGCGCTGCTCGCGCTCCTCGGCATCGCGTCGCACAGTCTGCAGCTCCTGGTCGATGCGCTCGGCCTTGGCCACCGCTTCGGCGACGGCTTGCTTGGCCTGGTGGTTCAGGTCTCGCCGGCGTCCAGCGATGCGACGCGGGCCGGGGCCGTCGATGTCGGAGTTCTCCTCGCTGTCTTCCTCCTCGCTGCTGCGGCCACGACCCAGCAGGCCAATGTCCACGAGCTGCGCAAAGTCGTCATCGACCTCATCGAGGCGCAGCATGAGCTGCTGCAGCGCAGCCTTGACCTCTTGCAGCGGTCCGCCGGGCGAGTCTGTGCCAGGACCCGACAGTGCTCGATCAATCTCGTCCAGGAGCGAGAAGAACGCGTCGACGTCCTCGCGCTCAATCTCGGCCACGCCGCTCGGCGCCTTCGACGTCGAGATCTCGAGGCTCAGCGGTGCCTCGTCTAGCCCTTTCACCTCCCACGGCAGCTGGCCCAGCACCTCTGTTCTGTACTCGTCGCGGCGCCGCCGTTCAGCCGCGGAGATCTTCGCCATGAGCTCGGCCAGCGCCTGTGCCTTGTTCATAAAGTGGCGCGCAAACTCGCGCCGGCGCACGACCTCGACGACGGTGGCGCCGTAGGCCCAGATCATGTTCTTGAGGCGCGCCAGGTGGCGGAAGCCGTCGATCTTCGACGAGCGCAGGTCGGCATCGAGTGCCGCAATCGAGGCGCCGAGATCGGCGTAGTCGGACTGCAGGCTGCTGATGTCGCCGAGCAGGTGCAGCGCCCGGCTCATCATGTCGTTCTTGTCGGCGTTGAGGCGCCGCATGTCGTCGCGCCCGACCTCGTCAAGGAGGAGCAGCTCCTCGGCGCTCCGCTCCACCTGCGCCAGCTCCTCGTCGTCTGCGCCGAGCGCATCCGCCGCTGGCCAGCCGTTCTCGTCGGGCGAGCAAGTCGAGACGAGATACTGATCGAGCGTCTCTGCGCGTGCCAGCGCCTGCTCTGCCTCGTCGAGCGTATCAGTCGACGGATCTACCCGAGTGCCCTCCACCTCCGCCCGCAGCCCTTCAGTGTCGCCAGCCAGCTGCGCCGCAGATCCGCGGATCTCCTCGAGCCGCTGCTGCATCTCCTGCTGCACCTTTGAGCAAGCGTCAAAGACGGCGCCCATCTTCGATGCGTGAACGTAATGCCCAAGCATGCGCTCCTTTGGTGGCGGCTTGCCCGAGCCGACGCCAGCCTTGCTCGCCTCGGCAGAGGTCAGCAGGCGCGGGTTGATGTTGACGAGGCTGAGCGCCTTGAGATCGCGCTCGTGGCCGTCGAGCAGACCACGCATGCGACCCAGCTCGCGCTCGGCCAGCTCCTCGAGCGCAGCGAAGCTGGCGCGCACGGCAGCCGAGTGCGAGACCAGGTTGAGCAGCGCGACTGTGGTGCTGCGTTGGATGACTGTGAGGTGCGCATGCAGCTCGCGCGCAGATGAGGTGTGCTCTCGCAGCACGTCCAGCAGGTGGCTGGACCATGCCAGCAGAGCGACCAGCGAGCGCGGCGTTGGCGGATGCGCAAGATCGAGCTCTGCAAGGAGCCATATCAGTCTCGTGCTCGCTGACTGGGCGCAGCGCAACGCACCTGGCATGGCCGGCTGGAGCGGGAGCTCCTCGGCAAGCTCATCCGTGAGCGAGTCCAGGTCGGCGTAGAGGAAGTCGCGATTGAACACAAAGAACTCCTGCGGCATGCTGTGAGCCAGGCTCGAGCGTCGAATGCTGTGAGCCAGGCTCGAGCGTCGAAGCTCCTCTCCCTCCCTGTGCGGCCTGATGGCTGCCAGCCCGCCTCGGTGCCACGCTCATCACTCACCAGCGCGCTGCGCTGCTCCTCGGACGAGGCCTTGAAGCCCTCGACCACGTCCGCGCTCAGCTGCGCACCCGCCGCCGTCATGCAGATGAGCGCATCTGTCGGGATCGCCGTTGCGAGCGACAACGCATCCAGCAGATCATCCAGCCTGGCGAGGGCGCGCCATGTCAGCCCCTATCTTACCCCGCACTTCCACGCTGCTCACGATGCGAAGGCCGAGAGCGGCTGATTGACGTCGAACGGCCGGCCATCGTGCGCTCGGTACACGCGCATGGCCGGATGTGTGGTGTGAAGTGCCGCTGCAGCAAGCGTGGCCGGCGCTGCTGCCAGCGCTGCCTAGGCTCGACGCAGGTGGTGCGCAGCGACACTCGCAATCTCTCGCGCCGCGGAGGTGTGAGCGCGCCGGCTCGCGCCTAGGAAGGAGCGCAGGGGCGTGGTAGGTGAGGCGACGGCGGCAGAGTAGGCTGGGCCGGTCCAGCGGCGGTGGTGGTGGTAGTGATGAAGGAGGTGACTCGCCGGTCATCAGCCTCCCTTGTCGAGCGAGGCATGGTACGTGCGGCAGCGTGCGCAGCAGGCCGCCTTGCGTCACCAGCCGCGCTGGGCCAGGCACGCCGCCAGTGTCTGCGCCGCGCGTGCGAGAGCCGCGGCTGTTGCTCGCGTGAGCGACCTCCACCCAGCAGCACCCTGGCTGGCCCTGGCCCCTCTCCCTTCTGCCTTCACACCTCCATCATCCGCCGCACGCCGCCGTCGATGTCTCGCCGCGACGCCGCTCTTCCGGCGCGCGCCGAGGGCGCCACGCTGGCCGGCTCGTCGCGCAGCAAGGCGTCGGCCACCGCTTCATCGTCTGCGTCGCGCGGCTCGCCCATGCCGCCGCCGCGCGCCGGGCCGTCCAAGGGCAAGGCCAGCAGCAGCACGCGCTCGCTGCTCGCACCTCGGCCCGCCGCTGCGGCAGCCGAGCGCGACGGCAGTCCGCCGGCGGCGCACGCCTTCTCGCACCTGCGTGCGCTGCTGCCGTTTCAGCGGCGCATCCTCCACGCCCTCGTGCCGCCGCCCGACGCGCCACTCGACGACGGCGACGTGCTGCTCATCCTCGGGCGCGGCATGGGCCTGCGCGCCATCGTCGCGGCGCTGCTGCGCATGTACGACAACAAGGACTCGCTCGTCGTGCTGGTGGGTGCCAGCGACGACGAGGCACAGGGCATCGGCGAGGAGCTGGACATCATGGGTGCGCGCAAACCGGGCATGCGCCGCGTGGGCTTCAACATGCCCAACACGCAGAGGTGCGTCGCGACGGGCGGCTCTCCTTATGACTATCTAGACTGAAGAGTACTGTGACAGGCAAGCGCTGTATGCGCAGGGCGGCATCCTCTCGATCACGAGCAACATCCTTGTCACCGACATGCTCGCCGAGAAGATCCCGACGGCCAAGATTGCGGGCATCGTCGTGCTGCATGCAGAGACGTGCGTGCTGTTCGTGCCTTGGTCCGACTGCGATTCTCACCGGCTCCATCCTCAGTGTCACGCACAAGTCTTCCGAGGCTTTCATCGCGCGCATGTACCGCGAAGTGAACAAGGTGAGCACCACCGGCTGTTGATCCAGGCGCGCACTGACAACACCTCAGGACGGCTTCATGAAAGCTTTCTCCGACGATGCAGACCGCTTTGCGATTGGTCTCAGCCCATTGCAGTCGGTGCTGGGTCAGCTGCGCATCCGAAATGTGGAGATCTGGCCTCGGTGGGTGGTATAGGAAGGCAAGCATCGAGATGCGAGCTCACACAGCTTCTTCTGCAGGTTCCACAAGCAGGTGCTGCATGATCTCTCGCGCCAGCGCGCAGACGTGATCCAGCTGCATCAGCCGTTGAGTCGCAGCATGCGTGCCATCCAGACGGCCATCGTCGAGTGTCTCGATGCCACGCTGGGAGAGTTGAAGCGCGGCGCCGGCAACGTGAGTCAACCCGAACGCAGGTCACGCAGGCTCCCTGCTGAGATGCCCTTCGCAGATCGACCTCGAGGACTGCACCGTCGAGAACGCACTCTTCAGGTCCTTTGACTCGATCGTGCGCCGGCAGCTGAGCCACGTGTGGCATCGGGTAGGCGCCAAGACTCGGCAGCTGGTCGAGGACCTGGGGACGCTGCGCGATCTTCTGCAGTGAGTAGCTGCTCGGCATGCTGGTGATACATCAAGCTCATCTCTCGCTTGCAGCACTCTCGTCACGTCCGACTGCGTGGCATTCCACCAGAAGATCGAGACGATCCTCGCGGCCCAGTCCACCGGCCGCAGCGGCCTCGATGTGCCGACAGGCCCACAGAGCCCGTGGCTCTTCATGGACGCCGCAAACGTGATTCTCGAAGAGGCGAAGCGGCGCGTGTACATCGGCAACGTGACGTCTGCGGCTGCCGCTGCCGCTGCGGAAGCGGCGATGATCACAGATACCCAGCCGACGCGTGACGAGCTTGACGATGTCGACGAGGACGAGGAGGCTGCGGCCTTTGGCGCTGCTGCACCTGCTGCGCCGAAGCCCAAGAAGCCACGGAGCGCACGCAAGTGGTGGATGCCCCTGGGCATCGAGCCGGTGCTGGAGGAACAGCCCAAGTGGCATCTGCTGCGCGACGTACTGGACGAGGTGGAGCAGGAGAAGCACTGGGCCGACGTGGACCTCAGTGAGTTGTCAGCGCTGCTCACCGGTCGGCGAAACGCTGACGTGATCGTGCGCAGCCCGCAAGCAGAACAACACCATCCTCATCATGGTCGAGTCTGACTCGGTGTGCTGGCAGCTGCGCGAGTATCTGCACCGCATGGTGCCGCTGGCGCACGGCTCGCGCGGGCGCAAGGAGCAGGAGCACCCCGGCCGTCGCATGATGGAGCGCCGGCTGAAGCGGCACTTCTTCTGGAAGGGCAACTTGGGCAACATGACGAACAACCTCAAGCGCGGCGGCGGCCGCATGAACGGGCCTCGCGCCGGCCAAGCGCCTCAGGCAGACGCTGCCTCGACGTCCAACTACGAGAGCGCAGCGCTGAAGCGCAAGGACAACTCGGCTTGGGACCGTGAGGCGTCGGCGCTGAAGCGCAGGCGCCAGCGCGGAGGAGCCGCAGGTGGCGGCGGCGGTGGCACTGCACGCCGCAAGACGAGCGCCAAGGAGGCGCCCGAGGAGCTCGACCGCGAGGCCGGCGACGTGGCGGACTTCATCAACCGCGCCATCGAGATGGGCGAGGAAGACCACGAGGTGCCGGATCTTGTCGCCGTCGATGCCGATCTCGAGGCGGACTCGGAGCCCGACTCTGGCTCTGAAATCGAGGCAGACGAGACACGCTCGACGCGGCGGCCGAACGCACCTGCAGCTACGCAGACGTTTGATGAGGTCGAGTTTGAGAGCTACTTTGGCATCCTCAGCCCCGAGGACCTCGTTGTTGTGCGTGCGTACCGCGGCGACGCCGACGACAAGATGCTCCAGGAGCTGCGGCCGCGCTTCGTGATCATGTATGATCCGCAGCCGGCCTTCGTGCGCCGGCTTGAGGTGAGCAGCACATGCGTGACGTCGATGACCTGCTAGCTGACACGTCGCCAGATCTACCGCGCGAGCATCGAGGACGCGAGCGTGCGCGTGTACTTTCTGCTCTACGCCGAGTCGGTCGAGGAGCAGAACTACTTGAGCCAGATGCGCCGCGAGAAGGAGAGCTTTGAGCGTCTCGTACGCGAGAAGTCGGTGAGTGTGTCTCGATGCAATGCCCTCGTGAGCGTCTCTGACAGCGCGACAGATCATGGCCCTGCCCCTGCAAGCCGATGGGCGACCAGCGAGCGAGGTGGAGGACCGCCCGCTCCGTGCCTTCAACAGCCGCGCCGCCGGCGGCCAGCTGGCAGCCACGTCGGATGCACCGCGCATCGTCGTCGACATGCGCGAGTTCCGGTCGAGCCTGCCGTCGATGCTGCACCGGCAGGGCGTCGAGGTGAAGCCGGCGACGCTGACCGTGGGCGACTACATCTTGTCGCCGACGATGTGCGTCGAGCGCAAGAGCATTCCCGACCTCATCGGCAGCTTCAACAGCGGCCGCCTGTACAACCAGTGCGAGCTCATGTCGGTGCACTACACGCACCCAATCCTGCTCATCGAGTTCGACGAGGAGAAGAGCTTCTCCTCCGAAACGATCTCGGGCCCGCGCGGCAGCGGCGCGCCGAAGCGTGCCATCACCGCCATGACGAAGCCCGAGCAGGTCGACATCCAGACGAAGCTGGTGATGCTGACAATCGCTTTCCAACGGCTGCGCATCATCTGGAGCTCGTCGCCCGAGGCGACGGCGGCCGTGTTTCTCGAGCTCAAGGCGCAATACGACGAGCCCGACGTGGCGCGCGTCACCGCCGTCGGGCAGCAGGAGGGCGGCGACGAGGGCGGCGGCGGCTTCAACCTCACGCCGCAGGAGGTGCTGCTGGCGCTCCCCGGCATCAACACCAAGAACTTCCGCTTCGTCATGAGCGCCGTGCGCGACGTGCAGGAGCTGTGCGACCTGACGCTGGCCGAGATGCAGCGCCTCATCGGCGTCGAGCCGGGCCGCCGCCTGTACAACTTTGTCAATTCGGACGTCAAGCGCGACCGCACGCTGCTGTCCTAGCAGCTACCCTTGTAATACTAGCATCACACGTGACGATGTTCCAGAGAGGCTGCTCGCTCGCTGACTGCCGCTGCTGAGCTCCATCTGCGTGAACGAGCAGGTCCCCTCCTCTCACCGCCGCGCTGGGCTCGCTGATGTGCGCTGTACCCTGCGTCTGTCTGACGTCACAGCCCCTGCGTGCCTGGATACAGGTCCAGAGTGCCGCCCGCGAACAAGAACGATGGGGATGCTGTGAGGCAGGACATCAGCGGCACACAGCGCAATCGCACCCCTCGAGCTCAACATTCCGCGCTCTTGATTGACGATCGTGCCGGCCGCGGCGAGCATGAGATCTGCCTCTCGCGGCGCAGCGGCGGCGGCCAAACACGCCGTGGTGGCGCGCTGCGCCGAGCGGGCGCGTGGAGACGCAGGCGAGGTGCCTCGGTGTTGCTCTGAGGGCGCAAGCGCGCGCACAGCGTGGGGGACGAGCTCGGCGTCCAGCCTCGGAGCGGGAGTCGCGAATGGCAGCAACGTGCGCCCGCTGCTCCCACGTCGCATCTGATCACCGGCGTCTCAGCGTCGAGTTGGGCGCAGCAGAGGCCGAATGCAGCGCAAAGGAGCATCAGACTAGAGGGCCAGAGAGGTCGGGGCTCCGCTTTGGGCGCGCCACGGTGAGGTACAACACGCCGAGGGCGCGGGCGCTGCGCCAGCGGAGTCGACGCGCACAGCGTGCTTAGCGTGCCGCGGCGGCCGTTGGCGAGCGCACGGCCATCGAGCTCGTGGCCGCACCCGGGGCCGCCAAGCTCTCCTCTCCACCACGACCTCACCTGCCGCTGGTCCTCCTTCCCAGCGCTGTGACTGCCGTGCTCGCTCTGCCACTCCTCACGCTCTCACCCTCGGCCTAGCCCTCTCGCGTCCGCTGCACGGCGCGCACTGTCCGGCCCAGCATGTCCGAGCCACTGCCCTCGCCGCCCGGCTCCGCCACCTCCATCACCGCCGCGCCGCCGTCATCGGCCGTGCCGCCGCGCTCGTCTGATGGCGGCCCGTCAGCGAGCACGCACTCGCAGCAGGGCAGTGCCGGCGCCTTCGCCCCGCCCGCTGCCCGCCCGCCGACGCTGAGCGATATTGCCGCGCGGTAAGTGCCACTCCGGGCGCAGTGATGAGGCGCTAGCATCGGCAGCAGCAGGACGTGGGCATGCTCCAAGGCTGCCATGCCAAGCATGCTTCGCTTATCGCACTGTCCCACATGCTCATGCCACCACCGAGCAGCATGAACCTCGCAGACGCATCACCCAACCCCTCCTCGGCCTCGGCATCCGACTCGCCGACCAACGGCCTGTCGCCTGACCCGTCCAGCGAGAACAGTGAGTCTGAGGCATGCGACGCCTCATGTGCTGCAGGCTGAGAAGCTCTTCTAGCACCCGCCAGAGGGCGCCTTGGTCTGGCCGGCAGGTTGGGCTCCACCTCTTCTGCCAGCGGCCAGCCCTCGTCCGAAGAGCCCGCTGCGCTGGTCTCGGGCCAGCCGCCATCGCGCTCGCGCTCCGTCTCGCCCGTGAAGCCACCGCGCGCCGGTGCCGCTGCTGCAGGCGCTGGCGGCCCGATGCCAAGCCTGCAGGAGATCCGCGAGCGCATGAGCCGCAAGGGCCTGCAGTCCAAGACGGGCGCCGCCAAGGGCGAGGTGGAGAGCCCGACGGTGGAGACGATCGACCTGCCTGACGTCGCTGAGCCTGCGCGGGAAGGTGGCCTGCGTGCAAAGGTGGAGAGCGCCGTGGAGAAAGTCAAGGAGAAGGTGACGGGCAGCGCTGCGCCGGCCAAGGCGGAAGAAGCGCCCAAGGCAGAGACCAAGGCAGAGGCCGCGAAGCCGGATGCCGCGGCGCCCGTGAAGGAGAAGGTGAAGGGTCACCCGCTGCAGCACAAGTGGTGAGTGTGCGCGCCTCGAAGTTGTCTGGCTCCTGGCTGATGCACTGGCGCAGGACGCTGTACTTTGACTCGAAGTCGTTCAACCCTTCGGCTGCGGCAACGACGCCGCAGTCGGGCGGTGCGCACACGCCCGACGCAGCGCACGCGCAGTCGTGGGAGGCGGCGCTGAAGCTGCTCGGCGTCTACACGACCGTCGAGTCGTTCATGTCGATCTTCGCCACGCTGCGCCGGCCGTCGCAGCTCGAGCGCAACTCCAACTACCACCTCTTCAAGAGCGGCATCAAGCCGATGTGGGAGGACCCGGCCAACGCCAACGGCGGCAAGTGGGTGCTGACGCTGCGCAACACGAGCGGCGCGCTGCTCGACCGCAGCTGGATGTGGCTCGTGCTCGCGCTCATTGGCGAGGAGCTCGACGACGGTGACACCATCACCGGTGCCGTCGTCTCAACGCGTGCCAAGGGCGACCGCATCGCGCTCTGGCTGCGGACAAAGGACGACGTCGAGCTCATCAACCGGCTGGGAAAGAAGCTGGTGCACCTGCTCGACGTCGAGCGCGAGCCGGGCGTGTCGCTCGAGTTCAGCTTCAACTCGGGCGGAGCGCCACTGAGCGCCACGCCGTCGGGCACCGTCACGTCGCCGCAGACGCTGCGCTTTGTGCACTTCCACAACGCACCCGCGCAGCAGATGCCGTCGTTCAGCGCACAGGGCCCGCACGGCGGCTATGCGCCGCGCGGCAACATGGGTCCGCCGCCGCTGCCCGGCTCGAGCCCGACGAAGCAGCAGCTGCACGCACCGCCGCCTCAGCACGGCCCCGGCTCGAGTCCACAGCGCGGCAACTACGCCGGCAGCGCCAACATGATCCCTATGCCGCGCCGCGGCTCTGAGCAGGGCTCGCTCGGCGCGCCACCACAGCACCACGCCGGCGGCAGCCCGTCGTTCGGCTCGAGCCCGGGCAGCGGCGGTGCGGCCGGTGCCTTCTCGTCGCTGCAGCGGCACGGCTCGCAGCAGGGCGGCCTGGGTGTCAGCGGCGGGCATCTCGGCCGCAACGGGCCCTCGCCGCCGGCCCCGATGCAGTCGCCGCAGGGCGCCGGCGCCTTCGGCACGTCGCCTGTGCGCGGCAGCTACATGCCACCGCAGGCCCGGCAACAACAGCAGCAGGGCGGCCCGATGCCGCCGCCGAGCTTCGGTGCGCGTGGCCCGCCGCAGCCGTTCCGCAGTGCCGGCAGCAATGCGGGTAGCCCGCCGCTGTGATGGGCCAAACGACGGCTCAGCTGAGGCCAGCTTGTCCGTGCAGCTTAGCGTCTTGCTGCCGTGCCTCGCTGCCTCGACACCCTCTCCTCTCGGGCAGAGGACCGCTGCTGGTGCCGACCGTGCGCCCCTTACCTTGCGGGCCCGGACCGCCATGACCGACGACACGACCCCACACTCTGAGCGCCGCTGCTGGCGGCCGGCCTCGGGAATGACATGATCTGCGCGACACAGAACGAGTAGGGACGGGTGTGATCGCCGATGGAGCGAGCTAGCTCCAGAGATGCGAGTGAGATCATTGCCGATGCACCGAGATCGCCGCAGCAGGCGGACACGGGCGTCCAGGAGCGCCAGCAGATCGAGAGTGTGAAGCTGCGCTGCCGAGCTCGCCTGCCTACGCTGTCTGCTTCCTTGCCGTCCCTGCCAGCACGATCTGCAGCGGTGCCTTTGAGGTGAGACAGGGGCGCATCCCGTCGCGCCGGGCCAAGCTGAGGCGGCGGCGCGTTGCGCGCGTGCAGCTTCGGCGAGCCGTTGCAGCCGCTTCTTCTGCCGCATCTTGTGGTTTAAAGCCTCATTTCACGCTCTCAGTCTCTCCGCTAAATTCTCTTGCTCCCTGAGCTGTACAAGCGCCGCCTTGTGACCACAGAGAGCATCTCAGCTCGCCTCGCACCGTCGAGACGCAGGCGTCCGCGGCGCGCAGGCGACCCGAGAAAGGCGCGTGCCTGAGCGTGGGAGCCGCGCGACCCGAGAAGGCGCACGTCAAGCACGCGGGCCGCCGCGCCACGCGCGCCGCACGCAACAGCTGACTTCGTCGCCGCGCGCTTTAATCGTGCGGGACAGCGGCCGCACCTCTCAGCCATCGGGCTCATGTCATGCGCTTATGCTGAGCGCCCACGACGCGGAGGAGGCCCTGCTGATCTCGTAGAGCTGTCACGTGTGCGGAGGTTGCCGCAGCAGCACCCTTCCGCAGCACCCTCTCTTAGCGCGCCACCGCAGCCGCCGCAGCGATTCCTCGGGCGCCGTGGCGGCGAGCACGCGGTGCGGGCGGCCCGGACGCCGAGCGCGCGGCCGCGCGGCGCAACTCGACTGCCCGAGCGCCGAGCGCCGAGCAAGCAACTCCTGACCCGCAAGCTGCGTCTGAGACCGAAGGGAGCGGTAAGCCTAGACTCCCGCCGCCGCTGCTGCATCTGAGCCGTTGTGGGCTGGCGTGATGGCTGCATTGTGCGACTTGCAGCTGCACCGCTGCACTCCGCATTTGCGCTGCTGCAGCGAGGGGCTGCCGCAGCATCGACGCCGTCGAGGCAGCACGAGAGCCGAGGCATGTGCGTCTGCTATTCGCTATTGACGGAAGGGTGCTGATGGTCAACACGCCAGATCGTCGCGGCCTTGTCTCCGCCTCGCATCGATGCTCTCTGTGCTCCGCCTCCTCATCCTGCGATGGGGCCTCAGCAGCGTCGCTCGGCGTCCTCGCGGCATCCACGTGCTGCAGCTGCATCTCTGCCTCGACCCTGACGCTGCGGCGCAGCATGCCGCGCTGCTCAATGAGCTCTGCGGCTGCGATGGCGGGGATGAGGCGCTCAGGGCGCCCCGTTCAGCGCTCCTTGAGGGTTCTGAAGCTGCTGTGTCTGCATTTGGCGCAGCACGCGGGCAAGTCGGGCGAGGTGAGCTCTTCCGAGCGCCGATGGCGCAGGCGGCACTCACGCTCCTCGCCGCGTGCAGCTGCGAGCGAAGCCCTGTCTCGATGGCATATGTCAGGCTGCGCCCTGTCTCACCCTGCCGGCCGTTGCGGCCTCCTGGCGTTGAGGCTGGCGGCGCGAGGTGAGGTGTGCTGCGGCGGCGTGGCATGGCCGCGGGAGTGAGGCCAGGCGGCGAGCGCTGCGCTGCGGGCGCGGTGGCCGCTGGGCGCTGCTGCCGCCGCGCTGCTGGCCCGCTGCGGCGCCTTGCGCTCTCGCGTCTTGCACCCGCCTCGCCTCGTCTTGCGCTGCCTCGCCTCAGCACCGCCGCTGCCCCGTTCGGTCAGTCGGGCGCTGGGCTGCGCTCGCCGTGCTCTCTCGCTGACTGCGTCTCGCCCTGTCCCGCCCTTTCCCTTCCTGGCCCGCCCCCATTCTCCTCTGCCCTTCTCGTCGTCCATCTTGCCCCGTACCACCGCATCCCGCTCCTCCTCTCGCTTCTTTCAGCGCTGCGCTGGCTCGCCGCATCACACGCTTCCCGCCTCCTCCTGGTCGCGCCGCTGCAGCTGCTCCTGCCTGTTGCGACCAGGACGGCGTGCCTCCTCGTCCACGGCGAGCAAACACCACCACCTGCCTGCCTGTCCGAGCCAACGCGGCGCATCGTCGCCGTGTGCGGACGACGAGCGGCCGCATCGCGTCGCGCCGCCTCGCCGTACCTGACGCCGCTTGCCCTCGCCCGTCGTCCCGTCGCACGCGCCGCCTGCTGCTGCGCTGCTGCTCCGCATCAGGCTGCGTGCAGGCGAAGCGTACCCCTCTCGGTGCTCGCAGCGCCGGCGACGACGGCCGAGCTCGGCGACGCTGCGCCGCGTGCGGCACTCGCTGCTCGTCGCCGGCCGGGCATGCGCTGATCGCAGCGCCAGGCACCGCCCCATCTCGAGCTCGACAGCAGCATCGTGCCCAACATCTCGCTGCGCCTTGCTTCCCTTCTCCCATCTCCCGTGGCCGCGTATTCGCCGCCTTTCCGCTCTCCGTCTCCGTCGCTGTCCACCCTAATCGTCGCCGCACCCGGTCCGCGCTAATCTGCGTCGCCCGCCGGACTCGGACTCGCCGGCTCATGAGCTAGTCTCTCCCTCTCTCTCACGCACACCTTCTCTCGTCTTCAGTCCTCAGCGGCGCGCTCCATTTCCCTCTTCAAGGCGCACCACGGACCCCGGACTCCTCTCCTCACCCCACCGACTCGACTCTCTCTCGCCTCTCCCAGGCCCGTCTCTCTCACTCCTCTGGCCGCACGTCTGTCCGACATCTCTGGCCCTCTTCTCCTCGCACACCTCACACTGGACACACCCGACAAGCCTCTCCAAGCCCTCGCTACTCCTCACCTCCTCACTCTCTGCCGGGCCGCAGCATGCTGCCGCGCACCACGCAGCTCGCCCATGCCGCCGCGCTGCCCGCCGGCATGCTCGCCATCTCGCGGCCCTGCTCGCCGCCGGTGCACGCGGCAGTGACGACGGCCTCCAGCGAGGCCATGCTGCCCGAGTCGCAGCTGTGGACACGGCGTATGAGCCGGCTGCGCTCCATTGCGCCGCCGCTGCTCTCGCCACGGGTCAGTCCGGCGCCGCTCTACTCCTCGCCCGTGCCGTCGCCGAGCCTCTTCCCGTGCCCGGCCGCCTTCGACCAGACCGACGCCGCCGCCATCCTGCTGGCCGACGCCGCCGCTGCTGCCGAGCTCCCGAGCCGCCGCCCGGCGACGCGCTACGGCTCGCACCTGCAGGCCTACACGCACGTCCTCTCGCTGCCCACGACGCCGGCGTCGTCGCATACGCCGCGCTCGGTGCAGAGTCTCGAGAGCGCCGCCGACCTGGGCGCCTACCTCGTCGCCGCTCTCACCAGCCAGCGCCAGGCGCGCGACTTTGAGATCGACACCGCCGGCCTGGCGACGGACATGGCCATCCGCGTACTCGCGTCGGACGACCCGTACAGCGACGACTACCTGACTGGCGATGGCTCCGACACGCGTCGTGAGAGCCTGCTGGGCGACCGCAGCGCCTTCACCGCTGGCCAGCAGGCTGGCTCGCTGCGTGCTGAGGCGCCCGTCGAGCTCGACGAGCACGGCAACGCGATGCAGCCGCGCAAGGGCCGGGCCCGCATGTCGCAGGAGAAGCGCAAGCGTCTGGCTCGGCGCAAGGAGCGCGAGGCACTGCTGATGGGCCTGCTGCCCGTCAAGGCCACGTCGGCGCCGCCGCACCTCACCGCCTTTCCTGGCCTCGGCATCGCCAACTTCCCGCCGCTCGGCGCGCCGCTGCCGCCGCCGTCCGTCGCCACCGCCTCGGCGTTCCAAGGCCGTCCCGTCCACCACCACCACCACCACCGCGATGCAGCGCCCAGACTGCCGAAGCCGAGCACCACGAGACCGTATCATGGCACGTCGGGCTGCGGCGATGCGGCAGCAAGATACCCGGCTGGACGCCAGGAGCCTCACTATCAGCAGCAGCCCAGCGCCTTCCAGCCAGGCGCGATGGGCTGGCCGAGTGCTGCGCCTGCTTGGACGGAAGGTGCGGCTCACTACGGCGCTGCCAGTGTTGGTGGCAGCGGCAGCGGTCCGGCCTTGGTACCGAGCCACCGCGGTGGAGCACTCGCGAGTCCGACGTCGTCGGTCCCCTCTCTGAGCCCGTCGGCCAGCACGTGCACCGAGGCGAGCGCCTTCTCAGCGTCCAGCGGCACCGTCTCGTCGCTCTCGTCTGGCGCTGCGCCGGCCATGCTCGAGCCTCGCAGCCCGGCGTGGCTGCTGGCCGACCCGCTCGGCCAGCTCGACTCGGCGCCCAGCACGCCGCGCCACGGCTCCTTTGGCAGCACGCAGGCGCAGCCCTTTTATCAGCAGGCGCAGCACCAGCAGCAACAGTCGGCCCAGCACCACGCGCGCCGTCCGCAGCAGCAGACGACGCCTCGCTTCGACGTCTCGCAGCGCAGCCCGTTCGAGGTGACGTACTACCGCGGCCGCGAAGCATCCGAGACGCGTGCGCAGACCGGTGCCGCACCGTCTGGTGCAGCGCACCAGGCGCAGCAACAGCGTCCCACCCGCCGATCGAGCCCCGAGAGCAACGCCAACCTGGCGCAGTTCGATGCGCTGCCGCGCGTGCAGGTGAACCCGCCGACACCCGCCTCGCAGGTGCGCAACAACGAGCGCTCTCGTGCTGCGCGCTCAACGGCGTGGTCTGGCCGCCAGGCTTCCTCGGCGCCGCCGTCGGACATGCCCGAGCTGCCGACGCCGCCGCAGTACACGGCGTCGGGCGCCTCGTACGAGGCCGCCGCCTCGCGTCCGCTCGTGCAGCCCGCGCAGCACTCGCAGGAGCCGTGGGGCCTGCTCTTTCAGCCGCAGCAGCACAAGACGCCCCTCGCGCAGTCGGGTGCCTGGCCGTATGCGCCCATGTCCTCGCCGTCGGCCCACGGCACGGGCCTCACGTCGGGCCGCGGGCCGCTCGACTGGCCCTGAGCGCTCATCGCTCGGCCATCTGTCCGCCGCCATGTATGGCGCCTCACGACTTCCCGTCTTCTCACTCGTCTTTCTCTCAACACGTCTCAGTCGCCCCATCCTCATCATCGTCTTGTCCATCATCATATTCCCCTCGGCCCTGCCACATCTACGCGTCTCCTCGAGTCTCCCTGGCCGCCTTCTCATCCCGCATCTCGCTCCCGTCTCATGACCTCCGCACACGCCGCATCGTCTCAAGCTCTCGCGCGCATACACACTCTCACGCAGCAGCAACTCCTGGAGCCCCCACTGGACTGGTCCGCTCTGCAGCATGTCTCTCCTCTCGTTCTCTCTCTCTCTCTCCGTGTCGCCTCATCTCATCTCCAGCGCGCGTCCACGCGCAGCCAGCCCCGTGTAATCATCACTCGCGCCTCAGGACCATGAAACTATCATCAGTCCGCCGGTCATACATGCAGCGTGCGTGCGTCACAGCATCTGAGGAGAGAGAGAGCGAGGGAGAGAGAGAGACGATCTAGCGATTTCATGAGGCATCAGCGCCGCGTTGAGCAGCAGGATTACAGCGAGGGCAGCCGGTGACGGAGGCGAGCGCCATGAGGAGAGGATGTGCAGACGCGAGACAGGGGCTTTTGGCGATTCAGGACACTTTGCGGACTTGGGGGGCAGAGCATTGCGAGCCATGCTCGAGCTGCGCGCGCGGAGTGTGCACGGCAGCGCGGAGGCTTGCGCTTCGGCTCGGCTGGCACTTCACTTGACGGTGAGGCGGGCAATGCGCGTCTCGAGGTCGCCCGTGGCCTCCTCATCGACGACGAGCCAGGGCTTGGTGATGTAGTTGCGCAGGCTGTCAGGCAGCACCACGACGACGTTCTTGCCCTTCTGCGAGCCGATGCTCTCCCAGCCCTCGCCGCCGGGACGCAGCCAGCGCATGGCGCCCGCCAGCGCACTGCCGGAGCTGCCGCCGCACAGCAGGCCCTCGTCGCGGATGAGGCGGCGCGCATACTCAAACGACTCGTCGTCGCGCGTCTTGATCCACGCCGACACGCGCGTCTTGTCCAGCGACGCCGGATCAAAGTCATAGCCGATGCCCTCGACCTTGTACGCCGACGACTCGCCCTCGGCCAGCTCGTTGAGCGCCGCGGGCAGCGCCAGCGTGCTGCCGACGGGGTCGACGCCCAGCACGAAGACGTCTGGGTTGTGGTCCGGCTCGGCGAGGCGCGCCGCAATGCCGCTGATCGTGCCGCCCGTGCCAACGCCCGCGACGAGCATGTCGACGACGCGGCTCTCGGCCTCGTCGGAGTCGTGCGCATGGCCGTTGGCGTGGCCGTTCGTGAGGCCATTGGCGTGGCCATTGGGCGCCTCGGTGCCGTTGCTGTGCGGCACGCCGTTGGCCTTCGGCGCTGCCTTGCTGGCGGTGCCCGTGCGGGGCAGCGCCACGCCTGCCTCGACGGCATCGATGATCTCCTGCGCGGTGACGCGGTGGGCGAGCGGGTTGTCCGGGTTGTTGTACTGGTCCAGAATGACGGCGTGCTCAATCTCCTTTGCCAGGCGGCGCGCCACCATGATGTTGCTGCGCGGGTCGTCCCACGCCGCCTCGGTGGGCGTGCGCAGCACCTCGGCGCCGAGCGCCCGCAGCGTCGTGACCTTTTCGGCCGACATCTTCTCGGGCAGCACAATGATGCAGCGGTAGCCCTTGATGGCCGCCGCGAGCGCCAGGCCGACGCCCGTGTTGCCCGACGTTGGCTCGACGATGACGGACTTGCCCGGGATGAGCAGGCCCTTGGCCTCGGCGTTGAGCAGCATGTTCGACGCGATGCGGTCCTTGACGGAGCCGCCGGCGTTGAAGTACTCGCATTTCACCACTGTGGCACAGCGTGTCAGTCAGACGCAGCACAATGGCAGCGCACTGGAGAGGCGCATCGAAGCAAGTGCACTGCCAGAGGCGCAGCACAGCGGCGGCAAGAGCGAGAGGCGCTGCGCACAGCGGCGTGCCGCGCTGATACGGCGGAGCTTGGCGCCGCGGCCGTGTTCCCACACAGCCGCGTCTGCACGTTGTCCCGCCCCCACACCTCGCCGGGTGTGCTACTCACAGACATTGCACAGCACGCCCTCGCGCTGCGGGATGCGGTTGAGGCGCACGAGCGGCGTGTCGCCAATGGCCGAGAGCGCCGAGGGCAAGATGGTGGTGGGGCGCTGCATGGTTGTGGTATGTGGGATGCGGGTGGTGTACAGATGACAGGTGAGGGATATGTGCGTGAGAGAGAGAGGCGAGAGGAGCTTAGAGACGGAAAGAGGGAAGGAGGGTTAGCACAGGTTGGACTGAGCGTCGAAGGTGGCCCTGTTGGAGGGCTGGGAGAGGGTGAGACGGAGCGGGAGAGAGGAGTGTGAGTCTGGCGAGAGGTTGAGATTGGAGGCGCGCGTGTGGGACACGCGGCGCAGGCACTGGCGCAGAGAGCGGCGGAGCGGACGGTGCGGTGCGGCGATGCGCGGTGGCAGCGACGAGTGCGACGAGGGTGTGCACGACGGTGGTGGTGGAGCTGAGGCAAGAGCGAGGCTGCACTTGACTGTGAGGCTGAGGTGAGTGAGGGGCTGCTGCTGCTGCCATGCCGCGGCTAAAGCGCGCCCTGAGCCCCTCGAACTCGGCGCCGGCGCGGGGCCGCGGCACGCATCCCGTGCTTGCCGCGTGGGCGCACGCCACGCGCGCGTGAGGCTGGCGCCGAGCGTGCTTGGCCCAGCGCCGCCCGCGCGCCGCGCGCACGTTGCAGCACCGCCGCCGCGCTACGCTCTGACGGCTGAAGTCGTGCTCAGCACACCATCGTCTCGCAGCCGCGCGCGCCGGCCTCCAGCACCTCGGAAGAAGCCATGACGCAGCCGCGGCGGAGAGCGAGACCCTTTGTTCAGGGCTGCGCCGAGCGCCTGGCTTGCGTTGGGTGACAGCCGGCAGCGAGACGGCGCGACATCCGGCACGGCCACTTGTGGCCCAGGGTCGCGGACGCTCACAGTGCAGGCCGGCGAGCAGGTGCAGCAGCACCCGCGGGGCTCTGCAGGGTTGCGCACGCTCTCCACTCAACGACCTGAAGTGTTCGGACGGATATCATCGCGACGGCAGAGTGGACTAGACACAAGTACAACAGGAGAATGGAGGGGCCATGGACCGGGGAGATGCGTGTATGGATGGGAGCATGTTGGGAGCGCAGTCGTCATGGGAGCAGCCGAGTATGAGTCGAGAGAGGGATGCACTACACGTCTTGGCCAGAGAGTCTATGGGCGTGTCGCACGGCCTCGAGCACAGACCAGTGCGGCAGTTGCAACGCACGGCCTGGGCACAGGCGGGTGCGACGAGGGGTATCGCACGCTCTATTGCTCCTGCTTCTCGCCCTGCGGCTGCGCATTCTTGCGGCGGTGCAGCGCCGAAATGTCGCCGTTGTCCTCCTCGTCCTGCACGACGCGGTGGCCGTCGTTGCCCTGGCGCTCCTTGAGCAGCTCGCCGGCGAACTTTGAGTTGCGCCGCACCACCTCGCCCTTGTAGTAGAAGATGACGATGGGGATGACGACGAGCACGCCGAGGCACGCCAGCAGGAACGACGCCCAGACAAAGCCCAGGTTGTTGAACATCGGCGTCGAGTACACTGAAGGGTCGTGTGAGCACAAGGCAGCACTTCAGCTTCGGTATGGACACTCACTCGTGGCAATGCCGGCGAGGCCGTTGCGCATGAACGCGTTTCCGCCGGTGGCACTGGCCGAGTACGGGCCGTAGGCAGCGACCTGGTGGGAAGCCTCAGTCAGCAGCACTCAGCACAGCCAGCTCGGGCGACGCACCATGTAATCGATTGTGTTGTAGTAGATGGCGTAGTTGGCGATTGCCACGAGCACCGAGGCGATCATCGGCGCGATCCAGGGGATCGACGGCGAGTGATTGGGGCCGTACGTCGTAAAGGCGAAGATGTAGAGGCCGATGGGCTCGAGCGGCGCCGTGAAGAGCAGCCACCAGAGGCGGTGCTCGGGCGTGTACTTGTCGGGCTGGTGGCGGCGCATGCGCTTGAACTTGATGATCGGGATCGCCATGCTGGCGTAGCAGATCTGCGAGAGCCCGTGTCAGTGCATGCTCTCTCCGCTTCAGATGCGCAGCACGCACAATGTAGCCGATCCAGATGGGCACAAAGGTGAGCGCCGAGCGCGGCGCCTCGAAGCCCCACTGCTCGTACACGAGCTGGAAGGACTCGATGAACGTGAAGATGAGTGCGTCGGAGAAGCCGGAGAGGAGCGAGCAGCACAGCACGATGGGCTCGCGCGCGAGGAACTCGAACTGCGGGGAAGAGTGAGTACTGGGCCGTGTGCACCTTCCATGCGACACTCACGGGACGGTACCAGGTGGTGAGGATGCCCTTGAGCGTGAAGCGCTTCTCCTTGACCTCGTTGGGGCCCCACACGTCCTCGCCCGCCTTGCGGAGGCGCTTCGCCTCGCGGTCAAGCAGGACGGACGAGCGCGTCTCGGGCACGAGGAAGAGGTGGATGAGCTGCACCACGCCTGCATGGGAGTGTCAGCTGCGGCGCGGGTGGCAAGGATAGCAGGCTGCTCACCGCCGAAGATGAGCTGCACCCAGAAGATCCAGCGCCAGGACAGGTACGCCTCGACGAAGGGCCCGACGATGGGGCCGATGGACGAGCCGCCGACGGAGGAGAAGACGACGTAGGCGAGGGGCCACTCCTGCTCCTCGGGCTCCCACATGTCGGCGACCATGCCGAGCGTGACACTGCCGCCGGCCGACGAGAGGCCGCCGAGCACGCGGCCGACGACGATGCTGCCGTAGTTGGGCGCCAGCGCGCACGGCAGCTGGAAGACGTTGACGAGGAAGAGGCTGATCTGCATGATCGGCCGGCGGCCCAGCTCCTCGCTCCACGGCGCCCACAGCTCGCTGCCAAAGGCGTAGGCGATGAGGAACACGGCCTGCCCCACGCGCGCCGCCTGCTGCGAGATGCCGTATTCGGCGGCGATGCCCTTGACGCCGTTGGCGTAGATGCCCGTGTTCATGTTCATGCTCAGCTGCACCATGAAGATGACTGGCGGTGGGGTGAGCGCCTGTGCGGTGCGGACACCGTGCAAGTCTGGCTGGCCTCACCAGAGATGATCCACCACTTCTTCCACGTCGGGAACGCCATGCCGAGCACCTTGCGCGTCTCGGCGTCGCGGCCGGTGAGCATGCGCTTGCCGTTCACCTCCTTGGTGTCGCGGCCGCCGCTCTTCTCGTTCATGGCGCCGGGGCCCTCCTCCTGCTTGGGGCTGGCGGCAGGTGCCGGTGCAGCGACCGTGCTGGCGGGACTGCTGGCGCCGGAGCGCGCATCGTCCGCCGGCATCGTGGGCGAGTGGGTGACGCGGGCGAGCGTCGGTCTGGGGCGAGGGCGCTGGTGCTGGGCGGGCGAGGCAGGAGTCGAGCGGCCTTGTCTATGTCTATGGTAGGGGCGAGCCAGTTGAGCCGGGCTTGTGAGGGTGGAGAGGCAGGCGTCCCTGGCTGCACCCCGCCGCCTTTATGACGGACCGGCGCAGGCCGGAGCGCAAAAGCGGGGGAGCGCGAGAGACCCATGCTGCTGCTGACGCATGACGACGTCGCTGGCGCGCGGCGGTAGCGTGTCTTGGCCCAGCGCTGCTCCGCATCCGCCTCGACGACGATGGAGCGCGGCGTGGTACCGCCTCGCTGGGCCCTCACGGCCAGACCCGGACACAGCCGCCAGTCGTGTGGTGCCTCACAGCATGCAGCATGCTGCCCGCGGATCTCTGTGCGGATGACGCTCTGTTCTGCTGCAGCGAAGCGGTGCTCGCTGAGCGTGAGCTGCTGCTGCGTGCGGCGTCGCCGATGCGCTGTCCCGGCGGCGTGCGGCTGCGCGGATCAGGAGCGGCGGCGGAGCGGCCACCGTTGCACCGCGGCGTCTAAGAGGCAGCGTGGGATCGAGCGTGCCGGCGCAGGCACCGAGCGCAGCCGTTGGGCAGCTCAGCCGCCAACAACGCTCGAGATGCGAGCTGATCTTGAGTGGAGGGCTGAAGCGCTGAGCGGCTGAGATGCGGCACTTGCGGCGACATCGGGGCGTCGCCGTCGACCCTTGCAACGCGCATGGCGGCGCAGCGCTGCCGCCGCTGCCGCCGTTCCGCGCCGCCGGCCGTGCGGCAGAGACGCGTGACGCAGCCGTGCAGCCGGAGCCGCGCGAGCCTTCTCGAGCGATCGCGGCGCGGCGCTCCGCCATCCTGCCTCTCTGCCACGCCCCGCGCAGCGCGCAGGAGCACGTACATCAGCAGCGCCGCCTCGCCTCATGCCTTGGGCGCGGCAAGTGCTCCCGATCCTCAGCCGCAGCCGCAGCCGCCTCAAGCCGCCTCCAGCCGCCTCAGCCGCTGCCCGCCGCTGCACCTGCCGCACCCCGACATTGCTCCTGCTCCCACGCCTGCGCTTCGAAGCGGCACGCATGGCCTCATCCTCTGCCCCGCATCCGGGCGCCGCAGACGCAGCGCCCGCCGCCGATGCGCGAGATGCAAAGTCGGCTCCTCTGGCGTTGCCGGCGCCCGGCGATGCTGCCGAGCGCACGACGGACATCCAGGTCGGCGGGCCAAACGTGGCGCTGGACCACCTCGGACCGGTCGTGGTGCGTAGCTGCGCCGATGCGCCGAGCACTTCTGCTGACCTTCTGTCGCTGACCCCGCATCTGCACCCTCGCAGGTCAACGTCGATGGTGTGAGTCTCCTGCCATGCGTCAGGCACACGCGCGGCTTGGCACAAGGGATTGACGCATCGCCTCGCCGCAGACCCTGAGCCGCATCGGCAACTGGCAGGAGCTCTCGTCGTTCGAGAAGGCCACGTCGAAGCGCCTCCTGACGAAGCGCAACGCGGAGCGTCTGGCGGCGCTCAAGGCGAAGGAGGACGCTGCAGGGCAGGAGTAGGCCTCCTGGGAACAAGCCGTGGAGGGCGCGTGTGCACATCGTCGACTCGGGCCTCACGCGCGCTGTCGCAAGAGCATCAAGACGATGTACAAGATACCCCTGCGTATGCGAAGCCAGGCTGCAAGCCTTCGTCTGCACCTCGTGGCTCCTCTTGAGCACACGCGTCAACATCACACACAAGCACACGCGCCAGCGGTGGGGTCAGGTCGAGATGCATCAATTCACGATCTTCACGATCCGATCGCGCTGCCACAGCGACGACGAGCTCGCTCACTTGCGCGTGGCGATGAAGCTGCCAAACAGGACGTCAGCTTTCACTCCCAAGCTACGCTTGATTGACACGCACTTGAGCATCTGGGGCAAGTCCCGCATCGCAAGCGCGGGAGGCCAGCGCTTCGCCACCTGCGCCTCGAGGCGCCACTCGCCAGGCGCGACGTCCTCAAAGACAGCCTTGAGCGAGTCCTCGTTGTGCAGGAAGAGACTGGCATTCTCGACGTCGATTGACCAGGACCCGCTCTTGTCGGGATAGACGCGCAGTATGGGCTGCGCTTCTGCAGTGCCAGCCAGGCGACCGGCAATGCAGGTGCCCGGTGCCTTGCTCATGAAGGAGAGGAGGTACTTCAGCACCTCCTTGTGTTGCTCTGCGAGTCGGTGAGCAGCGTGCTCGATGCGCGAAACACAGCAGCGGCTCACCGAAGGGAAAGAGGTGAATAAAGAAGCCGATCCAGATGACGCTGGGAGCGAGCCGGTCAGCCGCCGCAGCCAGAGTGCCCCTCTTCTTACTCACTCGTAGCCGCCGTTGCCCGGGCGGCCGGCGCTCATCACGCTGGCACGGTGGCGAGCGTTGAAAATGTCGCACTCGACGAACTTAGCTTCACGACCGATGGCCAGCTCCTTGTCGGCAAAGAGGCGCTGGCCCAGCTCGAAGTATTTGGGCTCCAGATCCGCTCCGACGATCTGGTGGCCCTTGACGCCGTCCTGGTGCAGGTAGCGCAGGTCCTGACCCACACAGCATGCGCTGGAAGTGTTGGCGCTCAGCGCTCAGCGTCTGGCTTTGCAGCAGGCTGGCGACCCCGGACTCACAAGTCAAGCAGCTTGGCCTGCGGGTCGTTGAGGCGCGCCCGCAGTGCGCGGTACCACTTGTGCTGCAGCGTCGAGACGGCGGGATGCACGAAGAAGAATGTGGCGATGCACGGGTATGGGTTGCTGGCCTTGTATGCCTCATCGCGCACGGCGATGATGTGCTTGGCGAGCTCCTCGTCCGTGAGGCCGGCGAGCAGCGGACTGGCCTGCTTGAAGAGCTGGCGCGACTCGTCATCGAAGGGCAGCGGCGTCTCCGCCGTGATCTCCGTCACGTCGTACGGCATGTCCACACGCTTGACTGAGGACGACATACTGGCGTGTAGAAGTGCGGGTGGGAGAGAGGGTCGAGGGTGCTGATGACGGGGGCGAGGACGGCGAGCTCGTGCGCTTTTGTATGCCTCTAAGCTGAGTTCACGGCATCAAGCCTCCGTCCGGCATCTCACAGCCGCCTTCCGGCTGCATGAGCACCCGCACTGCCAAGCAGCTTCCGTCGAGCGGTAGTGCCCGGAGATTATGGTCTCTACCGCGAGGCTCCTGGAGTGCACTGCCTCGTCAGCGAGCGATGAGCATGCCGTCGGCTCTCGCGTCAGGGGGCGCCTCACTGCCCGCGCATCCAGATGATGTCGCCGCCGCGCCGCTGCGGTCCTCGACCCCTAAGCCCGGACTATTTGGCGCCTCGGGCATCAGACTCTCGGCCGCCGAGAGTGCTGCCGTGCCGCCGGCGGCCCATCATGGCAGATGGCGTCTAGAAGCAGGCGAAACAGACGAGGCGGCTCTGCGGGGCCAAGTAGAGTGCGGAATTCAGCGGCCTGCGAACACGGCACACGGCGCCGCGGCGCGCGTCACGAAGCAGCAGAGCACAGCGCTGCCGGACGCGCACGCGCCTCTGCGTCCCTCCACCACAGCCCGCCGTCTCTCCTGCCACTTCAGCGCCGCCGCCGAGTGCCTCTTCACTTGACGCCGCCGCCGCCGTCCTCGCTGCGCCCAAGCTGCACGCCCACCCGTCCAGTGTACGCGCTGAGAACTGACCTCTGCGTCTGCTGCATCCTGTCGCTTACGTCCGTGCCTTCTGGCCGTTCCTTTCTTTCGCTCCTGCCACACACTCGACGCCATGTCAGCGCCCAGCAAGCGCCCTTACTCGCCGCCGCCGCCGCCGCCGGGCAGAGATGAGCACCGCCACGTGAGACCGCGCGAGGAGGAGCGCCGAGGCGGCGACCGCAGCTACCGCGCGCGTGATGAGCCGGACCGCCGCTCGGCAGCCGGCGCAGGAGGGCACAGCAGGGACCGGGACCGCTCTCGCTCCGGCGACTATCGCTCTGGGCGCTACGAGGAGAGCCGCTCGCGCCAGCACTCGGGCCGTCGCGACGATCCGCGTGCTCCAGCCGACTACTCTGATCGCGCGCTGAGCTATGGTGAGCGCAGAGGCGAGCAGCGCACCGCAGATGACCACCGCTCCGAGAGGCGCCACGGTAGCGAGCGAGACGCGGCGCGCTCTTCGCGCGAGAGGCAGAACGAGTGAGTGCTATCTCTCTTCGGACGTGCCCCTGTGCCGTCTCGCTGATGACATCGCCGGCACAGCTCTGCCTCGCACCACGATCGGCGGCGCGACGATCACAGGTCTGTTGACCGGTCAGTCCAGATGTATGCGTGCGAGCGGGCACCTCAGCTGACCTGCGAGCCCTTATCGCTCCAGATCTTCGCGGCATGAGAGCCCTGCGCCACCCCTCAAGTCGGCGATGAAGAAGCGAGAGCGCACGCCCGAGGCCGAGTTCGAGCTGGAGCCAGACGAGCAGGAGATGGCGCGCATCATCGAGGAGCGCCGCCGCCGCCGTGCCGCCATCCTGCTCAAGCACACGGGCACAGAGAGCACCGATCGCAGCACTGCTGCCGGTACGCCAGCGCCCGGCGCGGCGCTGAGTGCAGCCGGCAGCACGGCGGGCAGCGTACGTGGCTCGGTCGGTGCGTTGTCTTCCGAGGCGTCTCCCGGCAGCAGAGCTGACGTCTCGTCCACAGAACCTCGCGCACGGACACGCTCCGTGTCGCCGGTCGAGCTCGCGCCGGAACAGGGCGACTTTGCTCTGGCCAAGACCGACGGCACCATGACGCCTCCGCAGGGCGGAGCAGAGAACAATATCTCTGCCGCGGACTACAACCCGGACCTCGACCGGCTCGAGGACGAGGAGCGGGCGCGGCAGCGTGCACAGAAGGGTCAGCCGCAAGGCACTGACGAGCTGGCGGCCGGCACTGGCGAGGCCAAGGAGCGCATCGAGGGTGACGAGAGCGAGTGGGAGGAGGTCGAGGTGGAGGAGGATGACGAGGTCGAGGACATGTTCGCGCTTGGCAGCGACGACGAGGACGCGCCCAAAAAGAAGAAGACGATCCGCGTGCGCAAGGGCACTGCTCGTCCAGGCGCGGTGAGTCTGCTGTAGTGGCCGACACGCACCATCTGCTCACACTCTTCCACAGCTCAACGCCGCCGCCGACGCGCCTGCGACGCTGACCGACAACTGGGACGATGCGGACGGCTACTACCGCGTCACGCTCGGCGAGCGCCTCGGCGACAAGGGCCAGTACCACGTCTTTGCGAATCTCGGCCGCGGCATGTTCAGCTCCGTCGTCAAGGCGCGCGAGGTGACACCCGGCGAGCATGGGGCGCCAGCGCGCGAGCGCGAGGTTGCCATCAAGATTGTGCGCTCGCAGGAGACGATGTGAGCAGCTCACCCCGCCGAATGTGTGTGCAACTGCTGACGCCATGCTGCAGGTACAAGGCGGGCATCAAGGAGATGGCCGTGCTGCAGAAGCTCATGGCACTTGACCCGGAGGACAAGCGGCATCTGATCCGGCTCGAGGGCCACTTCGAGCACCGCGGGCATCTGTGCATGGTCTTTGAGCTGCTGAGGTGAGCGGCTCGCCAGGCTTGACGCGAGATCCGTCGCTGACAGCGCCGTCACAGCATGAATCTGCGTGACGTCGTCAAGCGCTTCGGCAAGGACGTCGGCCTGAACCTGCGTGCCGTACGGGCATACGCGCACCAGATGTTCCTGGCGCTCTCCCTCATGCGCAAGGCCAACATCATGCACGCCGACATCAAGCCGGACAATATTTTGGTACGTCGCACAGTCCTCCGCGCTGAGCCTGCCTGTGCTGACGCCTGCTGCGCAGGTCAATGAGGGCAAGACGACGCTGAAGATCTGCGATCTCGGCTCGGCGTCGGACACGAGCGAGATGGAGATCACGCCGTACCTCGTTAGCCGCTTCTACCGCGCGCCCGAAATCAGTGAGCAGCGCGGCGGCATGCGTGTCCTGCAGCGTGAGCACTGACGCCCGACTGTAGTCCTCGGACAGCCGTACGACTGCGCGCTCGACATGTGGAGCATCGGCTGCACGCTCTACGAGCTCGCGACGGGCAAGATTCTCTTTCCGGGCCGCACGAACAACCAGATGCTGCTGCTCATCCAGGAGCTGCGCGGCAAGTTCACCACGAAGCAGATCCGCAAGGGCCGCTTCTCCGAGCAGCACTTCGACGAGACGAACACCTTCCTCAGTCTCGAGAAGGACAAGAGCACGGGCGCGGTGAGTGCAGCTGTACATCCGAAGGCAGTCTGGGCGGTGCTGACCCAGTCGCGAGCAGGACGTCATCCGCAAGGTGGCGCTGCAGAAGCCTGTGGCCGACCTGCGCGCACGCCTACTGCCCGGCAACACCGTCAAGCGCCTCTCCGACGACGAGCTGCGCCTGATGACGCATTTCATCGACCTCCTTGCTCGTGCGCTCGACCTCGACCCCACCAAGCGCCTGACTCCGAAGGAGGCGCTGGCGCACCCCTTCCTGGCCTGATGCGAGCAACGCACTCCCCTGCCTCCCACTCGTCGCTCTAATGCACTCCCTCGCCCCCACTTCCGTTGCGCGTCGCTCTCAGCCCGGTCTGCAGGGTCATGATAGATGGCTGTGTGCTCACCGCCGCAGCGGTGTGGGCGTGATGTACAAGGCGGAGCTAGGTGTGTTGAGTGTGGTGCAGAGATGACGAAGAGACGAGACGGACACGGGCAGTGCGCGTCGTTTTTAGGCCACGAGCTGTGCGAGAGAGGAAGGATAAGCGCCACGCCCAGGCTGCAGAGCCGCCGAGCACTACGCACCACAACGACACCGCCAGCCTCCTTGATCTTCTTCTCAGCCAGCTCCGAGACCCAGCGGGCCTTGACAATGCAGGGCAATTGCGGCAGGCGGCCCTTGCCGAGCACCTTGCCGTAGCCGTGCAGGAGCGTGTCGATGACGGGCACCTCGGTGGAGCTGCTCGTCAGGCCCTCGCGCTGCTCGGCGGGCACGAGCGTCCAGAGCTTGTCGAGGTTGATGACGGGGCGGTGCGTCATGTTGCGCGTCATGTGGAAGTAGCGCATGCCGACCTTGCCGAAGTAGCCGGGGTGGTACTTGTCGAAGTTGGTGCGGTGGTGGTGCTGACCACCGGCGAGACCACGACCACCGGGGTGCTTGCGGTGCTTGCCTGCACGCGGAAGGCGTGAGCAGCTGCTCTGGCTCTGCTCTCATCATGCTTCCTCCTGGCGGTCCCTCGCCAGCCTTGAGGGCCGCCTGCCTACTGCAACGCCCCAATGCTGCACGCCACGTTGCCCGCCCGCTTCATGGCGACGATGCCGCCCTGTGCGCCCATGTTGCAGTCTGATCCCATCGCTCTACGTCTCGTCGAGTCCCGCCCGCCTGACTCGCCCGCATGCGCCCGCTCCCGCACCTGCCAGACTGGCGCCCTCTAGCCTGCGACACCCCTGCACACTACTCACCAACGCGGCCGTGACCGCCGGAGACGTGTCCGCGCAGCTTGCGGTTCTTGTTGGTGCGCGTCGGCCTACATGGCAGAAGCACGCAGCACGACGAAGCGCGGCAGCAGGAGCAGCGGCGGCAGCAGCAAAAGTGGCAGCAAGAGCGGCAGAGCAGCAGCAGCAGCAAGAGCGGACGACGAGCACGTTGGGAAGTGGCAGAGGATGAAGAGCGCTCGTCAGCAACGCATCTACGCAGCAGCGGCGCCGGCAGCGACGCACATTGTGGGTGACTTGAGGGGGTGGGGGGAGAGAAGATGGGAGCCGCGGGCGGCGGCGAAAGTGGCAGCGCGGCGGCCGGCACGGCACAGCAAGGGCGTCGCGCTCGCGGCCGCCAGCTGCAAGAGGGGCGGGGCGGGAGCAGATCCGCAGCGGCACCGCGCCTGTCTTCTGCGCCACCTCGGCACGCGCCACGTGGCCGCAGCAGCTGCAGAGCTGGAAGAGCTCAACGCGAGAACATTCTTGTGCTGCGCCCGACATCCGGCTCCGCGCCGACACCGCCATCGCCGCCGAATCTCACACACAACCACGCCCCTGCTCACACTGCAGGGGCCAGCAGCCAGGGCCGTCGCCTGGCTGCACCACGCAAAGGTGAGTGCTGCTCCAGGACAGCGACGCTCGCGGGTGCGAAGGAGAGCGCGTGCCGCGGCCTGGCAGCCTACATCTGCTGCGCTGCGGGTGCTCGCTGTGCTGCCATGACGGGCACACCTCTTACTGCACTGGTCGAGGATGAAAAACCTACCCGATATCTACAATTACATCAACATGTCTACACTCCTCCGGGAGCGGATGAGAACCAACACATTTGCCGAACTCGAGACCAGCCCTCGCGCTTTTGTCTTTTGCTGCTGCCTGCCGTGCTCGAGCAGCGTGCTGACGCGCCCTTGCCCGCCGTCTAGCTCGCTCTGGACACACACCTCGATACGTGAGTACCTTCTTTGCGCTCCACGCACGGCGGCAGAGGGGCGCACCGGACGGGGATGATCCCTCCGACAGGCGGACCTAATCGCGTGGCCCGTCCGCTGTCGTCCAGCCTCGCGCTGGTCTAAAACGTCAGACCGCACCCCACTGTACACGGCGGTGCGGGAAGGGCGGCGTCGTGCTGGAGGATACGTCGGACTCTGAGTCTTGCGCCTCGCCGCTGCTGTCATGGGTCTCCGCAGCGAGCAAGGGAAGCAATGCTGACGCCGCTATCGCCCGTTCCACAGCTGTTGCTCGCAATGCATGAAGTCACGAGATTATTACTCCTCTGCTGTGTATGACCTGGACGCGCGGTGGACCCAGAGCAGCTGGTGGAGAGAGCGCTGGGCAATCCTGTCATGGAGAGGCGCTCACTCGTCGTCGAGCTGCGTGGGGCAGATCATCAGCATGCAGCCATCGTCTGGCATGCGGCGCAGCTCACCTCGACGCTGAAGCTGGTGATCTGCGGCAGGTAGGCGCAGGCAGCCAGATCGACAAAGTACATGTCGTCGTAGATCTCCTTGCCGTCGAAGCCGCCGTGGAGGAAGAGGCGGCTGTCGCGCAGCCAGGCCTGGTGGTAGCCACGACCCGGCGGCTTGCGACCACAGACGCGCCGCGGCTCCCACTGCAGGTTCACTGCGGCGGAGCGTGTGAGCGAGAGCAGGACAGGTGAGGCCGATTCGACGCACCGAGGTTGAGCGTCAGAATGTCGGGCGTGTACGAGTGGCTGTCGTGGCCGCCGATGATGAACAGGTACGAGCCCACCTGCGTGGCCGTGTGCCCGAGGCGGTTGTGGATCTCGTCGGTCTTGACCTGGTACCAGACCTTGGTGTCTGCGGCGAGCGAGTCAGCAGCACTCACGCTGCGCCAGTTGACTCCACTCACCAAGCCGCAGGATGTGAATGTCGTTGAAGGACATGTGTCCGTCGCTGCCGCCGATCACGATGAGCTTGCCGTCGACGAGGTTGCTCGTGTGGTAGCCTCTACCGATCGGCATCTTGCCCCTGCACTCGACGCGGCGCCACTCGAGGCGGTCGAGGTCCTGAATGTCGAGCGTGTAGACATCGTTGAGCGCGCCCACGCCATTGCCGCCGCCAAAAATGATCAGCTGGCCCTGGTAGTGGTTGCTCGTGTGCGCGCGGCGCGGCGACGGCGGCGTGCCGTACACCTCGGGCTTCGACCAGCGCAGTGCGACCGTGTCGAAGACGTAGAGATCGTTGAAGTAGTGCGGCCCGTCGCCGCCCGCAAAGACATACAGGCGCCGCTCCACCATCGTGGCGGTGTGTGCACGGCGCGGCGGCGGCAGGTCGCCGGTCACCTTTGGCTTCGACCAGCACATCGTTTCTGTTCACCTTGTGCGTCAGCCACGCCGAGCGCGCCAAGCAGCAACGCGACTCACCCGTGTCGAAGCACCACAGCTCGCGAAAGCAGCCCTTCGAGTCGCAGCCGCCAAAGAGCCACAGCACCTCCTCGGCCAAGCTTGCGGTGTGTGCGCGGAAGGCGCGCCGCGGCACACTGCCGTGCACCGGCGCCTTACTCCAGTACATCGCCGGCGGCGGCGCAGGGCCGAGGCCGGGCGCAGAAGGCAGCTGCGGGATAGCACGGGGCGCAGCTACGCGCAGACGCGACGAGGTCGACGCGACTGCCTGAGCATTGCTGCTACTGCCTGCGGCCTGTGCGCTGGACGTGCTGGCAGCGCCAGATCCGGCTGCTGCCGGTCGCGAGGGCTTGCTGCCGGCAGAGAGACCCGAAGTGGGCGTACGCGCCGGCGGCTCGGGCGCGGCGCGGCGCGAGGATGTCGGCGAGGAGCTGGCCGAGGCTGCGCGCGATGGGTCGCTCTGCTGCAGAGCCGAGACCGCTGGTGAGACCACAGCTGGCGATGCGTTGGCGCCTGCCGCAGCTGCGGCAGGCGAGAGCAGTTCGGCGGGTCGTGCGACCGGCGCCAGGGCGTCTGACTTGAGCGGCGAGGGCGCCGGAGCACGCGCCGAGGTGCGCAGTGATGAGGAACCAGCACGGGCGGGCGCATCGCCTGCTTGCCTTGCCGGATTGGTCGGCCCGCCAGCGAGTGAGCCCATGGGTGCGTTCGAGTCCGGGCCGCTCAGCGACGCTGCGCTCGTGTCGGCCTGTGTCGAGTCGCCCACGTCTGCGTCCGCGTCGTCCTCATCACGGACCTCGGCTTCGTCCACCTCTTGCTCTTCAAAGAGCGCGCTGCGAGAAGAAGATGCAGCGACGTGGAGCAGCGGCATCGTCTGCCGACGCGGACTCGGGCTCGAGGGCATGCTGCGCGGCTGCTGCGGCGCCGCGGCAGGCGAGAAGGCACTCGCCGAGTGGGCAATGCCACCGAAGCTGTCCTTGTGCGAGAGACTGCGAGGGATGCCCCCAGGCCCACGCGCGGCCACACTGGAAGGCGCAACGTTTGGCAGCTCGGCCACGACGCCCGAGGGCGAGAAGGTGGCGTGCGCTGCCCCGGCCGGCGCAGCGCTCAGGCTGCTGCTGCGGCCTGCCGTCGCCGGCGCTGAGCCAGCACCAGGAGCAGCGAGGCTGGACGTCGAGTCGCCGCGCGACATGCCGATCACTTGAATGCCGCCCAGCACGCCGCCGTTGCTGCCGCTGCTGCTGTTGGCCACAGACGCGGCGGACACCTCGTCCCGGGACGAGGCCCAGGCGCCGGGCACGGAAGAGGCGTCGACGAAGGCACTGCCGGGTGCACCTTGGCCTGAAGAGGTCATCAGAGGTGCGAGAAGACAGGAAGCGAAGCGCAGCCGGGCTGGCAGCTGCCGCTGCTGCGCTGGTCCGACACTCACCTGCCTGGCCGGGCGCCAGCGAGCCGGACGCTGACTGCTCCATCTGCGCAGCGACTGCTCGTGCGTGGAAGCTTGGACGCGACAGAGAAGCAAGCGCGTCGCTTGTAGCGATGCGCTTCGATGTGCAGTGTGCGAAAGGCAGGTGGGTGAGATGAGAAAGGAGGCTCGTGCTCGTCGGCGAGGCCCAAGTGCACGAGCGCGAGACGCGTCAGCGACGCGCAGGCGTGAGAGCGACGTGAAGCGCCACAGCGGAGCTGCAGGCAGGCGGAGAGATGCGTGCTGCGCCTTGTGTGGGCAAGCAGGTGGTGTGTGTTGTGATGATGGTGAGGTGAGAGGGACAGCGGTTTGGCGCTGGGCCGGCGCTGGCCAGGGGCTTGCCTGGCTCGAGCGGGGCGCGCGCGGCGCCGCTGCCCGTCTCGCACGGGAGATGGTGCGGGGCCCGTGGGAACAGACCGAGAGGATCATCCGCGGCTGTCCCAGCTCCGGGCCAGCATGCACAGGCTTATCTTGGGCTGGCCGCCTCTTGCCAGCACGGCAACGCACGAAGCACCAGAACGCTCCTGCTCCCAGAGACCGCCTTCTGGGTCTGCGCAGGAGTGAGAGCGCCCCTTGACAGCGACGGCCGTCTGGGCTGGAAGAACGGCGAGCCGCGGCGCCGCGGCCGTGGGTGACGCTGTTGGCCTCATGCGCGCCGAGTTCGCAGCGAGCGGAGACGCCTCTGCTGCTCGGCGGCGCACGGGCGGAGCGCCGTGCTGGCAGCGCGCGGCCAACGCCACCTGCAACGCGATGCAGGCACTGGACCAGTCTCTCGCACACGCTGTGGCGCAACGCAGCTTCTTCTCCACGCCGCGCGCCGCCGCGCTGCGCCTAGACTTTCTCTCGCCCGGGTCTGATAGTCAAGTCTCTGCAGCCTTCGTTCCTCTCCTCCTTCCCAACCACCTACACCCCTGCCCATCATGTCCACGCCCGCCCAGAAGTCCTTCATCGCCCAGATCGACGCCAACAAGGCGGCGCTGATCCAGCGTCTCGCCGATGCCGTCGCCATTCCCTCGGTGTCCGGCGACGCCAAGTACCGCAAGCACGTCTTTGAGATGGCCGACTGGCTCAAGGCCGAGCTCGAGAAGCTCGGCTGCACCGCCGAGCTCAAGCCGCTCGGCATGCAGACGCTCGACGGCCAGCAGGTCGAGCTGCCGCCCGTCATCTTTGCCGACTACGTCACCGGCGGCAAGGGCAAGAAGACGATTCTCGTGTACGGCGTGAGTAGCGTGCAACGAGCGAGCTGGGGCCGTCGAGCATGACAGCAGCGGTAGCCAATTACACCGGATGGGCAGCACTTGCTGGGCGTGCTAGCACCGTCTGTGACACCTGCTGGTAGCACAGCGCTTGCCAGCCCTGCTGCATCGCTGTGCTGGGAGTCAGGCTGTCATGAGCCTGCCAGCGCGACCCATTCTAGATTGCTCTCGCTCACCACGCTCCTGCGCAGCACTTCGACGTGCAGCCCGCGCTCAAGTCCGACGGCTGGAACACGGAGCCCTTCGAGCTCGTCACCGACGAGGCCACGGGCCGCATGTACGGCCGCGGCTCCACCGACGACAAGGGCCCCATCCTCGGCTGGCTCAACGTCATTGAGGCGCACCAGCAGGCCGGGTAAGTGCCTGGAGACGCCGATTGCGCCGATACTATGCTGATGCAGAGCGTGCGCTGCTAGCATCGAGCTGCCTGTGAACCTCAAGTTCTGCTTTGAGGGCATGGAGGAGTCTGGCTCCGTCGGCCTGGACGCGCTTATCGAGAAGGAGAAGGACAACTTCTTCGCCGGCGTCGACGCGTGCTGCATCAGCGACAAGTGAGTGGCGCTGGCCTAGGTGCAGATGCTGCTCGGACTCTGATGCGCTTTCTGCTGCAGCTACTGGCTCGGCACCAAGAAGCCCTGCCTCACGCACGGCCTGCGTGGCATCTCCTACTTCAAGCTCTCCATCTCAGGCCCCGGCGCCGACCTGCACTCCGGCCTCTTCGGCGGTGTCGTGCACGAGCCGATGACGGACCTGTTCCACATCATGTCGAGCCTCGTGACGCCGCAGGGCGAGATCCTCATCCCCGGCATCAAGGAGCAGGTGCTCGAGCTGACGGACGAGGAGGCCAAGCGCTACGACGTCATGGAGTTCGGCCTCAAGGACATGGACGACGCCACCGGCTCCAGCACCACCATCTCCGACCGCAAGCAGGACGTGCTCATGGCGCGCATGCGCTACCCGAGCCTGAGCCTGCACGGCATCGAGGTGAGTGTACGCGGCGCAGCTCTGCATGCGGCAGACTGACCCCGCACTGCTCAGGGCGCCTTCGCCGAGGCCGGCACCAAGACGGTCATCCCGGCCAAGGTCATCGGCAAGTTCTCACTGCGCCTCGTGCCGGACATGACGCCCGAGAAGGTCAAGGAGGCCGTCGTGAAGTTCGTCGAGGAGAAGTTCGCCTCGCGTGAGTGACGGGCTTGCTCTCGCCTGCCGCTGCCGTGCTCACATCTCTCCGGTCGCGCAGTCAAGAGCAAGAACACGATGAAGATCGAGCTCGAGAGCGCCGGCAAGCCGTGGCTCGCCGACCCGAACCACTGGAACTACGCCGCCGCCATCAAGGCCACCGAGACGGTGTACGGCGTCAAGCCGGACCTGACGCGCGAGGGTGCGTGCTGTGCCCTGGCGCTCACTCGTTGCATGGACTTACGCTCACCTGCCTGCCTGCAGGCGGCTCCATCCCCGTGGCCCTCTCGTTCGCCGAGGTGCTCAAGAAGAACCTGCTGCTGCTGCCGCTCGGCCGCGCCGACGACGGCGCCCACTCGACCAACGAGAAGCTCGACATCTCCAACTACATCGAGGGCACGAAGCTGCTCGGCGCCTACCTGCACGAGATTGGCGCCACTGCCTAGAGCGGCCCCGGCTCTCCTGCGTGGTGATGCTGTGCTTCCATGTCATCTAGCTAGAATATACGACGTGATTTGCTCGTTGTGGCCGTCAGTCCAGCGGGGGCAGCGCGCAGGGCGAGGCTGCTGGTCGATCTTCGCGCAGCGAGGTGGAGGCTTGGACGCGTGGTGCACATGCGTCAGAAGGCCACGGGCGATGCTCGGTCGAGCCTCTGCGTGCGAAGATACGCCGCTGTCGTGAGCCGTGGGACAAATCTGTGGAAACGAGCGGGAGAGGTCGAGAAGGCAGGCTATGCAGCGTCCAAGCGAAGCAGAGAGCCGGGCCGGCGGCTCGGCGAGATCCTGGTGCTGGGTTGCGAAGGCGGCAGCCGCGGCACAGCTAACTCGCCGACGCGCGCGGCGCTGCCTGCGGCTGCGCGCCTCAAGCGCCTAAGGGTTCCTTCCTTCCGCTTTGCACCTCGCACCTCGGCATATCTCTCCTCGGCGCTCCGGCCCGGCGTACCAGTCCTCTCATGCGGCAGTCAGAGCGCCCGATCTACTCCTCTGCGGCCGCGAAGCTCCGCCACGGCGTCATGCGTGCCTCTCGGCGCTGCCGCTTTTCTTTGTCCGCGCAGGCCGTGACGCCGGAACGAGCCGCAAAGTGGCGAGATGCGAAGTCGCCGGCCTGAGAGTGCTTTGTGCTTGGACCCCGAGGCAGCACGCAGCGAGCGGCTGTGCCGCTGTCGGCCAGGTGTAGATCTCGCCGACGTCGGTCTTCGGCCAGTGCCTCCTCTCGCAGCAGCCGAGGCGCAAGACTTGCCGACGCTGACGGCCGGCCGGTGCCGTGCTCGCAAAAGATCTGGCCGGTCACCTCTGGCCCGATGACGCTCTTGCGCACTGCTCAGCCGGCGAGCGCACGGGTGCGCTAGCCGGCAAGAGACAGCTGCTTGGCACCGCCCGGCGTGCGCAACATGTGGTGAAGCACGCACGCACCATCCGAAGCACAGTGGGCCTGTACTTGCGGCTTTGCTTGTCTCCACAACACTCGGCTGCTCTTCAGAGTTGCCCACCACCCAGCAGTCAGCGCTCGCTTTCCTGTGTTCTCCTAGTTGGACGCCGAGTCAGCCAAGATGCCGGCCTTGAAGAAGACAGAGGTGCGCTCTGTCAGGGCATTGTGCAACGGCTGCGGCGCTGACTTCCTTTCTCTGCCGCCAGATCAATGCCTCGCTCTTTCCAGACGTCGCTGCAGGGCCTGCGACGGCCTCGAGCAGCCGGCATACAACGGCGCTCAACACTCCGGCAGGCTCAGTGTACGCCACGGAAGACGCCGACGGCGACGAAGGGCCTTTGGGCATGCCTACCGCCGACGGCGTGAGTCGCTCTTGCGCTGCCAGCAGAGGCAGGTCTGACAGTCATCACTCCAGAATGAGAAGATCGTGCTTGTGCAGTTCGAAGAAGACGACCCGGAGAACCCGCTGCTCTGGACGCGCGCGCAGAAGTGGAGCGCCGTCGTGCTGCTCAACGCCATGACAATGTGCATCGGCCTCAGCACGTCGGCGTACAGCAGCGGCATCGGCAAGATGAGCGCCGAGCTGGGCGTCTCGGACGTGGCGGGCCAGGTGGGCATGTTCACGTGAGTGCGCCACATCAAGACTTCGACCGAGCAGAGAGGCTGACGCAGAGGCTGCCAGCTTCAACGCAGCCTGCGCCGTCATGCCGCTCTTCGTGGCTCCTCTCACTGAGCTTGCCGGGCGGCGCTACATCTTCGTGGGCGCGTTCGGCGCATTCGTCGCAGTCAGCTTCATGTGAGCACAGACCAGCCATGAGGAGGAGCACTTGACGCGAACCGCTCTTCCCTCGACAGGCTCGCCTTTGGGCAGAACCTCGCGACGCAGATCATTGGCCGACTGCTGCAAGGCGCCTTTGGCTCCATCGGCACGATCCTCGTCGGCGGCGTCATGTCCGACTGCTTCGGCGAGGCGGAGCGTGCGCTGCCGATGAGCATCTTCTCCTTCAGCGCCATCTTCAGCACCATTGCCGCGCCCGCCTACTCTGGCTACATTGACCAGTACCTCGGCTGGCGCTGGATCCAGTACATCCACATCATCTTCTCCGGCATCGTCTTCCTCTTCGAAGCGGCCTTCTTGCGCGAGTCGCGCGCGGACGCCATTTTGCGCACGCGTGCCGCACGACTGCGCAAGGAGACGGGCGATGGTCGCTTCCGGGCGCAGATCGAGCTCGAGGGCGAGAGCATCGGAGCACTCTTCCGCCAGCAGTCGCTGCGCGCCCTCAAGCTGCTCGTCACGGAGCCCGTCGTGAGCTTGTACGGCCTGTACATTGCTCTCGCGTGGGGCACCGTCTGTGCGTACCTTGCGGCTGCACAGTCGCACCAATGCTGATGTCTGCTGCAGTCCTCTTCCTCTCCGTCATCCCACTCACCTTCCAGGGCAACCACGGCTGGTCGGAGGGCAATGCTGGCCTGCCCTACCTCGCGCTCATCCTCGGCTGCTTTGCCGGCTTTGCGACGGGCTTGTGGCAGGACCACCTCTACCGCAAGGACACGGTGCAGCGTGGCGGCACTGCTCGTCCCGAGGCACGGCTCTTCGGCGCCATGTACTTCGGCCCACTGTTTGGCATCGGAATCGTGCGTGACGGCCGCCCGCGGAGAAGCGCCAAGCCGCAGCTCACGCCTCTCCACAATCCAGATGATCTATTCCTGGACGCAATTCGGCTTCGTGCACTGGATTGCACCATGTATCGCGCTCTTCCTGATCATCGTCGGCATCTACCATGGTGAGCTGGCCGATCTTGCACGCTTATTTGCCGTGCTGAGAGAGCGGCTCGACAGTCTTCCTCTCGGTGTACCAGTACACGTCGGACAGCTACCCGACCGTCGCATCCAGCGCCATTGCTGCGCAGGGCCTGATGCGCAACGGCTTTGCGGCGAGCTGTGAGTGGTCCGTCGCCTCGGCGTCTCGATGGTGGCTAATCACATCCCTGCAGTCCCGCTCTTCGGGCGGCAGATGTTCCAGGGCATGGGCCTGCAGTGGGCCGGCCTGCTGCTGGCGTGCCTGGCGCTCGCCATCGCGCCGCTGCCCTTTGTGCTCTTCGCCAAGGGCGAGACGATCCGCCGGCGCAGCCGCTATGCGGCGGCGAGCACGGGCGCCAAGGGCAAGGGCGACGAGGAGAGCGAGCAGAAGGGCAGCCGGTGATGGTACGCTGGATATCGGCAGCTACGCTGATATGCGTAAATACACTGCGTCCGCTCCTTGAGCCCACATCCGGATGAGTAGACATGCGTGCGTGCCTGACGTTGTGGAGAAGGCTCCATGAGCGCGATGGCGGCGACTCGGCAGTGGCCGGCGTCCCGATGTTCCCACGCCGCCGCGTCACGTGCGCATGCGCCCCGCTTTGAAATCGAGGCCAGCGGCGGCCAACCAGCGGGCGCGGCCGGGCGGCCCCGACTTCGGAGCGCGGCGCAGGGCGCGGCGGCCAGCGGCGCTTGGCTGCTGACGCGAGCCCCTGCCGGGAGATGCCGTCCCCACGCGCCACACGGCTCGCCTAACGGGCGCGTCCCGGCTGCAGCGGCTGCCGCTGGTCGAGTCGTGAGAGGGTGCTGGCTGTAGCGAGACGGAAACGGCATGCCGAGGTGGCAAGGTGGCCTCGGCGTGAGGGGTGCGAGAGCGGGCCGCGCGGCGGAGGAGGCGGGACTGCCGCGTGAGGCGAGCGTGCCTGCCTGCCTTGTGCGCGCGCCGCCCTCTTGCGGCGGCGCCGCGGCGCGTGGCGCTTGAGGTGTGTTGCGCGCCGCGGGCGCCGCTCCTGCCTTCTCTCCACGACCCACTCCTCCTTCGTCACACCCCTCACACTCACACCTCACCATGTCCTTCATGCCCGCTCTGCGCTCGCGCGCATCTGTGCTGCCGCGCATGGCCTCGGCCTCGCGCGCCTTTGGCTCGTCGGCGCCGCGCGCCCTCGCCTCGCCTGCCGAGCAGCAGGCGCAGGCCAGTGAGGGCGGCAACCCCAACAAGCCGGCCCACTACAAGGATGTCTCCATCTACCGCTGGGTGAGTGGCGATGCCGCAGAGGAGGATGCGAGACGTCTGCAGCAGCTGCGCATTGGCCGCATCTGTGCACTTGTGCTTACGCCTGTGCGCAGAACCCCGATGAGCCGTCGTCGAAGCCGCGCCTGCAGACCTACAAGGTCGACCTGAACTCGTGCGGCCCCATGATCCTCGACCTGCTCATCAAGGTCAAGAACGAGATGGACCCGACGCTCACCTTCCGCCGCTCGTGCCGCGAGGGCATCTGCGGCAGCTGCGCCATGAACATTGACGGTGTCAACACGCTCGCGTGCCTGTGCCGCATTGAGAAGGCCGGCGAGACGAAAATTTACCCGCTGCCGCACAGTGAGTATGCTGCAGGGCAGACTGAGGAGGAGAGGCATTTTTGCAGGAGAGGTGTCAGGGAGGCATGCGCGGTGGCTGCGAGCTCTCGTGGTGGCGCTCGCATGCGGTCTCTGCACATCGCCCCTGCGCTCGTTACCAGCGCCGCGGCCTTGCCTCTCCTCGGTCACCACACTCTCAAGCGCGGGCACTGACACGCTTCCCCAGTGTACGTGGTCAAGGACCTCGTGCCCGACCTGACGCAGTTCTACAAGCAATACCGCTCCATCGAGCCCTTCCTCAAGGCCGCCAGCACGCCCGCCGACGGCACGGAGCACCGTCAGTCGCCCGAGGAGCGCCGGCGGCTCGACGGCCTGTATGAGTGCATTCTCTGCGCATGGTGAGTGTTGAGTGCAGCTCGGGAAGACAGGGCGGCAGAGGAGATATGCACGCCTCCCTCGTGGTGGGCCATGTGCTCGGCCCTCGCTCTGCAGATGTCAGCTGCGCCCAGTTGCTGACGCACGCCACTCTGCAGCTGCTCGACGTCGTGCCCGTCGTACTGGTGGAACTCGGACGAGTACCTCGGCCCTGCCGTGCTCATGCAGGCGTACCGCTGGATGGCCGACTCGCGTGACGCCCACGGCGATGCCCGGCGCGAGAAGCTCGAGAACAGCTTCTCGCTCTACCGCTGCCACACGATTCTCAACTGCACCAAGACGTGCCCCAAGGGCCTCAACCCCGCCAAGGCCATCGCCGCCATCAAGAGCGACATGGCCTTCGGCCCGCCGAAGGACGACGCCAAGCGTCCCGTCGTCGCTGATGCCTGAGGCGCCCGCCCGGTGCAGGCCTGAGCTGGTGTCCCGTCGGACCTGATCGCGTGCGCGCGCCGTCTCTTTCTCCTCTGATCTTTTCTGTACGGCATCGGCGCAATATACACCCAATCAGCTACCTTCTGTGTGCTGCCGGCGCTCAGCGGTGACGAGAGTGCACCGACCATTCAGCGCTAGACTTGAGTGCGGGCGCTGCCACCTCTAGAAGGGTGCCAGACCGAGAAGGCCATGCGTCGCAAACCGATGCGCCCCGTCCGCTGAGTCAAGGATGACAGTGCACGCCAAGAGCATCTCGTGGCGGCCTGTGCGCCGAGCGTCAGAAGCAAGTCGCGCTCCTTGAGTCCTGCTCCGCTGGGAGCATCTGTCGCTCTGCTCGTCAGCCGTCGGCAAACAGGCCTCCTTGCTGAGACGAAGAAGAAGCTGCAGCCGCGTTCGGGTCCAGCTCTGTTGAGGGAGGCAGGACGAAGCGCGCCCTCCTGCGTTGATGGTGTCCAGCCCAGCTCTGCGCATGGACCTGCCTGCCACAAACACCGGCTGCTATAATTCTACAGCTATGGTGCAGCTGGCGCCGTGACACTCGCACCAGTGACGAGTGGGTCCACTGCAGCAGCGCAAGCTGGCACCGGCACCAGCAGCATGCGTCCATCTCATCTTCCGTGCTCTACGAGACGCGACATCTGGCGGTCCGCAGAGGCGCCATTTCCGCCTTCTTTCGGCGTCATAATCTAGAGGTGCTGCAGGGGGTCCTGGTTCAAGCTGGCCGGCTGCGGGCCGTTGAGGGTGACGGCCAACGTCTTGAGCATGAGATGTCTGCCGGCGAGGCGCAAGCTTGGCGCGCGCGACGAGTATCGCTGCGGTGCTGGCGCACGGTGACGCAACGGCGGCGGTGCAGCAGCGGCGCTTGCGCCCCTCGAGCCGCCTCGCCGCAGCACATGCCTCGCCTCTTCCCTCATCTCCTCCATCTCCTCTCCAGCGACTACTCAACACTTCGCATCGCAGACATGCGGATTGCTGCGCTTGTTGCTTTGCTGGCCGCTGTACTGCCGTCGGCGCTGGGCGTGCCGGCGCACCAGCTGCCCCTCGCCGCGCCTCTCGCGCCTGCGCCTGCGCCGCCCGTGTGGCCGGCCGAGGAGGGCGTGGGCCACTTCAGCGAGTGGTCCAAGGCGCAGAAGCGCCAGTTCGTCACCGATGTCGTGGCCGGAAAGGCCGACGAGTGGGTGCTCGTCATGTGAGTCGGCTCGAGCACTGGCCTTGCTGGGCACGCGGCTGACGGCTGGACTGCGGCACAGGGGCAACGAGGGTGGAGGTGAGCAGGCTGGAGCAGGGCAGACATGACCAGCAGCTGAGGCTTCCCACAGACCTCGACAGCATGACGGCTGCCCTCACCTGGGCCTACCATCTCTCGCACAACAACGAGGCGGGCAACCGCACGATTGCGCTGCTGCAGACGCCGCGCGACGCCCTCGACCTGCGGCCGGAGAACAAGCTGGCACTGCGCAACGTGCTCATGTCGCCCGGCCACCGCGACCTGCTCACCATCGACGAGCTGCCCGTGCCGCCGCGCGAGCTGGCCAAGCAGATCAAGGGCATCGTGCTCGTCGACCACCCGGCGCCGCTGAGCGACTGGGAGGAGGCAAAGGTGGAGGCCATCTTCGACCACCACCTCGACCGCGGCGCCGCGCCTGACGCACGCCCGCGCATCTTCGAGCCTGTGGCTAGCTGCACGACGATCGTGGCGCGCCAGATGCTCGATGAGCTCGAGGCGCGCAAGGAGGGCGAGTACCACGTGCCGCACGAGGTCGTCGAGCTGATCCTGTGAGCCATGCTGTGGGTAGTGTAAGCACGGACTGTGCTGACGTCCGTGCAGCGACGCGATCGCGATCGACAGCAAGGGCCTGACGAACAGCCAGCCGGCGGACAAGTTCACGGCCGAGCGGCTGCTGCGCCGCAGCAACTGGCGGGACGAGAAGCTGTACACCGTCATGGCGCGCCTTGACGACGAGCTGTCGGCGGCCAAGAAGGCGCTCGACGAGCTGGGCGTGCGCGACTTGTTGCGGCGCGACTGGAAGGGCGACCTTGTCAAGACGGCCGACGGCACGCCTGACGTGCACGTCGGCTTTGCCTCGGTGCCGCTGAGCCTCGAGGACCAGGTGGAGCGCACGCTGTACAACACGACGGACGCGTGGTTCGGCGTGCTCGACGGCTTCTCCAACGAGATCGGCGTCGACGTGACGATCTCGCTGCATTCGTACAAGAGTAAGCGACACGAGGATGGCCATCCCAAGGGCGGTGATGTGCTGCGCAGCAAGAAGATCAAGGTGCGCGAGATGGTGCTCGCCGTGCGCCCGACGGACAACGTCAGCGACGCGCAGGCCACGCAGCTCTTCGACCTCGTCAGCAAGACGCTCGAGGAGAGCCCGTTCCTCGACGCCGAGCGCTGGGCCGACTACAAGTCGCTCAAGCCGCGCCAGTGAGTTGCGGCCGAAGCGCTGTGAAGGTGTTGAGACTGACAGGTGCCGCGCAGGATGATCTGGGTGCACCACTCGCCCAACGGCGGCCGCAAGCTCGTGCGGCCCATCGTCGAGTCTGCCATCGCCGGCTGGAAGGACTCTCTAGCCGCCTAGGCTGGGCCTTGTGCCCGTTCTCGGGGCTCGTGGCCCCTTGTACATTGCACGCCCGCGCACTCGGAATCCTACACATGTCATCGCGAGCGCGCCATCAGGTCCGGCTTGCACTCGTGCCTGCATCTGCGGAGCATGGGCTCAGAGCGACACGAGTCTGCTGATCCTCGGCAGAAAGAGCCGGTGCATGTTCATGTTGGCCTGAGTGTCTGTTGCATTGGGTTCGTCGGAGCACAGACGTCGCAGATGGAAGCAGAGTCGAGTGGACCCGAGATGAGGCGGCTGGCCGACCTCGGGACTCGGGCTCTGGACCCTGACGAACTCTGACTCGCGGCCGGCGCCTCCTCGAATTTTCGAGACGTCCGCTCTCGCCCAGCCGTTCGCCCACCCAGGACCGGTGTCGCTGGGCGCCAGAGTCACAAGCAGAATGCAGCTGTGGTCTGTGTCGTGAGCGTGTCTAATGCTGAGATTTCGTGCAAGCCGCAGAGACGATGCTGTGCCAGGGGCAGGGTGGCAGTTTGGCCGTGGTGCACTCAACGGGCTGCGCGCGGCGCGTGTCGCGGCTGAACTCCGCTGACGCACAAGGCACGCAGCCCTCACCTCTGCCCTCCACCATCTCCATCCCTCTGCCTCGTGCCTCGTTGCACTGCCATCTCCCCCCTCTTCTGGCATGCCCGTCTCTCCCAACTAGCAGCATCTATCCTCAGCGCACAGCACCTTCTCGCCCCTCCGGTCATCCATCGGTGACTCGCCTTGCGCCATGTCGTCCAGCTTCTACACGCTCGATGGCGCCGGCAGCAGCAGCCGGCCCATTGCCGCACGCAAGCGGTCACGCGCAGCCGCTCTGCCTCCTTCGGCTACGGGCTGCCGCGCCTCGCAGCACCCGACTGCGGAGTCCAACCGCCATGCATTCGACACGCGGCCGCGGGCCGGCTCGCCGCACGCGGCCACGTCGGGCTGGGATGTCTGGGACGACACTGCCTCGGCGCTGTACCCAGCGGCATCGACCTCTTCCTTGCCTCCATCTGAATATGTGAGTCGTACGTACACCACGTATTAAGGCGCTCTGCTGAGCGCGCCGCCTGCTCAGGACTACGATGCCGACTCGGACGCCGGCACGAGCACCGAGGCCGAGCAGCGCTCCGCCGATGCGCCGCTGCACCGCCCGCGCAAGCGTGCACACCTCGACACCGAGACGGAGGCAGATCTTGGACGCACGATGCGCTGTATGTCTCTGTCGCTCGCTGCAGATGCTGCGGCCCAACAGCACCTGCTTGAGCTGCAGCAGCAGCAGGGCCCACCGCCGCCGGCGCCGCCGTCCTCACCGGCGAGAGCACACCACCCGCCGTTCCCACGACCAGAGGCCATGCCTGCAGCTGTGCTTGAGACGTCGCCAGCGCCGCACGACATGGAGATGCGCGCTCGGCGCGGTCCCTCGAGCATCAACCTCGACAGGCATCGTGTGCTCGTAACGAGCCTGGAGGACACGTCATCGGACGACGAGGCGGCAGAGGAGCATGCCGCTGCCGCAGTGCGGGCGGCGATGCGGGCGCAGCGGGAGGAGGCCACTCGCCGTGGCCAGGCGCTGCCATCAAGTCCGCCGATGCCGTCTGCCGACGAGGAGCTGCACATCAACACGGCGCTGCTTGCCAAGCTGGAGGAGCTGAGGGGGGCCATGGCACGCGACCGCTCCGCCGCCGCTCTGGGCCTCGGCAGCGGAGCCTCCGCCCGGCGCGAGACGAAGAAGCCGCGTAGCAGCGGTGGCTCGGCACGTAACAGCGGGTCCTCGACGCCTACGAAGCAGCAGACTGCCGCCGCTCTCGTGCTCTGGCGGAGTCCCGAGGAGATCTTGCAGCCGCATCTTAGCGGCGCCTTTGCGTTCGACGCCAATGCTGCGCAGAAGCAAAGCGATGCCGCATCATCATACTCGACTACACCTGCGTCAGCGCCTCCGACCTCGCAATCGCCAGACGCTGCGTACGCATTCGGCTCGGCGTACGGCGCTCCTGCAGCTGGAGCGCAGGCGTTTGGCACAGCGCCTTGGCCGGCGCCGCCCAAGCAGAACGACACCAGCGGCGTGCTCTGGCTCAACACCAGCGACGCCGCCGACGATGCGATGGAGTGCGACTGAGTGCTCGTCGAGCCCGCAGCTTCCTTTGCTTCGCTTCATGCCCCATCGACCCCGTCACGCTTCCAAGACTCTTGCTCCACAATCACGCCTGACTCTCTCCATTCTCCGTTGCTCGCACATGCGACATGCATCCTTCTCGCTCAAGTCACCATCAAACATTCAATGCTACACTTTCTAGACCACTGAAGGTGCACGAGGGACGTGATCTAGGCCAGGCTTTGTAGCTCGCGCACCGAGTGGGCCCCTTTCTCCTGCCGGTTCGTGACACTCCCTCCCGGTCCGGACGTCCTCGAAGGGAAGCGTGACTACAGCGCTGGCGACTGTGGATATGCGGCACGAACAGCCGAAGCTCAACCTCTTTCTTCCAGCAGCGAGCTTGCGTCGGCCACCTCGGAACACGGCGACCTCTCGCTGCCCGACTCCGCGGCGGTCACACGCCCACAGCATCAGCTCCGAAGGTGCTCCCCTTGCAGTCGCGTCTGTTTCAGAGGCTCACTTTCGCCGAGCTGCACCATCACCTCGGTGATGCTGTCGCTTGAGCCCGGCGCCAAAGCAGGAAGCGAGCATAAGGCGGCGGCGGCGGCATGATGGCGGGCTGTGCCCCTCATGCGCGTTGGCGGCGGCGGGCGACACGTGCGCTGCGAACGTGCGCTTTGCCGCCGGCACCGGCGCGCCATCCTCGAGAGCTCGCGTCTCGGCGCGGCGCCGTTGCATCTCGTTCGCTCGAGGCGAGTAGTCGCCTAGCTGGCAGGCTAGCGGAGATGAAGAGGGCCCAACGCAGGCATATTCGCAGTGTTGAATACGGCGCCGAGGCGGCAGCGGGAGCAGCGAGTCGCGAGAAGGAGCAGAGGCGGACTGGACTCAGACTGGGAGGCGCGGCGCGGAGGACGCGGCGTGGCCCGTGCGCAGAATTTTGGCGTCGCCGATCAAGCAGGCACCTGCACGGGAGCAGTGTGCGAGCGCGGCGCTTCCCCTCGGCGCCCAGCCTTCCTGCCTCCGCTCCTTCCCCAGCCTCCGTCCGCTCTCTGCCCGCCGGCGCGTCGTGATGTTGGATCTCCGGAGCAGCCCTCGTGCTCTCGCACCGAGCAGCCGCAGCGACGGCGCACACTGAGCGCCGGCGTGGCCAGCAATGCTGCCGCCGAGGAGGCCGGCCGGCCGCGCTGTGCTTCGTGGCGTCCGAGCCGAGTGACGGCACCCCGCGCCCTCTCGGCCTGTTCTTCTCGCTCGCCGCACAGCGCCAGTCTTGTTGCGTGGCAGTGCGCCCCGTGCGCATTCGACGTCGTTCCCTGCCCGAGGCTCGAGAGCGCTGCCGTGCGCTGGCCGGCCAGGAGCAGGCCGTCACTGTACCGTACCGAACCGGGCGCCGGCAGCGGGCTCGTGCGCACGCTCGCTCGCGCAGTGTTCCTTGCGCTCGCTTTCTGCGACTCACACGAGCGGCTGCCACTCGCCTCTGCTCTTCTCTCTCCACCACCACGTCGTCCACATCCCGCCTCCAGTCTACTCTGTGTCTGGCCCCTCATGTTCAGCCTCTCGCCGCAGCACCTCGCGGCGCCCTATGCGCCGGCGTGGCTTGTCCACTCGCGCTTCTTCGTGCCCGCCTCGTGGGCCGTCGCCGTCGCTTCCGTGCTCGCCGCCGTCGTTGCGCTCTTTCCCGGCGCACGCACGGCGCTCGCCTTTGCCTACCACTGCTTCCTCGCACCCATCGGCAGCGGCAAGAACCAGAGCGAGCGCCTCGACCGCTTCTACCAGGGCCAGGCCGGCGGTGAGTGCGGCTCAGGAGCAGCGCTGTCTTGCATCCACGGGCTCATTGCATCCGCCTCGCAGTCTACGATGCGACGCGCAGCGGCCTGCTGCGTGGCCGCCGCACGATGCTCAAGTGAGTGTGCCGCATCCTCGCACGCTCAGACACGAGCTCACGCCCTCTGGCAGGCTCTGCGCGGCGCAGCTGCGCGAGATGCAGCGCACGAACCCCGGCAAGCCGCTTGTGTGGGTCGACATTGGCGGCGGCACCGGTGAGCGGCAGCGTGCGGCAGTAGTGCAGCGCAGCTCGTGCTGACCCGAGCGCACAGGCTGGAACATCGAGGAGATGGCAAAGTACTTCCCGCTCGAGGAGCTCTCGCAGATCTACCTCATCGACCTGTGCGAGCCGCTGCTCGAGGTCGCGCGCCGCCGCTTCGCCGCCAAGGGCCTGAAGAACGTGCAGGTGCTCTGCCAGGACGCCAAGGAGTTCGAGCTGCCCGGCCTGCCGCAGGGCCGCAAGGTCGACCTGTTCACGTGCTCGTACTCGATCTCGATGGTGAGCCTTGGCAGAGGAGCGTGCGATGTAGAAGCAGCAGAGCTGACCACTCACTGCTTGCGCAGATCCCGCCGTTCTACGCCGTCATGGACCGCATCGAGTCGATGCTCGACACCGAGACGGGCGTGTACGGCGTCGTGGACTTCTACGTCTCGGGCCGCTCGGCGCCCTCGGCAGACAAGAGCGCGCTCATCGGCGGCGACACGCGCCGCCAGTGCGGCTGGCTCTCGCGCTTCTTCTGGTCGCACTGGTTTGAGCTTGACCACGTCGAGCTGCACCCGGCGCGCCGCGGTAAGTGCCCCTCCGAGGCGGCGCGCAAGGGCGCTGTGCTCACGCCTCGGCCTCCAGACTACCTCGAGTACAAGTTCGGCACGATCAAGTGCTACAACGGCCGCAACAACTTCATCATTCCCTTCATCGTTCGCATGTGCGTTGGCCTTGAGCGCGCTGAGTCGCGCTGGCGCTGACACCTCTCCAGCCCGTACTACATCTGGCTCGGCTGCTCGCGCCAGCGCGACACGACTGCGGCCATTGAGGCGTTTGAGGTGGAGGCCGGCAACCGCGTGATCTGCCCGCCCTCCTTCCCGGAGCTCTCCTTCTCGCACCTGCTCGAGAATGCCAAGACGCAGCAGCAGCTCTCGGAGAAGAACCTGGAGCGCTCCCTCTCGAGCGCGCACTCGCTGTCTGACGTCAAGATCTCGGGCGTCGTGCGCCGGCGCGGCTCGGACGGCGACGAGAGCGCACGCTCGGGCGCGAGCTCCTCGTGCCGCCTTGACCTCGGCCCGCAGATCCCGCTCAGCAGCTTCCACTACCAGCGCGTGAGTGCAGCGCCTGGGAGGCCTCGTGTGCGTTTGCTGACTACTCTGCCTCCGCGCAGCGTCAATGGCGCCTGCCTTTCGGTGAGTGCGAGCGAAGATCGGCGAGCGGGCCTGTCGCTGATCCTGCCCCGCAGTCGACAACGAGTTTGCGAGCCAGTTCCGCACCTGGATCTACGTGAGCTTCCCCGCGGCTTGTCGCCTTGGTGCTCCACTCACACGCGCTGCGCAGGGCTTCGCGTGGGAGGACCCGTACGTCGACATGGAGCACTTCGACATTGGCAAGGACGACTCGGTGCTGTGCATCACGTCCGCCGGCTGCAACGCGCTGCACTATGCCATCGCGGGCCAGCCGAAGCGCATCCACTGCGTCGACATGAACCCGTGCCAGGGCCACATCCTCGAGCTGAAGCTGGCCTGCATCGCCGCGCTGTCGTACGACGAGTTCTGGGCGCTCTTCGGCGAGGGCAAGCACGCCGACTTCCGCACGCTCCTCGACACGAAGATCTCGCCGTACCTCTCCTCGCACGCATACCAGTTCTGGCGCCTCAACACGGCCGCCTTCGACCGCAACTTCTACTTCCGCGGCTACTCGGGCCACGCGCTGCGCCTCGGCAAGGCGGCCTTCACCATCGGCCGCGTCAACAAGGACGTCAAGGCCGTGTGCAACGCGACGTCGATCGAGGAGCAGCAGCGCCTGTGGAACCGGCGGCTGCGCGGCACCATCATCAACCGCCCGCTCATCCGCTGGTTCCTCTCGAACCCGGCGTTCCTGTGGAACGCGCTCGGCGTGCCCGTCAACCAGATGAACTGCTTCCTCAACGAGGGCGTCAGCGTCGAGCAGTACGCCATCGACACCCTCGACGCCATTCCGGGCCGCGGCCTCTTCTCGACGGAGAACTACTGGTACCGCCTGTGCCTGATGGGCAACTACTCCAAGGAGTCGTGCCCGCTGTACCTCAAGGAGGCCAGCTTCAAGCTGCTCAAGGAGGACGCGTGCCGCCGCCTCGACTCGTTCCGCCTGCACACCGACTCGATCGTCAATGTGCTGCGCGGCCTCGAGGATGCGAGCCTGACGCGTGCCGTCGTGAGTCGAGCGAGGCGTGGTGCCGCGAGCTCCGCTGATGCCCTTCGCTCCAGACGATGGACCACATGGACTGGTATGACCCCGTGCCCGCCTCGCAGCCGGCACCGACGCTCAAGCAGGCGCGCAACGACGCCGACAAGAGCGTCAGCGACCTGGACCGCGAGATCGTCGAGCTGGCGCGCTGCATTGCGCCCGGCGGCGCCGTCTTCTTCCGCTCCGCCGGCCGGCGCCCGTGGTACGTGCAGCGCTTCGAGCTGCTCGGCTTCCAGACGCGCCCGATCCACGTGCGCGAGACGGGCAAGCCGATTGACGGCGTCAACATGTACGCCTCGTGCTGGGAGTGCCGGCGCGTGTAGGCGCGGCCGCGCAGCACGCTCTCGGCCGTTCGTTCCCGCACTTTTCCCAGCCAGTACTTCACCGTCACCGTTGAGATCGGCAGCAGCCTGCGATGCAATAGACGTGTTGTAGCTTTCGTGGCGGCAGCGGCTGAGCGGATGGTGGTCAGGAGGGCAGGCAGAGGTGCCGAGTCCCGCGCGTCTGGAGCTCGGTGCCGGTGCGGCGCGGCGCGGCGCTCGTCGGCCGACGCGGCCCGCGGCTGCGCTGTGGCTGGCTGGCGGCGGGAGCGAGCGCGATAAGGGCGCGCATGATAAGGTGCTGCACGAGCACGAGGGCGGCGAGGGCGATCTTCTCGGCCATCCGCGCCGCATCCGCTCGACCTTTCTTCCCGCCTGCCGCTTGCCGGGCCAACGCCGTCCTGCGTCCCTTGTGCCCGCCGAGGCCGCCGTCTTGCCGCACTGCTCCGGCGCTGGCGGCTGGCGACGCTTCCCGGGCAGGCCCGACGTCAGTGCATTACAGCGAGGCGGCGCTACTCAAGCATCTGATACAAACAGAGATCAGCGGCGGTCGCGTGCGCGGTGCGGCAGACGGCGGCGGCGATGGCTCGGCGATGGCGCATGGACCAACGCGCGCTCGACGCCGTCCCGGAGGCGCAGGCTTGCCTCGGCTCGAGAGTCGGCGATGCGGCGTGGCGGCTGACTCGACGATGCCGGCGGCGAGCAGACAGCGGCAGCGGCGCAACTTTCTCGCCCTCCGCCTTGCCCTTGCCCCCCGCCTCAAAGCGCCCGCAGCGCCCTCCGCACTCTTGCCTCCGCACCACATCCATCCCCCTGCACCCCGCACACATCTTACCCGCCATGTCCAACCTTCCCTCCGAGCCCGAGTTCGAGCAGGTAAGCAGTGCAGCGTGGACCTCCACCTCTCTGCCGCCGCACTGACCCTCTCGCCAGGCCCTGCACGAGGTCGAGAGCACGCTGGCGCCCTTCTTCGAGAAGTACCCCGAGTACAAGAAGGCATTTGAGATCATCCAGATCCCCGAGCGCATCATCCAGTTCCGCGTCGTGTGGGAGGACGACAAGCACCAGGCGCAGGTGAACCGCGCGTACCGCGTGCAGGTGAGTGGTGGGGCAGAGCAGCGGCAAGGAAATCGCAGCGCCCGCACTGCAGCGGCTGACTCTTGCCTCAGTACAACTCGGCACTCGGCCCGTACAAGGGCGGCCTGCGCCTGCACCCCACGGTGAACCTGTCGATCCTCAAGTTCCTCGGCTTCGAGCAGACGTTCAAGAACGCCCTCACCGGCCTCAGCATGGGCGGCGGCAAGGGCGGCTCCGACTTTGACCCCAAGGGCAAGAGCGACGCCGAGGTGCGCCGCTTCGTCAAGGTGAGTGCGAGTCTAGTGCGAGTGCGAGAGATGCGCGTGAGGGCCAAGCGACCTACTCCGTTTGCGCGCGCGGCGGGACCCTCGCGATGCGCGCGCGCGCGCGGAGGCCGGCTCGCGTGCTTTTGCCGTGCGTGCACCGGTCTTGAGTACTGTTCTTTGCTACGATTGCCTTGCTGCGGCTGGACTGCTGCGCCTGTCCCAATGTGGCCTTTCTGTCGCTGCTCTGCAGCAGTTGCACTGCTGCGCTTGCCCTGCCTGCCCTGCCGAAGACTGACACTCGCACCTACACCAGGCCTTCGCAACCGAGCTCTCGCGCCACATCGGCGCTGACACCGACATTCCCGCCGGCGACATCGGCTTCTCGACGCGCGAGGGCGGCTTCCTCTTCGGGCAGTACAAGGCGATCCGCAACGAGTGGGTCGGCATGATGACGGGCAAGGCGCTCGACTGGGGAGGCTCGCACGTGCGCCCCGAGGTGAGCAGCAGTGGATGCGCGCAGACATGCATGCGCTGATCACCCGCCAGGCTACCGGCTACGGCGTCGTCTACTACGTCGAGCACATGCTGCGCGCCGCCGGCGAGGCCGACGGCTTCAAGGGCAAGAAGGTCGCCATCTCGGGCTCGGGCCAGGTCGCGCAGTGGGCCGCGCTCAAGTGCATGGAGCTCGGCGCCACGGTGCTCTCGTTCAGCGACTCCAAGGGCGCGCTCATCGCCACGGGCGAGGAGGGCTTCAGCAAGGAGGACGTGCAGAAGATCTACGAGATCAAGTACGCGCGCAAGGAGCTCGAGACGTTTGGCGACAAGGGCGGCAGCCTCAAGTTCCACAAGGACGCCGCGCGCCCGTGGAAGCTCGTGCCTGCGTGAGTCGCGCACGAAGCCATGTCGTGCGCATAGCTGACCCCTCTGCAGCTACGACGTGGCTCTGCCGTGCGCCACGCAGAACGAGATGGACGCGTCCGACGCCGAGGAGGCGCTCAAGCGCGGCTGCCGCTTCGTCGCCGAGGGCTCCAACATGGGCTGCGACCAGGGCGCCATTGACGTGATGGAGAAGTCGCGCAAGACCAAGGGCAAGCAGGGCTGCTGGTACGGCCCGGGCAAGGCGGCCAACTCGGGCGGCGTGGCCGTGTCGGGCCTCGAGATGGCGCAGAACTCGCAGCGCCTGCAGTGGAAGCCCGAGGAGGTCGACCAGAAGCTCAAGGACATGTGAGTGGTCGACGTGTGCACTGCTGCGGCCGCAGCTGACCCTCCTCGTCCTGCAGCATGCTCGACTGCTACACGCTCTGCTACGAGACCGGCAAGGAGTTCTCCGACGGCGGCGAGCTGCCGTCGCTCTGCCAGGGCGCCAACATCGCCGGCTTCAAGAAGGTCGCCGACGCCTGCAAGCAGCACGGCGACTGGTTCTAGGCGCGCCCTGGCCTGCCCTTCCTGCTAGAACCCGATCTGCTGCTTTCCTCGCCCCGTAGAGCGCCTATATTCGTCACGCTCCTCTCTTCCCTCTGCACCCGTGGCCCTGTCTTGTTTACCATAGAGCTTAGGCATTGCATTACTTGCGTACACAAAGAGGCGGCGACAGCGCGACAGAGACCGCGGCGCGACGAGACGAGACATGGCGAGTGTGCGCACGTCTAGATGGAGTTGTCGGCTGAGCAGGGTGTGAGCCACGAGCGAGAGAGGCGCGTGCGTGCGACTCACCGCAGGTGAACGGCCGCTTGACGGCGCCCGTGGCATAGCTGTCGATGATGGCCTGCGCGTCCGCCGCGTCAGCACACGAATCGCAGCATCGCTGGCAAGCACACACGCACCTGCACGCTGGTATAGAGACCTGGACCGAAGCAGAACACGCCGGCGATGATGAGGAACACGTTGAAGGCCTGGGTGGGAGGGCGAGGCGCGTCAGGGGCTAGCCACTCAGACACGCTGCGGCATCACTCACCGCCTCGGCCTTGCGCCGCCATCCCTGGCCCTTCCACGTGCTGCCGCGGTTGAGCTCGAACCACGCCAGGCCCCAGAAGATGAAGCCAAAGAAGCCGTCGAAGAGCGCCGACATGAGGCTGAGCAGCACGCCGAAGAAGGGCACCGACTCGCCAATGACCCATCCGAAGAGCCACGTGCTCGAGACGCAGCCGATCCAGATGGCCCAGCTGCGCAGCGAGTTCGACGAGTAGTGCTTGGTGCCGATCGTGAAGCGCGAGAAGAGGTACTTGGCCACGACTTGCGCGTAGATGATGCCGATGATGATCGTCGTCGGCAGCACAAAGGCAAAGCTGATCTGCTTGAACACGCGCGGCAGCACAGCGACGGCAGGCGTCTCGGTGTACTGCCCGCAGAAGGCGTACACAAAGACGCCGACGAGCGTGAAGAGGGTCATCTCCATCGCTGTCACGGCGTAGAGGCTGACGCAGAGGAGTCAGTGGCGCATCAGGCGGCGCCGCGCTTCTTGCACTCACGCCTTGGGGAAGTCCTCCGGGTTCTTCATCTCGGCGATGAACGACGGGTAGCAGATCTGTCCGACCCAGGTGAAGAGAATGTTGAGGAACGCGTTGAAGCCCTGCACAAATGTCGTGCCCTTGGGTGCCCACGCGGTGATGTACACCGGCTCGGCAGGGTCAAAGCCCGCCGGCTCGCGGCCGCCGATGCCGGTGAAGATGAGCAGCAGCAGGATCGAGATGCCCATGCTGACTGCGGGGCGCCGGACGCTTATCAGCCGCGCTCCGCAGGGCAAGACGTGGCTACGCACTGGCGGAGACGATGCCCATGACGGCGACATGCTCGAGCTTCCTTGGCAGCGTGCCAAGGATGCACACGACCTGCGGTCATCGGGCTCAGCTGTTGTGATGAGGTCCGCTGGTCGGCGCAACGCACCATGATCACAATCGAGAAGACGAGCGTGCAGGTGCCGTGTCCCGAGAGCACGTTGAGAATCTCGCTGCCGGTGAGCGTATGCAGCTGTGAGGGGCGACAGGTGTGAGTCATGGGCAATCAGCACCAAGAGAAAGCGGCACGCACACCCATGATGAACTGCAATGCCGAGAGGGACGCGCCAGTCAGCAGCAGCACGAGGCGAGGGAAGGCTACTTCGGGCGCACCGTGTCTGGAACGGCGAGGTCAGCAGCCACCAGCAGGGCATATAGATCCCGTACTCACTGTTGAGCAGCAGAGCAATAGCAGTCAGCTCGTACGCCAGCCACGACTTGCCGAAGATCTGATAGCCCAGATCGGCAATGTGCAGCGTGGCAGGGTACTTCATGCAGTAGCGCCACAGCGTCTGGCGTCGCCCCAGCTTCAGCGTGTGCTGTTGGAATTTGGCAAGGGGGGGCAGCGCAGACGCACCATGCTGGTATACAGCGCAATGATGCCCAGACCAAGCGTGGCGAGGATGCCACCGGCCATCCCGAGGATCTTGTAGGCCCACGGAAAGCTTGTTGCGGGCGTCAGCGGCAGCGCCAGACAGCACCATCAGACGGCCTTTGCGGCGCTCACGAGATAATGGCCAGGCAGACATACTCTCCGAAGAGGAGGCCTGCAGTCTTTTGCCAGCTCATTGTCTGCGTGCCAGGCATCAGAGGCTACGTCGACGTGTCCTCTTCCGCCACTCACCTTGAGGTCAATCTGGCCCTCGCCCGTCTCCTTGCTGGTGACGCGCACCAGGTTGCCCTTCTCGTCCGTCTCCCACTTGCCCGCCTGCTTGAGCTGCTTCTCTGTGTCGGCGTCGACGGGCGCATCGCTGGCGGCAGACGAGAGGGCGTCGGCCTCCTGTGCCGCCGCGGCATCGGTGCGTGGCCCTGCCGAGAGTGCGGCATCGGCGGCCACCGCGCCTGTCGGAGGCGCTTTTGTGCGAGAGAAGAGGCCCATGTTTGAGTGTGTTGCGGGCTGTGGGGGTCAGGAAGCAGGGTAGAGTGGAGAGCGGCGTTCATGAAGCGGCACGGCTGCGGGTGGAGCTGCCCCTGGGCCCGCGTGTCGCTCCTCCAGATGATGTCGCGCACGGCTGAAAGGCAGCACTGCGCCTGTCGCTCCTCGTGGGTGCACCCAGGGGCACTAGCCGCTCAGAAGCGTCTGAGCCGTTGCAGCGCATCTCGCGGGTGGACTTCATCACTCTCGACAGCAGCGCAGGAGAGGAGCGTGGCGCGGGAGCAGTCGAGTCTGCGGACCCTCCGCTGCCGCGGTGCACTGCTCGCTCGCCCGATTGAACGCCCCGGCGCTCCGGACAGCTGGGCTCTCTGCCGCAGGTGCAGAGGTGGAGTGGCCCGCCCGCTGCTCGCCGGTGCCGAACGCCAGCGGTAGCGCTGCGCCCGCACTGCTGAGTTCTCGCGACCGCCGAAATGTCGTGATCTGCTGCGCTTGAAGAAGTGGAGCAGCGCTGCGCTGCGGCTGTCGGGGTGCGGCGTCGGCCCATGTGGTCGGAGCTGCACCCTCGCCGCGGCACCGCACGTCACAGGCACCCTCAGACGCCGCACAGCAGGCGTGCCTTGTGCGAGACAGGGCGACTCGGCGGCTGCTGCAGGCGCGGGCTGCCGCTCCAGCCGGCGGCGGTGGCGGCAAATGCGCGTCCTGCGTCTGCACGGGCCGCCATCGGCCGGACTGCGCAGCCTTGCAGCTCAGCGAAAGCCCTCATTCCTGCTTCCCTCAGCGGCTGGTGGGCTGTCTGCTGAGTCGCTGCCTCGGTGCACGTGCGAGCAGCGATCGGCAGCACGGCACACGATGCAAGGAAGGGTCGCAGTAGCGCAGGCGACAGCTCGTGCTCTGGCAGCCTCGTTCATGCGTCTGCGCAGAGCACGCGGTGCGCCTCGCCGGCTGTCCCTGCCGCAGCGGCAGCGTGCGGATTCGGGCCCTCGTCCCCGCATCGCAGCGACGCCGTGCGGCGCTGCGGCTGCCGCTGCAAAGCTGGCCTGCGCGGGCGAGCCCGCAGGATCGATGGTACCCGCGGCGGCGCAACGTCGCGGCGGCTCATCATGCAGCGCTGCCTGCTGGAGCGAGGGCCAAAGCGCGGCGATGGACGAGCGGAGCAGCCTGGCCTTGCCCGCACCCTATGCCTGTTTTCATTTCGCACCCTTGTGCTTCAGGCGATGACACGGCCAAGGCGCCACGGCGGACGGTGTGGCGTCGGCGCCGGGTTTCAGCTCTCAGCGCCGGCCGTCAGCGCCGCCGTCCGAGCGAGATCTCGCCATCATCAGCTGCGCTCACCACCCACCGGCGAGACGGAAGACGAGCGAGGCGAAAGCGCCTGCCTGCCCTGCGGTGCATCTGCAGAGCAGAGCAGCGCAGGCTCGGCATCGTCAGCGCGCGTTGCAGCGCTCCCCGCCGCCCTCGGAGTGCCGGCGCAGATGCATGCGCAGGCGACGTTGGTGCATGCCGCGAGCCTTCTTCGCTCGCGCGCTGCTGCCGCCGCCCGTCTGGCGCTGTCCGCTGCTGCCGCGGCACGTCCGCCGGGCAGCGCTGTGCCTGAAGGCTGGGCGCGTGGGCGGCGCTTGCCGTGCCGCGCCAAATCAGGGTTCGGCCCAGCGCACCGCGCCGGCGCCCCGAGGCGCCTTTGGCCCCTCGGGCAGCTCCGCCGCGGCGCCAGGGCAGCGCTGCAGCATCCGGGCGCTGGACAGGTGCCGCGCCTTGCGGTTGGGCCAGCGGTCTAGATGCAGGGCGTCCTTCTTTGCTGCGCTCGGGCCGCTGCCGCCGTGCCGCCGCGCGTGCAGCCGCCGCAGATCTGCGCCTGCGCCATGAGGATGGGGCCTCGCTCAACTCCCTCCTGTGCTGCACCTGCCCGCCGGCCGTGCCGCTCGCAGGGCACGTCGCGGCAGCGGGAGTGCACGCATGGCAGCTTGGCTGCAGTGCCGGGCTCCATCGTGTCGGCGGAGATGCTGAACGCTGCTGCTGCTGAGGGTGAGAGGAGCAGCACGGCAGCAGCGCCCGTGCGCTCAGGGCCAGCGCCGAGGGCGTGAGTGCGCGCGGTGATTGCGGCTCGGCGCGGCGTTGCGGCGCCACAGAGTGTCGCTTCGGGGTGCGGCGGTCCGCTGCGGTGCCGCGCCAGCATCACCAGCTCGCCGCTCCGTCGCCGCAGCCGCAGCCGCGCAGTTCCGCTCGCCGGACGTTGCTGTGCGGCCGCTGGCGCCGTGCTTGGCCCGATGCGCCGGGCTGAGTCGCCTGCGCCGTGTGTTGGACCTGGCGGAGCTTGGCGGCGCCGCTGCCATCGCGGCCGCGGCGCTCGCATCCCTCAAGAGACGCCGGGCGGCGCGCGCTGCTCGCCCTCGGCACCCTCCGCACCGCCACTCCCACTCCGTCCTAACCCGTCTAGCCTCGCCAGCCATGCGCTTCTCCCTCCTCATCCTCGCCAGCCTGGCCGCCGTCGGCCTCGCGTCGCCCAGCCCCGCAGCGTTCCCGCCGCTGTCGGACAACGTGCTGCGCGACCTGCGCTCGCGCGACCCCGCCTCGTACAGCGTCTACTCGCTGCAGAACGACACCGGCCTCGCCGCCCGCGCCGCGCCCAACGGCCTCACGGGCGTGCAGCTGCGCGGCTCGGCCAGCCGCAGCTTCGCCTACACCTTCGACGACGGCCCGTACGTGAACCAGAAGCGCATCTCGCAGTTCTTCAGCGACAAGGGCAGCAAGACGACGTTCTTTGTCAACGGCAACAATTACCGGTGCGTGCTGCGCGTGTGTGTGTGGAGTGTGTGTGGCCTGCAAGCTCACGGCGGCCTCGCTCCAGCTGCATCTACGACACGGCCAGCGTGTCGAGCCTGCGCGACGCCTACGCCAAGGGCCACCAGGTGCGTTGCCCGTGCTGCACCTGTCCCACCGCTGCTGCTCATTCCTTTCGCCTACAGATCTGCATGCACACCTGGTCGCACCCGCACCTGCCGCAGCTCAACAACCAGCAGCTCGACAACCAGGTGCAGCTGATGGAGGACGCGCTGTACAAGATTCTCGGCGTCGTGCCCGCCTGCATCCGCGCGCCGTACGGCGAGATCCGCGACGACCAGGTCAAGTACCTCAACGACCGCTGGGGCCTCGTCGTCGTCGGCTGGAACGTCGACTCGGGCGACGCCAACGGCGACGGCGTGCAGGCGGCGCTCGCCCGCTACCGCCAGCAGAAGGCGCCCAAGCACGTCATCGCCCTCAACCACGAGACGGTGCAGTCGGCCGTCGACACGACGATGCCGCAGGCGTACGACATCCTGCGCAGCAACGGCTACAGCGCCGCCAACATCATGACGGTCGCCTCGGCGCTCAAGTTCAACCCGTACAAGGTGCAGGGCCAGCGCGGCTCGCGCGACGCCTCGTGGACGTGCGATGGCAAGCCGCTCCCAGGCGCCAACTAAGCCGCCTCGCCGCCACGCATGCCGCCGCCGGTCCATATCCCTAGATCTTTTCTCACTCAGACTGTTCTTCACTCCTGCACGGGCCAGACGCCCTCGCGCGCCCGTGCGCCATTGCTTTAGCTTCCTCGGCCACTGCCTGCATCTGGCTCTGCTTCTCCACCTTGCTTCCCGTCCCGGCACACATCTTCACCGTCACATAGCTCCCTCAGGCTCGTCATACACCCCCACAGGTACACACCTACACCGTCCTGGCCCTGCTCTGCGCGTACAAGCTCGCCTGGCTGCCTCTCTGCGCCGGCAGCATACGTAATACTATGCGTTGAAATCCAGTGGGAGAGCCAGTGACACAGCGAGAGAGAGAGAGAGAGAGAGAGAGAGAGAGAGAGAGGACAGCGCGGAGGCCAGCGCCGCCACAGCCGTGTCTTGCCTCGCACATGCGCGTCGGGTCCCCGTCCGCTAGCATGCGGGGCGTCGAGAGCAACGATGACATTCCAGACAGCCCGTGCAAGTTAACATCCGTGCAGCTAGGCACCCGGAGGTGCCGCATCGCCAGGTGCAGCTGCTTCCGCCGATTGCGACTGGCTCGCGGCCTCGGCTGGCACTGCATCGACGGCGACGGGCTCGGCTGGCGCAGGCGCGGCTGGGGCTTCGCCAGGCGCGCTGGCAGCGGGCCCAGCAGTCTGAGGCGCAACTGCAGCCGGAGCTGCTGCCGTCTCGGTCGAGGGCGGCGCGGTCTCTGCTGGCTTAGGCGCCGAGACGCTGGCGTCTGCCGATGCTGCAGGCGCCGAAGGCTCCGTCTGCACTGCAGCGGCGGCGGCAACCGACTCGGCAACCTTCTCGGCATCGACAGGAGCCGGCTCGATGTTGTCTGATGCGCCGGTCAAGCTGGTAGCAGCCTGGATCGGCACAGGCGCAGCCTCGGCGACAGGTAGTGCCACAACTGGCGCCGAGTCGGACGTGCCGCTGATGTCGGCACTCGTTGAGGGGGCGCTGACCTCCGCAGGAGCAGGAACGGCCACTTCTGGTGCGGCAGACGGGGTGACAGCGGCGCTGGCTGGTGCAGCAGCGGCTTCGACTGGCGCGCTTGGCGGCAAGGCAGCTTCCGGTGCTGCCGGTTGTTGCGCACTTGGCGCAGAAGAGGGCGCCTCCGCAGCAGCCGTCGTAGCTGGCAGCGAAGGCACGGAGCTCTCTGGCACCGCGACAGCCTGTGTTGGCGGAAGTGCAGAGCTGGCGACCGAGGGTGGTGCTGTCGTTCCTGCGGCGGCCACCGCCTGAGCAGGCTGCATCACCACGTCCTGCACTGCTGCAGGCGCGAGAGGAGCGGCAGCGACCGCTGGCACGCTTGCGGCGGCGCTCGGCACAGCAGGGCTCTGTTGTGGCAGCGGCGGTGTGGCCATCTGTGTGTCCTGCGGCGGCTGCGCGGCCGGCGGCGGCGGAGCGGCGGCAGGCTCGGGCTGCACGAGGCGCGGGCGCGTGCGGCGCACCTCGTCGGGCGTGCGGGCGCGCACGAAGCCGACGGCCACGATCTCGCCCTCGCCCGGCGCCTCCTGCCATGGCTCGCGCGGCGCCTGAGCGGCACTGCTGCTGCTTGCTGGCGGCGCGGCGGCGTGCGCCAGATCGGCACGCACCGCCTCGAGACGCGCCGCGTGCGCCTCGGTGGCGCTCTGTGTGGCCGCGAGCGTCGCAGCGAGCTCGGCGCGCAGCTTCTCCGGCGACTTGTCCGCATACGGCGACGGCGGCGGCAGCGGCAGGTGCTCTGTGTGGGCAAGCGTAGATGAGCTGGCAGCGCAGACGAGGGATGTTCGAGCGACGCACCGAGCCGGCGCGCATCGAAGACGCCCTGCAGCAGCTCGTGGTTGCGGCGGTAGCGGGCGACGGCGAGGTCGCGCGGTGTCACGCGGTCCATGTCGTCTAGCAGAGGTAGGCGTCAGCATGAGGTGCCAGTCAAGACGCTAGCATGCGCACCGAGCAGAAAGTCGGACAGGCGGTCGTCGTCGCGCGTGCCCCACGCCATGCCCGACGGCGGCGGCGGCACCTGCTGCACGAACGGCGGCGCGCCGTACGGGCCGGCGTACGGATGCTGCTGCTGCTGCGGCGTCATGGGCATGCCGGGTGCGCCGGCATAGGCATAGCCGCCGGGCATGTGCGGCGCGCCCGGGTGCGGCTGCGACGAGGGCTTGCGCTTGCGCGCCGCCGAGCCCGAGGCGCCGGCGTGCTGCATCTGGGCGTGCTGCTGCTGCTGCATCTGCTGCATCTGCGGCGGCATCTGCTGCTGCTGCATCTGCGGCGGCGCGTGGCCGGGCCGTGGCGGGGCGTACATGGTGTGGGCGGTGCGGCGGGATGCTGGTGGAGCGGAGGAGAGCTTCGCGCGTCGAGGCGGCGCGGCTCGCGACTCGGGCGACGCGTCTGAGCGGCTGCTGCTGGCCGCTGTGCTGGGTGGCCTCGAGCTGGCTGCGCTCCCACCTCGCTCCACCGCACGGCCATCCCATGCTGCTCTCTCTCGCGCCCGCCGCCGCCGAGGAGCGCGCGCAGCTGCGGGCGCTCGCCGCCCAGCTCGCTGCGCCGCACGCCGACGAGCTGCGCCAGGCACTGGGCGGCGGCGACGCTGAGGGCGAGGCCAGGCGCCGCCTGCCGCTCTCCTCGGCCACGCTGCTCGCCGTGCACGCCGCCGGCGCCGGCTGCTCGCCGCCGCTGCGCCTGGCACACCTGCTGCGCGGCGCAACGCTGGCACATGCGCCCATGCCCGTGCGCGAGAAGGTGCGTGCTGCGGCGGCTCACAGTATCGCTGCGGCCGCTGACACGCGCACCCGGCCCGTCAGTCGCCCGAGCTGCAGCGCTCCCTTGCCGCCATCTCTCTCGCGCTCGAGCGGCAGCAGTACGCCGCCATGCTGACGCCCGGAGCGCCGGCCGCAGCGCTCGGCCCGGCCGCTGCCGCCGTCGCCAAGCCGCTCACGCGCGAAGAGGAGGCGGCGGCGTGGGCAGAGGTGCGCCAGCTCCTCTCCGCCCTCGCCAGCGTCGCGCTCTCCGCCGGCGCCGTCGCTGCGGCCGCCTGGTGGGCCGCCGGCACTGCTTCGACGCTCTACGTGCGTATGCCCGCTTGCGCATTCCGCCGCACTGCCGCTCACTCTGCGCGCCCAGAAAACCACGCTGGCTCTGCTCGCGGCGCTCCTCGTCGCCGTCGCCGAGGCATGGCTCTACGCCGCCAGCTGGACGCGTGCGTCGCAGGCGCGACAGCGCGACGAGGCGGCGCACGGCCTGCACAACAGCGTCGGCAAGGTGCGCCGCAGCGGCCGGGCCGATGCGCTCAGCGGACAGAAGGCGCCGTGATGCAAGACGTCGGACTGCTGCGCAGATGCGCGAATCTGACATACGGCTCCAGAAGCCTTGCCCTGGCACTCTTCCGGAAGCCGAGCGCCACTTCGCCCCTCCCGCGATCCCTCGCACGAGGCAAGGCCTGAGCAGCTGCTACCGCAGTCAGCGTGCATGATTGTGCCCGCGAGTACATGCGGCGTGCCGCCTCGCAGCCCAGCAGCTCGGCTCCCTCGCGCCCGCGCCCAGTGCGATCGCCACACGCCTCAGGCGAGCAGGCAGCAGGCAGCAATAAACGGTGGTATATTAGATATGGTCAGATGTTGTGTGTGTGTTGCAGTATGCTTTGCTTCTCGTCTCGCACCCCACGGCGCGGCCGCGCATGATGTGCGTGCACTGCGCACGCCGGCCTCTCGCGAGCGCGCATCGTTGCAAGTCGCACGTGGTGCGCGCGCTGGGCTCGAAGCCCGTCCGCGCTGGCACGGATGCATGCGCAGATGTGGCATGCCACCACAGCCGCGGCCTTGACGGGCTGTGTCGAGTCGAGCCAGGCCGCGAGAGAGCGCGCAGGTCGCAGCTCTCGCGCGGCGCAACAGCTGGGCGCGGCAGTGGGACGTCGTGCGTGCGCGCGTGCGTTCGTGCGATGGCTGCATCGACGGTGTCGGGCCGATGGCCTGCGATGCCGATGGCGGAGAGGTGTCGTATGCGGCGCGCAAGGAAGCGTCGTCCTTGATGTGCAGCGGAGAGGTCGAGCGGTGCTGTGCGAGGCCATGGAAAGCCGGCTGCACTGCTGCACACGATGTGCGCCCTTGCTTCCTCTTCCGACCGCCGTCGCTTTTGTTCCCTCTGCCTAGCCTTCCCGCTCCGACGGCATTCCCTCCAACTCTGGCATATCACAAGATGCCCGATGCGCTGAGCGCGTTTTGCAGGATCGTCCTGAGGCGCACCCGCGTGAGCCTCGGCTGCGGCACATGCACAGCTCTCTCAGTGACTCACTCCTTGACCGCGGCAAAGACGAGGCGCACGTTGCTCGTGTCCGTCGCCTGCGTCAGGTGCGGGTAGATGCTGAGGCGAGCGCGGTTCGTCTGCGTGAAGCGCCACAGGATGTACTTGGCCGCCTTGTTGACGTCGGCGCCGCCGCTGTACTCCGGGAAGAAGTTGGCGAGCGGCTGCCGCGGGATCTTCGCCTTGAAGATGTCGATCTTGTTGAGGAAGAGGATGATGGACGTTCGCAAGAACCAGCCTGTGCAAGAGGGAAGTCAGCGCGCAAGCAAAGCAGCTTTGCGAGAGAAAGACACGCACGGCTGTTGACGACGCTCTCGAACAGCACGAGGCTCTCCGCCATGCGGTTTTGCCCGCTCTCCTCCAGCAGCACTTGGTCATACTCGGACAGCGCGACGCAGAAGATGATGCTCGTGACGGCCTCGAAGCAGTGGATCCACTTCTTACGCTCGGAGCGCTGCCCGCCGACGTCGAAGAGGTGGATGGAGAGCTGGCCCATGTTGAAGCGCGTCTCGGAGATGCCCGTCGTCTTGGAGCGCGCCCGCAGCACGTCGTCCTCGTTTGGAATGTAGTCCGGGCTTGCTATCCGTGGGATGTTGGCAAAGAAGCTGCGCACGGCGTCAGCACCGGCGCGCCTGCCGCGCTGCGGGCGCACGACTCACTAGGCTGCGCTGTCCATCAGGTAGAACTCGCTGCTGCGCTCCACGACGCCCGCGACAACGGGATCGGCCCACAATGACTCCATGGCGTGCGCCATTGCCGGGTCCAGCGTCGTGCCCGGGTCAGCATCGACGCGGTACTGCAAGATGGCCTCTGCCTTTTCCTGTTGACCCAAGCACGCGTCAGTCTGCGCGATCTCTCGGGCAGCATCTGCACACAGCCACGCACGCGGTTCTCTGGCAGCTCTGGCTCGAGCTTGAACTTGCGCAGCGCAAGCGTGATGGCTTGTGCCGAGTCGACAAGGTTCTTGATGACCGTCAGCCGGTAGAGCATGAGCTCTTCGGACGTGTAGCCGTTTTGGTGGATGATCTTCATCTGCTTGACGACAGTCGACTTGCCTGACTCTCCCGAGCCTGGTGGAGAGGGTCAGCAGACTAGCGCGACGCAGAGGAGCTCGGCAGGCGGGGCGCGCTAAGGCGCTTCGAAGCACGCCGCTGCATGCGCCGCGTTGAGCGGTCGGGCTCCATCATCCTGCCCACACCACACGGACGCAGCCTCTGCGGAAGGCGGCGCACCTCTCGCTCCACTGCCACTGTGCGACCCTCGTCAAGCGCGCGACGCGCCACTCACCCAGCAGCAGGATCTTGCACTCCTTCTTGAACTTGCGGCTGTCCTCCTCGATCTGGCGATCGATGGCGGTGCTGCGCTCCTTCGCGCCCTTCTCGCCGCCAGACGACATACATGCGCCCATGGCGAATGCAGGACAAGCGCTAGAGCGCGTGCGAGAGCTAGAACCGTGCAGAGACGGGCACGAGGGCCTCTAGATGCGCGGAAAGGGATGCGCGAGGAGGATGCAGGCGAACAGGGAGAGCCCGAATGGGCGGGGTATCGCGAGAGGAGACGCTGTGCTTGAGCTGGCGCCGGAGAGTCGAGCGACGAGTGAGACAGCGAAGCGCAGCAGCTGGACAGATCCGAGCTCGAGTGCCGCTGGTGCGTGGATGGCGCTGCGCACGCGAGGGCGGCAGCAGTCTCGACGCGTGCAAAGACGCAGTCTCTAGCAGCAGAGCAGCGTGCGGCGAGCGCAGACGAGCTTGGATGGAGCTGCAGTCGCAGCGTGTGCTGACGTCGCGACTCTGCTGCGTGGACGTGCGGCGCTGTCTACGCGAGCTGCGCTGGCGCTGCGGCTGCGGCTGCGGCTGCGGGCGCTGCTGCTCTGGGTGCGAGCGGAGACGCGTGCGTCGGGCGGAGCAGCGCGCTCTGAGACGGAGCGGTTGGAACGTCGACTACCCGGCGCGGCGCAGGCAGACGCAATGCGGCGGCAGCAGCGCAGATGGAGGGACGAGGCGACGGCGGGAAGCCGGTGCGACGCGGCGGCGAGCGGAGAGGAAGCGCGCGAAGCTGGTGCGCGCGTGTGTGCGGGCGCGGCGTGGAGCAGAGCGCGGGCGCGTCGGGAGCCGGCGAGCGTGAGAGAGACGTGAGGCTGCGCGTGGAGAGGTGCGAGAGGTGAGTGGTGAGAAGGATGGAGACGCGGCGAGACGAGGTGAGCGAGAGGAGCGCAGGGTGCAGGCCGGGCCAGGGCAGAGGCAGCGTCGGGTAGCGTGCCGGATGGACGAAAGGAGCCGCCTGCGCTTGCTCGGCTCAGGCGCACGGCGGCGGCGGCGGCGGCGCGCGGCAAGGGATGCTCGATGCGCTGCCTCGCGCGCCGCCGCAGAGAGGAGCACGGCGCGCCAGCAGCAGCCGCGCCCGCCGCACGCCGCCGGCGTCCGCACGCGCGTCGCGGTGCATGCAGCCTTCGCGCGCTTGCGGTGCGGGCGTGCGGCGCGGAGGCCGGCCTCGTGCGGCGGGCGCGCGTCTCTCTGCCCTGCCGCTCGCTGCGTGCTGCTGCAGCATCTGCGTCACGCCGAGTGCTGCTGTCCTGCCTCCTCTGCCGCTGCCGCATCCCGCCCACGCGCGAGCACTTCGCGCTCGACTCCGCGCCGAGCATCCGCCGTGCGCGCATCGCTGCGATGCTGCTGCTGCTCCTGTGCATCTTCCGAGCGCCGTCGCCGCACGAGTGCACCCATCGCACCTCGGCACCTGCGACGCTGCAGCGCTGCAGGGGCAGAGTCAGGGCCGTGCATGCACGCTGCGCAGAGGTGCAGCTGCATCTGGCGCGCGCCGCGACTCCGCCCGCTGCGCCGGCGACTGGCGCTCGCCGCCAACTCCAGCACGGCGGCGGAGGCCCTGCGCTGCGCTGTGGTCTGCGTCTGCTGCTGGTGCTGCCTCTGCATCTGCTTTGCAGCGCTGCTCTGCTGAGGCTGACGGCTGCGGCGCGCGAGGGTGATGTGACGGCGGGCCTCGCCGCACGCAGCGCGAGAGACAGCATCCAGCAGCAGCGTCGCTTACGCACGCCTCGTCGCGCCGCAGCAAGTGGATCTGCGAGATGCCGTTGCTGCGGTTCCGGGCTCCAGCGCGGCGGTATGTGCGTAGGTGCGAGGAGGTCTCTTGCCTGCATCGGGACGATCGCCCTGGGCCAACACCCGCCAGCTCGCCGACGACGCGCCGCCCATCCCTCCGCTGCTCCGAGCGCCAACACGCCAGTGCAGGCGCAGCTCGCTGCAGGGGCCGGCGCCGTTGCATAAGCGCCCGACGGCCGCGAGCGGATGCGGCATCCGGCGCAGCGGCTGCGGTGCGAGTCGAGTCCGGACCTGAAGCGGCTGCCCGCAGGCTGGGCCCGCCGCCGGTGCTGAGCCTCAACAGGACCTATCAAGTCCCGCAAGGGTGCCGGCCGTAGAGTCTCTGCGGGCGCCGCGCTTCCCACAGGCGCGGTGCCGAGACGGAGGCACCGTGACCGTCGAGCGGAAGACCCAGAAAAAGACGCGCCGCTCACCGGCACCGGAGGGTGCCGCGAGGTCTTCCATAGGCAAGTGCCCCAGAGACGGCTTCGACGAGAGCCCAGCAGCCCCTGTTCTACTCTGTGTGCGCTTCGCTCTGTCACGACGATCAGCCAGGCGTGGACTGCGGCTCCACGCGCGCCGCCGCAGCGAGGCCTCTCCATCCGGCAGCCCGACATCCGCTCGCGCGCGTTGTCCCCTGTCTTTGGTTGCCGCGGCACTCCTGTCGGTCGGAGAAACTGCACGCAAGTGCTTCTCCGGACTCCGGAGTCCAGACGAGCCGGGCACTTCGGGCCTGAGCCGCCGCGCTGCTTGGGTAAGGCGAGCTGCGGCTGCCGACGATGGGCGCCGCCAGCGCGGAACGCAGGCCAGATGGTCTGGGTGCTGTGCCGTACAGTGCTCGCGCCGGCACGTCCATAGCTAGGGTACAGGGCACGCCGCACGGCTGGCGACGGAAGCACAGCAGGTGCAGGTCAACTGCCGACCGCGGCAGGAAGCTGTGAGAGCGAGCGAAGGCGCAGCGCAGACGCGAGTTATGAGGTGATCAGAGGGGGTCGCCCATCAGCGGTCCATCATGCCTTGCGGCGGCGGGCTGCGCAAGCCAGCAGGTGCAGGCACACCAGCACGTGGCCTCGACTTCCGCCTCCACTTCCACCCTCGGTGATGCACGTCGGAGTCCATTGCCGGGCCGTCGTTGAAGTCTCGCAGGGCGATGCAGCGACTGTCCTTGACTGGTGTCCGGCTCCAGCTAGGCGTCAGGGGGCGAGGCGAGAGCAGCGCTTTGTTTTGCCAAGACGCGATGAAGCGATGACCGAGGCTCTCATGTGCCAAATGCAGCATCACAGCCTATTCTCGGCGCATCGCTGAGGCAGTTTTGCCCACGACGGCGTGCGTGCTGTCGAGAAGGTCAGGGCTGGCCCTCAGCACCGGCGGCCGGTGCTCGCGCCCGATCCTGATCGCTGCCGTGTGAGAGCGACGCGCCCAGCGCCGGGACCGCTGCGGCACCGCACGTTGGGCTCGCCGCAGCACCTTCGCCTCACGGATGTGCTAGCTATTGGCCTCAAAATCCTCAGGTGACTCTGCCACGCCGCTGGCTTAGGGTTCAAGTGCGGCTCGTGCCGCGGCTCTCGAAGACACTGGCTCAGCGAATAGCAACAACGGCGCGCCTTGGGCAAAAGCAAAAAGCAGGCTATGGGACGCTCACAGATATCCCCCTTTTCTCTGAAAGGAGGAGTCTAGGTACGACGGACATGCATCTCGCACACCCTATCGGCTTCACAAGCTGCTGCGCCATGCCCGATTGCATCTGGCAGCAGCATCCGGGGTCGATCGGGAGGCCGGGAGCGAGGCGGCTGGCGTCCGCGCGGCTGGACGCAAGATGACGCGTGGGAACAGCGCATCTCGCGCTCGCGTGGCGGTGGCAGGCAAAAGCAACGGCTTGGCGCCGCGGCCGCGCGGGAGATCCGAGCCGGCTTGAGCGGCCCGGCAGCGGCAGCAGGCAAGGCACGCTCGGCAGCGCATCAAGACGCCGCTCGCCGCACATCGGGCCGCCTGCCTCCGCACCACCACCACCTCTGTCTGCCTGCCATGCGCTTCACCCAGCTCGCGCTCCTTTCACTCGCCGCCGCCGCGTCCGTCGCGGCGCAGAGCGCCAGCAGCAGCTCGAGCAGCACGGCCAACAGCACCGCCACCTCCACCTCGAGCGGCAACAGCAGCAGCAGCACCACCGCCACGTCGTCCTCGTCGACCGTCTTCACGCTCGTGTGAGTGCACGCCTGCCACACGGCCCCGCACTGCGTCGGCTCACACGTTCCCTGCGCTCCACAGCCCGACAGACTTCACCTTCAGCAGGTCAGTGCGGCGCGTGGCAGAGGTGTGGACGGTTGCGCGGCGCTTTGGAGCGCGAGGAGAGGCGTTGGACTGGCTGTATGTCTGCGGGAGCAAGGCGTCAGGCCCGTAGAGGCAACGCTAGCAGTCGCGCGTGCTCTCGGGCCTGGGACCGTGGTGTGGCAGAGCGAAGCGTGCGAAGGCGGCGCAGTGCTGTTGCAGCCCTCGAAGGACGGCACTGTTGTCCAAGTGCGTCGAGCAGAGCTGGACCGTATGGCAGCTGCACCACGGCTAGATATCGTCACAGATGTAGCGCAATCACCAAAGTCCGGCTGGCCGCCTCGCACTCGAGACCGCGCACGGTCAGGACGCATGCGGCCCTTTCCTGTGGCCTCGCGAGCGCATAGACGTGCCTCTGACGCCAGATCCTACAGCATCGCGACAACTACAACAGGCAGCACATCCAACAGCAGCAGCACGACGAGCAGCAGCGTCACGCCCATCACGCTCTCGACGAACCCGATCGTCACCACGCGGCCAACGTCTGCGCCGAGCGACGGCGCCGCACGCCGCGCCGGAGCAGCGGGCGCGGCCGGACTCGGCGTGGCCGTGCTGCTGGGCCTTGGCCTGCTGTGATCGCTCTCTCTGCACCTTCTCTCTCCACTCGATACCTGTCTGCCTCACATCACCTGCGCGGATCGTCTGCCTACGCGGTGCGCCCATGGATTCAAAATACGCTCGTGCGCAGCAGTCTGTGTGCAAACGCTGCAGAGTGCGAAGCAGCCGTATCGCGGGCGTCGCTGTCGGCCACTAGCAGGAAGAGAGCCGTGGCGCCCACACTGAGAGCGATGAGGCCTGTGAGAACCCGCACGGCGCTGCAGAGGGCTCGGCGTCAGCTCTGGCACTATGCAGTGCATGATCAGCGCGATACGCACGCGCCGCTATGGCCTCCACCCGCAGCTGCTCGGTCGTGCGTGCGCTCGGCCTCGGACAGGACGACGTCGGCGCGTTCGAGCGCCCGCTCCACGCGCAGGTAGTCTGCGCAGCCGACGACCAGCGACGCGAGCGACAGAAGGAAGAAGAGTAGGCCTAGCGCCGTCGAGACGACAGAGATGCTGTAGTGCCAGTGCGACGGAGGAGACTCGTCGGGCTGCCACGGCGCGTCCGACCGCGGGTGCACCTTGAGACGAAGGCGCAAAAGCATTGTGGCAGCGACGACGGCCAGCGTCATGCTCAGCTTGAGCCAGGCCAGGAACGTCCGTTCTCGCGCTACAGCACAGACGGTCAGCCCGATTCCTGCTGCGGTATTTACCCCGTGCGCACCCAAGAAGTCACGACTGCTCTCGGCGGTCCTTGCCCGTGTCTCCAGCCAGCCTGGCGAGCGCTCGCTGCGCAGCTCGTGCGCCGCCCCGTCCAGCAGCGCCGTCGCCGCATCTGCTTCCCGCGTCTCTCGCTCAGGGCTGCTCTGCCTGCTGTGCTGCGCGCTCGGCTGTGGCGAAGAAGCGCGTGTCGAGAAGGGCGAGGCACCGGGCGAGCGAGGAATTGAGTTCGGGATGTGCAGCGCCAGGCGCCGCCCAGAGCGAGTGAAGCGCTGCGGCGGCCGGCTGGCGGCGCCGACGCTGACGTTGCTGCTGCTCGCGCCGCCGTCTGCGCCGAGCGGCACACTGATGAGGTGCGACATGAGAAGCTGCTCCTGTGTCTCGTGTTGCGATGGTGGTGGTCAGGAGGCAAGCCCCTGAGCGCTCGCCGACAAGCACAGCAGGCCCCATCGCAGCACGCCATCGGCGTCGCGCCCGTGGAGGTCGCCGCCCAGGCCGCTCCGCCTTGCGTGCGAACGCTCCCACGCTCCCGGCCTGCGTGTCGACTCCACGCATCGCAAGCGCCCTCGCCCCCACGGCAGAGTCCAATGCGGGATATATATTGGCGCAGGCAGAGCGCAGGCCGCAGGAGCAGCACGGTGACAGGGGAGACGCAGCATCCGACGACAGTTCCAGCAGCAGAGGAGCGCAGCAAGCAGCAGGATAAGACACGCAGCAGAGGCGGGGCGGGCCAGCGCTGCCTCATCCACAGCGCGGCCGGCGAGCTCCTCACGCCGCCGCCTCGCCCTCATCGACGAAGATGGCCGCGTAGCGCTCGAGAATCGTCTCGACGGCCTTGCACTGGAAGCTCATGTCCTGTAGGTGCACGCCGCCCGGCCCTTCGCCGCCCGCCGTGCCGGGCGGCGGGCTCAGCAGCGTGGGCCCGAAGACGATGGCGAGGTTCGAGATGCTCATCTGGTTCGACTCGTGCTCCGAACGGATTCTGGCGGCGCAGTGGTCAGCGGTGATCACACAAACCGGCTAGACACGGCCAGCGCACTTGTCGAGATGGCCCATCAGGTACTTGAGCGTCGCGTAGTTCGCATCTGGCAAGTCGTTGACACGCTCGTGCATCCTGCGCAGGATCGTGAGTACGGGTCCGGTGGGTGCCACGGTCATGCGGCTCACCTGATGTGCCGCATCCGATCGTTCTCCACCTCTGCAGACGCGGGTGTCAGCAGATCGCAGGTATATGCAGCACCGCGCCGACTGACTTGCGGCATCGATGAAGCCCTGGTACAGCTCCCACGTCATGAGCGGCTCTGGCAGCTCGCGGAACCAAAGCTTGAGGCAGCCAGCGATGATGTTGATGTCGTTGATCGCCTCGTCGTTCAGCAGGTCGACAGTGGACCAGTCTGCTCGCCTCATCAGCCGGCGCCTTGGCAGTAGATCTCGCGCGTGACTCACCGGCATCGAACTTGGCCTTGAGCTTCTGCACCTTGGACGTCGTGCCCGACAGCCGGTAGATGCCCATGCTTTGCATGCCTGCGCGTCGCGCGTCAGCCTTGTCGACAGACCACGCACCAGGAGGCACTCACCGACGGCCTCGATTGCCTCGGCACACTTTTCCAGGATCGGCGGCACCTCCACGCCGTCGCGCGCCATCTGGTCGACCAGGTGCACGCCGAAGATTGGTCTTGTTGCGACAGGCCGAGGCGCCGCAGCGGCAGCAGCAGCGGCCTTGCCCTGCGTGCCGGTGTTGCCCTGATTGACCTGTCGCGTGCGTGTCAGCAGACAGACGGAGTGCGCACGACTCGTGCACGCACAAAGCCCTCCTCGTACGGTCCTTCCCGCCGCGGGCCGCGGTAGTCGCGCGCGTGCACGACCTGATAGTTCTGCATGAACTGCTTGAAGTCTGCGCGATTGTCGATGGACTCGGCGGCGGACTTGAGCCCGAAGCCTGCGCAGAGAGGATGAGCACGCGCGCGTCTGACACGTGCGGCCTGCACGCACCCTCTGTCGCTGGCACGGGTGTGATGGCCATGCCGTCGCCGAGCACTGTGCTCTCGTACAGGAAGGCGTAGCGCACCAAGTGGTACTGCAGGCCGTTGTCGATCTCCTCTGCGCTCTCTTTCAGGGCCTGCAATGAGCGTCAGCACCGGCGTTGCGCGCGCTGCGGCAGCACTACCTACCCGAAGGATGCGCGGCAGCTGCAGGTTGAAGTACTCTTGCCGCGTGCCCTGCGTCGCGAGCACCTCTTTCCGGAAAGCGTCGCTCGCTGTCGATGTCCGCGCGCGGATATCCTCCTCCTGCTTCAGAATCTGCGCGTCCGTGACAGTCAGCCTCCCACGCCCGCTGCCAAGGGCGCTAGGCCGACTCGCGCTTTACGCACCTGATTCGGGTTCTTGTTCTTGAAGAGCAGGCCGCTCTTTCCAATCGCCTTGCCCAGCGTCCGCTTCCCGCTCGTACTTCCACCCGTGCCAGCCTGCAGCTCGCCGCCCTTGGCCGACTCGCCGCTTTTCAGCAGCAGCAAGCGCTCCAGATCTTCCGCCGTCGCATCGAAGCGCAGACGTGCCTGCGAAGCGCGTCAGCATGTCTCGCGCTGACATCTGCGGACATGGCCCGCACCTTCTCCACGCCGGCCTCTGCATCCTGCAAGTTGCGCTCGAGGCGCAGGCCCGTCTCGCGCGCCTGCTTGCGGTTGCGGTCGACCTCCTTGGCGAGTGTCGTGAGCTCGTCACTCATCTCGCTCAGCTTGGCCGCGAAGCGCAGGCGGTTGTCGGCGAGCGACTCGTGTGTGCGCATCACGCCCGTCCATGAGGTGACAAAGGAGCTGTGCGGGGAAGTTGATGAGACGAAGCTCGCAGATGCAGTCTGCGCGGCCGCACGCACCCAGCCTTGCCCTCTGCGCTGGCGTAGCTCTCTGCCGAGCTGCGCGCAAGCTTCGACATGGCGCGCGCGTACTCCTCCTCGATGACGGAGCGCTTCTTCAAGAAGGACGCAGTCTGCTGCGCAGACGTCATAGACTGCTTGATGCGGTCGTACAACAGCGGCATGCCGCACTGGCGCAGCGGTGTTCAGCTCGGACCAGCCAGTCAGTCGTCGGCGCGCGCGCACTCACGTCCATGTCGCACAGCGCACGCAGCGTACCCTCGTCAAAGGACGTGGGAATGACCTCGTCAAGCGCATGCGGCATGCTGCGGCTGCTGAACGCGCTGCCGCTCTGCGTCATGCCGTGGGCGCCGTTGGTGTCGACGCTGGGCGAGTGCACGATGTTGGCATTGCTCGACGATGCCGGCGTCGTGCCGGTGCCGGCCGAGTACGACGCGGTGCCGCCGCGGTCGAAGCTGGAGCGCGTCGAGTGGGAGAGCGAGGGCCGCGACGGAGCGCCGACCGAGTCGATGGAGCCCGACGGCGGCTCGAAGGAAGGCGCGGCCATCGTGGGCGGGCGCGGCGTGGCAGCGCCAGTAGACACGGGCGCGGGCGGCGACGCGGCGTGGCCGGGCTGCGCGGCCGTCGACGAGACGTCCGAGACGCCCGAGGGAGAGACGCCGAGGCTGAGCGCCGAGATGTCGATGGGCGCGAGGAAGGCGCCGTCGTCGGCCCGGAGCGCGTGGCTGATCGACACGGACGAGGAGCGCGGGCTCGGCTGCGGCACGGCGGCGGCAGCTGGGGCGGGCACAGCACGCACGTCGAGTGGCTGCGATGGGCGCATGCAATGGACGCAGCGGCGTGCTCGGGAGCAGGCAGCGGCGGCAGGCGCGGAAGAGGAAGGGAGGGATGGAGGGAAGATGGCCGGGGCCAAGGCAGCACGTTAAGGTTGACTGACGCGGCAGGCGCGGCGCCGGCAGACGAGCAGCAGGCACGCGCCGCGCGCGGCGCACGGGCAAGCGCGGCGCACGGGAGCGCCTCGCACGACTCGCCTCACAACTCGGCACCGGCAGTCGCACCTAACGAGCACCCGCACCTCACGCAGGCCAGCGCTGCACAAGCCAGGCGCAAACGATCTGCGGGCTCTGCAAACACGGTGCCCTTGCGGCTGCGATGCTGCTTGGCCGCACGGTGGGGGGCAGCGTGCTCGCCGGATGCAGCTGCGAGGGCTGCAGCAGGCGCTGCGCGCCGCCCGCTGCGCTCGCGACGCCGGCGCCGTGTGAGCACGGCCGGGACCCGGGCGAGAAGCGCGGGACGGGCGTGGGAGCAGTCGCGAGGCGCAGCCAGAGCAACACCAGCGGCAGCGCCGCGCAGCCCCTGAGCGGCCTCGCTCCTCTCCACATCAGCTCGCCTGCTCCGCCATGTCGTCTCTCCTGCACCCCGCATCGCGCGCCTCGGCCGCCTCGGGCCCGTCGCAGCAGCGCGCACGCGTCGGGCGCGCCTCGGCCCACCCGCGCCAGTCGTCGGGCGTGTACAACACCTTCAGCGCCAAGCAGATCCACGGCTTCCGCGAGGCCTTCAGCATGCTCGACGCCGACGGCGACGGCGCCATCTCGCGCGCCGACCTCGCCGCGCTGCTGGCGAACCTCGGCGTGCCCGACGCGCGCGCCGACGTCGAGCGCCTCGTCGCCGCCGCCACGATGAAGGACGGCGCGCCGGGCGCCGAGCGCATCAACTTCACGCAGTTCCTCACCATGTTCGGCGAGCATCTGAGCGAGGTGAGCAGCGCAGCGGGCGTTGCAGGGCGCGCAAGGGGGAGCAGAGAGGAGAGTAGACGGGGTGTACCAAGCGGCAGCTGGCGGGACTGCAGCCCTGGCGCTGCATAGCGAAGCTTCAGTCAAGGCGTGCTTGCGCTCTCATAGCCGGCCTCTGCCCTGAGGCGCGCAGCGGCACTGCTTGTGCAGTCAGTCTGAAAGACGCTGCTGGGTGCCGCCTTCCTGGCACGAACGCATTGAGCGACGCCGGGTTGTGGCCGATGAGATCGGGCGATCAGAACGCTCATTCGTGCCATCTTGGGCACGATACGGAAGGCACACGCGCGCACCGAGCATGGATCTGTAGAGGCTGTACGGGCTCTGCACAGATGCCTCAACGCTGACACCAACTCGCACCAGCTCGACGAGGCACCGGACCTGCTTGCTGCATTTGAGTGCTTCGACGAGCGCGACGAGGGCACGATTGACGCTGGCGAGCTGCGCTACTGGCTCGGCGAGGTGGGCGACCGGATGAGTGACGACGAGGTGAGGCAGAAGGGTCGTAGTCAAGCCCTGCGCACAATGCTGACTGCGCGCTCAGATCGACCGGCTACTGTCGGGTCCATTCATGGACCGAGGCGGCCGCAAGTTCGACTACAAGGCTTGTGAGTGCTGACCCTCCCTGCGGCAGTGCAAGGCTGATGCATGCACGCCAGTCGTTGAGGCGGTCAAGATGTCGGAGCCGGCGTCGCTCGAGTCATGACCTGTGTGCTGCGTTTGTTCTGTGACTCTGCCCTCGACATGACCTTTGATGATCTCTCTACCCTGCATGGACTGGCCTCCCGCGAAGGTGCTGCGACGTCTGCGAGAGTGGCCGCCGCTGCGCTCTGCAGGTGCCAAGGCAGATGCGCTGCACGGGCTGCCTGGGGCCGATCGGACTGCGCAGTGCTTCTTCTTGACTGGCGAAAACGCACCTGCAAAGGCGATACCTTTCGTTTCGAGAGCCCTGTGCTTGAAGCAGAGTTCTGAGGCGCAGCGGAAGCCTGAGCGTGGTGCCCACCGCCGTCCCGCCGCGCCGGCACGTCAACTTCCAAAGCCGCGGCACTTGGCTAGCGTGAGATGCTTCTCCAGGTGCGCAGCATCCGCAGTGGCCCGACTCAGCAGAGATACTCCCGCACGCAGCACGCCGAATGAATGAGCGGTGCAGTCGCCGCAGCACCATGGAAGAGGCCAGACTGTCAGGCAAGGAGATGAGCTCGTCCAGCGAGGACGAGGGCGATGGCGAGCAGGCGCGGCACATTGCGGCGGGAGAGGAGCGGAGCCGCTGCCCCGCACTCGGCGGGAGCGGCGCGCAGGCGGAGCAGTCGCCGCGTGCCGCGCCGCCGCGGCGGGGCGTGCGGCTTTGGCGCGCTGTGGCTGCGTGCTGCGCTGCGCTGGAGCTCTCTGGCCGCACAGGCGGCATCCGCACCGCACCGCATGGCACGAAGGTCGCAAGCGGCAGCACCGAGAAGCAGCGGGCAGCTTCAGCACCACCACCACACACCACGCATCGCTGCACATCCAGCACTCAGGCGTCGCTCCGCAGTCGCACGCCGCCTTGCGCCAGCCTAGCCGCCCGCGCCCACGTCCACACCGGCTCTCGGCTTCCTGCTCTCCCGCTGCGCCGTCTCGCACCGCAACTCCGCGCGCGTGCACACTTCTCTCCTCGACTCGCGCCCGCCGTCGTAGCTCGGCTTTCCCTGCGCCTCACCTGCGTCTCAGCGCCATGTCCTCGGCGCCTGCTGCCGCGGCAGCCTCGGCCTCGGGCACGGCGGGCTCGCGCCTCGACGCGCCGCGGCGCACGCCCTCTGGCCACGGCCCGGGCACTCGAGGTGCGTTCAGCTGCGCGAGTGCAGAAAGAGAGCGGCACCACAAGGGCGGCGGGACAGAGCGGCGAGGAGCATCGGGCGTTCTGCCGGCCGCCGCAAGCTTGCTGTAGCGGAGCTGCCTGTCCAGGCACTCGACTAGGCGCGGCGACCGGAACAGCACCGTCGAGATGCTCGCTGTGCACCGCCCTTGTACGCGCACGTCTGAATCTGAGCAGCAAGGCTGACATGCACATTAGGCAATCTGACGCCGCAGCAGACACGCACGCTCTACCGCCTCTGGGCGCGCTTCTTCCGCCTCTGCCAGACGCCCGCCAGCACGGCCTCGGCATCCGCGTCTGTGCACTCGGCGACGCTGCCCAACGGCAGCGGCGCCTCGCCACTGCGCACGACACGCTCGCGTGGCGGCGGCGGCATGGCCGAGGCCAGCGGTGGTGCCGACGAGGAGGGTAGCAGTGACACCGCGGCGCGCAGCGAGCCCAACGGCGCCAACCTGGGGCGCCACATTCCGCGCGACGACGGCGTCAAGGACGAGCTCAAGACGCTCGAGGAGGCCAAGGAGATGCGCGTCTTTCTCGCGCGCTACGGCGGCGAGCGCCTGCGCAGTGTGTTCTGGGAGATGACCAAGGTGAGCCCGCGGCTACAGGTGACAGGCGGTGCAGTCGACGTGAGGTGCAGCAGGGCGGGCGGTGCGCTGCGGGCCACAGGCGTCTCAGAGCGCACAGGGATACGCACCCGGCGGATCCGGCCATGTGCAAGCTAGCCTCGGAAGGCCATCGTCGACAGCGGTCCTCAGCGGACTGCCGTGCCGTGCTGTAGAGCCCCCACAAACAATGATTTGGCTCGTCATTTGGAATCCGCCATCACTCTGAACCTTTGTACTGACGCTGTACCACTAGGGCGAACATCCCGACGCGCTGATGCTGCGCTTCCTGCGGGCGCGCCGCTGGGACGTGGACCGGGCGATTGCCGTCATTGGCTCGACGGCGAACTTCCGAGTAGAGTGAGCTGTGCTGGTCTCCGGGTCGCTCGCTCCTTGCTCATCGCGGTGCTCTTCGCTCTCCCCCAGGAACGAGGTGGCTGAGGTGCTGCGCGGAGGCGAGCTCAACCTGACACGCACGCGCGGCGGACTGAACCTGTTTGCCAACGGCGTCTCGTATGCGTACGGCGCATCGCGCGACGGCGAGCCGGTGTACCTCATCGAGGTCGGCAGCCACTTTTCCCACAACCAGACGCAGGCTGAGCTGTGAGTACATGGCGTGACGGCTGCGAGCAGGGCGGCACTGACATGACGCACAGCAAACGGGCCGTCATTCTGCACCAGGAGTGGCTGTCGCTCCTCATGCCGCCGCCGGTGGAGCAGAAGATCGTCATCTTCAACTTGCGCAACTTTGGCCTGCGGAATATGGAGTGAGTCGGCTGCTGCGCAGGCCGGTGCGCCGGTGCTGACTCATGGCGCTCAGCTGGTGGACCGTCTTCTTCATGGTCAAGACGATGGAGTCGTACTACGGTGAGTGAGATGTGCGGCGTGCCATGAGCACCTGGCTGATGCCCGCACAGTCGAGTCGCTGGCACGTGTGTACGTGCACTGTCCGCCGTGGATCTTCAAGCCCATCTGGATCATCTTGCGGCCGCTGCTCGACCCCGTCGTGCGCGACAAGATCCGCCTCACGAGCACCCTCGAGGAGCTGGAGGAGCTCATCCCGGCACACCACCTGCCGCGCGACTCGATGGGCGGCAGCGCCGACTGGGGCTACAGCTACCCGCCGCCGGAGGAGCACGAGAACGACGCGCAGCTCGACACCGCCCGGCGAGCCGAGCTGCAGGCCGCCCACGACGCGGCCGCCGCAGAGTTCGAGCGGCTGACTCGGCAAGTCGCACGCGCCTACTCCTCGCGGCGCGCTGCCGTGCCGCGGCGGAGCAGCGATGCCGATCCCACGTCGGCGGCGACGACCGACTCTGAGTTTGATGAGGACGACGAGGACGACGATGCGCACGCGGACATTGCCGCCGACGTCAAGGCGCTGCGTGACGTCGCAGCGACGCGCCTCCGCGTTGCCTGGCTGCGGCTCATGCCGTACATCATCGGCCGCACCGTGTACAACCGCTGGAACGTGGCGCGCGATGACGGCAGCGTGATGTGGACGTACGATGCCATCGACGGCACGCACGAGGAGCAGCGCCTCGGCGAGGGCACGACGCTGCCGGTGCTCGAGGAGAATCTGGCACAGCTCGACGCTGCGCTGGGCAACGTCGAGCCGCGCGCGAATGGCTCGACGAATGGCGCCTCAGCCAGCGCGCCGCACGCTCGCCAGCGCAGCCACCAGCGCATGCGGACCGCGGGCAGCCGCTCATTCGTGCTTGACGAGGCGCTCGGCATGATGGGCGACGGCGCGAAGAAGAAAGATGGCGCGCTGTCGGGCCAGGCGGATGAGCTGCGGGAAGCTGCAAGGCCAGACGGCCTCGATGCCACAGCAGGGCTACACCCGGCGAGTGAACAGCCGGCTGCTCCTCTGGCCTCGCCCAGCTCTGAGGTGCCGAGTCAGGACGCTTCCTCGAAGAGCCAGGACACTGGTTCCACCGCACACGCCGCTCCTCTACCTGTCCATCCTCTCTTTGTTGAACGGTGACCCCGCAATGCATGATGCCAAATGCACTGCGTCTGAGAGGCGTGGCCGTGGCGGAACGCGTGTGGGGGCGAGGACGGGCTCAGGCAGTTGAGGGTGAGGTCATTTGTCAAGACGGCGTATGCAACTCGCAGGTACAGTCTCACCCTGGCCACCATTTCGACGGAGGAGAACAGGGCGAGAAGCGGGACCACGCAGGTGACGGTGCAAGCGCAAGGACAGTCGCAGTGAGGGAAAGGTACGTGTTCATATTTGGCTCTGAGTGAGCTGCTATCATACAAGTCCTAGTTAGTACAGTGGTCAGTATATCCGCCTCTCATTCAAGCTTCGGCTCAGTGGGCGCGGATGGCCGGGGTTCGATTCCCCGACTGGGAAACCTTTTTGCCTCTCTCCGCGCCCGACCTTTTTGCCCTCCCTCTCACGACACCCGCCCTCGACCCGAGCAGCTCCTCACGCCTCTCGATGCGGAGACAGCGCACAGGCTCAGCGCTCCTTCGGCGTGTCGCTGTCTTAAGCCACGCCGGTCACGGCTGTTGGTGGGTATATCATTAGACGAGTCATTGTACAGGTGCAGATGTAGCGTCGCGGCGCAGCAGCAGCGCGGCACAGAACATGCGCAGCTCGAGCTTGTCGTCGTAGTCGAGGCCGCCCTCGGCGCACGCGGCCTTCATCAGCCGGCCGGCGTGGTCCTCCTCGACGGCGGCGCGCGCCTTCTCCTGCGGGTTCGCACGGAGGTAGGCCACATAGCCCGTCGTGGTGCGCAGCTGTATGGCGTGTCAGCAAAGCAGAGTAGCCTGGAGGCGCTCATCCCCGACGCACCCAGTGCGCCATCGCGCGCGGACTCGTCGCCCGCAGCTCCTCGGCCTCCGGACACGTCATGTCCTCGCCGCGCGGGCCCGACCACTCGGGCGGCGCATTGACGGTCAGGTAGCGCACGGTGGGCAGCCAGCCGGCGGCGCCTGCCTCGCGTGGCGTTGGTAGCGTCGAGTACATGTCGCGGTGGCCCAGGCGCGCCGCCTCGCCGTAGAAGCGCGCCAGGGGCTCGGTGAAGGGCGCCTGCTCCAGTGCCCTACGCAGCGGCGCAGTCTGCTCGCCGCATGGACCGTCATACGGGCCCGGCACGGGACGGTGGCCGATGAGGAGCAGCGTGCCGTGCGGCAGCAGATGGCGGTAAAAGACATTGTACGTCGCCAATGGCTCGTTCCAGGCGAGGTAGTGGGCGCACGAGCCGAGCGTGAGGAACGTCAGGGCTCGCGGCAGGTTGGGCTCGGCAAAGGTGCCGTGGCTGGCGCAGCATGAGCAGGCGGCTGTCGAGCATGACACGCAGCCACTCACGCAATGTCCCACGCAGCATCGCCCTTCGGCAGGCCGACGCTGGCACGCATCTCGCAGTCCATGTCCCGCGTGCCGTGCGCCAGCTCAAGCATGTGTGCATCCCAGTCGCGGGCGTAGACGTGCTGCGCCCAGCTCTCGAGCCAGGCGGCGAGCGGCGCGGCGCCGCAGCCAAAATCGCCCACATGTTCCTCCTCGCGCTGTTCCGGGCGCACCTCGCCGCCGCTGCGCAGGTGCCACTGTGCGCCAGCCCGCGCGCTGACGGAGCTGGACGGGAGCGAGGTTGGCGAGGGGCGTGCAAAATGGAACTCGAATGCGGCGGCGAGAGCCAGCGGCGAGTAGGGCGGCGCAGAGAGCAGGTAGGCGTACGCCTGCTGCGACAGCGTCGGCGGCGCAAAGGAGGCGAGCGACGTGGCCGGTGTGGCGGCGAGCGAGGCGGCGGCCGACGAGTAGGGCGACGAGGCGAGCGTCGCGGGCGTCGTGGCGCCGTCGCTGCTGCTGCTGGCGTGGGTGCGGGTGCGGCGCAGGCGCCGAAAGACGGAGGGCATGCGGCGCTGCTCGGCGGGCGCGGCCGTCTAGTGTATGCGGGGCAGGAGCATGGCGCCCGGCATCAGCGCAGCGCGGCGGGAGCGCACATCGGAGGAGGAGGAGGGGAGCGAGGCAGGCGAGCCGGCGCCGTCGCGGCCGAGGCGCAACCTCGGGCCAGGCATGACGCCTGACAGCCGCCGGCGCGTCCCGCGGCTCGGAAGCGTGGCGCCGCGACCGCGTCCCTGCCGCTCCCCGCCTCTCTCCGCGCTACCGTCACCATCCCCAGCCGTTCCCAGCCGCCTGCCACTGCCGCAGCCACATCCGCCCGCCATGGCAGCCGCCAACGGTGCTTCCGCGGCGTCTGGCGCCGCACCCGCGTCTGCCGCAGCCCCCGTGCGCCCGGCTGAGCGTGGCCCACTGCCGCCGCCGCCCGGCCTGCGCGAGGCACCTGGCGCAGCCGCAGCGCCAGCACGCAGCGCCGCGCCGCCGTCTGCGCACAGCACTGCCAGCAGCAGCGCACCACGCATGGTGCCCCGCGCGCCCCTCGCTGCTGCACCCGCCGGCCCGCCGCTGCGTCCCGCGCCGATGCCCGCCGTCGCCGGGCCCTCGCGCCTGCCGTCGACGGGGACGCCCGTGACGCCGGCGCCTGCACGCCCAGAGACCGCCAGTCCCGTTTCTGCCGCACGGCCGTCGCGCGAGACGGCCACGCCGACGCCGCCGCCCACGAGTGCGGCGCCGCGCCGTGCGCAGGAGAGCATTGCCGATGCCGTTGCCATGGCCGTCGGTGCGAAGAAGGAGCGCAAGCGCAAGGTGCGTCTGCTGGGGCTGCGATGAGACTTGTGGCGCTGATCGAGTCATCCACAGCGCATCCATTACTCATGTGCCGAGTGTCACCGACGCAAGCACAAGGTGCGTTGCACGCGCAAGTGCTCGCATATTGCCCCGGCTCACAGCCGCCACAGTGCGACCGCAACACACCGTGCCAGGCCTGCATCGACCGCGGCCTCGCCGAGTCGTGCCGCCCGTTCGAGGAGGGCGACCAGCACGGCGACGTGCGCGACCGCGTTGCGCGCCTCGAAGACCTCGTCGAGGGCCTGGCGAAGGCCAACACCGGCCTCGCTTCGGAGCTCAGCGCCATGCGGCGCGCAGTCGGCCTGGGCGCGCCGCCTGCGCGGTCAGACGCTGATTCTGGCGCGCTAGGCGCACTGGCCGCAGCGGCGAGTGCAGCCAAGGGCGGTGACTCGGAGGATGAGAAGCCGACCGTCGACGAGCGGTCGCGCCGCGTCGTGCGCATTGCCAACTCGCGCTCGCTCGGCATGGAGCGCGAGGAGCTGCGCCGTGCGACTGCGGCGGGCGGCGAGGACCGCAGTGCCTCGCTGTACGGCGCAGGCGACGACGATCCGCCTGGAGGCGCAGTGGGCGCCAATCCGCTTGAGGGCGGCCTGACACGCGAGGGCGACTCATTCTACGGCGCGCTGGCTCTGCCGAGCGTGTCGCGCGGCATCATCGAGACGCGCGTGAGTGCCCTAATTGCTGCGCTTCCTATGCTCTGCTGAGCCCTCTGACCGCCCCCAGATCCACGGAGAGAGGCTCGAGCTGTCCTCGAACGTTCCTCTCCGCTCGGCCAGCGTCAAGGTCCGCCGCCTCATCCAGGAGGGCGGCGCGCACCCCGACGTCGTCAATGAGCTTATGGAGAACCTTCCGTCGCGCGCAGAAAGCGACCAGATGCTGCTGGTCCGTCGCATGAAAGGGCTGTGTCTGAGCATCGCTGATGCAGCGAAACACAGTGGTACTTCCGGGACATCAACGTCACGCGGCTGCCGCTGCACGAGCAGACCTTCAGGCAGAGCTACGAGGAGCTGATGGACTGGAAGTGGGGCACGGCAAAGGAGGAAGAGGTACGTGTCCAGAAGCGAGGCGTCTCTCTTTGCAGTGGCTTACGCATCTTGCAGGGCGACGACGGAGCGCGGCACCTGCCATTCCTGTCGTTCCTCTATGTCATCCTGGCGATTGCGAAGCGCAACCAGCCAGAAGACCTTGGCTCCGATGCGGATGCGAAAGCCGGTGCTCTCAAGGTGCGTCGCGAGCGAGACAGTGTACGTGCATTGCTCATGCCTTGCGTCGTGCACCACAGCTCTTCCACACCGCCCGCCGCACGATGGCAGTTGCGTCTGCAGTGCGAGCGGACCATATCGACGTCCTGCTGGCCGCGTTGTTTGGCTGCCGCTTCCTGATCTGCCTGCGCATGAGTGCAGAGAGCTGGAGCTTGCTCGGCTCAGCCATCCGCGCGGCTCAGGCGTGAGTGTTGCGCCGCGGCGTCATTGCTCTGTCTAGCGCGTCTGACGTGAGTCTCGCGCACAGTATCGGCCTTCACCGAGATGGCACGAAGCTTGGCCTCGATGCTGTCACGACGGAACGGCGGCGTCGTCTCTGGGCGCTCATCTACGTCAGTCCGGCTCACGCTGCGCGCGCTTGGCCTGTCACTGATCTCCACTCCTGCAGTACCTCGACAAGACCACGTCGATGCTGCTGGGCCGGCCTCAAGGCATCAATGACCAAAACTGCGACACGCTCGCACCTTCGGACGTGGACATCGACACGCTGCCGCGCTACGGCCCGGCACCGACGCCTGAAGCCTTTCCGCCGCCGGCCGGCGTCACATGGCCCAAGCGTCCGCCAGGCGTCTTTATGTTCGTGGCCATCCGGCATGAGCTGGCGAAGCTCACCGGGCGCGTTGTCGAGCACTTCCAGAACTTGTCCAAGTCAGTGTGCCGGCTCGAGTGCCAAGCGGTGCAGCGCTGACACGTTTCTGCAGGCCGCGCAACTACGCCGACGTGCTCGCCATCGACGCTGACCTTCAGCGCTTCGTCGATGCGCTGCCCGCGCCTTACAGATGCGAGCAGATGGGCGGCGCTGACCACGAGTTTGATGCCCTCTGCCCCTGGCTGCCTCTGCACCGCTACCTCATCAACGTCGAGCAGCTCTACATTCGCATCACGCTGCACCGGCCGTACCTTCTGCGCTCGGACCGCTACGCCCAGAGCCGCGTCGTGGCATTTGCCTCGGCCAAGACCGACCGCCAGATCCGCACAGAATACAAGCGCGACGTCAAATGGCCGCGCGACCGTGCTCGCAGCGCACACATGGGCGGCCTGTACCGCCTCTTCAACGCAGCTCTCGTGGCAGGCATTCAGCTGCTCCTCGAGCCTCAGAGCCCGGAGGCGCCGGAGCTGCACGCTGCGCTCGACGACTTCCTCGCGCTGAAGAGCAACGAGCCGGCCGACACGTCGCAGTGTACCAAGCGCGAAGTGGCCATCATCCAGCTCTTCCAGTCGAAGAGCCGCGACCCGTCGTGGTGCGCAGCGACCGCCACCGGTGCCCGCAGGGGAGGAGCTGCTCGGTCTTCCAGCACTTCTCTGGCTCACGCCGCCACTACGCGTGGCGCAGCGGCTGCTAGCGGCTCCTCGCGTGGAGCAAAGGGCGCCGTCTCGGCCTCTCGCGACACGCCTCCGCAGGGCTCGCGCGCCAGCGCAATGGAATCGCCGCCTGACTCCTTTGGCGCTCGCGGCCCGGCAGCGCCACGATCGCACAACGGCGCGGCAAAAGCAGGCCTCGGCGGGCCGCCGCTCGCTCCGCTCGCCGAGTGGCCCGCCGGCATCGACCAGAGCGCCTCGTCGGCGGCCTCGTTCGCACCTATGAGCATCGACACGCCTCCCGGTGCTGGCATGACAGGTGCAGGCTCAAGCAGCATCTCCTCGCGCTCGGATGCGCTGGCACAGGATCTCTTTGATCAGCTTGGCGCCGGCGCGCTCGACTCCTTCGGCCTGGACCAGTCGCCCTTCTCGTGGGACGACGGCGGTATTGGCGGCGGTGCTGCCAACGGCTTCACATCCGACGGCCTCGACCAGTTCTGGGCCGCAGCCACCAGCGGCAACCTCGGCGGAAACCTCACGCTGCACTCACCGCACGGCAGCACGCCGATCGCCACGAGCCGTCCGGCGCACCCGGGCAGCGGCATGCAGGACCCGAGCGTCAGCCTCACGCCCTGGGGCGGCCTCATTGAGGCGATCGTCTCCGGACAGGGCTCGCAGCACCACTTCCAGCAGCAAGACTCGCCGCAGCACTCCGCACCCTCGAATCCGGCGCAGGGACCCAATGCATCGCCCCGATCACGCTGAGCCTGCGGCCACGCGCGCCCTCTCTGGCAGCGCTGTAGGCCCTCAGGACAGACACTTCGTGGCATGACCTTTTGCAATGGCATGCAGCTCATTCTGTTCCACGCAGGCGCGTGCCTGCGGCAGTGCTCCTTGAATTCCATTAGCATTGACCTATGCGCTCCGACACTTGGCCGGCCTCGAGTCGCAGCAGCGCGTTCATGCTCCTGGGCCATTCGGCCTCGTAGTGGCTGACCAGAATGAGCGACATCGCGCGGCGGGCTTCGGCATCCTGGGCCCGCTCTTGCTCCGTCTCGCCGATGGCGTAGGCCTCGGGCTCGTCAAGAAAGGCGCGGGCACGCTCGACCTGCCGGGCGGACTGATGCTGGAAGGGCTCGTCGAGGATGAGCAGCTTCGGGCCGTGGACGATCGCGCGCAGGAGCAGCACGATGCTCTGTGAGCCCAGCGACATTGCGGCGAAAGAGGCCGAGGCGAGTCGCTTGGCTTGTGCGAGAGGATCATCGAGGCCAGGACCGCCAGATCGAGAGCTCTGTCGACTTGTGTCGCTGTCCGGTGCATCGATCACGTCCTGAAAGGCAGCTAGCAGCCGCCAGATGCGTGCTTTCTGCTGGTCATCGAGAGGTCGTCGCGAGAATACGCCGGCGTAACCCGAGCCTATCGCCTCGCCGACGGTCATGCCGCCACGCTCGGTGTCCTTGCGGGGGAACGCATTGAAGAGCTCGGGCGACACGTGACCGATGCGTCTGGCCAGCAGGAGCGTGGCATTCCCGGGAGCATCGCGAGCCTTGCCGAAGAGGCTCAGCTTCTGCTCCGGCAAGGCGAACGACTGAGGGTGGTCGCCGAGGATGAGGGAGAGCAGAGTAGACTTGCCGCTGCCGTTGCTAAGAGCAAGATGTCAGCTGCTGCATGTCGCGCCATGCAAAGCTGCCTCACTAGCCGGCGAGCACCATTCTCGCACCGCGGTGAATGTCCAAGGCGATGGACTCAAGCGCGGACTTGCCCACGTACTTGATGTCGACGCCGTTGAGCGAGACAAGTGGCTCATTCGTGTCAGGCAAGGCCTGCGCAGCATTCTGCTTGAGCAGTTCATAGCCACCTTGGCTGTCCTGGTCGCGCTGCTGCTGCACAAGCGCGCGAGGACCGGCCTGCACCGAGCCATCGTCGCGCACCTGAGCGACGTGGGTGATGTACGCCGGGAGCTCGTCCTGGACGCGTAGGAAGAGCACGATGCGTGGGTCTGATGCGCAATGCCTGTCAGACAGAATGGAGCTGAGAAGAGAGCGCGTGGGCGGATCGAGCCCATTGTATGGCTGCGAGAGGACGAGAATGGTGCTGTCCGCTGCGGGCGAGAGGCGGCATCGGACGAGCGCTTCAAGCAACCGGGCGCGGCGCATCTGCCCGTTCGAGAGACGGATCAGGGGCGTGTGAAGCAGAGCCGCCATGTCGCCGTTGCTCTCTTCCGCCGGCGGAGGTCTGTCAAGGCGCAGCAGCGGCGCAGTGTCCATGATGCACTGGTGAGCGGCTCGGCCAGCGGCGCGCTCGGACTCGGTCGGAGCTCCTGGCTTTGCCTGGTCGGCGCTGCTGGGAGTGGACAGAATGTCGGCGACGCAAGCCAGCCGCGCAGCACGCCCAGTGTGGTGACCAAGAGCACGCATGCATCCCTCGTGCAGCGTGACGGCGTCTTCGTCGTCGCGCACGGCACCGTAGCGCACGGCGTAGTCGACGAACTCGCCGCCGGTCGCGGCGCGCGCGGCGAAGGAGACGTGCACGACGTGCTCTGCCGGCGAGCGCGAGCCAAGGAACGGATGCGTGCTGGGTATTGGCTTGCCGTCTGCGGTGCGCGCTCTCCTCCGTCCCGTCATCACCTGCGATGTATCTCAACACCATGGCTCGCCGCGGTGTGGCATGCCGGGGGGTGCCCACGGGCCGGGACTCACATCACGCAGCGCCTCGACGACGCGCTCGCCGTCCCCATCGCCACCGACTATGGCCCAGCATTCTGGCGCATCACTGATTGTGAGCGACACGGGCGCAGCTGCGGCTGGCAGCGGCAGGTACGCCTGCCTGAGCTGCAGCAGAGCCGGCCGCGCCGGGCCTGCTGACCGCGCAGTGTGCTCAGCGGCAGAGCTCGACGCTTGCCGGGCATGCGACAGCCGAGTGATGCGCGCGATGTGGAGCGAGGGCGCCAGCGCACCAGACGACAGCACGCGCAGCATGGCGCCAGAGCGACGGAGTGCTGCCTGATCGCGCCGGCGGTGAGGGTGTCGGGCGCGGGTGATGTGGAGGGGAGGACAGCCACGTCGCGCGCACAGCGACGCGGCGCCACGCGCCAGGCGCGCGCCGGCGCGTGTCGAGGACGTGGTCGCGTCGCCAGAATTGCGTCCTCGCTCTGCCGTGCCGAGAACGGGCTCCTTCAGAGATTATCGCTGCTGTCTCACTCGTACAACAGCAGATCGTGAATATGCCACACCCAACACTGAACCTCGCGGCTTCCAGCTCAGCTGCTCCAGGCGTGTACAGTTTGTGTATTCCAACGCTAGCTCGAGAGATGCGCCGTGCCGCCAAAGAGGCTCTTCTTGCTGCGCCAGGGTCAGCGAGGAAGGGCTAGGAGGCCACGTACGCCACTCACACAAACGCATCCGAGAGCAGCACCTCGGCATCGCGGTCACTCCAGCTCTGCGTGGGAAGCGACTGCAGGAACATGATGATGCCCTGTTGGAGTGTAAGCGGCAGGCAAAATGGGACCGCATGGACAACACACGCCAACTGGCAGCGCAAGCGCGAGCTGGCGACATGCTGTGCTCTCTCCGCACAACAAGCACTGATCGCTACCCACCTGGAAGTCCATCGTGAGCAGCTCTGGGCTCCACTTTGACAGGAACACGCTGCAGACGTAGAGGTGAAAGTCGGAAAAGGCATCCGGCCCCTCGGCCTGGAAGACGGACAGGTCAGCGAAAGGCCCGCAGCTGCAGCGCGCTCGTCCTCACCAGATACGTGTCCCACATGCGCACGATGTTCTGCACGCTCAGCTCGCGCATGAGCAGGCAGTTCATCCAGCGAAAGGCAAACTGCATGTACTCGACGCCCTGGTCCTGCAGGTGCGCGTGCAGCGGCGCTGTGGGTGCATCAGCGCGCGCATCTTGTGAGTGCCGCACACTCGACTCACGATCGATGCGCGCGACGAGCTTCTCCATGCGCCGCACCTGCCTCTGGATGCCCGGCTGCGCGAAGATGTAGTTGTCCTGGATGCCGTCGAGCAGCTTGGACAGGCACCAGAACGTGTCTGCCTCGAGCGCCTCGAGCGCCTCGGGCGGCAGCAGGGAGACGTCGTACGACTCCGGGTCGCCCGCTGTGCTCGGGTCAGCAGGGGCAAACGGTGCGAGCACATGCAGCACGCACAGATGTACGCGCTCAGGAACACCTCAAAGAAGGGCGTGGCGAGGTCGTTGATACCCTGCACGTAGCCGCTGGCAGGATGGCGGATCGCCCAGACGTAGAGGATGCGCTCGAGCGCCTGTACAGGGTAGAGCATCAGCTGCAGCCCGGCTAAGAGAGCTCTGTGGCCGACTCACCCGCTGCGTCGCCTCGCGCTGCCACAGCAAGATGCCCGGGTGCGTGCGTACGACGTCGATGCGCACTTGATGGAACGTCGCCGCGTCTAGGCCAGCGTCGCCGCGCGCAAACGCCAGCCGTGCCCCAGCAGCGTACTCGGCACGCTTGCGTGCAAGCACAGAGGCGCGGTGCGGACGCGAGGGCGGCAGGTAGCCCTGCGCAATGTGAGCAGGATGGTGGACTTACAGCGCTCGCGCTACGTACCAAAAGCAGCTGCCAGACCATCGGACGCAGCTCCGTCGGCACGCCCTGCCACGCCAGCGTCCGCAGCTCGTCTGTGGCCGGTCAGCGGAGCGGCACAGCGCGAGCCTCGCAGCACTCACCCAGCGGGCAGCTCTCCTTGCCGAGACACCGCACGAACTGCTCGCGGCGGCGCACCGTCCGCGTCGAATTCTTGCGCCCGATGCCCAGCGAAAGTGCCGCCTCTGTGGCGCTCGCATCGTCTGGCGCCGCGGGTGCAGCCAGCTCGGAGTCTGACGCCCCGAAGCCGCCAGACGAGATCAGGCCGTCGCCGCCCATGCTGACCACGTCAAGCTCGCGCCGGCGCGCAGCCGCTGGTCGAGCACGCGGCTCGATGGGCGAGGGTGACGGCGAGGCAGAGGCAGAGGCCGAGTGCGGCGAAGGCGGCTCGTGCGCCCAGGAGAGGGAGAGGTGCGAGAGGAGGCGTGTGGGATCTGCAGAGATGTGTCAGCGCTCAAGCAGGCCTACGCTGAGCACGACGGCTGGCAGCAGCGCCGCACCACGCCTGGCCTCTCCCCGAGCCGACTCACCGTCGACGACGCGGTCCACATCCGTGCGCAAGCGGCCGCGCAGCTCCTCGCGCTCCAGCTCGTTCATACGCCGGCCACGACCATGCGCTCCCGAAATGCTCGCCTTGCGCGCAGCCGCGCGCGCCGTTCGTGGCGCGCCCTCCTCGCTGTCCGAGACGGCGGCCGCGAGCACTGCGGCGGCGGCCGAGGCGCCGACGTCGGTCGGCGGACTGCCGGCAAGCGAGGTACGCGAGGCTACGGCCGCATCACGATGGCCATTGGCGCGGTCGACGAGCGTCCAGCTGCCGGGACTGGCGCCCGGCGGATGTGTGCTGCCCGGAATGGCGCCGAGGGGCTGCGAGGCGCTGCTGCTGGTGCTGGCGCTGCGAGCGGCCGGCACGGGGAAGGGATGCGGGCGCGCCGGCGGGGCACTCGGCCCGGGTCGCACATCGCTGGCAGTCATGCGTGATGCTCTTGGTGTGCGTGCTTCATCGCCGTCCGCAGCCTCGGCAGCGCGAGCGCGACGCACGCGCTGCCGCGACACAAAGTCGTCGTCGTCCGAGTCGCTGGCCCATGCCTCGTCCTCCCACGACGGCGTGGCGCGATGGAGCGGCGGCGGCGCCTTTGCCGACGCGGAGGTGCCCGAGAAGGAGCGGCCAGCGAAGGGGCGCGACATCGGCAGAGCAGCACGGCGCCGGCGCGTGCGACGAGGGCAATGTGGGGAGGGGTCGAGTGGGCAGAGCGTGTGGAAGATGCGAGTGCGGCCACAAGTGACGGGAAAGGGCGACGAGTGCCAGCACAGCGGCGCCGCCAGCGTCAGATGTGCAGCTCAGAGGCGTGCGGGCGCAGAGGCCTCGCGACGAGCAGGAAGGGGTGAGAAGGCAGGAGGCAGGAGGCAAGAGCAGCCGCGTCCAGGTCCAGCTGCCCGCGCGCGGCGCGGCGCTAGCACACGGCGGTGGCTTGTGCGCTGCACGCGTCGGCGTTCTGCTGGCGCTGCGCCGACAGCCCACCACCAGGGGCCTCGCCGCGCGCCTTCGCGCCCCCTCGCGCCTTCGCGACGCCGCACCACCACGGTTGCGACGGAGTCGGACGATCGCTCACCCAGCACTGCACCACCGAGCCCAGGGCAATGGCCCGATATCTTTGACTCGACGATCACCGCTGCTATTGCACCGTGCAAAGGCCGGGCCCAGCTCGCTCATGGCTTGCGCGACCTTGCGCAGCTGCGCTCACACAGGGGCCGCGGCGCAAAGACGTGCCCGCCTCCATCACAGAGCCACGAGTGAGAAGCCTGTGGTATTGATAGATCGTGACTAGGGAACGGTGCTTGGCGTTGGCCTTGCAAGACGCAGGCCGAAGTGGTGCGTGCGCGGGGCTCAGCGCCAGAACGGCAGGGCACTGGCCCAGCCCGAGCGGTCGGCCCGCTGGTGCAGGAGAGGATGGTCGCTCTGCAGCATGCCGTTGAAAAAGACGCACTGCTGGCCGTCGGGCGCCACGATGTGCGTCGTCTCGTTGCCCTGACGAGCAGATACGTGAGCCCCCGCGCAAGGCTCAGAGAAGCGAGCGCGCTCACCTGCGCATCGCGGCGTGTGGTCTCCGTCTGCGTGCGGCCATTCACGGTCCGTGAGCTCGTGCTGTAGCTCTCGCCCCACGACGTGCTGTGCGAAGAGGACTGCGCGCTCTCGAAGCCAGCAAAGGGCGCGGCGGACCTGCCGCTGCTGCCGAAGCCTGGTGCGCCGAATCCGAAGCCAAACGACTCGGCCATGCGCCGGTGGTTGGCAAAGAAGGGGTCATCGAACGGATCGCGGCGTGGCGGAGCGAATGCGGAGAACGGCGGCCCAAAGAAGTCTTCGGGCCCGCTGAAGAAGCTGCGCGAGGCCGGCGGCGGCGCTGGGGCGCCGTAGTCCGAGTGGAAGAAGGCATTGAAGAGCTCGAACGGGTCTCGCTGCTGTGGCGCACGCCGGTAGCTCCTGTCAGATGGCTCGCCGTATGAGCTTGCCGACGCAGCCCGGGCGTCGTGCTCGGCTCGCAGCGCGGGCGTGGAGAGCGTCTCGTACGCGCTGCAGCAGAGTGTCAGCGCTTGACAGCCTCATGGCGATGCGACAGCTGGGACACACCGTGAGACGCGCTTGAAGCGCTCGGCGCTGGCCTCCTTGTCGTCCGCTTGTGCGCGGTCAGGGTGCGTCTCGAGAGCGCTGCGGCACAAGGCAGTCAAGCGTCAGCTCGCGCGCTGGCTGGTCCTGCCGCCGCTGCATGCGCACCGTGCGCGGTAGGCCACCTTGATCTCGCGCTGCGACGCCGAGGGCGCGACGCCGAGCTCGGCATAGGGACAGTCGGACATGCTAGGCAGCCGCCCAGCGCTTGCGCTGCAGCCGGCAGGCTGGAGCTGTGAACTAGATGGATGTGGTCGCGAGGCAGGTGAGAGGCGAGAGGCGAGCGAGTGCGGGGAGGCCAGCAATGTGATTTCAATTCAGCGGCGCCGCGTTTGTATTCCCCGTCACGTGCGAGCAATACAACCGTGCGGCGGCCGCGGCGGCGGCGGCGGCGGCGGCGTCGCAGCCCGAGCCACTTCCGCGCGCCGAGGCTGCCTCCCAACATCATCACCCACGCTGCGCATCAGACCATTCTGTCAGCCGCAGCAGCACCGATCACGCATCCGCACACGCTCCTCTGCCGTGCCGCTCCCTGCTCAGACGCGCATCTTTCGCTCGTGGCTGTCGGCTTTCGGCTCCGCTCGCTCGCTACACCGCGACCTCATCTGCACCGCACATCTGCCCAACTCGTGAGCCGCGGCATGCAAGTTGCCGAGCCTCTGGCTCTCGGCGCGCGCGAGCCTGCGGGCAGCGCTACCGATTACGAGATGACGGCAGGCGCATCGTCGTCGTCGTGGCCAGCAGAGGAGCCCGCCTCGATGGAGCTCGAGCTGCAGGACGCCGACCAGGAGGGCGCCTCTGCCATGGAGCTCGAGGCCGACACGCTCGAGCCTGAGCTTGGAGCTACCAGCGAGGAGGTCGAGATGGGCGAGGCAGAGCTCGGCACCGCCGAGCCTGCCGACGAAGAGATCGTGGACTACGCAGAGGACGATGTGCCGCAGGCCTCGCTGGATCCGGGCGACGAAGAGCTAGCCGCTGCGTCATCGCCGGTGCCGCTCGAAGCTGGGCATCACGCAAGTGAGCACGCAGACCTTGCACTGGCGCCGCCGCTAGCCGCAGACGACGACGCACCACCCGCAGCGGACGCCGCGCCGCAGTCTGAAGAGCAGACCGAGTCGCACATGCAGCCTGCCGAGCAGCCCGCAGACTTCGCGGCGACGGCGCCAGAGCTGGACGAATCTGAAGCCGCAACGAGCGCGTCAGCGCTTCCGAGCGAGCCTTCCGCCGCCGCCGCTGCCGTCGATGCCAAGCAAGACGAGCTTGAAGCTGCTGCCGAGACGACGAGTGCTCCGCCCGGTGCTGAGCAGCAGCTCGCAGTGGAGCAGCATCAGGAGGTTGCGGATGGTAGCGCCACGCACGACGACCTCGCCGAGCAAGAGGACACGGCAGAGGCCGCTGAGCCGTCCGTCGACGCCGACGAGACAGCGAGCGAGGCCGCCGAGGCCGACGAGGCCGATGAGGACGACGACGGCACGATCGACGACCAGCCGCCGAGCATTCGTCTGACGTTCGCCGGCCAAGACTTTGTGCTCTTCGCCGCCGACGACTGCTCGGAGTACCTTGCAGTCAGCGAGAGCGCCGATGCGCCCGAGAGCTCCTGGGGCACCGTCGCCGTCGCCGCGCCGCGCCTAGCAGCGCCGACTGAGGCGTTCCACGAGGGCCTCGATGGCCTCTTTGAGGCGCTACGCGTGCGTGACTCGCTCGGCGACTTCCTCGAGGAGCGCACCGAGCTGGTGCTGAACCTGCCTGAGCTGGAGCTCACCGTTCGCGAGGTGAGTGCTCCGGTCGCTGCTACGAATGTCTTGAGGCTGACTGCCTGCTCAGGACGACGTGTATGCGCGCGAGGTCACGCTGGCAGACCTGCACCGCCTGCACGTCGGCGGCGGCCTGGTGGGCTCCCTGCACCTGGTCGTCTCCGAGGCGCCGCGCTTCATCTCGCGCTACAACCTCCTCGCGGCAGAGCTCAGCGTGGAGGACGGCGACGACACGACAGCCTCTGCCGAAGAGGAGCTGGATGCGCTGCATGACGGCGTGGATGAGCACGGCGAGATCGAAGGAGAGGAGGAGGCCGAAGCGCAACATCATGCAGATGCGCCGCTCGACGAGCAGCAGCACGTGGATGGCGAAGGTGCTGGCGACGTGGAGCACCCCATCGAGCCGACACTTGCCGCATCACACACAGACACAGTCGTCGCCGCCGATGAGGCGACAGACGCTGCGAGCCAGACTGACGAGTCTGGCGCGCTCGACGCTCAAGTCGCGGAAGCAGCTGCCGAGGCCACAGAGCCAGCACACGCAGAGCTGACGGACGGCGAGCACGCGACCGGGGAGGCGCACGACGATGTGGAAGAGGAAGGTGCAGCAGAGGCGGAGGAGACATTGGAGGAGTACGTCGAGGAGGAGGAGCTCGAGGCGCAAGGCGAAGATGCAGTGCACGAAGAGGCGCCGCCAGAGAAGAGCACTGAGGCAGACGCCGAGGGCGCGAGCCTGGACGACGGCGCCGCTGCTCAGACTGAGCAAGCAGGTACGTCGGCCCCGTCTGTTGCCCTTCGCATGTGCTGACACGTGTTGCAGCAGCCGAGGAACAGATCGTCGACTACGAAGAACACACAGACGAAGCGGCTCTGCCCTCAGCGTCCATCAATGGAGACAATGTCCAGTACGAGCAAGATGCCTCGGAGCACGCGAACGGCAAGCGGCCGTTCGCTGAGCCAGACGACGAGCAAGATGAAGCTTGTGCGTGTCCCTCGCTGCCTTGTGCAAGGCCTCGCGCTTACCCTGTCACTGCCGCTCCAGCTGCCAAACGCACCAAGGTCGACTAGGCCCCGCGCAGCTCCATAGATCTCATCGTAGGCGGTCTCGGTCGCGCGTCTCCTTGCGCAGACTGTCTCGAACGACTAAACAACGCAAGCTCTCTGACGCCTAGCGAGCCTTGCATTCCCATCTCGCCACCCCGCCCTCTCGAAGCTTCCACATGCATTCCCCGGCGCCCTTCTCTCCCGGTACACCAGTCACCTGCATCCCTCTCCCCGCCGCATCCACCAGCGTAAGCGGCCTGCACGGCGATCCCGTGCGACGCCATCTCCGACCTCGACTTTCCACGACACCACAGCTCCGCCGGCTAACCACGCGCCGCAAGGAGCGGCGCGCCACGTTCTCCTCTCACCCTCTCACAGGCTTCAAGGCGTGCAGAAAGGTAGGTGGGCTGCGAGCGATGCCAGCGAGACGCAGACGAGGCCCTTGCCGTCGAGCGTGCTCCTGTGCCTGTGCGCGGAGTTGCGAGACGAGTAACAGATGCGATTCCACACAAGACTGCGTGCGAGACTTCTGCGCACGGCCTCCTTGCTCGTGCGATGTGCGCACGGTGGACGAGCTGCATATCTCCTGCTGTCGCAGGCTAGTGCGAGGTGGCAGGGTCCAGCTCCATGCGCGACGGCAAGGGGCACCGACGCGTCGTGGGAGAGGCCACGGCGGACCTCGGCGCGTCGCATGCCGGCGCCAGTCTCGGTCGGTACCCTGCAGCCTGCATCCCGTCTGGGCCTCGGGAGAGGCCAGACAAAGCGCAGCTGCAGACAAGTGCATGCGCATGGACACGCAGCGGCCAGAGGTGCAGCATGCAGGGTGCATCTCAGGCATGGAGCTGAACCTTGCTGTGCTGCGGGCTGAGGCATGGCCGTCTGGCCGTGCGTTTTGCCGCGCCCATCCTGATTTGCTGTTGACAGCATCAACGATGCGACTGCAGCGCTCGAATCGTCGTCGCATCAAATGCGATTCTTGATGCTCCATCGGGCACGGGTCCTGCACAGCCCAGCCGCCCAGGGAGAGCGATGGCAGGCGATGCACACCATCCCTGCGCGCTCGCACCGACCGGCGCACGTCGGAGCGAGGCAGACGGTGCCTGCAGGCCGTGCTTGGCGGACCCTTCCGTGCTGCTAAATGAGGAGCCGACCCGCGGGACGGCATGCTCGACGGGGGGCATGGCCGACCGTTCTTGCTCTGCACCGCCCTGGAAGCCGTGGTGCGGCCGTTGCTGCGCCATGCGCCGAAGCAGCACAGCGGCCGCCGGCCATGCGGCGTGCCTCGACCGCTCGGAGAGTCCGAGGAGGCCTCATGGGCCTCCGACGAGGCGAGGACGCCTGCTGCTGCTGTGCCGCACAGCGTGCTGCATCCTCTGGCCTCCGGCATACAGCAACCTTGCGCACAGCCTCAGCACCTCCTGCCACCAGGCTGCGTCGTCGTCATCGCTCATGCTGCGCCAGCCGTCTGTCATCTGTCGCGCTTTCTCTTCTGCGCTTCGCACGCCAGGCGTGCATGGCTCGGCGCTCGCTCCGCAGGGTGCAGCGAGGGCCCAGAACCTCGTCCCGCGCTTGTGCACCTGCCATGTCCGGGTGCTGCGACGTGCCATGACGGCCAGGGGCTCGCTCGGACACGCCCGCGCGGCCGGATCGTCAGCGAGCCTGCAGAAGCACGCTAAACGCGACCCGCTGCAGGCTCGCAGGAGCGACGATGCACCGCGCAGCTTGCAGCTCGACAGCGGCGCAACCTTGCTCGCTCGCAATTCTTCGGAGAGGGAGGACACGGAACGGCTCATGTTGCCCGAGAGCCACTCGTGTTGCATCGGGCATGAGCCGTGGTGCGGCGGTGTGGCCAGCGATTCGACCGTCCCGAGCGCGCACGCGCGGCACAGCCTTTGCCGGTTGCCTCGCCCAACGTCGAGGCGGCGATGACGATGCTGCGGCTTCCCTGAGCGCTGCTGTAGCACCCAGCCGAAGCGTCAAGCTCGCTGTGCAATGCAGCGAGGCTAGCGAGCTCTGGCGTGCGGGATACAGTCGCAGAACGTAACATGCGGAGGGGCACCACCCGGTACGGCGTCGGCCGGCGACTTTACGTTCCGCTGTGCGACCGAGTCCCGCGCTGCTGCGGACGCACCCGTCGGAAGTGACTGCAGGCTGCATTGCTGTGGGAAGAAGCAGGCCTTAGCGCTCGGCAGCGGCACGGAGCGGCTGGCCCAAGGGCGAGGAACGCGCGCGTCCGACGCCCGGCACCGCACAGCGGCGGCTGGCGTCCTGTCGTCCATCGTCCCTCCATCTGCTCGTCCCTGATCCTTTGGAGCTCCGCCGCCGATGCGTGCGCCATGTTGATGCTGCAGCAAGCAGCAAGACGAGATGCAGCATGCAGCAGCAAAGATCGTGCCCGCTGGCCGGTGCCGCGACCGCTGCATGGCCCCTTCTCGCTCCCTGTCGTGGCCGAGGGTGCAGGCCGAGCTTCCGGCTGGCTCGTTTCCTTTGTCGGAGCAGGCCGTGCGAAGGATCCAGGGCCTCCGTGTCAGCGAGGTCTCCGGGCATTCGTCTCTGCGTGCACCCTGCACTAAAGCATGCACCCCATGGACGGCGCTGCAAGTCTGCGCAGTCTTGTTTGCTGGATGCACGCCAAGCTTGTGGCGGCTCGCCTATCTCGACGACAGCAGCGCTGCTCCGGAGCGCGCGATCGGCCGTGGAGATCTGCATCAAGCGTGCCCGCAGGGCTCGCGACGCGCACACAGCCGCACCTGCCGCCGCCGGCCGTGCTTCCCGTGCCCGTGCCAAGCTGAGCCACGCACCTCGCAGCCGCCTGGAGATCTTCCCGTGCCGCCGAGTGCGCTTGAGCATGCTGCTCCCCGCGTGCCAGCGCAAGGCATGCGTCGTGCTCCGGCCGGCGCGGACGCATTCCCAGACGAGTCGTGCGCGCAATCTTGCCGCGAGGAGGGCGCGCAGTCGAGGAAGCAGCCGCCGCCGCCGCGCTAGGAGGCATCCCGCGGTGATTTGCGCGCCTGCTGCTGCCGCCGCGCACGCACGCAGAGAGCCAGAAATAAGCGCAGGCACCAGCAGAGAAAACGACAGCTGTCACTCTGCTGCGATCCGCACGCCAACGAGACAGAGAGCGAGCATGCCGCGACGTCTGCGTGTCTCGACGCCGACGGGAGCGAGGTGCAAGGAGCCGCCGAGGTCAGGCCATCGCGCCGTCCCGCGCTGCGCAGCGCTGACTCGAGAGCGTGGGTAGGCACGGGTGGAGCGTGGATTTGCGCGAGACGGAGCGGAAGCAGCGCGGGCCGGGCAGCGCAGAGAGCGCGCGCGCGGCGTGCGGCGGAGATGCGTCCGCGTCGAGCACGAGGGGAAGACTACGCCGCAGCGCAGCGAGTTCAAAGCGTGCTGCCGTTTGCTGCGCTGTCGCCGAGCTGCGGCGAGCTGCTCTTGCGGCCGCAGCCGCTGCACGGCTGACGAGCTGCCGGCCCTCGCCGGTCGCACGCGCGTCACGCGGCAGCACCATGCAGCCGGGCCGCACGGCGGCAGCAGCGCAGAGACGTCGCGGCTGGCGAGCTGCCGCTGCCGCCGTGCCGCTGCCGGCTGTGCGCTTGGCAGGCAGGCAGGCGAGCTGCCCACGCCCTCGGCCTTCCCCGCTCGCGACTCACATGGGGCGCCCGCCGCCTCCCTGCCGCGCACATGCCTGCAGCGCGCTGCGTGCTTTTGGGCGCCGCCTTGCGTCAGCGCGGGCACATGGGAGGGGTGCCTGCTGCCGCCCATGCGGCCGTGCAGAGCAGCAAGCAGCGGCAGGACAGCCCGGCATGGCATGCTTCCGCGGAGCAGGCAGATCGCAGGCAGGCCGTACGAGAGCGAGCAGGGGTGACGGGCGATGCACGCGAGAGTCGGCCGATGCGCTCTGCAGACGCCGCGCGCGCCGAGCTCTCGTCTGCTGCCGGGCGGCGTGGGCCCGGTTGCGTGCCGCCCGTCCGCGGCCGTCTCGCGTCTGCTGCCGCGCTGCGCCTGTCTCGCTGCGTGCTGCCCCCGCTGTGCGCTGCTGAGCTGCTGCAGCCGCTCCGTCGGGGCGTCATCTTGGGTGCTGCGTGGTGCTGTGCTGCCATGCGTCGCTGTTCGCCGCTGCCGCCGCCTGCGCCGTGCGCGGCCAGCAGCTCCCGGGCGTGCTCCCAGAGGCAGCGCCGCACCGCACCGCACCGCACCGCACCGCACTGGCACCGCTGCCTCGCCCACGCCCCCGCCGCGGCCGAACGCTGTGCTGCCTCCGCATGCTTCGCCCGCCGCCCGCGCTCCTCGTCGCTCCCATCGTCCCCACCACATCCTGCTCAGCACCGCCGTCCATCCCACCTCGTCGTCGTCGCCGTCTGCTCGCTCGCACCGCCGCCGAGACCCCATCTCTCCGGCTTCCGGCTCCCCGACGCCCTCGCACGCGGCGCGTCTCGCTCGCCCGCACTTAGTGCCCGCCGCCGTCTAGCGTAGCGCGTGCTAGCCGTCAGCCACATTGCCCGCACCCGCCTCGCGCACCGGCCACGCCGCTCGTCCGTCGCAGCACCGCCGCACGGCCCTCTCCACTGCCCACCGCCCACCATTCTTCTCTCGCACCCCGCACACTCGCTGCCGCCGCCGTCTGGCATGGCCCGCAACATGAACCAGCAGCAGCGCCGCAGCATCCCCGGCCGCCGCGACGCCTCGCCGCACTCCGACGGCCTCGCTGCCATGGGCGCCGATGCCGGCGCATCGGTCGCTCTCGGCGGGCCTGCGCCGCTGGGCTACGCCTCGTACGAGGCCGGCGGCCCGCTCGACTCGACGCTGCACAACTACGCCAGCAACGGCGCGCAGCAGCAGCAACAGCAGCACGGCGGCGCCCACACCGACTACAGCTCGGCACAGAGCCTCAGCGCGCACGGCTCATCGCCCGGCGGTGCCTCGCCGCATGCGCCGCAGGCGAGCTTCTACAACGCCCCGGGCGCCGGCCCCACGGGCAACTACGGCGGCGTCGAGGACGCACACCAGGCGCCCGTGCGCGGCCACCATCTGCCGCCGCTCTCGGAGGCGCTGCACTCGTCCAACGACGCCGCGCAGGGTCACGACGACAGCCACCGCTTTGCGCACAACGTCGGTCCCGGCGGCCCGGCATACGACGACCAGCACTTCCTCGATGCGCACATGATGCACCCGCCGGCGAACAGCAACAGCGGCGCCGGCGTGCACGACTACTCCAACGGCGCCGCCGCCTCCGGCGCGACGCACTTCCAGCAGCCGTCCAACGGCGCCGCTTCCAGCGCTGGCATGATGACGCCGCCGCCGGGCTCGTCGCACGGCGCTGGCTCGTCGCACGGCGGCTACCAGTCGTACTACGCGCCGCCGGCGCACATGATGCACCGCGCCTCTATCTCCGGGCCCGTCATGTCGCACTACCCGACGCATCCTTCCGTTGGTGGCGCCACGTCGGCCCTTGCGGGACACTCTGGCATCGGCGCTCCGCCTGCTGCCGGCGACTTTGCCGCCTGGGGCAACGCCAGTGGCAGCGCGCGCCCACACACGGCCGACGGCATGTTCGGCGGCCAATTCGGCCTCGGCGCGCCGCAGTGGCCCGGCGCCTTGCCAAGTGAGCCCGAGTGCGAAGCAGTCCTGCCCACTGAGACTGACCCATCCCTTTTCCATAGCTGGCGGCGGCTACAGCATGCGTGGCCCGCGCGCGTCAATCAGCTCGATGTCCTCGATGACCGAACAGTCGCCGTCGAGCATCGGCAGCAAGACGTTCAGCTACATGGCCGGCGCAGACGACATTGGCGGCGGGCCCGGCGGCGGCTCGGGCGCCAAGAAGCGCCCGCGGCGCCGCTACGACGAGATTGAGCGCCTCTACCCGTGCAGCTTCCCCGGCTGCGCCAAGAGCTACGGCACGCTCAACCACCTCAACGCGCACGTGGCGATGCAGAAGCACGGCCAGAAGCGTGCTCCCGGAGGTGAGTCTGGCATGTCCCTAGCGTGCTGCATCGAGGCTTACCCTTGCGCTACAGAGTTCAAGGAGATGCGCAAGCAGTGGCGCAAGGGCAAGCGCGAGGAGGAGCAGCGGCGCCAGTCGCACGGCGGCAGCGACGACCACATGGGCCACCGCGGCAGCATCTCGTCGAGCTACGGCGGCACTCCGGGCCCCGTGGCGCACGGCTATCCTTCGGCGGGCAGCATGTCGGGCTACGTGCCGCCCATGGGCATGCCTTCGCAGATCCCGCGCTACTCGCTGCAGCACGGCAGCGCCGGCGGCAACTTCTCGGCCATGCAGCCGCCGTCGCACTACCCGGCCCAGTCGGCGCCGCTCGACCCCAATGGCCGCCCGTACAGCAGCGCCGGCGCCCCGCCGCAGGTGCAGCAGCAGCACCAGGGTGCACCCAGCGGGCTGGGCGCATACCTGATGGCGCACCGCGGTAGCATCTAGAGTCGCCAACCGGCCCTCTGCGACGCCTCGGAAGCGCATCTCTCTGCGCCATCCGCCGCAAGCCTACCTTCTCTTCTCATCGAGGCAGCCCGTGCCGTCCGAGTCACCCTCCGCCCGCGCAGGCGCACATACCCGGCTCGCACCGCGCGGCGGCCTTGCCCGTCGACTCGCCGTCCTCTCGCGCATCCTTCTTTCTGCCACAGTACCTCCTCAGCGCTGCCGCTTTACTTCTCGCTCGTAGCCGTGCGCCTTTGTCGCCTCGCAAGTGGCACGCCGCTGCCGACGTCCGGGCCGCTGCCCCTCTCCTGCCTTCTCTCTGCTTCTCCAAAAGATGTACCACTACGTGTTGCCCGCCTATTCTGCCTCCGCTACTTCTCGCGCTGCGCTGCCCCGACGGATCTGCCCCACTCCAGCTCGCGCACTTCCCTCGGCGCTCCGGCCGCCTTCCTTGCAAGTCAATTCAAATTCAGCCCCCTCTGTGCCGCCTTACCTGAACCGAGTGACGTCGCAGACCTGCCTGCCGGGTGTTGGACTCCTGGCACCCCCCTCGTCGTGCCCATGCGCCTTGTCGATCCAGATCCCGCTGCACCTCGCAATCTCGCTGTGTCAGCCTCCACCCGTGCGGCGTCTTGCTCCCTCTGTCTCTCCCGCCTTTGCAAGCGTCGAGAGCTGCATCTTGCTGCCTTCCGTGGGCTAGCCTAGGTGCGAGTCGCGGCCAGGCAGCAAGCAAGGCCAAGACCGCAGCGCAGGCGGCTCCGCGTGCCGCAGCTGGCGCCGTGCCTGACGGGTGTTGCATCGGTGCCGAGCTGAGACGCAGCGCTGCTGCGAGGGGTGCAGACGCGAGAGACAAGACGAAGGAGCGTCTGCACTGGCTTAGCGTTGACTGGGCCCTGCTTTGCCCTCTCATGACGACGACGAGCGATGCGCATGCGTCGCTGCTGCATGCTTGGCCGGCGCAGGGCCTCGGACCGCGGCCCGTCCGCCAGGCGCGCTAGCCGATGAGCTGCGCCGCAGCGGGCAGCGTGCGCAAGCTGCGGCTCTGGCCTTGCCTTGCAGCGTCGATGGATTGACCCGCTTTCTGCATGTCGTGTGCGCTGCAAACAAGCACAAGCTCGCCAGCAGCAGGGCAGAGGCGTCTTGGGGCCTTTCTCCCATGCCCAGTACCATGCCGTCCGAGAAAGCGACGGGCCGTCATGCTCGGCTGGCCATCATGTTTTCTCGGGTCGACTGCCAGGCGTCGTCAGCAGGCACCCCAGGCAGAGTCTCTTGGCAGACGTCGCTTCCTTCTCCACCACACCCACGTCTCAGCGGAGGTCGGATTCCGTGCTTGGCCGTCTCACCCGCAGCGCCCTGAGCACAGCACCAAGGTGCAGCACAGGTGGGACCGCGGCAGCTCGTGCGACGTGCGACGGTGTCGCTCCCGCGCGTGCAGCGGCTCCACCCCACCTCGCTCAGGGCCCGGCTGCAGCTGTGCGTGCTGTACCGTCGGCGAAACGGCATGCGGGAGCGTCTCCGCCGCAGCTTGCAGCATGGGATTTGAGGGGCAGCGCTACCCGGCTGCGAGCCACCGCGGGCCGGCGGCGGCTCGGGCTGCAGCTGCGCCGCGGTGAGACAAACAGAACGCTGGATCCTTCTGTTGACGCGTGCAACTCCGCCATGGGCGCGCCGGCCGCCTCGCGCACCTCCTGCCGCTTCTTCTCTTGCTCCTCGGCCGTTCCCGCGCTCTGCAAACGCAGCAAGGTGGTGCAGCGGGAAGCCTCGGCAGCCCGGCACGCCTCCATGTGGGACACGAGCGCCGCGCGCCGGGGCCACCGCTTGGCGGCAGCTGCAGGGATCTGCAGCGGCCAGCCCCGGCCAGCCTTGGGGACAAAGCGCCGGGTCCAGGCACGGCTCCCTCTGCGCCGTGCCGTCGGAGCGGCTGAGAGAACGCACTGCTCCCGCGCGCATGACGGCAACGCTCCTGAGTCGGCCTTCTCTGCACACCAGAGGCACGCTTAAACTGCGACGGTGCCTCACTCTGAATGCTCCGAGGCACTGAGTGCGGCTTCAGGAGATCAGCCAGCAGACAAACTCCAACTGCTGCCGCCTCGTGAGGAGCACCACGACCCCCTTCCCTCTCACCACCTCACCCCTCGATCTCTCGCTCGACCGCCTGGTCGCGCCCATCTCCGGCCGACCAATCGCGGTAGCATCTTTCCTTCTCAGCCCACTCGCTCCACAACTCCACAGCGGCCTCGCACTCCTCGCTCTGCCCTCGCCAACATGAAGCTCTTCCGCCGTGCCGCCGCACTGACGGCGCTGCTGCTGGCCGTGCCGGGCTCCACGTCTGCGCTGCAGCTCTCGGAGCGCGACTGCGTGCACAACGAGATCGGCACGTTCGACAAGCCCGTGCCCATCCGGCTGCCGGACGGCTTTGACCACTTCAACAACCACGAGCAGGCGATGAACAACCAGAACAAGTGAGCCGGGTCCGGCCGTACGTTCTGCTCGGTGCCTGAAGCTGACGCCCTGCCACTGCTGTGCCAGGCCCATCCAGCCGCCGCAGCCGCAAGAGCTTCCGCTCTGCGGCGCACCACAGTCGCAACCGGCGAAGCAGCCGGCAAAGCAGCCCGCGACTAAAAAGTCTTCTAAATCGAAGGGATCGAAGAAATCCAAGGGATCGAAGGGCAAGGGATCGAGGGGATCGAAGAGTAAGGCCAAGGGATCGAGGAGTAAGGCCAAGGGCAAGGCGCACCGCAAGAAGTCGAGGCGCTCGGCGCCAAGCCGCCTTGACGACGAGGAGGGCGACGACGAGACTCTGGACTAGGCATCGTCTTGCTCTCATCGTACACGTCACCCATGCTCTGCCCGTCGTCACCCAGTCTCTCGTCACCACACTCGCGTGCGCAGGCGCTCCGAGTCCCACACCCTCTCGCTTTCTCTCCCTGTATCACATACCCCCGTCGAACGATCGATGATTACCCGATTCCTTTGACACTGGACACTGGAGCGTGCGCACGCGCGGCGTGTGAGGCGAGCGCAACGAGGCAGAGATGGAGGCAGATGGCGAGAGAAGAGAGAGAAGAAGCGAGAGATGACGCTGGACGGCGGTATCGTTGCGAGGAGAGATGTAGATGCGAAAGGGCTTGCTAGAGGATGCGTCGGCGCTATTGGCGAACGCCGTCGCGGACAGCTTGCGCCCGGGCTTCTGGCTCGAAGGATGCTTCGCCGCTGCTGCTGGCGGGCATCATCGCGCCGAAAGCTCGGCCACACTGTCGGCGTTCTAGCTCCGAGAGCGCAGGCCCACGCGCTCAGCAGTCCGCTTCATGGCCTGGATCGTCGGCGTCTCGCCAGCTGGCAGCCGCTGCCAGATGGTGCTGTGAAGGGGAGCGTCAGCACAAGGTATAGAAAGCGGAGCGGCTGCGAGAAGAGGGCCGCCCTCACACGCGCGCCGGCTCTGGCGCATGCTGCAGCCAGCCAAGGTGACTAGCGACGCCAGCCTGAGCGCATCTGCTAGCTCAGGCGCACGCCAGCTCGGGTGCGCTTACGCCAATCTGGCGCATCCAGCGAGTCCGGTCGCATGCGCTTGCGAGCTCAGCCGCGCCCACGTCCCTCTGGCGCCTGCACACGCTCCACACAAGCACACCCACACGGCTCTCTGCCGTACTCACGTTGCGATGAGCGTGTAGAGGGCAAAGGCAAAGGCCATGTCGCTGTACTGCAGGCGGTTGAGCTCTGCGTCGGTCGCGGCGCCCTCCTTCTCCTTGCGCTTGAGGCGGCGGCCCATGGGTCCGTAGCGCAGGAAGCCCGCGCCGGCGACGATGCCCGCGGCGGCGCCCTGCACGAGCGGCAGCACGGCGACGGCGACGGCGGGGTTGTACGGCGGCACGATGCCCCACGCCGTGCCGAGGCGGTAGAGGCCGTAGAAGAGCAGCACAAAGTGCGGCACCAGGCCGCCAAAGTGGAACGGCGCCTCCATGACGCTCTCGAAGACGAAGGTCAGCGGCCGCAGGCTGGCCTTCTTGTGCTCCTCGAGCTGCTCGGCCGTCGGATGCGGCTGGAACGACATGCTGGGCGGGCCTGAAGGGCGGACTGCGGCAGAGGCGGCGGCAGCTGGGGCCGGATGTGGAGCAAGCTCGCTGGCTGCTGTGTGCGCGTTCTGGCGTGAAGGGAAGCTTGCGTGCGGCGTGCGGCAGGAAGTATGCTTGGGCAGCGCAGAGCTGGAGGTGGATGGAGAGGAGAGAGAAGAGAAGAAAGCCGGGGCGCTGAGCTGTAGCCGGTGCGACGTCGACGATGAGGAGCGGCAGCAAGCTGGAAGCTCCGCGCGCCGTGCAGGAAGCCGCCGGGCGCAGCACCGCAGCGCCTCGCCTCTCTCTCTCCCTCTCCCTTGCCCTCGCGGAGGAAATGCGGGGAGCGCGGATATTGGCGGCACTGCCGGCCGGGCGCACGTCGCGTCTCGCAGCCGCAGCGCTGACGCACGGCAGGCAGCTCAGCCGCGGCATCACAGCGGCAGCTGCGGCCTCTCGGTGCCTCTCACGAGCCTCGCCGTGCTGCGCAGAGGCTGGGTGCTGCGCCCTCCTCCACGCTGCTCTCTCTGGCTCCGCACCGCGAATTCGGCGCCAGCCGCTGCGGCGTCTGCCGGTCTCACCTGCGCCAGCCTTTGCCCTTTGCCGCGCAGCAGCTCGAAGTGCTGCTGCACGCAAGACCCGCGGCGAGCGCAGCACAGCACGCAGCAGCGGCGCGCAGGCGCGTCACCCCGTGAAAAGGGCGCCCGACGTGAGAGCAGCTCAGTTTTGCCGCTGCCAGCCGTCTGAGCAGCGCTCTGGCGCCTCGGCCGCCACCTGCAACTGGCACCGGGCCACCGGCGTCAGGAAGAAATCACGTGGCACCAGCCTGGCTGTCAAGCTGGCGCGCAGCTGCCTGTGCACCCCTGCTGAGGAGGACAAAGGCGCGCGAGGAGGCTTGCGCGGCGGCCGGCGCGAGCGCGTGGTGTGCCTGCATCGCTGAGCCGGAATCTCGGGACGACGCTGGAATAGACTCTCGAGCATTCGGCGAGTCCCTGCCCTTCTGGCAGTCGCTGCCCCGTGACGTCATGCGTGGCTGGAAAGCCGGCGAACAAGCGCTGAAGCCTCCCCTCGAGCTCGTCCATACCTGCCCGATCCGCACTCCTCCTCGCAGGGCAGCCTCTTGTGCTGCGTAGAGCTGGTCGTGTGTTTTCGAGCCCGGCAGTGTACGGCCGAGAGACAGGAGAAACGCCAAAGAAGCTGCTGTTCCGGGCGCAAAGTGCTCCCGATTGGTCTCGCAAGGCCCCTGCAGGGGTGCCGCACGGGGAGAGTGCCGAGGCAGTGCAGAACGACGACGAGCTCGACGTTTGCCGCACCGTCGCAACGCCCCGCACGTCCTACACAGCGGGGTTTCGATAGGCCCTAGCAGCTCCGTGTCAGCTCGCAGCGCCCAACAGCAGCCTAGCAGCAGCCTAGCAGACGCTGAACAGACGGTAGCAGACTGCTGACGGACGGCCTAGCACGTCGCCTGGTCTGGTCCACTAGAAAATCATAGCAGGTTGCCTAATAGGCGTCTGCTAGGGCTCTACCGCGAACCTACTCGGTAGGATGTGCCGCTGGTGCTGCGCGCTGCGTTTGCGGCGACGCTGCGCGCTGCAGCGCTGGGCTGCGGCTGCGCTCTGGGGGTGGAGGAGGTACCGGCGCTGCTGCTGCGGCCGCTGGCGGACGAGATGCTCAAGCGCCAAGGCGGCGAGGTTGGAGCGCGCGGGCGCCCATCGCCGGCGCTGCTCCGCTGGCGGCGCGCCTGCCGGCAGCCAAGGCCGCACGCGCTGAGTCTGCAACGCGGCACCGCCTCATCGCGCGCCGCGGCGGGGCCCAGCGCGCGGCCTCTCCTCTCCTGCCTGCCGCTCCCAGCCTCCAGACCCTCGTGCTCGTCATCCGCTGCTTCGCTGAGCGGCTGCGCCTCATCCTCACCTCGCCTGCTCCCCGATTCCTGCGTGCGCGCCACACGCTCTCTTCGCCCCGTCATCGTCCTCGCGCCGCAGCCGCAGCCACGACGCACGCACCCCAGCCGCAGCACGAGCCCGCCGCAGCGAGATCCGCCTGCGCTGCCGCCTGCGCCAGATTCGCCCGAGCGCACGAGACCCTCGCGCTGCCGTCAGCCGCAGCCGCACAGCCGGCCGCCGCATCTCTTGGCGCTCCACCTCGCCTGATTCCCAGCTCAGCGCTCGACTCCGTCCTCGTCGTCGTCCATCCTCGCCACACCCGCACCTTCCTTTGCAACTCGCTCACCCCTCACACGCCGCAACGACACCTCACGACCCGACATCGCACTGCGCACGCACTGCGCCACACACCTCTGCGCCGCCTTCTGAGCGCCCCTGCGGCCCGCACACATGCGCCTCTCTCTGGCCTGGGCCGCGTGCCTCGCCAGCCTCGCCGCTGTCGTGCCCAGCGCTGTCGGTGAGTCGCCGCTCTGCCTGCGCCGTGGCCAGCCCTCGCCGTGCTGACCCCTGCCACAGCATCGAGCACGCGCGACCTGCCGCTCAGCCGCTTCTCGCACGCCAGCAACATCGACTTTGAGCTCGTAGCACCACGGCATGCCTCACATCCGCGCGCACACGCCTCTCCCCTGCAGCGGCGCAGCGCCGGCGAGCTGCTGGCGACGGACTCGTTCCGGCTAAGCATGCGCGCGTTCGGGCAGGACTTCCACCTGCACCTCGAGCCCAACGACGACATTGTGCACCCCGACGGCGCCGTCGTCAAGTACTATGCGCCCGACGGCAGCGTCGAGCGCGAGGAGCGCATCCTGCCCGGCGACGTGCGCGCCTACCACGGCGTCGTCGTGCACCCCGAGTGGTCGCGCGAGCGCATGGCAGAGGACCGCGCCGGCCTGCGCCGCGACCTGGGCCCTGAGTCGGCGACGGAGAGTGGCGTGATGGGCCGTGCCGCAATGTGAGTTCAGAGCGAGGCGTTCACAGGTCTGGTGGCAACGTCTGACAAGCATGACAGTGTCGTCCACGACGACGGCTCGGCCTCGTCGACTCCCTCTTTCGAGGGCAGCTTCACCTGGGGTGGCAACACGCACTTCATCCAGGTGGCGCAGGACTACGAGTCCTCGCGCAGCGAGCACGACCCGGCCGTGTCGAAGCGCAGCATCGAGCGCGGCTCGCTCGTCGTGCACCGCAACAGCGACATCATGAGCGCCCACGAGGCGCGTGCGCTGGGCATCCGTTCCGCCGCCGAGGTCAGCGAGGCGGCCGCCGGCTGCTCCAGCGACGCGCACGAGTACAACCTCAACAACCCGCTCATCTTCAGCGAGAAGAACAACAACGAGTTCAGCGCTAAGCCCGTCAGCTTCTTCGCCGTGCCCAAGGACGGCTCGTCCAAGTCGCGCCGCTCGCTCTACCCCAACCTCGCCGCGCTGCTGGGCCGCAGCGGCGACGAGGACATGCTTGAGCGCGACGCAGCCTCGCTCGTCGGCTCGGCCGACTTCTCGCGCCGCTTTGCCTACCACGACCCGCTCGTGCGGCGGCAGAGCACGGGTGGCGACATTCAGACGGGCAACAGCCTGAGCAACGACTCGTACATCGACAACATCGGCTCGACGTCGGGCTGCCCGACGACCGTGCAGGTCATCTACGTCGGCATGGCGTCGGACTGCACGTACACCGAGGCGCTCGGCGGCCAGGACAACGCCCGCCGCGGCCTGCTGAGCCGCATGAACGACGTCTCCAACCTCTACCGCACCACGTTCCGCATCGCCGTCGGCGTGGTGCAGCTTGACGTGCGCTCGCCGACGTGCCCGGGCACGCCGCCGTCCGACGCAACGTGGAACCAGGCCTGCGGCGGCAGTACGATCGACCAGCGTCTCAGCCAGTTCAGCCAGTGGCGCGGCAACCAGGATGCCAACGGCACCGGCCTGTGGCACCTGCTCACGACGTGCGCCTCCGGCTCCGAGGTCGGCGTGGCGTGGCTCGGCACGGTCTGCAAGACGGACGCCACCAGCAGCGGCGGCGATGTGATCAGCGGCACGGGTGTGACGTCGCAGACGCCGCGCGATGCCCAGGTCATCGCACACGAGGTGAGTTGAGCGCGAGAGCGTCGCATCTGCTGCCGCTTACCCCTGACGCACAGATGGGACACAACTTCGGCGCCATCCACGACTGCTCCTCGAGCTGCCGACTGTCCGGCTCGACGGCCTCGCAGACGAACGGTGCCACGTGCTGCCCGCAGTCTGCCTCGTCGTGCAACGACAGCGGCGGGCACATCATGAGCCCGGTGTCGCAGCCCGACGCCGCGACATTCTCGCCGTGCTCCATCGGCAACGTGTGCTCTCTGCTCGCGCGCGGCCTGGACACGAGCTGCATCGTGGCGCCCGGTCAGCGCCAGACGCTCAGCGTGCAGCAGTGCGGCAACGGCATCATCGAGGAGGGCGAGGAGTGCGACGCCGGCACGTCCGGCTCGCGCTGCTGCTCTGCCGACTGCCGGCTGACGTCCGGCTCTGTCTGCGACCCGGACTCTTCGGCCTGCTGCACGGACAGCTGCCAGTTCGCCAGCGCGGGCACCGTGTGCCGGCCTGCGATCGACGACCGCTGCGACACGGCCGAGACGTGCCCTGGCGGAACGGATGCGTGCCCGGCCGACGTGCGCAAGGACAACGGCGCATCGTGTGGCAACGGCCTGTCGTGTGCCGCCGGCCACTGCACGAGCCGCGACCTGCAGTGCCAGCAGCAGGGCTCGGAGCTCAACCTGCAGCAGGCGTGTCCCGTCACTGCCGACAATGCATGCAGCGTCAGCTGCCGCAACCCGCGGCAGAGCAACAGCTGCATCGTGCTGCAGCAGAACTTCATCGACGGCACGGCGTGCGGCTACGGCGGCTTCTGCGAGGGCGGCTCGTGCCGCTCGGGCTCGTGGCAGGACACGTTCCGCGGCTGGTACACCAACAACCTGCGCATCTCCATTCCCGTCACCATCGTCGTCGGCATCATTGTGCTGCTCATCCTCTGGGCCGTCACGCGCTGCATCATCAACGCCTGCACGCGCCACAACCGCGCCCACAAGGTGCCGGCCTCGAGGGCATGGTCGCGCGCCGGCGGCGACCACAACTACGGCCCGCCGCCGCAGCACCTCTCGACGCGCATGTCGCAGCAGCAGCCGTACGGCGGCAGCTACGACACATACATGCCGCCGACGAGCGCGCCGCCGAACCAGGGGCCCATCTACCAGGACCAGGGCGGCTACCGGCGATGAGCCAGCCCTCGCTCGTCCGGCTTTGCTTCTCTTCCCTTCCTCCCAGACGACTTCTCTCTCTCTCCGGGTCACGCTACTCCTCCACTGTCATTTGGCCTCGACCATCACTGGGACTGGGCATTGTGCATCTATACATTCCGCAGCGCTGCTTCGACGACATTTCCCAATGACTGCACCTGTACATACAATCCACGCTGCTACGCATGATTACGCACCTCACGAGCACAGCTGTGATGATGAGGAGTGCCTGATGGGCGAGTCTGACCAGCGGCTGGGCGGAATGTGTCCCACATCATGACCGCTCCAGCCAAGCAGCCGCGCGCGCCGGGCCGAAGCCCAGCGTCTGCGGCAGCGCACCTTGGAGGCGCGGGATGGAGCGGTGTCTGTGTCGGCTGCGAGCCGGCGCACCCGAGAGTGCCCGGCACGCCTAGGTCTTCCCGCCATTAAAAATTGTTTCGAGCCACGGAAAGGCTCGCAACAGAGTGTAGGCGGGGTTGGGAGGGAAGGGAAGGGGAAGGGAGAGGACGGCGAGACAAGGCAGCGACGAGGCGACAAGGAAGCACGCGAGGAGAGAGCGCCGAGCTGGCGTCTAACCGCGACACATCACACAGGCGGTGACGTGCAGACTTGAGGGCTTGTCATTGCTTGGTCAGACGGGGATGGTGTGGTGCGGAAGGAAGAGGCGCGATGCGTCTGCGCCCGCTTCTTCTCAGCGCGACTCGTTGCGCGAGGGCAGTCGCTCGCGCCTGGGCCCTCCTGAAGCCGAGCACTACAAGTCGCCCGCACAGGTTGAAGTGCCTCAGGTGCATTCTTGTAATCACCCTCTCAGCCCCGGCCCAGAGGCGCCCCAGCCAGCTGCTCAGGGAACGACTCGGGACCACGATGAGATGCTTGTGCCATTGACGGAGCCAATGTATCAAGGGGCAGCTCGCTGAGACAGGGCGATGAGAAGGCAGGTCGCGGTGTGCACGGACGCACGACGCGGCCAGCTCGCGCTGCTGGGCCTTGCTTCTCCGCCTCCACCTGCCTCTGCTCTGGCTCGTCAAGCACCTCACCAAGCAGCCGACGAATCTTGCGGACCACAATACAGCATGGCCTCCTCGCCGTCTGCCGAGGCACAGCGCCAAGCCGCACAGCAGCTGCTCACGAAGCCCACGCGCGCCACGTCGTCGCGCTCGCTGTGGGCCTCGTACGGCACGCTCTCCTTCCACGCGCCCGAGCTCGTGCTCAAATGCATCACCTCGCCGAGCAGCACGTCCTACTCGGAGAGCAGTGCCCGCAAGATGCTCAGCTACCACATCGAGGCCAATTTCTACGCGCACTTCTCCACCTCGCTGCCTGCGCAGATCGCCGTGCCCGTCTATCTCACACGCACTCAAGATCCACTGCGTCTCGTCCTGGCGGACATCAGGCCTCAGTATCCCGTGCTCGGCGAGAAGCGCGGCACGCTGAGCGAGGCGCAGCTTGATACTGCCCTCGTATGGCTTGTTAGCTTTCATGAGCACTTCAAGGACACAAGCGTGGAGCAGCCTTGTCCGACACCGGAGCTGGCCATGAAGCAAGAGTGGAAGGGCGATGGGCTGTGGGAGCGAGGAGGCTATTCGTGCGTGAGATCATGCTCCCCGGCAAGCCGCGACGATTGACACGTCTCATCCAGATATCTCTCAACTCGGCAAGAAGAGCTCGACTCCATCTCCAGCTCCTCTCCCTTCTCTCGTTTCCGCCGCGCGACGCCGCGTGGCACACTGGCATCCGCCTTGGATCGCTATCTCTCCGCCTCATCAGGTGCCTCCTCCATACCCGCCACTCTCGTGCACGGCGACTTCAAGGCTGCCAACCTAGCGTTCAGCCGAGACGGCTCCCGTTGCTGCGCTTTCGACTTCCAATACGTCGGCCGCGGGCGAGGCGTGTGCGATCTCGTCAAGCTACTTCAGTCATCTGCTCCACCTCATCTCCTCACTTTGGACGGAGAGAAGCAGATCGTGGCGCGCTACGCCAGCCTCAGAGGACATGCCCTCGAGCAGATCTGGGAGGAGTGGGAAGTGGCACTGCTCGACTGGACGCGCTTCCTCGCCGGCTGGGGCATGTGGGGCAACGATGAGTGGCTCACTGCTCGTGCCGAGGAGATCCTGGCGCGCAAGGGATGGGTCGAGAGCTTCATGGAGAGGCATGGCACGCAGGAATGAGAATGGTATCAGACAGTGACGTAGGTATCGCAGGTGGTGAGAGAGAAGTAGCGCGAAGTAGAGCTAGGCGCGAGTGATGTGGTGCACAGCGAGCGGAGAGGTGGAGCAGCGCCGGCCGCGACTACTCGAGCTTGACGCGCTTGACGTCTTGCGCTGCGTCATCGTCGGCGGCGTCTGCCTCTCGCTCGTGCTTGACCTGGGCAGCTGACAGCCCTGGCTCCGCCGCGCTCAGGTCTTCCTTCAGCTCCTGCGCCAGCTCCTCGTCGTCCGCCATCCAATCGTCGAGCAGCGTCTCCTCGAGGTCCAGCTTGCTCTCCTTCTTCTCCTCCTTCGGCTCCTGCTGAGCCTTTCGCAGCTCCAGCACCTTTCCCAAATGCACCGTCTCCTTCTTGCCCCATTCGCCGCCCGTCTCCGGACGGAAGTCACAGTAGAAGCTCCAGGCTCTGGCGTGTAGCATCTCGGCGCTCGCGTCACTGCCTTCGAGATCGGTCTTGCCGGGCTCGAGCCAGGAGTCGGCGAGCAGCACCAGAGCGCCGTACAGGCGTGGCAGATTTTGCGAGAGGGACTTGCGCAGATAGTTGAAGGCCTGCGAGAAGTGCGTTGGTCTGAGTGAGGAGCACGGCTGATGGACAACCAGAGACGACGCACACGATCGGGCGAGACGACTGATCCCTCACTCAAGGCGCGCCATTCGCCATTGCCAAGCTTCATGAGAGGCAGCTTGACGCGCATGAGGACAAAGTGCGGCTGCGAAGGGCCTACTTCGTCGGCTGCTGCTGATGAGGCGTGCGGCAGGCCTAGAGTGCGTGCTCGCGCGGCCGATGTGCGCTGAATGTAGGCGTGTGCTGTGGACATAGGCCGATAGCTCAGCTTAGCTGATCATTGTCGCCTGACACAGCGCTCGCATGCTCACCTAGCGACAGAGCCTCCCGTCGCTCAAAGCCTAGCCGTTCCAGCAGCACCTCTGCCCAGGCGCACAGCACCACAGCGCGATTGATGTGGATATACCGCGTCTCCAGATCCGCCGGATCCAGCACCGGCGCGAAGTCATACGAGAGCTGCAGGCCCTGCTCTGCCTCTGCCGAGCCCAGCGTCGAGGTGGAGCCGTACTCGCGCGCGAGGGTAGCATCGTCTATCGGCTTGGGCAGCTTTGACTTGGCCACCTGGCAGAGTGTTTCAGCTCTGCATCTGCGAGCACGACAATCCGCTGCACCCTCACCTTGCCGCGCCCAAAGACGGCACACACGCGGCGCTGCTTCTCCTCGTCGTCCTTTGCAATGCCGGCGTCCTGCAGCGCCATGGGACTGAGCGCGCACAGCTCGCGCGGCGCATGCAGCTTGGCGCGCACGAGGCCGCCGGCGATGGGCAGTGCCTCGGCGAGGCGCAGCGTGTGGTGCGACGTCAGATGCTGCAGCAGCACGGGCAGCGGGAGCGGCACGGTGGAGGTGGCGTCGAGCGCGGGAGCGGTGCTGCTGCTGGACGAGGCGCTGCGACGCGCGGCGGCGAGCGCAACAGAGCCGGGGCCTGGGCCGGAGCCTGATGCCTCGGCCTTTGGACGGCGTGCGGCGGGCATGGTGTGCGGAAGGGAGAGGTGAGAGTGAGAAGGCAAGGCTCTTGTGAGGCGGTGTCCAACGGCAGGTGGAGGTGCGGGAGCCTGGCCTGGCTTACATAAGCCACGCGCGCACGTCCGGTGTGTCGTGCGGCGGCGCTCGTGAGAAGGTCTAGAGCAGCTTGCTTCTCCACCTCATCCCCTCCTGCAATCCCTACTCCTTCCGCCATGCCCGAGCCCATCAAGATGTGAGTCGCATCTCTCATGCCCGCCTTCTGCGTGCTCATGCTTCACGTCCAGTCTCACCATCGGGCCGCCGGACGGCTCCATCTCCTCGCTCGTCGCAAAGGTCGGCGCCATCAATGCGCGCCACGGGCCCTTTGCCGCGCTCTTCGTCCTCGGCGACTTCTTCGCACCCGCGCACGCAGACGTGGCAGACGCTGTGCGCGCAGAGGAGGAGGCGCTGCTCAAGGGCGACATCACCTGTGCGTGCCGACAGCAGTACAGAGGCCGCGGAGAGCTGACGTGTGCGCTGCAGTGCCGTTGCCTACCTACACTCTCCACCCGCCATCGCCGCTCTCGACTTCTCTGCAGACACGCATCCTCTCCGCCGAGCTGCGCGCGGACGGGACTCGTCAGCTGGCGGATCAGCTCTTCTATCTGGGCAAGAGCGGCGTGTGCCGCATCGGCGGCAAGGACGGGCAGGAAGGCCTGAACGTCGCATATGTCGGCGGGGCTTGGGATGCACAGCGCTGGGCAGCTGAGAGCGAGCAGAGTGTGAGTGCAGCTTCGAAGCGCGAGAACGATGAAGTGGCTGACGCGGAGTATCAGGTCGACGAGCTCTCCACGTCTCACATCACGCGCGCTAGCGTCGCCTCTCTGCTCGCGCACCCTTCCTTTCAGGCACCCGTCGCAGCCAGCAGCAGCAGTGCAGCTCCTACGACTCTCGCCGCCGCACGTGCTGCCGCGGCCGCTGCCGCTGCTGCAGCTTCCAGCAGCTCTGCTGCATCTGCTCCGCCCATTGATCTGCTCCTGACCAACGTGTGGGCCTCGAGCATCACTCTCTTCTCGCCCGCCGATGCGCTGCCCGATCCTACGTCTCGCACGTGGGGCACGCCGGCACTCATGCCCATCTATCGTCTCTCGCGAGCTCGCTACATCTTCTCTCTGGCGCCCGGTCCTCTGCCTCCATCCGCAGACGATGGCGTCGTCGGCCTCTCTCCTGCCATTCGCGCACGCGGCACGTTCTGGGAGCGTCCACCTTTCCGCACCGAGGCGGGTCCAGAAGCAGCAAGCACCTCTTCGCGCTTCATCAGTCTCGCTCGCTTTGCAAATGCGGAAAAGGCACGCTGGTTCTACGCGCTGTCTCTCGTGCCTGCCTCAAGCATGGACGCGGCGCAGAGGAAGGCCGCAAGTGTTGCGCCGAAGAACATCACGCCGAGTCCGTTTGCTGTGACGCCTGCCGTCAAGCGTGAGGGTGAGGCGTTGGACAGCGGCGCCAACTATCGCTGGGCAGGCGAGCCAACAAAGGGCAAGCGACCTCGGCGCGACCCAGGCACGGGCGCCAACTCGATTGGTGCATCAGGCGAAGAGCGTGCCTCTGGCTCCTCGGACCGAAAGCACAGAGGAGCGGCGGCACCAGTGGCGCCCTCGGACTGCTGGTTCTGTCTCTCCAACGAGCAGTGCGCCAAGCATCTCGTGGTCTCCATTGGCACAGAGTGCTACGTCGCCCTGCCGAAGGGCCAGCTACTTGATTCGGGAGCAGAGGGAAATCTGGTGCCTGGTGGAGGCCATGTTCTCATCATGTGAGTAGCGGCGCCTTCGATATACAGCGGGGCAAAGCTGATCGCAAGTCTGCGAAGTCCGATCACGCATGTCCCCTCTCCCCTCTCGCTGTCTCCCACGCTCGCCGCACCGCTGCTCTCCGAGATGTCCGCCTGGCGCTCCGCGCTACGCACCACGTACGCCACGTTCGGCTGTGTGCTAGTCGGCTGGGAAATTTGTCGCTCACAGGGCACGCGCGTGGGGCATATGCAGGCGCAGGCGCTGCCCGTGGCTGCCTCGCTGGCGCCCAAGCTCGAGCAGTGGTTCCGCGCCAAGGCAGAGGAGGAAGGCTATCAGTTTGTCCCGGATGAGGAAGTCGAGGAACGTTTGAAGGCGGGCACAGACGAGCAGGAGCAAATGGCACGCGCAGACTACTTCCGCCTGGATTTGCCCAACAAGACGCTCCTCGTGGATCTCAACGACCCGAGCGTCCGCTTCTCACTGCAGTTCCCGCGGTGAGTCGTCTTGCCTGATCGGGCTGTCCTGTGCGCGCACCGCGCTGACCTCGCCTTGCTTGACGACTCGCAGACAAGCACTGGCGCAGCTGCTCGACGTGCCGTCGCGCGCAGACTGGCGGGTCTGCGCACGAAGCGAGGCAGTGGAACGTGCCGAGAAGGAGGCGTTTGCCAGCGTGTTTGAGGATGCGGCAAAGAAGGTCGTCGGCGACGACTAGTCGGGGAGAAATGGAATGCAGAGAGCATCCAAAACCTGCTGCTGACTTGCTGCTGAGAGGTTGCTGTGCGGTGCAAGATCTGATGCGACAAGGAGACATGGCGGTGCTGCTTGAAGCTCAGAGCCCTGAACAGCACACACAGCACACACACAGCAAGGCGTGGTCTGTTGCCTGTCCATATCTCTCTCATTTGCGCTGCTACGCCTCGCCCGGGATGATCCTCTCCACCTCTCCCTCTCCCTCTCCCGCCCTTGCAAAGCGCCGCAAGCGCTCCGAGACGTGCTTGGCATCGCGCATCTCCGTATCTGGCGGTGCGATGTCGAGTGTCCGGCCTTGCGGATGCGCGAACTTGCAGTCGGCTGAGAGTGATCCAGCGTCAGTGTCTGCCTCGTAGCAGGTGCAGGAGAGAGGAGAAAGGGAAGACGAGAGCAGGACCACTTACCGCGCGTGCAGCCCACGCCGAAACGACACGTTTCCGTGCTCGCGCCAGAGGTCGGCTTGCCGGGATGTGCATAGCGACAATCCGCGCGAGTGCATCGTGCGCCATAGCGACATTCCTGCGTAGCGTTTGCGGCCGGTGCAGCCGCCGCCGCCGGTGCGCCGCCGTTCTTCTTTGCCAGCACGGCCTGCGCGGGCGAGACGTGGCTGCGCTCGCAGTCTGCGCGTGTGCATGCGGCCTGGAAGCGACAGGGCGAGGCGTTGAGCACCAGTGGCTCGTCGACTGCCATGCCGTTGCTCGACGAGGAAGAGGAAGAGGCAATGGCGGCGGCACTAGCGTGCGAGAAAACGCAGAGCGGGTTGGTGCAGCGCAGGCCGTAGCGACAGAGGGAGGCGTCGGAAGGCGTAGAAGGCCAGGGCGCCGAGTGCTGTGCGGGCGCGCTCGGTACGCTCGTGACTGGCAGCGCATTGAGAGGCAGCATGGGATCTAAGCGTGCCAGAAGCGACGTTGCGGAGCCCTCTGCTGTAGCTGCTGCTGCTGTCGGCATCGCTGCGCCTTGCGAGGCGGGCGTAAAGGCCGAGGCGCGAGGATCGGGCACAGCGAAGCGCGAGAGGATGGAAGGTGCGCTGGCGCTTGGTGCAGGCGGCGCAGCATAGTCTCGCAGGCCAGCATTCATACCTCGAGGTGCACGCGGCGGAGGAAGGCCGTTGCCCATCTGCTGGTCCATCTGCTCTCCACTCTCCGGGTACTCGCGCTTCACTTCCTCGCCGCCCGAGCGCAGCGGCGCCGCTTCTTGTCGGCCTGCCCGCCCCAGCGCTCGCGCAAAAAGTGCGCCGCCACCGCGCTCGGGCTCGGCGCGCCGTGCTCGTGGTGGCGCCTGCTGGTGCTGTTGTGGCACGTAGGAGCTGCCGCCTCGAGGTGCGTTGCGCACCGGCGAGCGAGATCGACGGCTCTCCCTCTCCCGCACCGGCCTACACAGCTCGCATCAGTGACCTTTTCGCTGCTGCGACGGAGTATGAGCACGCCACTCACGAGCGCACCCTTGCCGGACTGGCGCTCCGGCGCTCCTCCTTCACCGGCGCCGCCTCGCCGCGCAGCAGTGCCTCCGCCGTCGTCCAGAGCCACGTGACGAAGCTGGCGTCGTAGTCTGCGCCCACGAGCTCTGCCAGCTCGCCCGAGACCTGCGCGGCCGTCTTGTGGTTCTGCAGCATGACGACGACGAACTCGGCGAGCAGATCTGTGGCGCGCGGGAACACACGTGTGAGTGGAGTGCGCCGTGCGGAGTGGCAGATGACAAGCGCGGCAGCACACCCACCGTCGTCGGCACTGGCCCAGCCGCGCTCGGCGAGGTCCACCTGGATGGCGCGGTGCAGAGCCTTTCCCACCTCGGAGGCAGGGTTGATGTCGAGCGACATGGCGGGAGAGCAGCGGTGTGGTGGAAGGAAAGGCAGAGGAGCGGCTGCGCACGGCTCCGAGCGAAAGGCCGAGCGCAGCGCAAGTCGAGTGTCGTGCGAGAAGCGAGTCGTATTCGCCGTGGGTGTATTCGCGAATACAGCGACGTTGTAGTGCGCCCAGCGCACGGCATGCCTCCACTTGCTTGCTCAGCCGCACCCTGAGCGGCCGCTACCGGCGCCGCCTGCCTCTCTCTTCCGCACCCTCACCACCCTTCACTCACCACCTGTCATGTCTCTCTCCGACCCGCGCTGGAAGACGCTGCTGGCACGCAGCATCAGCGAGCACATTGGCAACGACAAGAGCACGCGTGCGTCTTGCCGGTTCTGTCTCTCCTCTCACTACTAACACCCTCCTGCGCGCCGGCCAGTCTACTACGTCCTCACCACGCCGCCCCTCTCCTCGCGCTACGTCGTGCACCGCGGCTTCCTCAACGAGCAGCGCGCCGACACGCCCGAGGGCGTCGAGGCGGCCGACAAGGGCTTTGCGCGCTCCGACTCGCTCCTCACCACTACCGACATTCGCGCGCCCAAGGCCGTGGCCATCCAGCAGGCGCAGGACAAGGGCGGCAAGGCCGAGGGCTGCGTGGCATGGTGGATCGAGGGCGCACAGCTGCAGGTGCGCGCTCACCTGCATCTGCCAGCTGCCACGTTGCTTATGCCTCTCTTCGCAGTTTCGCATCTCGGGCACTTTGCATCTCATCTCGTCGAGCAACCCTTCCGCACCTGCCTTCCTCGCCCCTCGTTCCTCCAAGGGCGAGACATTCGACTGGGCGGCTGAGCGTTCGCGCATCTTTGCCAAGCTCTCGCCCTCGCTGCGCGCCTCGTTTGCGCGGCCCACGCCCGGATCGAAGCATCCGCAGGGCGATGTGAAGGGCGCGGGAGAGGGAGAGGCGGCGCACGAAGTGGGAGAGACGGAATGGCCAAAGGAGCTGCCGAGTGCAAAGGAGGAGAAGGAGGCGGATGAGGAGCAGAAGCGATTGCTGGCGCTCGCAGAGAAGAAGTGAGTTCCCTCGTTCGCGGGAATGCACACCCGACGCTGATCCCCGCGCTCTTCCAGCTTTGCCCTTGTGGTGCTCCACCCGACGCGCGTCGACGTGGTGGATCTGGCGCGCGACAGGCGCAGTCTGTTTGAGCGCAGCGAGAGCGAGAAGGACGGCGGCGAGTGGAGCGAGACGCAGCTGGTGCCGTAGTTGGACCCTCTCAGTCCGCGCCTTGTCGAGCTGCAACGCGTGGACACGAGCGCAATGAGCATGTAAGGTCTCGCCTGCTTCTCGAGACTGAGTCTTCTTGTCGAGCCTGCCGTTGTTCCCGCCTCCAAAGAGACTAGCCTCTCCTTGACATCGCTCGCGATCGAGCTAGCGCTGCAGTCTCTCCCCACGCCCTCTATCTCTTCAAGCATCTACCACCTCGGCGCTTCTTCCAGCCCCGCTCCTGCCTCTCGCGCCACGCTTGCTCTTTCTCTCATCCCGATCTATTTGAGCAGCAGATACACGCCGCTCCCCACCGCCACCTTTGCCAGTGCATCGGCGTCTGCTGTCAGCGCCAAGAGCAGCCCTCCAAACGAGGCGTACGCCGTCACGACGCGCGACGTCGTCTCGTCGTACTTGTACACCTGTGCGCGAGGAGCGGAAGAGGGGCATCAGCGGGCTGACTGACGCGCAGAACGAATGCGAGGTGCAGACGCGCGAGGGAGCACGGCGGGGCCGAGAGACGCGGATCCGACCGACATCGGATCTGCACCCAGAGCCGTCTCGCAAGCCACGCCGACGTCCAGTCCTTTCAGGGGAGCACGCCTGGCCCTGCCCGTCCTGTGCGCGCAGGCCGGCTGTTTGGGACCCTCAGCCCTGCATGGCCCGGCGGGCTGTCTCGCTCGGATGTGAGATCCGAGCCAGACCTCTTGCTACGTGTCTGCTCCGCCGCCGAAAGCTGCCCCAGCGACGGCGACTGCGCCCCCCGAGCATCGCTGCTATGCCGCAACCTGCCACAGGCAGCTCATAGCATTCTGTCCAACTTGCACTGTGGCCACAGCATGCGCAAAACGCCAGTCAAGCTTCGGTCCTAGACCTACATGCTGCACCGACGTCGCAACAGCCGCTACGTCTTCAAGGCTCCGGCGCTTGCACAGCAGGGAATGCAATCAAAGTCTAAGCCAGACTCGAGCAGCTGCAGCCATGCCACGCGCGCAGGCACTGCAAGCGCGCTGCGTGCGTCGTTGTTGCTCTGAGACGCCACGAGACCAATGGACCAGTCTCTCTCTGGGCTCTCTCGCCCTCACAGACATCTCTCGCTGAGCCTTCTGCTTGGCCTCCCCCTCTCCGCGGGTCTGCTCGCCCGATAGCACGGCGCATCCACTCGGAGCCTGCACTCACCTTGCCGTACATGACATATGCCGCCTCATCTGCCAGACTCGGCCCTTCTCTCCGCCACGCCTCGCGCGCATCCTCCTCCTGTCCGTCGGGCGCAAGCGAGTCTGCCAGCTTGAAGTTGAGGCTCTGTCCCACTGTGAGCGGGTAGATGTCGACGGCGACATCGAGCAGGATGCGCGTCGAGTCTGTCGGCGAGGACGCGACGATGCGCGAGACTGGCAAGACGTGGGCGTGAGTGGGAGGCAAGGGAGGAGGGCAGAGAAGAGACGCACCGCGGTCAAACTTCTTGCCGTCGGGGTCGATGGCGGTGATGGTGAGCTGTGTGTCGTAGAGAATGGCGGAGCGCGACATGGCGGGCAACGGCGGGTGGTGGAGGCGAGAAGGACAGGCGAGGAGCATCAGGCGCGCCGCTCTGTGGCCACGGCCGGCTGCGCTGCACGTGACGCCACGCGCCTGTGCCTCCTCTGGCCGTGCGCTTCGGCCCTCCACCGAGGCACGCGCGTTGAGTGCATCACGCGCCACTCGCTCGCCTCCTGACTCAGCACCACCACCATCCTCGCACGCCGCCGCCCTACGCTCTCCTCCGCGCTGCCCGCCACGGCCGCAGCAGACGCAGCAGCCATGCCGCCGCGTCGTCAGCGTCTCTCGCCTTCGCAGCCCTCGCCCGCCGCCTCTGCTGCGCCACACGTTGCGCAGCCACGCTCCAGCGCCGCCGCGCCGCCGCCGCAGATCTTCGCCTCCTCGGATCCGCTCGCAGGCTCCTCATCGCCTGCTGGCGAGACGCTTGCTGCCGCCCGCACAAAGGCGTTCCCAGTGCGCAAGGGCGCCAGCTCGCCACAGGATGAGCTGCCGCGTCGCGCCTCGGCGCGTACGCGCGCGCCCAGTCGACTGGCCGTCGAGGCTGCCGCTGCCAGCTCGGCGTCGCAGCCGCGCAGCAAGAAGCAGCCGCTCAAGCCTCGTGCTCAGCCTGTCGAAGAGCCTCCTGCGAGCGGCAGCGACGACACCGATGCGCAGCTCCTGCGCGACGCGCTCGAGATGAGCATGCAGCAGCTCGACGGCAACGCCAGTACCTCGTCCGTCTCCTCTCCTCTGCGCGTCACTCAGCCGCGCGCGCCTGGCGCAGGCGATCGCGATGAGGCTGCAGCGATGGAGCAGGCGCGCATTGCCTCGACGCACGAGGCACTCATGGCGCGACAGAAGCGCACCTTGCTGCAGCAGCCCGGCTCGTCGCCCGCTGCGCGCAAACGCGCACACAAGGAGAACGACTCGTCTGCTGCCGCACTCGATGAGGGTCCGCTGCACAGCACGCCGCTCGCCTCTCTCCGTCGTGGACCACACTCGGGCGCAGCGCCAAGCAGTCCCTCGCCGCTGCCGCTGCAGCCTCGTATGCGCTCGCTGCTTGACGACGCCGGCCTCGGTCAGCGTGCCGACAGCTTCGCCTACTCCAGCGACCCTCTACTTGGCAATGACGAGGTCGCCCTGGTGCCTCTCCGCTCCGCCGTCGGCGAAGTTTCGCTGGCGCGTCAAGCCATGCAGCGTGCAGCGCAGCCCAGTGGATCGTCTGCGCGACAAGCGCCGCGCGTGCAGCCGCCGCCTCAGCGACCTTTGACGACGGAGGAGGAAGGCGGACGCTTTGCGCTCATCCGAGAGAGCGTCCGGGATGGCACGGTAGAGGAGAACGTGGCGCGTCTACTCGGCACCGAGACATCTCGTCGAGCCTCGGAGCTGCTGCGCTCGCAGGACGAGGAGGAAGAAGAGGCGGTCGATGAGGTGGCTGGCAAGCACGGCGGAGGGGCGGAGGAGGAGATCCGCTGGGAAGAAGCAGATCTTGATCCATTCGGCTTCGAAGAGGCGGAACGCAGAGTGCGCGAGCGTCGCGAGATGAAGCTCCATGCACAGGAGATGCAACTTGCGCTCGACGAAGTGGCGCAGGAGCCCGAGTCGCCATTAGCACAGTGCCCCGACTTCGAGGAGCTCGAGGCGCAAGAGCAAGAAGAAGAAGAGTCGACTTCGCCGCCGCCCTTCCTGCCGCCGCCTGCCGGCAGTCTCTCGACACGTTCGTCGCCCGTACAGCTGCTCGAGGAACTCTCTACTCGTCCGCCAGCCGCAGCTCGCGCTGCCGCTCCAGCAGTGGCTTCCTCCGCCAGCTCGCGCCGCAGCTCTCGTCTGGCGACGCGCGTGGAGAAGCTTGCCTCGCCCAGCGCTCGGCGCACAAGCGGGCGCACGCGCGTCACCTCTATCGCTGCGTCTCTGTCCCTCGTCACCAGCGAGCGCGGCGACGCTTCGTCGGCCGCATCGGCGCCAGAGTCGAGCACCGATTCAGCGTCCGAAGCTTCATCAGACGATGGACTCGCCTTCGAGCCGCGTGCACGCGCCAAGACGTTTGCGTCGCAGTCGAACGGCAAAGGCAAGACCAAGTCCTCTTCGCCGCTCAAGACGGGCCGTAGGGCAGTCAAGAACACGTATGCCTCGCGGGCGCGCGAGCCTTTGCGCGTCGAGCAGATGCGAGAGTTCTTGCCGAAGCGCAGAGTGGAGCCGAAGAGTGCTGCGAGCAGCAAGAAGGGCGGGAAGAAGCAGAAGATGATTAGGATCTCCGACAGCGAGGGAGAAGGGCAGGAAGAGGATGAGAACGAGGAGGAGAGCGACGATCCCAGCGATCTGAGCGATTCGAGACCGCCTGGAGGAAGCAAGGGCAAGGGCAAGGCTGCTGCGAGCACCGCCAAAGGCAAGGGCAAAAAGCCGGCGCCCAAGCGCGCAGCCAAAGCAGCCAAGCAGGCGCCGCAGAAGAAAGCTGCGTCTGCGTCGTCGCGCAAGCGCAAGGGAGGCGCGTCTAGTGATGCGGAGGAAGAGGAGCAGCAGCAGAGCGAAGGCGAGGCCGATGCAGTGAGTGCCACTCATTGTTCCTTTCGCGGCCTCTGAGCTGACATCGTCGCCTGTGATAGGACACGCCTCGCACGCAAGCACGCAAGCGCCGCATCAAGGAGTTTGAGGAGATTGACAAGATGCAGCTTGCGACTGAGCTTGTCGTCTAGGAAACAGCCTCACTTGCGGGCGCGGTCCGGCTCGACCGCACTCTCGCCACGCCTCGCCGTTGCTTGGCGCTGTTCGCGTTCCGTTCACATTGCCCTCGTTACGCCCGTCACCGCGTCTTGTTCTGTACACTTTCGCCTCGCTCGGCTCGTTTCTCGCGCCCCGTCACCTTCTTCGCCTCGCCGCCGCATGCTCTGGTCCGCCCATGCGGAACGACACGTCGCACACACCATGTAGCTCTTTCTTCGTCGCGTGCCCTGTTCCGCTCCGTCACACCACACCACGACCTCTTCACGCCCGCAGTTGACTTGAACGATTGCATTGCTCCGGTCGCACCTCGCGAGCGTCGACGCATTGCTTCTACTCCTCGATCTCGATGGCCCAGTCGCGAATGACGCTGACGGCGGGGTCCTTGATGATGAGCTCGCTAGCCTTGCCCGGCTTTCCGATCATGGGCTTTGACGTCGCCGCCGCGCCCGGCGTCCACTTGAACGAGAGCTCCTCGCCCGTGGCCAGAATGCGCACGCGCTTCGGCTTCTTCTCGAGGCCCAGCACGACGACGCGCTCGATGCGCACGTCTGCGATGCTGCGCGCAAAGGCGTTGTCGGTGGCGTTGTAGCTGCTCGGCAGACTTGTAGCGTACTCGTCGACCTCGGATGTCGTCAGTTCACGACGCCGAGCCTCGTCTGCACTGCTGAGCAGGTGCGTGCCGTCGTGCATCGAGGCAAAGAGGAACTTGCGCCAGATGAAGGCGCCCTGCTCATACTCGTACGTCTGGCCGTCGTCGAGGTAGAGCAGACCCTCGGCGCGCACAGGACGACGAAGCTCGTTGTTGAGCGCCACAATGAGCGTCAAAGGATCGCGCCAGCCGAGCTCGGCGGCCCGACGCACGCGCTCGCGGATCGGCAGAATCGAGCCGCCGCGCTGCAGCAATGGCATTTCGCCCGTTAGCGGCGCCGGCACCGAGACGCGCTTGCCGCCGCTGGCGCCGTGGTATGCCTCGTGGGTGAAGTAGTTGTAGTAGACCTGCGCACGAGCTGGGTTAAGCGCGGAGAAGACAAGGCAGGGGAGGCGAGCTGCTCACCTGCTCTTCGCCCAGGTACACATCCACCGACGTCACGTCCTTCTGCACGGCCGGCTTGACGAGCAGGCCCGAGTCGGCGAGGTAGTACTGATCGTCGACTGCAAAGCCGCCCACGTCGGTGGGGAACATCATGTACTGCGGGCGCAGGATCGGCAGGCCGCTGGCGGCATTCTCCTTGAAGGCCGCGTACCACACGGGCAGCATCTTGTAGCGCAGCTTGATGAGCTCGCGCACCGCACTGCGCTCCGGCTCGTCCAGCAGGAAGGGCTCGCGTCGCTTGGTGTCGATGTGGGCGTGTGCGCGGAAGAAGGGCTCGAAGATGCCGGCTTGGTACCAGCGCACCAGCATGTCGGGCTCGGGATTGCCGAAGAAGCCGCCAATGTCCGCTGCGGAGAGAGGGCATTCAGCAGTGGCCCCCGTCAACACGCCACGACGAGACACTCACCGCCGCAGAAACTCATGCCGCCCACGTTGTTGGCGAGCATCATGGGCACGCTGACGGCCAGATGCTCCCACGTGCCCAGGTTGTCGCCCGTCCACGTCGCGCCGTACTTCTGCGTGCCGACCCACCAAGAGCGGGCGAGGGTGAAAGGACGACGTGCAGGCGACTCGCGCTCGCGTAGACCACGAGCCGTGAGGTTCTGGAACACCATGCCGTTGATGTTGTGTAGGTGGCGATGCTCCCAGGGCCCGTAGTGCATCACGTCTTTGGGCGACGTCACCTCCGGACCTACATGCGCGGAGCGTGAGCGAAAGGGTTGCGACAGATCCTCTCTGCGCCACACACGCACCGTTGAAGATCGACGGCTCCTGCATGTCGTTCCACTGCGATGCCAGCCCCCGCGTCAGCGTCCAGCTGCGCATCTTGCTGCGCGCGGCCACACTCACGATGTGCACATTCCGGGCATTGGCGCGCAGCTTCTTGCTCGCCAGGCGGAACTGGCTCGCCCACCATTCCCAGCTCTTTGGATCAAACGCATCGATCCAGCTCGCCGAGCCGCTCCAGCACCATCCCTCGAACTCGCCCTTACCATCGGGCGTCTTTACGAGCACGCCTAGCTCCTTGGCTTCCTTGTACACAAAGTAGTCGTCTGTGCGCTTGAAGTGCGGGTCGACGATGATGACGAGCTGCGCGCGAGGGAGAGAGGCTTAGCCATGCGTGACTCTCGGTGCGGCTGTGCTCGCTAACTCACCTTGCGCCCCTCGTCGTCGAGACCTTGGATCATGCGCTCAGGATCGGGGAAGGTGACTTCGTCCCAGATCATGTACATGTGCTGCTTGGAATACTCGATGTCGAGCCACATCACGTCCATCGGAATCTGCGCGGCAAGGATGATGTCAGCTCTCGTCAATGTTATCCTCTCTTCTCGTCGGACCCACATCCTGCTCGCTAAACGCATGCGACACATCCAGCACATCCTGCGTCGTGAGGTAGTTCCAGCGCGACTGGTGGTAGCCCATGGCAAAGTACTGCGGCAGCACGGTGCGTCCGACGAGGCGCGTAAAGTGCGCCATGTTCTGCGCCGGCGTCGGCGCGAGAAAGACGACGAGATCCAGAATGCCACTCTCGCTGAAGAAGTGCGTCTGCGTCGAGCCCTCGACGCGCTCAATGTCGATCCACGTCTCTGCTGCGTTGAGCCAGAAGACGGAGGCGGCGCCGTTTGCGCCTTGAGCGTGCAGGACGGGAACGGAGCCGTAGAGACTCATGGGAGAGTCGTGCTCGTACTCGAACACGTCCGTGTTCATCAGGCGGTATGGATCGCTAAAGTCGCCCTCCTTGCGTCCGTGCGTGTCGCGCAGATTGAGCGGACTGGCATGCTCGGGCAGGCCAAAGGCGAACGCTTTGTTGGGAAAGGAAATGTCGAGACTGAGCGCTTCGGGGCCACGGGGCTTGGAGTCGGGCTTGCCAGACCACGTCTCTTGCCATTCGCCGGCGTCCTCCTGCTCGAAGCTGGCCCAGAACTCGGCGTGTGTCTCTGTATGGCCTGCCTCGAGCAGTGCGCGCTTCTTCTGCAGCACCAGTTGCGGCACGGCCGCTTCTTCGCCGTCGGCTGCGGGCTCAGCCTTGGGCGTGGGAAAGACGGCGGGCCGAGGACGGAAGTGCTCCATGTGCAGCAGCGACTGGTCGTTGAGCACCACTTGCTCCTCGCCGTCGCGCAGGAAGACGGCGCGCAAGGGAGCGTGCGTGAGGATGAGAGTGAGGCGGCCCATTGGGCCGAAGCTGCGGCGATGCCGAACAGTGAGCAGTGTCACTGTGGCCCGGCCAAGCCACGCCCAAACACTCACGTCACGCGCGTCTCATTGTCCTCTTCATCCAGCAACACGGTGCCCTCGGCCGCCGGCACAGGCTGTTGATCAATCGCCCATCGTTCGGCCTCATCGTAGCGCCGGTGTCCCGCGTGCCGCTCTCCCGTCTGGTCCATCTGCACACGCGCCGTGCCATCGCGATGGAAGCGCAGGACGAGTTCGAACGAGACGTTGGGGTGTAGCGCACTGAGCACGGGCGCACGCAGCTCTGCACGATTGGCGGCAAACTGAATGTCGCCGAGCGAGTAGGGAGAATGACGAGGAAGAGGGAGGGAGGAGAGACGGCGAAGACGACGGCAGAAGGAGGAGTCGGCACACGTCTTAAAGTCGCTGTGGCGCACGGCGGAGGCGCGAGGGAGCGCGCTGAGGGCGAGCAGCAGCAGAGGGAGGAGCGCGAGCGCGCTGAGTGGAAAGAGACGACGCATGATGCCCGGACTCGAGGCGAGGTGGTGACAGGGCGGAAAGGAGAGAGAGAAGAGAGCGGGACGAGGTCTGTGCGCCGCCAGCTGGCACGAGCTTCGCGCGCGCCTTTCGGCCGGGAAGCGCGCCGCTTTCTGCCCGCCCGCTGCCGCTGGAGCCGCGCTGCCTTTGCCTTGCCTTTCCACCACGACCACCCCACCGCCCACTGCTCATCTGCCTCTCTACCAGCCTGCGCACTCTGCGCCATGTCCACCTCTGCTCCAGCCACTCGGCAACTGGCGCGTCGGGCGCGCCTCCTGCCTCGTCCCGGCGCCGACCTCGTCGGCCCCGCGCACCCCGTCTCCAACATCCGGCCCCTGCTGCTCGTCGGCTCCGCATTCGCGCCCGCCGAGAGCTCCTCTGCATCTGCGCCCTCTGCGCCATCTCAGCGCAGCCCAGGCGCAGGCGGCGCAGCTCATCCGTACTCGCTGCACGAGTTCAACGCCGCCAGCACTTCCGCCTCCTCCTCCTTCTCGCCCGCCCTCCTCTCCCTGCCCCCGCGCTCCCGCTTCTCCGCGCCACTCGTCCCTCGTCGTGCGCACTCGGCCTATTTCCAACGTCTTCTGGCGCGCCTCGAGGCCGCCGAGCTCGTGCATCGTCTGGCGCGCGCGCGTGCCGAGGCGCTCACGCAGCGCTTCTGGGCCGACAACAATCTGCGCTTTGGCGATGCGCTGCGCGCCTTCGAGGAGGGCCTCGTGCTCGCCAATGCCGTCGCGGGCGCTGGCGCTGCGCCCGCACCGCCTGCCTCTACCTCCTCGTCCGAGCAAGTCGATGCGCACAAGGCAGCCACGAAGCCCGCCGCGCCGGCGCAGGATGATCTGCTGGCGCCGTTCTACGAGTCGTGGCTGGAGGCAAACAAGACGCGGCATCGAGCGTACAACGCCTTGTTGTGGCAGAGCACATTGGGAAATTTGATTCCGGCGGCTAGATACGAGGTGCTCCGGACTTGGGCCGGGATCGTTAGGAGGGTCGAAGGCTGGAGGGGATGTGCATAGGGAGAGAGAGAGACGAAGGGAAAAGAAGGAACCAAGCCGATGGGCATCCTCATACGACCTACGCCGAGCATGCGGCATCAAGGCTCAAGACTTGCGTCTCTCCGTGTCCTCCTGCTTTTAGCACGATCATGGGACTCTCTACGGCTCGCGCAGTGCGCCTCAAGTTCCAACCGCCTCTTCCCCGTCTGAGGCTCATCGTCGAGGCGCAATGTCGCGCCATGTGCGCCTGAACAAGTGCTCTACGACGGCGCTTTCTCCGCCCGCACCACAAAGGCGACGGCGCAGCGCTCCCCTTTGCATCGATCAGCGATCGCCAGCTCCCTCAGTCGCCCATGCGTGCATCTCATCTCTGCAACAGCGGCACCGCCGATCGACCAAGCTCGACACATCGCTCCGCACGCCTCTTTGGGCCGCAATTGGCGGCGCAAATTGCCTGCAAATGCTCTTGTCGCGGGATCGCATTGTCACACATCAATGCTCCTCTTGCCCTTGAACTTGCGCGTCGCACGCGCCGCGAGCGAGTAGCACATCTGCTGGCCGTGCAGCGGAAAGTCGAGCGTCTGCACAGCAGCGGCAGCGGCGGAGCCAGGCTGCGAGGCGCCGGCAAGCGATGATGCCGATGAGGACGCGGGGGAAGGCAGAGAAGGCAGAGGGGGCAGAGGCACGGAGATCAGAAAGGTAGTGTTGCGCTTTGGGACCACTGTCGTTTCGGCGCAATCCAATCAGCTTTCGCTCTTTGCGCTTCGTCACCGACCCGAGGCAAGGCATAGACGCACCGCACGTCCGACCTCCATCTCTCTTCTCTCTCGTGCCACCCGTCGCTTGAGGCCGGCGTGGAGGAGCAACAATGACGAAGGTGCCTTCTGTTTCACGCGCCAAGAGGCCCGAGATGCCGACGAGCGCGGGGTTCGCTGACCGTGAGACTAGGAGTTCGAGCGAGAGAGGTCAGGTCAGCGTGTCAGTCGATGTAGAGAGGAGGGACCAGGCCGACGCACCGGTGATCCAGCACCCGGCCAATTCAGCCTTGACCAAGCTCATTTGCATCGTTGACATGGCGAGGGGATGGACGTGCCAGCGCCATTGCTTCTCTCTCTGCCCCTCGCTGTCGTCTGCGACTGCCGGCTCGAGAACGGGCGAGAGAACACTCGGCACCGGCTTGCCTTCGACGTCTACCAGACCCAGCAATGCTTGAGCGTAAGGACGCCAGAGTGCGTGAATGGGTAGGAGAGAGGCATATCTGTTTTCTCGCATCGATGAGTGGCCGCATCGACATGGTGCGAAAGGCAAGAGCAAGGAGTGAGAAGAGGGCAGACTCACGAACATCTCTCGCTGCTCGGCTCCAAGCCCAACATCTTTCGCTCCCTTCTACTCAGCACGCCTTTCTCCTTCCTTCCCTTCTCTTTCCTCTCTTCTTCTAGTCTCGTTTTCGCTCCCACCTCCTCCTTGCCCTTGTCGGCCTTGCCCTCCCTCACTCTGCGCTCCTCTCTGGCAACGCGCACATCTCGGCGCTGCAGCTTGCGCGCCGCGAGTGTGCCTGACGGCGCAGCAGGACGCGCTCGCTCGGGGTTGGACAGTTGCAGACGGCGGCCGAGGACGCGGGAGGTGAAGTGTGAGGCCGACGCGGCTTCGTCTGCGCCGCACACGGCTGCGGAGGAGGCAGGCGCACGCGCACGCGGCGCACGCAGCAGCGAGGCGAAGAGCGCTGCTGATGAAGCTTCTATTGAGGTTGAGGAGGGAGCGGCGTGAAGAGAAGAGGACGAGGCGAGTGGAGCGTTGGCGCTCGACATGATCGGCGATGGCTCAGCAGCTGGAGGCAAAGTGCGAGGTCGTGTCTGTTGCGGCAGAACGCAGAGCGTGGCCGGTCACACACTCGGACTCTTGGTGCGCGGACCGGCAGCAAGGGGGCCGTAGATGCGGTGTGTGAAGACGAGTTGCCGATGAGAGGGACGTGGGGCCGATGTGAGCGTGGGACGCGAGGTGGGGGGAAGAGAAGGGAGCTCGCGCGGCTGGGTGCTGTCGCGCGAAGCAAGTGTGAGGAGCGAGGAGGCCACCGCCGGAACTCGGAGCTGCACCGCCCTCACAGAAGTCTAGCCTACATCTGCTTCTCGCTCCAACAACGACTAACCTCAGGCTGAGCCTCAAAAGGGCAGCATTGAACTTCTTCACGTGCCAGGAAACTGTAGCATGCAAGCGAGGAGGCGGCGCTCGAGGAAAGTGGCTCGGAAGGGCATCAGAGACGAGAGAGGCAAAGCCGCGGCTCTGTGCACGCGCCGCGGAGGAAGTCGCGTGCGCCAAGCGACCCCAACACTTTCTTCGCTCGGCGCCGGCTCCAATTGCTCTCCTTTGCCGGAGTTGTGCTGCGCTGTAGCAAGACACAAGGCCTGTCAAGTTCGGTGGCATGTGTGCGCAGCAGCAGAAACTCGCTTGCTGGCTGCGAGCAAAGAGAGCAGCGCTGCCGGCCGGCCTTATGCGCGCCGCGGGCCGGAGCCGAGCTGCCGCCGCCGCGCGCCGCGCACCGATGGCCCGTCCGTGCGTGCAGCGCTGAGCAGCCTGCTTCCTGACTTCTCACCACCGCATCCCACTCGCCAGTCACCCAGCATGGCTCTCCTCCGTACGTAGTGCCCTCCTTCCCCGTCTGCTCTTCTCGCTAACCTCTCGCCCCTGCAGAGGATGCTTCGCTGCTGCAGACGCTCCTCGTCGTCGTCGGCGCCCTCACTCTGCTCCGGCCGCTCCTCTCCCTCCTCCTCACTCTCCACTCCCTCTTCCTCGCCCGCGGCATCTCGCTGCGCAGGTTCAGCAGCCAGGCTCCCCGCGCACTCATCACGGGTGCATCGGACGGCATCGGCGCCGAGTTTGCGCGCCAGCTCGCGGCCAAGGGCTTCGAGGTGACGCTGGTGGGCCGCAGCAAGGCCAAGCTGCAGGGCGTGGCCGAGGAGATTGGTGAGTTGTGGGTGTGTCTTGAGCGCAAGTGAGAAGCAAGGAGAGGGATGCATGGCGGCGCACAATGGCATCTGGCATGGGCGGGCGATGTGCGAGGTCACGAGGGCGCGGCGCACAGCCCCCTGTGTCACTGCAACCAGCGGGCGATGTGCGAGGCACGAGGGCGCGGCGTACAGCACCCTGGGTCACGTTCCAGCAGTCAATCTCTCGCTGCTGCTCTCATCGCTCTGCTCCTATGAGCGCTTCTGCCACAGATACGCTTTATCAGTCCCCGAACTAACCCATCACCCTCTCCTCTCCCTCCTCGGCAGCTCGCGCCTCTCCCAGTGCCAAGATCGAGCTCCTCATTCTCGACTTCTCCGACGCGTCGCACGCGGGCTGGGAGCACTTGTCCGCCTCCATCTCCAGCGGCACGCCAATTGGCGTGCTGGTCAACAACGTGGGCGTCTCGCATGCCATGCCCGTGCCCTTTGCCACGAGCGACGCAAAGGAGAACGAGAGCATCATCGCCGTCAACGTTGCGGCGCTGGTGCGCGTGACGCACATGGTGTTGCCGGGCATGCAGGCTCGGTGAGTTCGCCTCTTCCCGTTGTTCGAGCCTCTCATCTTGCGGGCAACAGCTGAAAGGAGGTGCCCCCGCCCTCTCCCCGCCCTCTCCCTCTCCTCTCCCCTCTCTCAGCAAGTCCGGCCTCATTCTCAACCTCGGTTCCTTCGCCGGACAATTCGCCACTCCCCTTCTGTCCACGTACTCCGCCTCCAAGTCCTTCCTCCTCACGTTCTCCAAGTGTCTTGGCGCCGAGCAAGCCAACGCGCGCACGGGCGTGCGCGTCACGTGTCTCAACACCTACTTCGTCGTCTCTGCCATGTCGGGCATTCGTCGGTCAAACTGGCTCGTGCCGACGCCCAAGAGCTACGTCAAGACTGTGCTTGCCAAGATTGGCACGAGTGGCGGCGCGGGATGGAGACCGTACAGCGCCACGCTTTGGCCGGGACATGCACTGGCTGATTGGGCAATTACGAACTTGCTGCCCAGCGAGAACTGGCTGCTCAACTATCAGTATAGTGAGTCTGCCGCGCCCATCCACGCCGCCATGCTCTTGCGTTGTGAGACGGCCCTGACGACCCGACTCGCGCAGCTTCGTCGCTCGACGTGCGCAGACGCGCACTGCGCAAGGCGGAGAGACAGGCCAAGGCGCAATAAGCGTCGCCCGTCCGCCCATCAACTCTGCTTCGTTTGCTCATGCTCGTTGTACCTCGCTTCTTCGTTTACGCTCGACGCAGCGCAGTCGAGTGGGAGCGGGTCAAGAATCAGCATTAGCTTCGCGCGCGCGAGGGGCAATACAGTGGGCCAAGGGAGGAGAACAGCTACAGGGGGGGAGGGGGGGAACAGGCGGCAGAAGGGAGGCGAGAGAAGGAGGCAATAGACGTCGTTCGGGCGCGATAGATACGCGACTGAGGGATGCAAGGCGGTCGTGAAGGCGTGGGAGGCGGAGTCGGGACACGGCGGAGTTGAAATGGGAAGCATGATAGGGCGGCGGCGAGGCAGAGGAACGTCGGAGAAAGAAGGGGGTTGGGGGGAGGGCAGTCAATGGGGGGTGAAAGCGGAAGGATTGAAGCGAAGAAGGCGCGGGAAGGGGAAAGGGGCGGCGGCGCGGCGGCAAGCGCGTTCATAGAGCGCGCCAGTTGCCGCCAGTGCCGGCGCCCCACGTGCTCCAGCCCATGGCCCTCGGCGCCTCCTTTGCGCGCTGCACATCGCTCGCCACATCCTCCAGCGCCGCCGCGAGGCGAGCGGCGCCGATGCGCACGGCGGGCACGTGAAACGTCAGCTCGACGCGGCGCGCCTGCCCGGCCGAGTACTGGTCGGCGAGCGAGGGAAAGGAGAGATAGGCGTGCGACGAGGAGGAGGTGGCCGGGTGTGCCGACGAGGCGTGCGCATGCGCGTGAGGCTGGATGGAGAGGACGCATGAGGGCCCGTCGAATTCGAGGACTCGCTCCGGAGGTGGCTGCGTCTTTGTTGAGACGCGAGCACTCGAGGAAGAGGAGGAAGCCGCAGCGGCATGCACGGCTGGCAAAGCTGTCGCCGGAGGAGGCACGAAGAACTCTCGAAAGACGCGATCCAGGCCCTCTGCCACACGCTTCTCCCATCGCATGGGCGCAGGCCATTGAGTGCCATACCTGACCTGTCGCGTCGCATCTCTCGGCACTCCCTGTGGAGCACGCTCGCGGCGCTGCAGCGTCAGGGAGAGACACCAGGATTCGAACGAGTCGAGCGCATCCAGCTGGAAGCGGTACGTCGGCGAGTGAGCCGAGGCGCAGTGCTGCCTTGCCGCGCGCCGCGAGCGGGAAGAAGGGTGCGAAGAGGAAATGGGTCCGGCCCAGTCGTAGGCGTCCAGTGCGGAGCCGAGGGAATCCCAAGTCGTCGCTTCCTCCTCGGCGTGTGCGGCGTCCTCATCTTCCTCTTCGCTTTCGTGCTCTCGCTCTGTCGCTTGAGCGTCGAGAGCAGGCACATCGGGCTCCTCATCGTGCACCAATCTCGCCGCGCTGCGACTGCCTTCGCGCCAAAGATTGGGCGCCGAGACATCGGTAAAGTCGCGCAGGTCGTTGTGCTGTCCTGTCGCTGTTGTTCGTCGTGTCTGCGTCTGCGCCTGCGCGTGCGCTTGAGGCGGTAGTGGCCGCACCTCTTGTGTCTCGCCGGTGCGAGGCAGTACTCTCGCCGGTCCTTCCTCCGCCCTTTCGGGCGTCTCAAACGTCTGCGGCACAGGAGCAATTGACGAGGAGAGGCGCGCGTTGTTGAGTCGAGATTGCAGAGAGGCGGGCAGATTGTAAGGCACGTCTGAGCGCTGTTCTGCCTCGAGATACGTCGCGCCATGAGGAGCGTAGCGCCCGCTCGGGACACTGCCGGCCTGCTCCCGAGCTTTGGACGTCGAACGAGAGCGGCCGCCGCGCGACGAAGATCGAGCGGTGGATCTGGGAGGGAGGAAGTTGAAGTGCGCCAGCGTAGTGATGCCGCCGCCAAGATGGCTGCCGGCCGCGGCTTCTTCAGGGCCAAAATGAGAGAAGTAGAGGATGTGCTTGGTCGTCAGTGTGTCGATTGGACGTTGTGCTTCGAACTGCAGAAAGACTTGCAGTATCAGCGTGGCTCTCTGGCGCCCGCCACGATTCTCTGCAGTCTTGCTTGGCAGACAAGACTCACGATCAAGCGATTGCCCGTGCCCTCTTCTTCACAGCGCATCTCTCGCCACACACAGCCGCGCACGTAGCGATCCACCATATCGGCGTAGAAGCGATCGGCGCGCGCAATGCTCTTGACGAGATGACGGATGGGAATGAAGGAGAGGACGTGCATCTGCAAGGTCGTGGCTCACATCAGCCTTCCCTGCAGCCGTGGAGACGAGAGAGAGGCGGGTTCACGTACTTGCAGTTCATAGGGCAGCCTCTCGGCGAACAGCGCCAGGCAGGCAGCTTCATACGCAGCACGTACTTGACGTTCAAGACGCAGTTCTTGAGCACGAGCAAGAGCGGCAGGACTAGGCGCTTCATTGCCTAGACCTGCACTGCCGCCGCCGGTGCGAAGCGCGAAAGAACGAGGCGTCGACATGTCGAGACGGCGTCTGAGACGGAAACGTGGACGCGTACGAGGAAGCTGGTTACGGAGAGGAGAGGATCTTGACGCGGGCGGAGACGCAGGTGCGGAAGATAGGGTGTTGAGCTCGACTAGCTGAAGCCCCTTCTCCTCCGCTGAGTCCAGGTCCAGCTGTTTCGGAGGCTTCCTTCTGCGCTCAGATGAGGGATTGCCCAGCTCGTCTAGCTTCTTGCCCTGCTTCTTGCCCTTGAGGCGCTGATGTGTCGTAGCCGCTGGCGACTCGCTTCGCTCCTGCTTCGCTCCGGCTCGTCGTGCTGCATAAGCACGCACGGCCAGGGGCAGGAGGGCGAGATGGCGCAGTGCCATGGCGCATGGGACAGCGAATCGTCGCGATGGGCAGGAGATGGTATGGGGAGCAAAGGTGAGGAGCGAAGTGTCAGAGATTGGACGAGGGCGCACTTGTCTGGCCGCACTCACGCCGAGATCTCAGCGCGGGACGTGCGCCGGTGCGTCGGAAGCACGCGTGACGGCTTGCGCAGGGAACGAGGCAGTCTCCCTGCGTGCTTGCTGAGTGTCTCGCTGTTTGAAAGCCACTCTGCGGAATCGAGAGATCTTGGGATGGCCGGGGCTGAGGCTGCTGCACTGAGCGCACTGAGCTCGCGGCATGCACGCACGCACCAGCACGCGCGTGGCCAGGCTTGGTGCCGCTGCACGCGCGCCAAGAGTGAGGTGACGGGTGTGGCTGTGGCGCGTGTGAGACACCCGACGTGCTCAGCACGAGCGCGACTTGCGACAGCGGCGAGGCGTGCCTGACGGAGAGTCCGGACGCAGAGACGAGGCGGACAGACGTGAGAGATGGAGAAGGCCTGAGCTGGAGGTGTTGGTGGAGCGAAGGCTGGAAGCAGCAGGGGTGCAGCAGGAAAGCAGATGCGGGGAAGCCTCGGCGTCTGCGTCTGCGTCTGCGCTGTTGCCGTGCCGGCGGCGCGCTAACGGCCTATCGCCGCTCTCGCGCCGCCGCGGCGGGCGAGGGAGCTCGAGACGAGGCGCTCCCAGCGCTGCGAGAAGCACTTTGACGCCCGACCAGCTTTGGGGTCAGGAGCAGGCGTCAGGAGCCAAAAGCACGCCTGGAATAGAAGCATGCTATCTCCAGCTGGCTCCTGAGCCATGGCCGAAGACTGCCTGGCGCTTCGAAGGGAGAAGTGGACTGTGAGGTCGGGGTGCGCGGGCAGCGTCTCGAGGCCCTTGTTCACGCCGTGGGAACACAGCGTGGACGGCATCGGGCCTCCACAGCACGCGCCCAGAGCCGCGCGGCGCCGCTCCTTGCCTCCTCACCACGTTCCACCTGCGCGGTCGCCGGGCCAGTCATGCCGCTCCTCACACCTCTCCAGTCCGCCGCGTGCAGCTCGCTCCTCACGCTCTCCTACGTCGGCGGCCTCTACATTTCCGCCTCGACGCGCGTCGGCTCGCTCGTGCCTGCCTCCTCCGCCGACGTGGGCGCCGACGACACGCCCGCCTCGGCCGCCGCCGACGCGGCGCCGCGGCGGCGCGGCAAGAACGACGAGGACGTCGTGTATGCGCGGCTGCGCACCGTGGGCATCGTCAGTGTGGCAGGCGTGGGCGCCACCATTGCAGTGCTGTGGCAGGCCGGCGCCGCTCGGGAGTCGGTGCGTTTTGCTCACACCCGCCCGTGCTCCTCTTACTCGACTGACCCTCGAAAGTCATTCGAAGCGACCATTCTTCCGTCTTCTCTCGCTCCTCTCCGCGCTCGGCATGCCGCTGCCTACTCCCTCGCTCTTGACGTCCTCGGCACCCTTTGAGCCCTCGCTCTCCTCCTACTTGCTCTCGGGCCTGCGTTCGATTGGCTACGCCCTCGGTCTCACGGCCACGCTCTACACTGGGCCGCTACTGGTCTCAGGCTTGGATGAGGAGCTGCCGGGACAGAAGGAGTTCGAATACAAGCGGGACGTGAGGGGCAAGTGGGACAATGTGTGGGGATTGAGGAATTACGTCGTCGTGAGTGTCACTTTCCTTTGCCCCTCTTCTCCTCACTTCTTCGAGCGGCACAGCAAAGCTACGCCAGCTCCCTCGCTGCGTGCGTCAGGCTGACACACGGGCCTACGCAGGGCCCGCTCACCGAAGAAGTCATCTTCCGAGGCTGCATCCTCGCGCTCACAGCTGCTGCAGGCGCCAAAGGCGGCGTGATGATCTTCGCCACGCCGCTGTACTTCGCCATCGGTGCGTCTGCTTCTTTCTCTCCCGTGTTTTGCTCCTTTCGAGCGCTCGAGCACACCTCGTCGCTCCTCGAAGAGAAGAGCAGGGCAAGCGCAGCGGCAAGGCGAAGCGCAGTGGGACGGGGTCACTGACGACGCTTCTCCTGCCAACAGCACACGTGCATCATGCGTATGAAACGTACCTGGATTCCGGAAAGACGAGAGAGGGCCTGGTGAGAGGGGTCACGCATGCTTGTGAGTGTATCTGCTACGTGATGAGACACGAGGGAAAGGAGCTGTAGACACACGTACAGCCGGAGCGAAGCTGGAAGGCCGGGCTGAGCATGGGTTGAGAAGGAGTTGCTCGGAGAGGGACGACGCAAAGAAGCAAGGGAGCAAGCGTGCGAGAGAGCGTCGGGGCTTTCTCTGCGTGCGAACACTCCGCATTGCTTTCCTCTTCGATGTATTGCCCCTCTCCCTTCTCGGCTCTCGCTGCGCATCTCTATCGTCAGCCCTAACCTCTCTCCTCTCAAAGCCATCCAGTTCGCCTACACCTGCATCTTCGGCTGGTACGCCAATTTCCTGCATCTGCGCACCGGCAATCTGCTCGCGCCGCTCACCGCACACGTGTTCTGCAACATTATGGGCCTCCCAAACCCGGCGGGCGCGAGCAAGAGACACATGCAGCGCAAGGGCGCAATCTACGCGGCGCATCTCGTCGGCATCGTGGGCTTCGCTTGGGGCATCGCGGCGCTGTGAGGGCAATGAGATGCGTGCACTGGGAAGAGAGTCCGAGCTGTCTCGCGGCTCGAATCATCTATCAGACATGACACGAAGCGTAGCTCAAGCATGCATTTCGGCGAGCCGCCAGCATTCGCTCAACACATGCCATGTAAACCGATGTCGCACCGGTCTCTCGTGCCTGGCTCGGCCCCAAGACCAAGCCGGGCATCGAGAGGCCAGTGGGAAGTCGGCTTCGTGCCATCTGCGAGGCAAGTGCTGTCGAGCAGCGGAAGCGTGAATCGATACCTCGAGCTTCGTCAAAGCGAGAAGCCTGGCGCTGCGGACGTAGCCCCCACGCTCTGCTAAGCGAAGGTCGCACGTCTCACACGGGCAGCGGCGTAGCTTGGTGCGCCGATGGACCGTGTGAGACGCCCGATTTCGACGCTGACAGAGTGCAGAGGCGTGTCCTCGAGCGCAGCGAGCGCCGAATGCGCCGAGTGTCCATAGTCTCGACGGGTGAGGGGTGTGCGGAGCCTGGCATCGTGCATGACTTGACTGCGACGTCGTCGGAAGCGAGCAGACGAGAGAGACAGCTTCGCTCCTGGCGGTCGTGCACGCTCACCGCGTGGACTCGATTCTACGCCAGCAGCTAAACCTGGTCATGTACCGAAGACGCCATCGCGCTCGCTCGAACGCGATGGCGCCACGGGTACACGACCAGACTCAGGTGCTGGCGTGGAATCGAGCCGATCACGTTGGGCAGGCGTTGGAAGTAGTGCAAGAAGACGTCGCTGTGGGAGGGACCGTTTAGCTGACGCTCCGGACTTCCGGCGAGAAGACTCACCTCTCGCACGCGCAATCAGAATGGACGCTGAACTTGCGACAGAGAAGTTCGGAACCGAGCGCCGTCTCGTCCGTCCATCGCGTCGCTTCAGGGTCTCCTCAGCTTCCATCCATCACCATCGCACATGAGGCGCCACCGCGCTGACTCGAGCGCGATGACGACACGTGTGCGATGGGGAGGTTTGGACTCTGACAGAGCACGGAGGCAATTGTGGACGGCGCGGGCGGGTGTGGTGCACAGAGTAGTCGCTGAGGCCGGGCGAGCGTCAGCTGATGCGCAGTCATTTGAGCCAGAAGGAGCTCACTCTTTGCGGGCGCGACACGCACCAGGCGCGCTGCAGGCGAAGGGACTCTGAAGCAGCATGCGAAGACCCTCACACACAGAGCCAGAACGAGAGACGGGCGGTCTCTGTTCGTGGCGCCGTGTAGCGTAGGCTCGTCGCATGCTGCTGTCGTTCTTGCTCTCCTTTGAACGATCAGCGCCTCTGCTGGCCGCCTGCGAGGGGTAGCATGGCGTCAGTCGCGAACGTAGTGCGAGCAGGTGGCTAGACGTACCAAGGAGTAGGTGGCGTGCAGTGGTGCGCCAGAAGAGGCATCTTCCTCGACGGCAACTCGGAAGCTCGACATCTACGGCACCAGGACGCGAGACGAGCGCGTCTCTGTCCGGATGACGTGAGACACCGAAACTCCCCGGAGCCGTACGTTGAAGACGTTCCATCTGACGGCCGCTGTGCTGCCATCGAAACGCGCTCGGCATCGGCCAGAGGTTCGAGATCGCGGCTGGCGGGCGCCGATGCACAGCGGCATGCCGACTCGATGCTTGCTGATGAGCTCGCGAGTATCATCGAGCGGTCACTTGGCTCCACGAGACATCCTGGCCAGCATCCCGCTGCTAGCGCGATGCTGGCAAAGATGCGATCGTGTTACCAAGTCACCTCTCGACGACGTTCCGCGGCTCGGCCTTGAGTCGGACCGCGGTAGCCGTCGCGTGGTCAGAGAACGACTGCTCCGAAGCGAGGCGACCGAGTGCTCGCAGGCTTGTCGACCGAACGCCATCTGCATTGAGACGACGTCTTCCAGCGATGAGTAGAAGAGGCCAAGGAGGGTCGATCGACGGACGAACGGATCTCTCCGATCCAGCCTCGCGACGGCCAGCTGAGACTGCGCGTGCATCGCAGTGTAGCTTCGTCGTCGCAAGGCTGGACAAGCGAGGATCCGTCGGACCGTCGGCGATGTGAAGTGCAAGCAGAGGGATCACATGCCGGAGAAAGGCTGACGGCTGGATGAAGCGAGCAGCATGAAGTGAGCGCGCAGCTGCGCGTATGTGTCGCGATACGTACGCCGTCAGGTCGTCGATCGAGGGAAAGTGATCACGAAAAGAGAAGCGAAGACGGCGGTGATCGACGGCCCGATGGAGCAAGACGGATCGTGTGGCTACAGGATCGACTGGCTGAGACTGCGTCGCTACGCAGTCGAGCCAATCGCCTGAAGCCGCAGAAGCCGCGTTGATCCATCGAACTGTCGATACGAAGAGGCGAAGAAGGAAAGAGCGTCCGCATCGTGGATCGTCGCAGGCTGTCGAAACGCACACGCCAGGCGTGGCGCGAGCTACATGGTCGTTCGCGTTGCATGGGTCGTCGTCGGCCGTCGCGATGATGCTAATCGCGAGTCCGGCGTCGACGTATGCAACGTCGGCGATATGTAGCTGACGTCGCGTGATCTTGTGCGCTACGAGCACCCGATTACGATCGCTGATGCGGAGGTACGATGACGATGAGACTCGCCGCTTGTCGAAGGAAGCCCGCAATATCTGATCGAGCTGCGGCAAGCCATCATCATCGTCTACGCATCAAGACATCGCCGCTGGCCCTCGCAATGGCGAGAGCGACGTCGATGCGCTGGTGCATGTTTGATAAGAAGGCGTGCCGACGCGTGATCAAGGCGACGTGAGCGCACCTGACGACTGGGCACATCGAGCGGTGAAGACGAGAAAACTCTGTCGTCCTGTTGAGGTAGCCCGAAGCGCCGAGGACGATGGGCAATGCCGTCTTCATGTCTCCGACATTGCAGGGCATCGCAGCCGGCCGTCGCGGTAGCGAAAGCGGCACCGATGCCCTGCAACATAGGAGACACAAAGATAGAAATCGCTCATCTGCCCTGAGCGCAGCAAGCGTCCCTGACGACGGCGTCGAAGCGAAGTCGACAGCGACGAAGCCGTGCGAGACGTCGAAAGATCGATCCGTCTCGCCGAAGAAGGCGGCACGCCCGAAGCGAAGAAAGAATGACGGTGCATAGAAAGCTCGCTCCGCTGCTTCGTCGGCGATCTGCGCGATGATAGAAGCGCGAGACCGGCGCCGAAGCAGCTGAAGCGCGCTTCCATGCCCCGCATCAAGGACGTCTCGGCCGCGCTGATCCTCCGAGACCGTCGATGCGAAGCACTGCGAGTCGACGGCAGGCTAAAAGAGCGGCCAGAGAGTCGATCTGCCTTGCTACCGGTCGCAAGTCGGAGCCGGCAGACGACACGATGAGTCAAGCTCGATTGGGAGCGCAACATGACGGCGAAGGCCGCTGCGATGAGAGTCATCGCGAGACCGTCGTCGACAGATCTGATCCCAGTCGAGTCCGAGCCAGCGTGGCGCTTACGTCTTTGACCGTGCTGCGTTCCGCGAACGCCGTCGAGGCGAGCAGCAAAGACGACGACGACGAGGCGAAAGTGCCGTAGAGTCGATCGGCCTGGAAAGACGCGCATCGAAGATTGGAGACGACACGATGGCCCAGGCTCGTCCAGCTCCCCCTCAATCCCCGCGGATCGTCGCGATGATGCGAATCGCGAGGTTAGCCGTGGACAGAGCGCCATGTGCGAGAGCATGATGCAGCGCGTCGTCGAAGATCTCGCCGTCTCGGTGCTTGGCGTTGCTGCCGATGCGGAGGAGCGAAGACGATGATGACAAGGCGAAGCAAAAGGTCGAAGACTGCGTCTTGACGAAGCAGATGGCATGTCGGAGCTCGTTGGCGATACGATGGGCCAGGCTTGATTATGACTCGGCGTATCGCCGCAGGCAGTCGCGATGATGCTAATCGCAAATGCCGACGTCGATAGCGCCTAGCGTAGCCAAGCCTGGCCCCGTAGTCTCGCCGACGAGTCTCGTGATACAGGTCTACGTGGCCGCTGTCAATGCCGAGGAGCGAAGAGGGTAGACGAAGTGAGACGTCGAAGAGCTTCTTGACGAGGCTTGTGCTTAGAGCGCCGACGGCGAAGGAGAAGAGGACGAAGCGCACATCTTCAGCGTTGCGATGGGCCAGGAACGAGCGCGACCAGGCATCTCCGCAAGGTGTCACGATGAGACTCATCGTAAGTCCTACGGTGATGTCTTGTGGCAGCCTTTCAGCTCAAAGGAAAGCGGACGACCGATCTCTTGCGCATCAGGCTTGCAATCGATGCGGAACAGTCGAGACGACAAAGACGAAGTCGCAGTGAGCGCTCGAGATATCGTCGAAGAATGCAGGCATGTCGAGCTCCTTCGATACGCCTTGCCAAGGACGCGAGACGAGCTGAGAGCGCCGCTCCGGCTCGCGCAAAGGCGTACACCGGAGCGTCGAGTGACTGATGATGGTGGAGCGGGGGACGGCGGCGAGCCGACGGGCGCGGCACTTTATAGGCGACGCAACGGCAACGCTCGGGCCTCCGCGCGGGCCCCCGCTGCCGCCGTGATGAGCTCCTGATCGCACGAAGCATACGCCGCTGCGATCGAGCGGGCACGCCAGGAGTCAGCCGCAGGAATCATGCTCTGCTTCCGCGCTTTCTGGCGGCAACGGCGCAGTCCGATAACTCTGGCCGGTGAGAGGAGATGGGCGAAGCCCGGGCGAGGACAAGGAGCGCCGAGCAGCGCTGTGAGCCGCGGCTTTCGAGCGGCGAGCGTGGGAACACAAAAGTTGAGCTGCCTCCCGCGCCGAAACTCGCGGCCTCGCGGCTCGCGTCTCTTCTCCACGCGGCGCGCAGCTTCCTTCCTTCCTGCCTGCCCCATCTCACCACGCCATGTCTTCTCGGCCGTCTACCTCTGCCGCAGGTGCCAGCACGAGCGGCACCAGCAAGCCCAAGCCTGTCAAGGCGGGCAGCAACTGGAAGAAGCTGCGCAAGGTGCGTCTCTTCCACTCTCTCGTGTGTGCGCCTCTGACGTCCTCGCAGACGCTCGCACCAAGCAGTGACGAGCCCTCGCCCAAGCGACGACGTCCGCTGCCACGCTCCGAGCCATCCAGCAGCTCTCTGCGTCTCGACTCTCCGGCCACAGGCTCGCCGGCGCCCACCACGCTGCCGTGGTTTGCCGAGGATCTCTCGCCTGAAGATCTGGCACTCGTGCGTACTGCCGGCACGCAAGCGCCCCAGGGCTCTGCTTCGGCGCTTGGAGTAGCCGAGACGCGAGAGGAGCAGCGCCGCAAGAAGGCGATCATCCTTGGTGGGCGCAAGGAGGATGCGGAGGGCAAGCGCGAGTGAGTGTGGGCCTGCGCAGAGCGACAAGGGCCCGCACTCGGTGACTGACAGCCCGCGCCAGCCCCGGCACGTATCTGGCCATCGACTGCGAGATGGTCGGCGTGGGTCCGTTGGGCTCAGAGTCGATGCTGGCGCGCGTCTCGCTCGTCAACTGGCACGGCCACGTCGTGCTCGACACCTTTGTGCGGCCGCTCGAAAAGGTGACCGACTATCGCACGTGGGTGTCTGGCGTGCGAGCCAGCGACCTGAAAGGCGCACCGACGTTTGCCGACGTGCAGGCTCGCGTGGCGGCGCTCATCAAGGGCCGGGTGCTCGTTGGTCATGCGATCCAGAATGACCTCAAGGCACTGCTTCTGAGCCATCCACGGCCCCTCGTGCGCGACACGGCCACGTTCAAGCCGCTGCGCGACATTGCAAAGACGAAGCATCCGGCGCTGCGCAATCTCGCACGCCTGGTGCTGGGCATCAGCATCCAGGTGGAGGGCGAGGAGCACTCGTCGGTCGAGGATGCACAGGCGACAATGGCCGTGTATCGCACGCAGCATGCGGCATGGCAGAAGGCCCTGGGGCGCGAGGCAAAGGGCAGAAAGGGCGTCGTGGGCGCGGGCGAGGCGGCGGGAGAGGAGGGAGAGAAGATTGAACGCACGGCGAGAAAGGCAAGTGCAAAGGCGAGACAGGGCAACGCAGAGGCGCAGAGTGCGGTCAAGAAGGCGGCGCCAGCGGCGGAGTGGTGGAAGGAATGAAGGAGGGGAGGCCGGGGCCATCGACACACACGTCACGCAATCATCACTCGCACGCCCTCGGCTGGTCCTTGGATGAGCATTTTGCATTTTTTGTGTCGAGTCACAGCCCGACTCTCTAGAGCACATCGAGCACCGCCGAGTCACTGCACCACGGCTCATGCTTGCGCATCGCCTCGCGCGCCTCGCGCGCCGGACGCGCCACCTGAGGGTCTGCTGCCGCCCAGTTGCCCACGGCGCGCGCCAGCTTGGTCTGCACGCCAACGTCGTACAGCTGCTGCGGGGCGCGCTGCGCCATGGCCGCGACGGCAAGCGCGGCGAGCTGCGGGTCCGTCTGAGGCAGCACATGCTCCTGTACGAGGGCCGTGGCTGCCTCCTCGTCATGCGAGGCGAGCAGCAGCGCCAGGACGTCGGCAGCAGCCACCTTGAAGCTCTCGTGCGGGAATCCCCCGGCCTCGAACGTCTCGCGCAGCAGGGCATCGATGGCCTCGCGTGCCGGTGCGCCAATCGTCTTTGCAGAGTCGAGCACGCGCACCAAGGCCTGCATGCACGAGTCGGCGATCGTCTTGGCATCCGCTGCTCCTGGCACCGGCGCAGCAGTCGAGGCAGCTCCGGCGGCCGGCAGGGGCCCGCCGGCACCAGGGCGCGCGTGGCCGACCAGCTCGAGCACCACGGCATCGACGCGCGCCGCCTGCAGCGACATGAGCACTCCCAAGGCGATCCCCGCGCGGTTGCGGACGTTGGGAGACGTCGGATCCGTCACGGCCTTCTGGAAGCTGCGCTGCAGCTGCGGCAGGAAGGGCTTGGTGTGCTGCGGCACGCGTCTGGCGAGAACGGCAGCGTCAGCAATGCAGCGACTGCAGACATCAGCCGGGAGCAACGGCAACGCACTGCAGCATCGTCGTGAGCGCAGACAGGATGGCCGCCTTGACCGCTGCGGGGTGCCGGTCGCCGCACGCGCGGATGAGCGGGCCGACCATGGAGACGACGAGCGGCTTGATCGCGTCGGCAGACGTGCGCTCGACGATGTCGGCCAGACCCAGCGCGCCCTGCTCGCGCTGCTCGGCCGTGCCTGAGGGGGGAGCGTGTTAGCATGTGCATCGCCCAGCGGCGGTGATAACAACCCACCGTTGAGGAGACCAGCGAGGAACACGGGCACCAGCGGCGCGGCGCCCTTGGGCCGGCAGAAGCCCGGCAGGTCCTCCCCCGGCGCGCCCGTGCTCTCGACGGTGCGGCGCATGGGCACGACGAGATTCTCAATCTCGCCCTTGGGCACCGTCTTGAGGCACACGTCCAGCGCCGCCCACGCCTCGTCGACGACGGCCGGCGTGCGGTCCTCGAAGAGCGAGATGAGGCGCCGCACCCAGTCGACGTAGTAGTCGCCCATGTCCACGTCGGCGTTCATGACGCGGCAGAAGACGGCAAAGAAGCGACAGCCCGTGGCGCGCTTCGCGGGGCTCTCCGCCGAGCCGGCCCAGCCGAGCAGCAGCAGCATCAGCTGGTGCACGCCGTCAAAGTCGGCCACCGTGCCGAGGATGCTCGCCACGGCGCCGTCAAGCTCCGCCCGCACGCTCTCGTCCTGCTCGGCGTCGAGCGACTTGGAGAGCGCCGTCAGGATGCCCGAGAGGCGGCGGTTGAGCGCCGTGCCCGCAGCGCGCACCAGCGCCGAGAGCGCACGCGCATTGAAGGCCGTGATGGGCTGCGCCGTGAGCGTCGGCACCACGACGGGGAAGACGACGTCGCCGCGCGCACGCATCACCTCGCGCAGCGCCGCCAGCGCCGTTTCGGAGCTGCCGCCGGCGTCCTGGCTCTGCAGCGCGCCGAGCAGCGTCGGGATCGTCTCGTCGATGGCGCGCGAGCCGATGACCTGCTGCATCGAGTCGAACGCCTGCGCGGCCGCATGCCGCACCTTGGCCGACTCGTCGACGAGGCCGTGCCGCACAATGGCGATGAGGCTGTCCTCGTGGTCCTCGAGCTGCGTCTTGGTCGCGCCCGCGAGAATCTCGGTGACGGCAAAGCAGACACCGGCGCGCAGCAGCGGCTCGGTGGCCTCGGCGCCCTTGAGGCGCAGCAGCGGGATCGACTCGCCCAGGATGCGCTCGCCCAGCTTCGCCACGAGCTCGCCGAGCGTGCGGCCGGCCATCTCGCGCTGCTCGACGCCCTCGGAGGCGAGGCTCTTGATGATGATGTTGAGCATGACGGGCAGCACCTCGCGCGCCGTCTTTGGCGTGTTGGACACGAGCGACTTCCAGATGTTGATGGCCATCTGGCGCACGTTGACCACCGAGTCCTGCCGCAGAATGTACAGGCCGGCAAGCACGGCGTCGCGGCGGTCCTGGCCGAGCGCCTCGATGAGCTGCTTCTGGATCGAGTTGCCGACCATGGTATTCTCCTCGGCCGCGCCCTCGCCGTCCTCGCCGTCCTCGACCTCGTTCTTGCCCGAGATGCTGGCGCACTTGAACAGCAGGTCCGCCACAAGCTGGATCGACGACATGCGGATGCGCCAGTTCTCGTCGAACATGCCCTGCTCGAGGTGCGGCAGCAGCAGGTCGACGGCCTTGGATGCGTCCTGGTTGATGATCATGCGGCCGGCGCGCATCGAGGCGTCGCGCACCGGCTCCTCGGGATCGGCAATGCCCGACAGAATCGGCGGCACAATGCGCGACATGTACGGCGCAAAGCGCGTCGGGCCAAACGTGGCGGGCAGGTAGATGAGCAGCGAGAGCGCACCGGCACGCACGTAGGCGCGCGGGCTCGACGCATAGCCCACCACCTCGGGCAGCAGCGAGGCCATGCGCTCGATGCCGAGCGCCGCGAGCACCTCGGCCAGACCTTGCGCCGAGCCCTGCCGGTCGACACCCGTCGCGTCGGATCGCAGCACCTGCAGCAGCGACGGCACGAGCTCGACGAAGTTGACCTCGCCGAGGCGCTCCACGAGCGTGCCGAGCGCCTTGGCCGCCACGGCGCGCGCCTCGGGCACGGGCGAGACGAGCACGAGACGCACGAGCGGCACGAGGTTCTTCAAGTACGGCACAAAGTCCTTGGAGTCGGTGATGCTGGCCAGATTGCCGACGATGCGCGATGCGTCCTGTCACCAGGCGTCAGCGCAAGCCAGGCGGACGCGCGGGCACAACTCACCTTCGAGATCGCCGCGCTGCGCTCGCGCAGGCCACGCTCCAGAATCGGCACGACGAGCGCCAGCGACGGGCCGTCGAGCACGTGCGAAAAGGACGTGCGCAGAATGCGCGTGAGCGCCGCCTGCGTCTTGGCCGTGGGGTCGATGAGCGCCTTGAGGAGCACGGGCACAAGCTTCTTGATCTCGGGATTCGAGATGACGCCTCCGAAGCCGGCCAGCGCTCGCTCGGCCGCCTGCCGCACCTGCGTGTGCGAGTCCTTGAGCGGCTCGTTGAGGTTGGGGATGATGGTGGGCAGGGCCGCCGAGAGCTGCCGCGGCGCACAGTACGCCATGGCGCCGAGCAGCTCAATGGCGCCCTTCTTCGTGCGCCACTGCTTGTCCTCGAGGCCCTCGAGGAGCGTGGGCAGGATGATCTTGGTGCAGTAGCCGGTGACGTTGGACATGAGCACGCGCGCCGTGTCCTGCGTCGCCTCGCGCACGTCGGGCGTGCCGTCGGCGAAGCCCACAAGCATGTGCGGCAGAATGCCGGGCACGTACGGCTCGAAGAGGCGGCCGAGCGTGGCCGAGAGCGTCTCGTACGCCATCATGGCGCCCTGCCGCGCCTGCGAGCTCTTCTTGTCCTCGATGGCGTCGGCCAGGCGCTGCATGATGCGGAACTCGGCAATGGCAGAGATGCCGCGGCCCTTGACCACGCCCGCCAGACCGTACGCCGAGCCACGGCGCAGCGCGTACTTGGGCCCGGCCAGCAGGTTGCTGAAGAGGCGATCGACCAGCGGGCGCACGTTGGGGCCGAGCGAGCGCACGAGCGGCGGCAGACAGTCGGTGACGGCGACCTGCACCAGCTCCGACGGCGTGGCGAGCGCGCTGATGAGGCGCTCGACGACCTGTCCGACGCGCGGGTCCTTCGAGTCGAGATGGCGCGCCAGGCGGCCAAACAGGATCACCACGGCCTCCGTCACGCCGTCGTTGCTCTCCGTCGACGGCGTCGGGTGCGCGAGGTACGACTCGAACATGTGGATGAGCTCAGCCAGGCGCTCGGCGCCCAGTGCGTCGATGACGGCCGAGCCGGCATCCAGCATCTTCTGCCGCACCTCCTCGGAGCGGTCGCCAAGCGCCTCGCCCTGGATGAGGAACTCGAAGAACGGCTCCACGTCGCTGCCGTTGAAGAGCGGCGCCAGGTGCTGGAAGGCGAGCGCAATGGCCACACGCGTGCGCCAGGGGTCCTCGCGTCCGACCGTCGAGTCGATGACGAGGCCGTACTTGTCCAGCTCGGGCTTGAGCTCGACGGCGCGCAGCTCGTACAGATGCCGCAGCGCCGCAATGACGTCGGTGACGGCCTCGGGGTGCATGCGTGCCGCCTCGGCCAGCGCACGGCCGGTGCTGAGGCGCACAAAGACGTGCGTGTGCTCCAGCAGCGGCACGAGCGCCGGAGCGAACACCTCGGGCACGTCCAGGCCATTCTCCTCCCACGCCTTCTCCGCCAGACGCGCATTCTCCTCGTCCTCGTCGTGGCACGCCAGCCAGAGCTCGACGCAGAACTCGATGTTCGTCAAGTCGAGCGGCAGCAGCGCCTGCAGGCTGCCCGAGCGCACCGAGACCTCGTCTGCAAGCGCATGGCGCAGGATGTTGCTGATCTCGTCACCCGTCGCAGACGTCTTCATCGCCTCGCCCATGGAGCGCATCGCCGAGACGGCGTCCTTGGCCAGCTGGCCGTGCTTGGCGACGACGTGCGCCAGATCGTCGATGAACTCGAGGCGCGGGAAGCGCACGTCGCTGCATGCGCCGGCGTGGTAGGCGATGAAGTCGAGCGCCAGCTGCACCTGCTCGGCAGCGCTCTCCGAGTCGTCCTCGGGCACGCCGAGGCCGCCTTGCGTGATGACGCTGGTGAGCAGCGGGGCGACGAACGAGACCGTCGTGAGGTCCAGCGGCCCCTGCTCGGCGACGAAGCGCAGGCGGTAGAGGACACGCGCCACGAGCTCGCCAAAGGACTCGCGGCGCAGGTCTTCGCTGACAAGCTGCTCGTCGACGCTTCGGAGCAGTGCTGAGCGCATCGACACCTCGTAGTCCGCCAGGCGCGGCGAGATGCACGACGAGAGCGCAGAGAAGGCGCGCAGCGCTTCGTCGCGCGACAGCGTCAAGGCCTGCGAGATGCCAAGCACGCTGAGCACGAGGCGCGTGAGCGTTGACATTGCCGAGTCGATCTCCTCGACGTGCGCCGCGACGATGCTGCTGATGGTGCGCAGCGCACGCGTGAGGCGCAGCTCCAGGGCAGCCACGCGCGCTCGTGCGGCCGCCTCGACGTTGAGCTGCGCATCGATGGCCGCCTTCTCGTCGCGCGTGTACGTCTTGTTCTCGGCGGCCTTCTTGCGGGCGATGGACTCGCGCAGCTCCGCCTCCCACGCCTCAATCTTGGCGTCTTTGTGGTTGCGCTTCTCTGCCGTCTTCTCCTTCTTGGCCGAGAGAATGTCGATGAAGAGCGTGCCCTCCTCGGTGCGCCACATGCCCAGGTCGTCCGACGTAAGCGCGGCGAGCTCGACCAGCTGCACGTTGTTCTGGATGTCCAGCACGAGCTGCGAGATGGCCATGTCGGGCGCAACGAGCACCAGCGTCGAGTACGCGGCGAATGCAGCGTCGCGCAGGTACGGCAGCTCAACGGCATCGCGCGCCGTCGCGAGCAGCTCGGCGAGACGCTGCTCGACCAGCACGCGCGGGTCAAGGCGCGAGCGCTGCACGAGGTCGATGAAGAAGGCGCGGTCCCGGTCCTCGAGCGCGGCATGGTGCGCCACAACCAGCAGGCCGACGAGGACGCTTTGCCGCACCGACTCCTCCGTCGCTTCGGACGACGACGCGGCCGCCTGCAGTAGCGCACGCAGCGGACGCGAGACGTCGCGCGTCTTGCTTGCGGCATCCTCCTCTGCTGCATCTTTGGCACTCTTCGCGACGGCTTGCTGCTGTGCACGCTTCTGCAGCCAGTCGTTGACGCCGTGCTGCACGAGCGCCGCTGCCAGCTCCGCATCGCTGCGCGCCAGCACCTGCGTCGACTTGACGGCCGCGCGCGACGTCGAGTTGTGTGTGCTACCAAACACGGCATGCATCAGTGCCATGGCGGCAGCGACACGCCCACTGGGCTCGCTCTTGAGCGTCGATGCGTGGCCTGTGAGGACGCTCTCGAGCGCCCGCACGAACCACAGCTCCTCGGCGTCGCTCGTCGCTCGCCGATACACCTTGTCCCAGAGCACAAAGGAGGGCTTGATGCCGCCGGCTGCGATGCTCTGCAGCACGGCATTGTCCGAGCGTATCTTGGCTGCGCCGCCCCACTGGGCGAGCCGCCCCTCGATGACCGCGACGGCAACGTAGCCCTCAAGCGGTCCAGCAGGAGACGTGAGCGTGTTGGTCGTGGCTGCCTTGATGTTGGCCTCGAGTCCCGGCAGCAGCGCATCGCCAAAAGCCTTGGCTGCAGCCGAGGCGCTGCCATCGGCCGGCAGCTCCCAGAGCAGCGATCCAACGCCGGCACTGACGGCCTTGCGCAACGGGATCTTCGCATTTTGCAGCTCCTTGCAGAGCGCCGGCGCGACTGAGGCAGGCACGGCAATGTTGGAGCGCAGGCAGTATCCGAGATGAGCCGAGAGGGCGCTCATGGCTGCCTGCATGGCTGCTTCTTGCGCCTCCTTTGCCAGCGTGCCTGCGACGACTTCGCTGATGGCCGGACTGAGCTCTGCGCTTGCCGGCACGACGTGCAGCATCTGGAACAGCGCGGCGCGGTGGTCTGGCGAGCTGGCCTTGCCGCTCTTGAGCACCGCGAGGAACTCGTCGATGCCGCCGCGCACGTCTGCGGCGCTACTCCGCGCCACGAGCGTGCCGAAGAGCGCCACGGCGCGCGTGCGGGTAGCAGCGGCGCTGGAGCGTGAAGCCGACATGATGGCGTTCTGCAGTGCCTTGAGGTGCGGCCCGACATTGCCGGCATACGCTGCGAAGCAGCTCGAGGCGACGGGCAGGGCCAGCTCGGGCGAGCGCAGCAGCATCTTCTCCATCGCAGGTCGCAGCGTCTGCGTCATGTCCTCCTCTGTCACTTCGGCAGCAACAAAGTCGTGCAGGGCGGCATGCACGTGCTCCGGCACGGCCGTCTTGGACGACACGACGTGGCTTGTGAAGAAGGAGAGAATGGCGGGCTTGGCTGTGCTGACGTAGCTGCGGCCAGTGCCGCCTGCCTCGCCCTTGGCCGCCTCTCCGCCGATGCGCAGACGCAGAGAGACATCGACAATGAGGCCCAGGAGCGTGACGGCGCGCAGTGCGGCCGGACCGGCTGCCGTGGCGGTGAGCGTCTCGACGAGGGCCGGGATCTGCGTGTGGTTCTGCGGCCACCCTCGTGGTCAGCACATGGCTGGCAGCCACACGCTGACACCAAGCACACAACTCACCTGTCTGACAGTCCTCCGCGTACTGCGCAGCACCGAGCGCTTCAGCGCCGGCCGCAGCTCGCTGCCCATCAGCGAGTCATACGCCAGGGCAATGCTGCCGACGAGCGGCTCCCAGCAGACGCTCTTGCTCGGCTCGCTCTCGGCGCACAGTGCGGCAAAGGTGCAGCAGAGCCAGCTGAGCAGATTGATGCGCGTCGATGCGACGCCCGCTGCGCCCGCCTTGCAGAGGCGCTCGGCGTCGCGGCGCAGGTAGCCGACAGCGTACTTGAGGAACGGCGGCGCGCCGCCGGAGCTCTCGGTGGCCGACGGCGCACGCAGCAGCGCCTCGAGGGCCGCCTGTGCGGCCAGCTGCGAGGCGCGGTCGACGTAGCGCGCGTACATGGGCACGAGCAGCGCCACGAGCTCGGTGCGCTGCGCCGCCTCCAGGCCGCTCTCTGGCGGGGGGGCCATGGCGCCTCAGTGTGCTGTGCGCCTGCACCTGCAGCAGTCGCCCCGCGTCACTCACCTGCATCCTTGGCCAGCGGCAGCAGGCGCTGCTGCAGAAAGACGAGGCGCTCCTTGGTGCTCGTGCTGGCCACTCTGCGCGCCGCGCCGGCGACAAAGGCGTCCCAGTCGTGCGCCGGGCTGGGCGCCTCGGCGTCGTCGTGGGCCGCCGCGGCGCGCGTGGCGGCGCCGGGCGCCATGTCGTCGTCGTCGGCGTACGGGTCGGCGAGGCTGCTGGGCACGCTGCTGTGGACTGCCCAGTGCTTGACGTCCTTGCTGCGCATGCAAGGGAAGAGCGCGTGTGAGGGGGATGGTGGAGGCGAGCGTGGCCTGAGCGGCGCGAAGGTGAGAAGACGTGGAGCTGGAGCGGCGCAAGCTGCTGACGTAAGCATCGCCCACCGCCGGCCACACCAGCCAGGCTCGCCGCCCCGCAACGGCTGCGCCAGCTCCTGCCTCAGCTCCACATCCTCCCCGCGCCTCGCCCACACACCATGTCCTCCGCCCATCGCCCCACCTGGGACCCGGCCGCGGCGCGCGGCGACAACCGCCACGTGTCCAAGAACTTCAGTGCGCGCCAGATGCCGGCGCACACCAAGCTCAAGTTCCGCGCGCCGGCGCAGGGCCTCGTCGTCGACCCCGTGGCGCGCGACAACGACGAGGGCGCGCGCCGCGATCTGAAGCGCGAGCTCGACGAGGCGGAGCGCAAGAGCAGGAACAAGCGCAGAAAGGAACAGGGCCTCGAGCCGGAGGAGGAGCAGCCGCAGGAGCAGGAGAGGCAGGCGCCCGTCAGTGAGAGGCGCAGGCTCATCGAGCAGGCCGTGGGCTTGGACCGGGACGCCGACGCCAGCGACGACGAGGCGCGCGGCGCCAAGGACAAGGGCAAGGGGCGTGACACATCCGCGTGAGTGTGGGACAGCACGGTGTGGCAGGCAGTGCGGCTCGTGTCTGCGGGGGCGTGTTCTGCAGCTTGTTGCTCATGCGTGGGCCATCGCGACAGTGCGCCGCAGGACGGCTCGGACGACTCGGACAGCGACAGCGACTCATCGGACGACGAAGACGACACGGCGGCACTGCTGCGCGAGCTCGAGAAGATCAAGCAGGAGCGTGCAGAGGAGAAGGCGCGGCAGGAGAAGGAGCGTGCAGAGACGCAGCAGAGCCAGCGCGAAGACGACATTGCGCTCGGCAATCCGTTGCTCAACCTCGAGAACGCCATGAAGGGCAGCGCCGCGGCTCAGGCGGCTAGCGCAGGAGGAGGAGGCGGCAGCCTGGAGTTTGGCGTCAAGCGCAGATGGGACGAGGATGTCATCTTCAAGAACCAGGCGCAGGGCAATGAGCAGAGCGGCAAGAGGGGCTTCGTCAACGACCTCACGCGTGAGTCGTTTGTCAGCTGCTCTGCGATGCGCGCTGCTCCTCCTCCGCCTTCAGGCTGACTCGCTTGGCATCACAGGCTCCGACTTCCACCGCGCGCTGCTACGTCGCTTCATTCGCTAATGTCTTCATGAGATACGTCACCGCACGTGGTGTGTGTGCGCGAGGGGCCCGACGCGCCCCCTAGGAGGGAGGGGGGGGGGGTCGACGTGCTGCACCCGCTACTCGCCATCGCGATCAACAAGGCGTAGCAGCAGTTCCTGCATTGCAGTGGTGCTTGGCGTCAGTAATGTGCTGGGGGGACTTGGCAGCTGTATGTGTGTGCAGCTCGTCATCTGCGGCGCCGGAAGAAACGCACCTCGATGCGCTTGCTTCGCTTTTCGTGCAGCTCCAGCCTCTCCATGACGGCATGAAGCAATTCGTTCTGCAAGCCTGCTCCCGATGCCGTGCCTTGCTCCTCGAACGCACTGCAAGTGTCGATCGGCAGGCCCGAGAAGCGCGATGCGGCAGATGCAGAGGCAGCGGAGCTTTGCGCATCGAGCGTACTGCCGCTGCGCTCCTCGGACGAGTGTGCTACAACGGCAGCTCGGCGTGCGAGGGCGCCGTTGGACGAGGAGAAGAAGCGCGCGAGGGGCGAGGAGAGGGTGCCGAGGCCTCGCGCCATGGCGCTGCTTGCAGGCCGAGAATGGGCGTCGGACGCGCGCGCCGGACCAGCAGGCGCGCTTGCCGGCGGCTGATGCGTCGAGGAGTCGTCGACGCGGCTGCGATGCACGGCTGCTTCTTGCTGCTGCTGCCGCTGCTGCTGCTGCATGCTGGAGTGTGTGGTAGATGTACTGCCATAGCCTGCGGTCTGCGCACTGCCTCGAGCCGGCGTACGAGGAGGGCTAGCCGACGTCTCTTGCCTCGCGTGCGGCGGCTCCTCGTGCTCCTCCTCCTCCTCCTGTCCTCGAAACGTGCCGCGCGCGGAAGCAGGCATGTGCGTCTCGTCGTTGTCGTCGTCGGAGGCGGGAGCACGCGCAAAGAGGGCGTCGACGAGGTCCTGCTCGCCCTTGCCGCGCCGAGGCAGCCACGCCATGGCGCGCGACGCTCGGCTCGTCGTCAGCTCGAGGCCGTCGCGGAAGCCTTGGCGCGAGGTGACGCGGATGAGCAGCAGGATCGGCAGAGAGGTGGTGCGAATCAAAGCGACGTTCTGTTGCGGGGAAGAAGAGGGGGGGGGGGGGGGGATGAGGCTCAGCCAAGAGAGCAGCGAGGTAGAGACAAGCGGATTCCCCTCACGAGCTTGTGTGTCCAGCGAGGCGAAAGCACCCAGGATGCCGGCTGCGAGAGAGGGGAGGGGGGGGGGGGGCGCATTGAGCAAAAGAGAGGAGGGGGGCTGGGGGCATGTGCCTTCCGCATGGGAGAAGCCCAAAAAGCAATCAACTGACCAGCACGATGGCGAGGGCGAGCAGATTGAGCGGCGGCGGATAGCTAAAGAGGGCATCGCTGGTGATGCCGGCCATTGTCTTGCACGCGTGCTGGTAGAGCACCTCCTCCGTCGCACTGGCCGCCACGACGGAATACGTGTTGCTCAGCAGCGAGATGAGGCCCGTCAGGAGCAGCGTGTTGGCCAACACGGCAAAGAGCACTGCGTTTGGTCCACACGCGCGCCGGCGGGGGAGGCAAGGGGGGGAGGAGGGGGGGAAGAGGGCCTAAAGTCAATGCACCGCTCTGCAGCAAGCGTAAACATCCACTCACCCATAAGGCCCGGGCCAAACACCTCTGATATTTGAGCGGCCGCATCAAAACCCACGTACTGCGTCGGAGAAGGGCCAAGGGGGTGGGGGGGGGGGTCAGCTGGAGAGGCAGGCAGCTGCAGCGTGCGGAGAGGGCCGCGCCAGAAACTGACGCTGTTGCCGAACCAGACCTTCAACATGATCCAGAGAATCTCGCGCAGGGTAAAGGCGTCGTTGAGACTGTAGAAGGCATAGGCGAAGCCGGAGAAGCACACGGCTGCGAGCGCCATGAAGAAGACAAAGTCGGCTGTTTTGATTTGAGGGGAGGCCGACACTGAGTGAGCAAACGGACGGGCGCGGGGGGGGGGGGGGACTCGTGTGTTCTGGCTGGCGCCTGCTGTTCGCGCACACACACCGCCACGCAAACGCACCAACCATGGCTTTGAGAGCCAAGAGCATGACGCTGTCCTGCGCCACGAGCGTGGCCACGACGCGCGGAAAGAGCAGCACGGCGGCGACGGCGAGCACGTCAAAGGCGAGGGCGCTGCGCTCATCGGGTGCCGCGCCGGGGTGCAGCTGCGAGAGGGCCGCGAGCCGAATGCCGAGGTAGGTGAAGGCGATGGCGCAGAAGAAGGCGCTGGGTCCGCGCGAGAGAGGAGAAGGCGATGAAGGGGTGAGTGGGTTGGAATGGAAAGGCGAGGAGGGCAAGGAGAGAAGAGAGAGGATCACGACCACGCACTCGAGTAGGTTGTAGAGCGACGCCGTGTACACTTTGTACCCGTGTTCGCGCAGCTGCGCCACTTCGTCCAGCGCAAAGCCCAGCACCCAAATGACGACTGGCCGGGTGAGGGGGCAAGCGAGCAAAAGGGGGGGGGGGGTCAGCAGAGGAAGCCAGGCGGAGCGCAGGGCTCCCGTGTGTTTCGCGACAGAGACTCACAGACAGTCTCCCAGCCCGTCCAGTGCGATGTGCCCTTTTGGCGCAGCGCAAGCACGTAAAAGGCACACAGCAGCATGAAGTTTGCGCCTTCTATGATGGCGCGAATCTGGGAGGGGGGGGGGGGGGGGGGGGGGGGAGAGGTTAGGCGCGCATCAGGGTGAGGGTTGCCATGCGCGCACCTCGCATCTTCAGGTTCTTGCAGCTTCACGACGCTCTCACCTTTGGCACTCTGAGGCGGTAGTGATCGAGAAACGGCGCCTTGCTGAGGTCGTAGATGGCCAGCGGCCTCTGTTTGTAGCTGTCATCCACAATGGCATGGCTGGCCACGCTGCACACGACGACGCGGCCGTCCCAGATGCCGTTGGCGACGCGCTGCACCAGCGCACAGCTGAGCAGCCGCTTGGCCGACGAGGCGATGGCGAGGTCGAGGGCAGAGGAGGCGGCGAAGGCCTGCGAAGGAGCAGAGGGAGCGCCGGAAAAGGCATCGAAGGGCGCTGTCAAGGCGGTCACTAGCTCTAGGCCATCACGAGAGAAAGTGCCTGCCGGATCGGGCCGCGGGAGAGCGGGTGAGAGAGAAGAGGGGGGGGGGAGGGCTTGTTCAGTTTCCATGTATAGCCATCTGAAACGACAGGCGGGCCTCTTTTCCACATACGCAGGAGTTTGATGGCGAGCAACTCGCAGAGACTGGCTCGCGTGGCATTGACACTGGCAAACGCCAGGTCGCGCTCGGCTTCGCTGGCAAAGTGGCAGCGCACGAGGAGGAGCGTGTAGATGATGGCGATGCTTTGTGCGCGTGCATACTTGAGGGCCAAGGGCCGCACGACGGTGAAGTTGACGTCGACGGAGTGCAGCTCGTCGAAGGAGAGGGCCGTGTCGATCATGCCGCGGATGTCGCGACGGATGAGATGGGCCATGGGATAGATGGACACTCGACGACAGCGCAAGGCGAGACTGTCGCTGTCGCTTTGTGCGCCCGTCTCTAACAGCTGCCATGCCCCCTTCGTGTGTCAGCGCCCCCTACCTTGTCCATTGTGGCGAAACAGAGAGGAGGGAGGGAGGGGGGCGCGTGGGGGGGGAAAGAGACACGCACAGGATCAGTCTCGCCTCCATCTCCCTGCGCGAGCTGCGAGTCGGGCACGCCTGCGTCGGCGGCCGTCGTTTCGGCGCCAGACGCGGGCATTGCCCCTGCATGTGCCGCCGCCGACGCCGACGCCGACGCCGGCCTCGCTCGAGCTCGCGATGCACTGTGCTCGCTGCGGCGGCGCTGAGGCGAACTGCTGCTGCTGCTGCTGCTGCCTGCCGCTGTTGCGCCCGCGGCGCTGGCGGCGCGCGCCGTGTTGCGCATCGACATGGGTGGGATGCGCGAGAGAGGCTCTCTTGGCGGCGCGCCCCCGCCCCACCTTGAGGTGCCCGGTGCTGAGCTCGTTGGAAGGCAAGCGCTTCAATGAAAGACGTGGCGTGACCGATGCGCCTCGAAGAAGAAGGGCAGCTTGATGAGGCTTGGACTTGAGGGGTGAGGAAGGGAGAAAGAGAAGCGCCCGGCCGCCTTGGCTGCGGTTGCCTGTGCGGGCCGCCGCGCCGCCGCGCGCCTCCTCCACGCCGCGCGCCCACAGCCAGCGCGCGCGCGGCGGCCGAGGGCGCGGGTCCGAGCGCTGCCACGCGCTGGCGCTTGCGCCCCCCTACCCTCCCCAGTCAGAGTCGAGTCTCGGGTGCGCCCAACTCGGCTGCCCTCACGCGCCGCGCCGCGCTGCACCGCTTGCTCGTCGGCGCCATGCTGCGTCGTGGCTGCAAGCGGCGCCGCAGTCAGATTGCCTGGCTGGCTGGCTGGCTGGCTGGCTGGCCGGCAATGCTCTCGCCTCGCGCAACCAAAGCTGATGCTGCATGCTGCACGCTGAGCGCTGGGCCAAGGGCGCGCGCGCGGGGCGCACAGCACCCAAGCAGGCGCGCCCCAGCCGCCAGCGAGGGCCGAGCAGCGCCGACGTGGCGCCGTGCCGTCGATCTCCGCTTGGCGGCGATCTCTCTTCCCCGCAGTGGGCAGTCGCCGCCCGCCGTCCGCGCCGCGCGCGGCGCCGGCCACCTTGGCTCCGCACCTCCATCTCCTATCTGCAGCGTCCGCCGCGTCGCACTTACTTCGTGTCCACTTGCTCTCCACGTCCCCCATCTCTGGCTCTGCCCCCTCGTAATCTTCGAGGCCGCGCAAAGAAAGGGACACAGAGCGATGGATCTCCTCACGCAGTTCCTCCTCGCCCTCGTGCTCCTCCTCTCCCTCGTCCTCTACACTCGCCTCGAGCTGCCGCCCTCCTCTGCCTCTGCCTCTCCCAACTCCGCCAGCAGCAGCAAGAAGAAGAAGAAGGCCGGCCCCAAGCGCGTGCCCGCCACTCAGGGCGGCATCGGCCCCGCGGCCTTTGTGGCGCGCGCCAATGAGGAGGAGGCGAGGAGGCGGCAGAAGAGGGAGCTGAAGGCCGAGAGGGAGAAGGACAAGGTTGAACACGCGGCGGCGGCGGCGGCGGCGGCACACAAGGCAGCGGTGAAGCAGCGAGGCGAGTCTCAGCACGGCGCCAATGGCGCAGCGGCATACGCCCATGTCGCGGCTGCCGAGCCAGAGGCAGCGGCGCAGACGCTCGACGTGCCGACGGTCGTCACTGGGCCGGCCAACGGCAGCGTCAATAAGGGCGGCCAGAAGGAGAAGCAGGCGTCGAACGGCATCGCCAGCGACGGCGACGGCCCCGCGAAGGGCAGCGCGCGCAAGGGCAATGGCAAGACGAATGAAGAACGCCGCAGGGAGCTAGATGCAAGGCTCAGGCCGCATGTGGGAGACAAGGATAAGGGAGGCGATATGCTCGATGAAGAGATGCAGGGTGAGTTAGAGCTGAACCATGCACGCAAACGCATGTGTGGATTGC